ACAGAAGCGAGAGAACACTATCGAAGTATTTTGAGTATCGTGCAGGACATTGATTTCTTGTGCGCGGAGATAGTACTAGTATGTACAGACAGTATCTGGAAGGAGCTGGACTTTTGCCACCGGCAATACTACTGCGTGTGTATCCCGAAGGAGTTGACTCGCTGACACAAATCAATAGATGGATTAGTCTTTTCGACGACTGCTCCTCGTGTTTTCCGATATAGGACACTGCCGGATGCGTCTGTGGTAGGCTTTTGCGCTGCCGCTCTGTCGCTCGGGAACTCCGATGCTTGTGTCTTGTCGCTCAGCTATGGTACCTATTATGTCGGAGTAGTCGGTCGTGTCATATCTTCACTGTGTTTCTATTCTTGATATGTGTGTAAGCTTTGTGCGGGCGGCGGCGGGGAGCGGCGCGGCTGAGCCTGAAGAATATCATTATACCAGTGTGTCAGTCGCGGTAACACGGCACTCATCCCACCCCCGGGTAGTCACCACCTGGTAGCCTGGCAGCTGAGCAACAATGGCTTCGTTGAGTCTGCGTGGGCTGGAATAGTCGGGGTTGGACGGTGTAACGCTCATGGCAGTCAGAAGTCGGCGATGGGATACGATGAATTTCCTTGTTAGGTAACTCGTGCGGGCGTGTCAGCCGACGGGGTTGTTTGGGGAGGTCATCGGGACGATGTTGTTGAAGCTTACTATTACTGTCCCGTCATCAGCATGTTTGTCTTTGGCTAAAATGTAATGCTTATAACTTATCACATTGACTACTAGATATAGTATCAGGCAGGTGCGACCAACTTGAACCTAAAGAAGCAGACCATGTCCTACATGACGAAATAGATAGAAGACCTCCGATAGGACGCCTCATCATCCTCATTCACCCTCCTCAATATCACCCTTATGCAATGCAACACCAGACAGAGCCTCAGAGCTTCAGAGCCTCACCTGCCCCCAGCCATTACTAGGAATTAATAATACGCTGCTGACTTCATCTTGGGACAGACAACCATACCCATGACAAACAGGATCATCTCTGGATCACCACTGCCGGTAGTAAACACCTGTAGTTACATCATGATATATCCTCGTACGTCTACGTCGACTCCGTACTCCGTGGCTTTACTGCTAGAACATTAGTAAACAAATCACCCCGCGCCGACCGCGCCGAAACATCTCCGATACTAACTGCTGAAGAGTTGTTAAGTAACTCCTAACTAGCCCTAAACCAAAAACCCAAACACCACTATCGGAATTGCAAATATACGACAGTAGCAACTATAGCAGACCACTGGCAGCTTCCCATGCACTCACAAATTAACCGACACCCGACTACCACAGGATCGATCCTCTAACCCTTCATATCTATCCGCAGCAGTCGAAGGTAACCCTGCAGAAATGCCGTGCACCCTGATTGATGGACTTTTCACGCCGCCGAGGGAAGGAGTTTTCCCGACGCGGGCGCGGTAGAGGGACCGGATTAAGCATTGATTATGGTGGGGCCGGTCTGGGGATATACTGTATGCTGGTATTTACTACTCTAGTATCACCTTCATAGAGCACAAGAGTACTTGGCTATTCTGATGGTCTGGGCCAGAAACCTCGGTAGCTGGTACCGGGAGCTTTGCTGTTTCTGAGGGTGGCGTAAGCTCCTTCGCGATGGCGGGGGTGGCGAAAGGATCCCGGTCAACTTGAAGACTTTCCTTTTGGGATGGGTGAATTTCAATTTCAAGAGGTGGACGGAGTGTTGGTGTTGTTGAATTAGTGATTGGTGGTGGTTGATGGTGATTGACTGGTTGAAAGGAGATTTCGCAGTAATTTGAAGTTCTAAGCTTGCCCAATCACTTCATATGAATAATGTGTAGAGCTATTGGTCGCAGTATCATATAATATCCATAGACACTATAAATGCTGCCTGGCCGGGCAATACTTCCCTCTGTCAGGTGCAGGATGTTGCCTCGGTTAGTGATCTGTAGCAGCCGCAGTCAGCCATGAAGCATCCACTGCAACCTTTCCATCACCGGCAGATATTCCATCTCCATAACCCCCAAAGTAAGCAACGTATGTAACCCTGGCTCTTAACCACCATTAGCATCATAATAACAACAAACTTGACGAAGATTACGACAACCGCAAAGTAAGCCTCATCCCCGCCTCGCTCGGCATACACGAGATGAGGTACAACATATCAGCTTACTGAGTCCTACAGAAGGAGAGGGAAGCATGGCTTGAGCCCCGCGTAGGCGTGGAGGTGACTGCTGACAAGGGATGGATGTTCGAGAATGTTTCCACGCAGAGTAATCGGACCGGGTTGCCGGTTTAAGTGGTCCATGATGCGATGGAGATGAAAGTAAGTAAGCAAGCAACCTGCTTTAGTCACTGTTGTTGACATGGGTAGCCATCTTGTTGGCCGGGATTATTCTCCTGGTCGGGGTTTCATCACCATCCGCCCCTCCCGGTTGTGCGTGTGAGCCAGGGCGTGAGTGAATTGGCTAGGGGGAAGGGGAATGACTTGCGATCGGCTAGCACGGAAAGATGGGAAATGAGGATGGAGGGGAGATGATGCCTGAAGGATTGGTTTGGTTTCGAAACGGAAGTTTGGGGGGAGTTGATCAAAACAACTTAAGCAGCGAGCGCAATCCACGGATATCCGACTATTAGAAATATGGAGAAGCGCAGTCTCCGCTTCTCTTGCTTGTCGACCACGTGTGTGTCTGGTTGTCAAGTGCACGGTTCGGATTTGGGTACAATTTACCACTCCGATAAGTCCAGTTCATCGTCCAAGCTTCTTTACCCGGAGTTTCTGGAGGCAGAAGCGTGTAGAGCGACTCCCTTGAGAATCTCCTAAGTTACTGGTTGGAAGTAATCAGTATCAACCCCCCGGCCCTCGAGAATTAAACCCAACAAAAGAGAAACACACTCAATCATCCGATTCCTTCACCTCGAGGTCTCCCGAGATCCCGCCAATAAACCCACGCAAAGGCATCACACGCTCCCCAAATCCTCCCTATCCTGAACCTCGGCATTTCAGCTTGCGGACAATATCCGAGCCTGCTAATCCGGGTAAACACACCCACAATTATAACCACGGCCATCCGAAATAATTCTCCCAGGCGACAAGGATAGAAATCGCCATGCTTCCAGAAGCTCGGCGGTCGTCTCTCCGGATGCAAGCAGACGTTCTAGCTCGCTCTATCGGGTAATTCCCCACCACATTGAACTAAATGTACGCAGTCAACACTCAAAGACAGTTGACACTACGGAGTAGTTACTAGAAACTAACTCTCCCGGTAGACAAAGAATCACTTTAGGCTAGTGGTAGGCGAGGCAGAACCGGCTCAATCGGGTACACCCTCGGAGTAAGTATCTTAAGTTAGGCTTTTCCCTCCAACTTTCCCTCCTTCGTTTGACTTTCTTTGCTCTTACCCGGTGGCGTTGTTGCAATTTAAGAACTGGCGGTGAAAAATGAGCCTGAGGGAAAGCACATTTGGGGGGTTGTTTTATCGGAGGGATCTTGTCGGTGACGCGTGTTACATCGACTTCAACCTGCGGTGTGGAATGGATGAGTCCTTCGTGGTAATACCGACATATCGAACTGACTACGGCCAACGTGGTCATCAATGTAGATGATTGCTATTATAAGCGCCCCTCCCCAAGCACTGGGTGGTGAGAGCTAAGAACTTCCGAATTTGGTAACCTTGAAGAGTCGCGGTGTCGAGGTCTAGACCCCGCGGGCCGATACGCCGGTGGGGAATGGCAGGTATCCCGAGGTCGATGGTCTGTGCTTTCGTGCTCCAGATTACTGCTTTGGGAATATTGATGCTATACGCTATACAGTATCTCCATCATTCATGCAAGCTGAACCCGGTAATTGTTGCAGTTCCAGTTAATATAGACCAGTTCATGTATGGTTGAGGTGAGATGCTGCGCGGTGAGATCTACCTGCTGATAATTAGCAGGACATGCCTTCGCAATTCCTTGTTTCTGCAGGGCTTTTCTCCTGTCCGCGAACATATTGATAGCTACTGCAGTGTAATCTCAGAAACTCTACATCGTGGTATCTGGCGGGATAGAATTTCCAGTAGACGAGATGTATCTGACCTATTTTGGAAAAAAGCGAATGAGGCCAGTAAGGGATGATGGGGAGCAATGCAAGGTGTCGGGCAATGGTAGTTGCAAGCTTTCAGCTCGTTTGAAGGCATGGTTGATGTTGCCTGCATTTGCTTGACTCCGAAAACTATGCTACAGTGGGATTGAGGCTTGGTGGCTGCTGCAGTTGTATGCTGCCAGGATTTCGACGCTTGACTTGACCGCCCGTTGACACTGTTGACGTGATCTTGCGGTGTGAGGAATGATGTTGTGCGTTTGTCCTTGAAAACAAAGGTCTAGATGCTCCGACATGTATGCACGTTAGTCGACTGGTGCACTTCAACCTTGATGCTCTATGTCACAGTTCCAAGTATCAAAAAAAGGATAGGTGATCCTATCTTGATCTGTGAGAATGGTATGTGATGGTACCTACTCGAAGCTTGAGATAGAGCTACGATCTGCGCAAAAATTAGCTACTGCTTGTCCGTCAACAAATGCAATTGATGCTGTCCGAACAGATGCACAGTAGAGAAGCAATCTTCAAACACGCGATACAAGTCAAACACTCGACAGTGAGTCAACAACATAACATCTGGACGGTTGCTGAGCAGCCGGTAAATCCTGCACTTGCCGGTAGCTATAGTTGCGAGTAAAAAAATCTACTGTCTTTCGGGCCAGTTGAACAGGCGATGTGAGTTTCTTTATGAGACCTGGTGTTCCCTTGTCCAATGTACTTAGTCAACCATTATACCGGAGTTGGCCGGAATTAGTAGGAATAAGATTGCTATACCAATGGACTTAATTAAATAATCCTCTAGATGCTGGTTCCGGTATAATATCTGTCTGAATGAGATGCGACAGTCATTCGCAGCAAACCGACAAAAGACGCCAAATATTGACCTTCAGTTGCGAGCATGACTGCTGCATCAAAATCAGTGCTGATCACAGGTATAGTAAACCTCACCTGCACCGAGCCGGTCCCTCTGTCTAAGAGCGGACATAAGTGCAAACCAAGGTGTCGGTTTCGAGACGCCAAGAACCTCCTCCTTTCAAGTCAGGATTATCACATCTTTAAGGATCCCGTAACCCAGGCAAAGGCGAGGAGGCCGCTCGAGTCCTCGGCGCAATCCCAGACATCAAGGGAACCGTCTCCTCTATTCAAATCGACGTGACGGACGACAAATCCGTAGATGAGGCCGCTGTACACGTTGGCAAAGAGTACGGTCGACTCAATGTTCTAGTGAACAATGCGGGCATTGCAATCCTAGAAGAGCTACCGTCTCGCGACTCATACCGCGAAGTCCTGGATGTGAATCTGATCGGTGCTCTTAGCACCACACAGGCCTTTCTGGACCTGTTGCGAAGGTCATCTGAGAAGAGACTCATCTTTGTCAGTTCGAGCACGGGGTCGATTACCCATGCGTCTAATCCCGAGTCACCTCTTTACAGCCCTCGGGTGGTTGAGTACCGCTCGAGCAAGGCTGCGCTGGACATGATGATGGTTTCGTACTGGGCACGGCTGAAAGGAGAGGGAATCAAGGTCTTCGGAGCCGATCCGGGATTGTGTGTCACCAATCTGACGGGTGATCCTGAGTCTCTGCGAAAGAGAAACGCTGCGGAACCATTGGAGGGTGGCCGTAGAGTGGCAACAGTGGTGAAAGGAGAGAGAGATATCGATATCGGAAAGGGTCTCGGGGACTAAGGAGTCTGTCCCTTCTGATAAAGGTGCTAGTAATGGTGCGAAGACGTATCGTTGGATTTCAGATACCCATCGTGCTAGCAGCACGGATATTTGACCATAAGGGCTTGCCCATCCTCGCAGATCGTCAATGTAAGCTATATTAGCGTTCTGCCAGTCAACCGATTGCCATTTCTACGAACTTTCCCGTAGAACACGCAATAGACGATATTTTTGTTTCCAGGCTGATGCCGCTCTGGATCATCGTGTTGCAATGGTGTAAGGATTTGATTCATGTGCATGACAGTCTTGAGAGCAGCCATCCTCAGACAAAGCGCGACGACTTTCAAATGGCCAACGCAGTCACCCATCTATACAGGAAGGGAACAACAGCTCGAGGTTGCACAGAATTACCACTGATCACGGAAGCTTTCCATCGGTCAGTCATCGCTGAGCTGAATTCGTCCGCATGATGAATTCACAAAGAATATCCGAGCCTGTGACCTCGAACCGTGGCATTGCATGGGAACTGTGTTGTTGGTTCTGATCCTTGAGTGCATGTCTTGAATAGCTCAAAGTTAATGGTGCCCGCGTTATGCCCAACATAACCTCGGTTTGTCCGCGTCTTGTATTGTGCGACTGCATGTCAGAGACTGCCTGGCAGACAAAGTCCATTGTTCCAGCTTTTTTTGCCATTTATGCGACTTTTTCAGCCTCATTTAAACATAGCAGCTCATTGGCTTACCGTGATATCCCTGACAAGGACGAGTCTGTATCTCATGCCTCCAGGAACCCACTAGTAGTAATGGTTGAATGACTCTTCCATGATTTCTAAATCTGATCTGTGTGAGTGATGTATTCGCTTCAACTAAGTATTATCGACGTGATAGTGTCTCTTCTCGTCCTGAGGGGATGAGTCGATCTGTGAGAACTGATTCCCTCGAATTTGAGTCATTCTCGAAAGTGAGTGAGAGTAAGTATAAATATTGCCTTTTTGGGCCAAAAGGCAGATGTGCCTTGATGACTCATTTATCTCTTTCGGGACTAGCGTAGAGCGGGGTGGTCGGCGGTGAGAGAGTTTGGAGCGCATAATTGCAAACGAGCTGCTAAAATCTTCCAACATTTATATTATGCCACCATCACGAATACCCCACATTACTCCTCAGTTCTTCTTACGGCGTTTCAGTCGCTCGTTCAGGATGGAAAGTCGCCAACAGCCTCCCTGGCAGCAGCCGCCCGCGCGCCCCGATGCCCGCCTCCCTCCTCTCAAAGTATGGAACTCTTTGACCAGATCCAAGACTCCTTTCGTACCCTTGGATCCCGAGGGACGTAAAGTCAAGTGGTATGCTTGCGGCCCCACGGTCTACGACGATGCGCATTTAGGCCACGCTCGCAATTATGTCAGTACCGATATTCTGCGCCGTGTACTCAAGGACTACTTCAACTATGATGTTCAATTTGTCATGAACATCACAGACGTGGACGACAAGGTAGGAGCCACCGTGCTTGCAATAACACTCCGAGGGTTGGCATGACTGAAGGGGTACAGATCATTATCCGCGGTAGACAGCAACATCTGTTCAACAAATATGTCACCGAACACCCGAACATCACCCCCGAAGTTCTCGAGACTGCCCGGTTGGCATACGGTGCATACATCAAAAAGAACCTCCCTTTGATCGATCCCGACACGAAGCCAGAAAACTTTGGTACGGAGGCTGAGAAAATTTATGGGGTGGTTTTGAAAGGTGGCTCTTTGGAGGCGGACAAAAAGCCTGGCGATGCGGAGACGAAGATCAAAATGCACGTCAAGACCGCGACGGCATCATCGTCGGCCATTGCGGATGCGGTAAAGAGTTCCGACGTCTCGAGTCAAGCTTTCTATGATGCCACGCAGGATGCATTCTGCTACTACCTCGACATAACCCAAGGATCTACGATTCCTGGCGACGCCTATGAAATCTTCACGAAGCTCACAAAGAAATACGAAGACCACTTCATGCGTGATATGAGAGATCTGAATGTGCTCGATCCCGACGAGATTACCAGAGTCACCGAGTATGGCCCACAAATTGCGGATTTCGTCGAGAAGATTGTTGCGAACAAGTTTGGATATGTGGCCTCGGATGGCTCCGTATATTTCGACATCGAAGCGTTCGAAAAGGCCGGCAACCACTATGCCCGATTGGAGCCTTGGAACAGAAACAACCAGCCTCTGCAGAGGGACGGCGAGGGCGCTTTGTCGCGGGCAACGGAGAAGAAATCCCCCGACGACTTTGCTCTCTGGAAATCGTCTCGACCCGGTGAGCCTAGTTGGTCCAGCAAGTGGGGTCAAGGAAGACCCGGCTGGCACATTGAGTGCTCTGCTATGGCTTCCAGCTGCTTGGGAAGCCAGATCGATATTCACTCGGGTGGTATCGATCTTGCTTTCCCTCACCATGATAATGAGCTTGCTCAAAGTGAAGCCTACTGGCATGAGCACAAGCACCAGTGGGTCAACTACTTCCTCCATATGGGTCACCTGTCTATTGCAGGCTCGAAGATGTCCAAGTCCCTGAAAAACTTCACAACCATCAGTGATGCGCTCAAGCGGGGTGACTACACTGCCCGTAGTCTGAGAATTGTTTTCCTGCTGGGCGGATGGCGCGACGGTGTTGAGATCACAGATGAGCTGGTTAAGAGCGCCTCTTCATGGGAAGAGAAGGTCAACAACTTTTTCGTCAAGGTTAAAGATCCTTCCACATACCAGACTTCCACCACGGATGCGGCGTCAACCGAAACTCTGACGCAGGCCCTTAAGTCCACCCAGGACAAGGTCGATGAGCACTTCTGCGACTCTTTTGATACTCCTCGAGTCATGGCTGCTATCTCTGAACTCATCACCACTTTCAACTCTCTTGACATCCAAACTCTCGACCCCCAAGCCATTGAGTCCACTGCTAAGTGGGTAACACGGATTGTGACCATTTTCGGTTTGAACGGGGCTACTCCTGTAGACAAGTGCGAGATCGGTTGGGAGGGTACCGACATACCTGAGGTGGCGAAGCAGTATTTGTACCCGCTCTCTGCAATGCGTGACTCTTTGCGCCAAGCTGCCATGTCCGGGAACCAGGTCACATCAGACAAGGTCAAGGAGATTATTGATGCAGCAGCAGTGAAAGATGCGGAGACAACTGAGGCTGCCAAGCCATACTCTCAGACCCTAGAATCTTTTAGCGCCCAGCTCGCGTCGTTGAGCCTGGAAGATCCGAAGAGCTCCGCGAAGGAGATTCTCTCTCTCTGCGATCGTTTGCGCGATGTTGATCTTTTCAACCTTGGCATCTACCTTGAGGACCGCGAGAACAAGCCGGCTCTCGTTCGCCCCGTCACCAAGGACCTGCTGCAAACCCGTGAAGAGCAGGCGCGCAAGGCCCTGCAGAAGCAGCAAGAGAAGGAAAAGAAGGAGCGGCTTGCTCAGGAGAAGCTTGAGAAGGGAAAGCTGAGCCATCTCGAGATGTTTAAGACGAACGAGTTCAGCGCTTGGGACGAAGACGGTATGCCAACCAAGGACGCTGCCGGCGAACCCCTTGCCAAGAGTCGCGGCAAGAAGTTGAGGAAAGACTGGGAGCGTCAGAAGAAGGCCCATGAAGCGTGGCTTGCCAGCCAACAGGGGAAGTAGTAGTTGAGTACATAGGAAAGAACCTGATGCAGTTTTTCAGCGGGACTGAAGCTTTGATTCTCATACATCTTGCGCAATCATTAGATCTTCTATGAAGCTCGTTCATCTTGAACGATCCGATTAGCAGTAATTGTCCCCCATTTGATTCTTCCAGCTCCGCTTAACCCAGTCAGCCATGCCTACCGTCCATCCACACCGAAGGCTTTCTATCACCACCGTGGTCCTTAATCTGATTTCGTTCTTTTTTGCGTTATGTTCTGACATTCCTCTCAAAATCTCTGAATATGACGCATACTATTCATTGCTGATGACAAGCAATTTCATAATTCCGAAAGACTTCCTGTTATTTGGCGTCCTCCTCTCTGACACAATTCAAACTGTCAGCATGAACCCACAAGGGCTAGGGCGAAGCACATTCAAAACTAGGTCACTATATGCTTCATGATCCTCAAAATGCACTTCTCCAAGCTCGTCCTGTCTGTGATGGATTCTTCTCCGTGATCCTGCTACGGAGCGGAGCTGATTAACCTGTTTGCCTCCCTGCTGGGAATGCATGACCTACGAATAGAGAGGATCTCTCTCAAGCCACAGAAACCCATCCTTTCCAATTTGTGGATGGACAGGGGCAATGCATTCCGAATCACTCGGTGTCTATGCACACGACTCAGGAATTGCTACTGCATAGGCTTGAACGGTATGGCCTGTGGTAGGCTCTTTCACAACGGTGACACCTCGTCAACCTATAAAGATGTATCTTCCCAAGGTACTCGAGGTTCTTTGAAAGTTCATTGATTCCTTCGTTCGAAGATGGGTTGAGACTGCATGAGCTATGGCTCGTTGGCTGGATAAAAAATCGGTCGTCGTGCGATGTTCTCGTTATGTTTGATGTCTGTTGCGTTCAAACCGTTAGAGTAATAGAAGAGGGGTAGTTCGAGACAAGAGAAAAGAAGATATTACGTGTTTATCTCAGCTAACTAATTCATTAAGTTAAGTCAGTCAGCTGCAGTCACGGGTACCACACGGTCTTACCCGATTGAGTCTCCCCTGCGTTTTGTTATCAGCCCGCCTTCTGCCGTCCTACCATCCTTGCTCTTTTCGCCTTCCCACTCACTCACACGAGATGTCTTTACTGCCAATATCTCAGTCATGTTATGCGTTCAGCCTTCAGTCTGGCTTCTTCCTACACACTCGAAGTATATTGGATTGCATTATCCTTGCGCCACGCTCAAAACTCCCAATCAGCCCCTCGCCACCTCTATCTCTTAGCATAGGGCTAGCACGGCTGTTATCTGCGCAAGATAAACTGCAGCCATGCCTATCAGTCAGTTACACCCAGGTCTAGCCACCAATAAGCCTGCCTAGAAGTGTCAGCAGATGTGGCGATAAGAAGCAAGCTAAGGCGACAATGGTCGAAAGTCTCTTAAAGACCGTCGAATCTTGGTCGTGGCCTGCCATGGCTGCTGCTTTCTTCCTCGTCTTCCGCCCCCTGCCTATCTCCAAGTGCTGGTCACAGCCGTTTGCCCTTCAGGATGGCTTCTGAGGTTTTGGGCGAAAAGTCCTCCAAGTCTCTTTACAGCACCGCAGATCTTGAGGTGGAGCAAGGACGTCTTGATGAATTGCATACAAAGGAGGAAGATGAGTCCGCAGACAAGGCAATCTACGACTATGATTCGGAGCACTCCCCTTTCCCTGAGGGTATGTGATTGACCAAAGACTCTTTACTTCGGGCCTGCATTGGTCTAACATAAGCGTTGAACAGTCCGCGCGGTGGTACCTGAGACAGACGACCCAGGTATGCCCGTTAGCACATTCCGTATGTGGCTGCTGGGCTTCATTTTCACAATGGTGGGCTCGGGCATCAATCAATTCTTCTCACTACGCTATCCGTCGGTCCACATTGTTTCCTTGGTAGCAGAGCTGCTGGCTTACCCCTGTGGCGTCTTCCTGGCCAAAGTCTTGCCTATGTGGACCATATCCCTTGGACCCCTGGGGAGCTTCTCCCTCAATCCAGACCGTCAATTCAACATCAAAGAGCATGCTTTGATCGTGATCATGAGCAACGTGTCGTTCGGCTATGGGAGTGCGGATTCTACCAATATCATCCAAGCCTCGAGCTCCCAGTTCTACAATTTTGGTCTGTCAGCAGGCTTCTCGGTGCTGGTAGTGCTCTGCGCACAGCTACTTGGGTTTGGGGTGGCTGGACTCGCTGCCCCATGGTTAGTCGAGCCAGCGCGGATTGTGTGGCCACAGGTCCTATCGAATTGCGCGATGCTTGAGACGCTTCATTCCCGTGCCAATAACGTTGCTAATGGCTGGAGGATCTCCCGACTTCGGTTCTTCCTCTACGTCACGGCCGCCGGCTTCGTATGGTATTTCTTTCCAGGGCTTATCTTTACTGCCCTCTCATACTTTACCTGGGTCTGCTGGATTGCACCCCGCAACAAGATTGTGAACCAGCTTTTCGGTATGCAGACCGGCCTGGGACTGAGCCCTATCACCTTCGATTGGAGCCAGGTCGCGTACAACACCAACCCGCTGCTATCACCGGCCTGGGCTGCAATCAACGTCTTTGCAGGCTTCGCAGTTTTCTTTTGGATCGTGGTGCCTGGCATCTACTACTCAAACACTTGGTATACAGCATACCTTCCTCTCATGACAGCTGACGTCTACGACCGAACGGGTGCCGAGTACAACACCACCCGCGTGATCAGCTCGCAAAACACCCTCGATGTTGACGCATACAAGAATTACTCCCCTCCATATCTTCCAGCCACGTACGCCTTTGTCTATGGGCTGTCATTTGCCTCTATCACCGCCGTCCTAACCCACATCGGCGTGTGGCACAGCCGGGAGATCTGGGCCGCGCTCAAGGGAAAGAACAAGCTAGACATCCACGCCCGGCTGATGAGAAACTACAAAAAAACGCCCTGGTACTGGTATGCGGCCATCATCGCCGTGATCACAGCCATCGCTATCGCCATGGTTGAGGTCTATCATACCAAACTGCCCGTGTACGGCGTGTTCCTAGCTCTTGTCGTTCCCGCCATCTACATGATCCCGTGCGGCATCATCCAGGGAATCACCAATGTCGATGCTAATCAACTGAACGTCTTGGCTGAGTTCATCGGCGGTTACATGTTCGAGGGCAAGCCCTTAGCCAATATGATCTTCAAGATCCTGAGCACCGACGTGGTCGGCCAGGGTGTCTACTTCGCCATGGACATGAAACTAGGCCACTACCTCAAGATCCCGCCGCGCACGCTCTTCATGGCGCAGGGTCTAGCCACCGTCCTCGGCGCCCTGACCCAAGCGGGAGTCACCATCTGGATGCTCGGCAACATCAAGGACATCTGCTCCTCCGACCAGGCCGACGGCTTCACCTGCCCCAACGGCCGCACCGTCTACTCCTCCTCGGTGGTCTGGGGTCTCGTCGGCCCGCGCCGCCTCTACTCCGTTGGCAAGATCTATTCCTCGCTGCTGCATTTCTTCTGGATTGGCGCAATCGCCCCGCTCGTCACCTACTTCCTGTACAAGTACACCCGCAACCGTTTCTGGAAGCTCGTCAACTGGCCCCTCATCTTCGTAGGCACCTACAACGTCCCTCCAGGTACGTAATAATTTTCCGAGTCTTCCCACAGTCTGCATCATCAATCCCCACACCCGTCACCCCCTATTAGAGCCATATAAATCCAGACCCATCAGACACACCTCCCCAACCTCAACCAGTCCAATCACTGTCCACTACTAACCTTTTCTCTTCGCCCGCAGCAACTGGAATTAACTACTCCAGCTGGGCCCTCGTCAACTTCATCTTCAACCACTTCATCAAGCGCCGCTTCTTCGCTTGGTGGACCAAATACAACTATATCCTCGCCGCGGCGCTAGACACCGGCCTCGCCCTCAGCGGCATCGTCATCTTCTTCTGTATCTCCTACCCAGGCGCCGTGTTCCCCGATTGGTGGGGTAATACTGTTTACCTCAACACGGCGGACGGCGATGGGGTGGCCTGGAAGGAGATGCCGGCTGCAGGGTATTTTGGGCCCGCCAACGGGACATGGGCTTGATTGAGTCTTGAGTCAAGTATTTCGTGTAGAGTTGTTAAATTTGGAAGGGGGAGCGCAGAGGGCATTGAGGGCCTACCTTCACGAAAATGGGGCTTTGGTACAACTTCAATCTAGTATTTGCTTTGATTGTACGCGGTCCTAACGCCTACCGTAGCGTTATCTATCTTAGTTGGATCTCAGCTTGGCAGTGGATCTTATAATACAAGGTACTATTGTTATGCTGTACACGATGCCTGTGGAAAATTGAGAATTTGCCCACATAAAGGAAACACGGGTGTACAGAGAATAAGGAAAACTTGCTAAGCCATGCATTTGAGCACAAAAGTCTCTATTAAATACAGATAACAAACCCTATCTTCCCACCACCGATAATTTCCTGAACGCATTAGAGAAACAGAAAAAAAAAGATAACGATAAAAACCGACGTTGAGCAAGAGAAAACTGCAGTAAAGATATCCGAAATGCAGAAAAGAGAACAGGATAAAAGTGTTAAGGAGAATTCGACTCGAATCCAACCGGCAGACCCTGAGTGCGTAGAGAGCGTGGCCAGGTGGTAATAAAGCAAAGACCGGACCCTTCAAAGGATTGCGACGGCAACTTCAAAAATTTCTCAATAATGAAGATTAATCGTGAACCATTTACTAGAACACGCAGCAATGAGTCTCTGATCACTGAGATCTATCGGGTGGGAATGAGACTTACAGAAATCTCAGCCATGCCAAGGTCCTCACCAGCAGCAGCCTGTTGCTGCTGTGGGACTCCGTTCGCCTGAGCGTTACCCTCCGCAGGACCGGTGGTTTCGTTGGTAGCGAAGTAGTCGACCATCTCGGCATCAAGTTCCTCAACGGTCTTGGGCTTGGGGCGGTTGGAGGTACGGCCGTTCTTACGGGCACCACGACCCTTACGTGCTTGAGAATTGGTAGCAGTTTTGTTAGCAGTAGCGGGCTTAGGCTTGGGCTTGGTTTGACTAGACAGAGTTAGTCGCGAAAGTAAACTAGTAACAGAAAACAGAGGCTACCTACGCGACACGGTCACCAAGAGACTTGGGAGCAGCAACGTCGGGCGCATGCGAGGCATCAACGACGACCTCGATCTAGCAATTGTCAGTTGATAAGGCTCGTGCAGGACGGTGACATGTGAGTAAGGAACTTACCTTCATGGGTCTTCCATCGACAAGAAGGCCATTCAGGTCCTTCGCAGCCTTCGCAGCGGTGTCTGGCTTGCTGAAGACAATGGAGGCAATTCCACGGCTAGTACCGTTCTGGTTGTAGGTGAGCATGACGCGCTTCACGGGACCTGCAGACTTGGTGAAGTATTCCTATAGCACCAGCAGACCAAATTAGTATATCGAATCAAGTAGTTCGGTTCCAGAACCATGAAAGCATCGACATGAACGCAATATCGAAAGACGCATAATAACGGCCTCAGGAGCGACATCAAGCAGCATCAGCGAGCACATCGCGGCAGTTGTTGTCAGCATGGCTATAATCCATCCCACATTCTCTCTCCAAGTACGGTGCTGCGGGCAGCCGTTCGCTGCTCTACCATGAAATCTGCAACCAAGATAGGATCCCCGGCCACCGTGGCCCACCATTTACTCCAATCCATATAAAAGTCTTCAGATGCCTAACAAGAGGCTCCTCAACAGTTTGGCAAGACGTTCACTCAAGTATGCATGCTCCATAATAGCCCGAACTTGCGAGGTCCCACCGAAAAGGTAGCAGATGTGTACTAGGGATCCCCCAGATGCCCTCGGGAATATTCCAGCTAGGAAGTGATAGGAGAAGATATGTCACCATGTCCAAGGCAGGATGCACCGTGCCCCAGCTAAACACGATGATACCGCCCAACAAACACGTGGTATAATATGACGTTCGACCACAACTCGCTCTCAACGCGTCGTGTTGGGTTTACTGCTGGCATGCCGATGCGCTCGCTGATGCCCAACGATCCCAACAAGAGGAACCCTTCGGGCTTGACCAAGCGAGAAAGGAAAACGGAGGCATGCTTCAAGTTCGAAGAGCCATCCATAGCACGGTCTGCGGCATCAACAATCCAGGTGGAACGTCGAAAGCTCCACGTTGAGTTCGGATGCGCTAATTGCAAGACTCTGGCAAGACTCGACTCTGACAAGCTTTTGAAGCGCGACTAAAGATGTTTGCGCCAAGAGCGTCAAAGGAGACAACTGCCCGTGCTGGTTTCCACGATACACGACGACGATATATGCATGACGGTGGCAATGATCGAAACGCGAGTGAAGCCGTTGCGCATCGAAGGTTTCGGAAAAGAAACATGGCGATAGAAACCCAAGGCAAAGGCCTTTCGATCAACATACCTTGATATTGGCCTCATTCACATCGGCAGGCTAAAGTTCGTTAGCTTTGAGCTTGATACAAGAACCTTTCGAGTCAAACATACCAAGCCGCTGACCATGATTTTGCTTTCACGCGAGACAGGGTGTCCATTCTGAACAACCTTGCCGGTGGGCTTGGCAGCCTTAGTGGTCTTCTTCACTCCTCCGATCGGAACAGAAGTGGCTGCGGCCTTAGGTGCCGAACGACGGTCGCGACGACGAGCACCCTGGCGGCGGCTGACGAGGATCTCGTCGAGAGACTTGTCCAACTTGCCAGACATGATTGTAGATAGCTGGAGAAGTCGAGCGAAAGATGAAATTTGGTTGGGTAGCTTGTCGCAAGTTGCGCGTAATACGCCACTGAGCTTCGCGAGTTTTGAGAAAGCGAAGAGGAGTATTCCGGGGTGAAATTTGTCCAGAAGCTAAGAGACGAGCTGGACAGTGAGAATTGATAAGAGGATTAGCTGTAGCAAAGGTTACACCACGCACAAGTGGATGCTGCGATGTGGGATGATGGTAGAAGTGATGTGGACGGGATGGAGGATGGATGAAGAAAGGGAAACAGGCGGATGAACGGAGAAGATAAGAGCAGGGGCGGAGGGGAGGAGAGAGGAGGCTGAGTCACTCTAGTCCCAATCGGGCCTTCCATTTCAAGCTAACTTAACTTACCCGCTTTGGGAATTACAACATCACGCCGCGTCCCCGCGCTGAGGCATTCATTCACCACCTAACCAGGATATACATTACGGAGTACTGATTGGTGAATTATAGATAGATTGATAAGTGAATATCACACAAATTCGTGTTATCTGTCCAAGATCTAAAACATACCATTCTACCCTTGCCTAAATGACAGCGTAAACCGAGCAACGGCCCGAAAACTCATACACAGAAGAATCCATAATATTCATATACAACACATGGTAACTTGAGCCATAACCTTGCGCGGTATAGTAAAGCAATGCAATGTAGTCAAGACTCCTGAAGCCGGGGCCTGCCCAAGATCAACCCGATTGAAGCAGAAGTCAAGAAACGAACGCCCCACGCGCCCTGTCCAACTGAACGCCATCTAAAACTGTAAGAAAGCGGATGACGGGCAAGCGCATGCATTGAAACCGTCCCGCGCCATAAGAGTGTGCATCTGCCACTTCAGCTCTTCAAAGCTTCCAGCCTCCCTCTCATTTGAGCAAGAGTCGCTTCTTGGTCCTCGAGCTCGTCCTCGGGCTCGGGAGCTTCTTCCAAAGGCTGTTCGGGCCTGACCCCTTCCACCTGAGACAGTTTGCCCTGAAGAATTTCCTGTAGGACTTTGTCTACTTCCTCCTCCGCTTCGTCCTCCTCATCTTCGAGCAGTTCGTTGTTCGGAATTGCATCATCCACCATTTCCTCGATGATCCCGGCACGTACCAGTTCAGTAGACAATTGTCGCATAGTGGCTGTCAGCTCGGGCATACGAACGAGAGTGTTGACATCCTTCATGATTCCCGTTGACTTCTTCAGACTACCTTGGATTTTGCGCACTGAAAATGCCTCGTTCACCTGCATATGAACGCTTTGCAACTGAGCTCGGCTGGTGTGGAGACGGGTCGACTGTTTTCGAATTCGAACAAGTTCTCGCGCAAAGGTCTTGGCTTCCATATTGGCTTGCTTCGCTTGGGAGGGGTTGCGTTGGGCTCGTCGTGATGCACTCACGATGTGCTGTCGTGTTTTGTTTTCCAGTGTCTTGAGCTGCGAGATGTCACGATCTAATTGGCGAGTATTGGCACGGATGAGCTGATTGCATTTCCTCATCTACAATCGAGAACAAGAGTCAGGACGGCACCACGATTCTGCACGACTGCGTGTGACGGTACCTGTGCTTGAGGATCGGGGCCGAAGAAGACCGCCTTGAGAGTTTCCATCTCGAGAGATCCTTCAAACTATTACGATAGGACGAGTGATCAGATTGCGCTCAAGCGTGCAGCAGGTAGATGCTGCTGGTCAAGTTCCTGGGTCGGGCGAGAGTGGAACAGGCGTCTATGAGGAGAGCCTCGAAGGCTTATCCGGAGACCTTGGCAACAGGGCGGGGTACAGGTGGGAAGGTCTTTGGTGGGCCTCTCGTCTATGGCTAGATGCAAGACAAACAAAATTCGATTCAAAAGAACGGTTGCCAACTCAGCAGCCCCAGTCGAGACCTTATAAGGTTGTATTCGTCCGTTCGATTGCTGTTGTTATTGCATCGCTGCTGGAGTGCCTGGCACTGCCGCACTCAGTCAAGCCCGGCTGGGTATCCGGACAAATTCAGCTGAGTCATCGCCAGAAACGGTGACGTCGCGGGTGATCTGGATGCCTCAGGCCATAAACTGGCCAGCCCCAGGACTGTGCAAACGGAACAAACTCACTGCGGGCGGGAGAGTTCCAGTACTTTCTAGCACCACATTCAGCCGATCGTCAGCTTAGAGACAGCCGGGCTGGATTTCACCTGCTGTGAGTTAAGTCTACTTACTACCTCTGCTACTGCCGTTACTGTTCTGCTACTCAGACAAATCTACCGTCAACCCACCTTTTCTCGTTCTTTCGTACTCAAATCCCATCCTTCTTCTACATCACATTCGAACTACTTCCTTTAATTCCTTATTCTCATATCACCCGCATAATGTCTCTTCCCCAGGTCCACCCCGAAGGTGTGTTTCTTTTCTGATCTGTCCCTCATTCCTCCCTTCCCCGCTCTCCATTTTCGTGACTCGGATGGTGGCCGGTCGTCATAAACTCCCCGGCTTGAGCTTGACTCCATGCTAGCTCAACACATCGATCTTCTCAATGACTGCTTTCTCTCATAACCTTATCATGCTGACTATTTCTTCCTAGTCACATGGGCTCAGCGCTCCTCAGCCACTGAGGCCGAGCGCAACTACCTCTACGTTAGCATCAAGGCTGCCGATGTCCCTCGCGACGCCGCTACCCTCAACATCACCCCTACCAATGTCTCTTTCTCTGGTGACTCCAGAAAGGGCGTAAAGTACCAGGTCTCCCTCGATTTGTACGCCGAGATCGACCCTGAGCACTCGAAGGTGAACCACAATGACCGTGAGGTCGAGCTGGTGTTGCGCAAGAAGGAGGTCAAGGAGGAATTCTGGCCCCGTCTGTTGAAGGAATCAAAGAAGACTCACTTCCTCAAGACCGATTTTGACAAGGTACCGTAATCCTATTTGTGTCCCGTAAATCGAAAAGCCAGTCAAGCTGACGGACTTTAGTGGGTCGACGAGGATGAGCAGGATGAGGCCCCCGAAGACGACTACGCCAGTGGCTTCAATGGTATGGATGGAGGCATGGACGGTGGCCTTGGCAACATTGACTTTTCCAAGCTTGGTGGCCTCTCTGGCCTTGGTGGCGCAGGGGCTGATGTCGGTGAGGGAGAAGAGGAGGTAGGTTGATTCTAATCATCCAATGCTCTTTTCATGCATCTTTTCTAACATGAACTACCAGGATGAGGAGATGCCCGAGCTTGAAGAGACCGAGGAGAACAAGGAGAGCAAGATCCAAGAGGTTGCTTAAATGCAGGAAGTACTCGCAGGAAGCGCGTTGCCACTTACGGATGTGAAGAATGAAGGCATTAACGAGAACGCTTATCACGATCATCATCGTTGAGCCCACCACGCTTAAGTCTATCGTATAATATGTTGATTGACTCATAGCGTTGGCTAAATGGCGCAAGGTCGAACGACAGGTTAGTTAGTTATGCCAGCCTGTTCCGAGACACGAGGCAGCACAAGTTGGAAAGGAAACGAATAGTTCATATTTTTTTTTTTTTTTTTTTTTTTTTTGTTTCTTCATGGGTATGAGATGACGAAATAGCCAACTACGCTTTCTCTAATAGCAAGACACCTTTCTGCTCCGTAATTTTCCCGAGAAGCCCTACGACTGCTTATTTTTCCGATGATGTCAATAGTGCCCCTCCTTGTGTGGCTTTGCGACCGTAGAATAGTGACTATCTTGAAGGATATTTGCAGGTAGAACATACTCGCCTCGTTCTGGAAGCAATTAAGCGTCTCAATGCCGACCAAACGAAGAGATTTTGGGTGGTCAAATCCGACAAATGATGCGCCGGTGAGGGTTCGACCGCAGTTGGGCTGATCAACTCAATTGGCGGAGAGGCAGATTATGTGTGAAGTTGTTCCGCCACACTTGGAAACCCACACCTTGAAAATGTGGAGGAACCTGCAAACCACTGCACCACCAACTACCTTCTTCTTATTCACTTCTTATTCTTCCCAGCCACGGCGTTGTGATTTTCTTGCCTGACCCTTTGTGGACGTTAGGGCCGACTTTCATTTAGACAATCATTCCTGTCTTGTCTATTGTTTGTCTACTGTAATTTTTATCCATCCCCTCCGCTAGCGGACTGCGCCTTTCATCAGCCGGTCGAGTTTGGTTCCATCGGTGGAAGTTTCCTTCAACTTCCTCAATCCTATATTCGAAAGCGCATACTATCATCTGCGCAACCAACTATTATATCGCCAGAATTTTTTTTTAATCAAAAGCGCATAAGATAAAGTCGCCATCATGCCTCCCAAGAAAGCTGACCAGCCCAAGAAGAAGAAGGCCACTGTCGAGGACAAGGTTGGAACTCGCGTGACCCGATAATAACATCAATGTGCATCATCGCTAACCACTCCGCCTGTTTTACAGACTTTTGGTATGAAAAACGTACGTTAACACATCGTTCGAGTCCCTTCGCCTTTTTGCGCCTATCGCCCAGTATAGAGATCCTTCCGCTGACCGGTCATCTTCCCTTGCAGAAAAAAGGTGGTTCCGCCAAACGACAGATTGCCCAACTAAACGCGCAAGCGGCCAGCAACAAAAACGCCGAGGAAAAGAAGAAGGAAGCCGAAAAGGCTCGCCGTGAGGCTGACAAGAAGGCCGCCGAGCAAGCCAGGAAGGAGGCTGCCGAGCTGTTCAAGCCCGTTCAGGTCCAGAAGGTGCCTTTCGGTGTTGATCCGAAGACCGTGGTCTGCGTCTTCTACAAGCAAGGCAACTGTGAGAAGGGCCGCAAGTGTAAATTCAGTCACGACTTGAGTCTGGAGCGCAAGGCCGCCAAGAGAGATCTGTACACCGACTCGCGAGATGTCAAGGCTGCGGAGGAGGAGGCTAAGAAGAAGGACACGATGGACGACTGGGATGAGGAGAAACTGCGCAAGGTTGTTTTGAGCAAGCACGGCAACCCTCGGACCACAACGGACAAGGTCTGCAAGTACTTCATTGACGCGGTCGAGAACCAGAAGTACGGTTGGTTCTGGACTTGCCCCAACGGAGGCGACAAGTGCATGTACAAGCACAGTTTGCCACCAGGGTACGTTGAACCTATCTGTCACGCAATGCTTTGCGCGCAACTAACGATTGGGTTAGATTCGTTTTGAAGACCAAGGAGCAGAAGGCGGCAGAAAAGGCTCTGATGGACAAGTCGCCGCTTAACACCCTAACCCTGGAGGATTGGTTAGAGTCCGAACGCCATAAGCTTACTGGCGACTTAACGCCCGTCACCCCCGAAACTTTCGCCAAGTGGAAGAAGGAGCGCCTGGACAAGAAGGCTGCGGAAGAGCAGGCTCAGAAAGCCAAGGAAGCCACCGGACGAACATTGTTCGAAAGTGGCAACTGGCGCGCTGAGGACAGTGAGAGTGAGAGTGAGGATGAGGCTGATGGAGTATGGAACCTGGATGCTTTGCGGCGCGAGACGGAGAAGATTCGCGAGCAGAAGGAAGAGGAGCGTCTGGCCAAGCTGCACGGCGAATCCGTGCCGGTCTCGAACGATGCACAGATCGCGCAAGAAGCCGCGGGCTGAGCGAATTGGTGCGAAGCTCCCAAGTAATCGAACTTGCTTGGGTGTTTGGGCTGCGAACCTCCCACACTGCAATCGGTGCACCGGGCCATTTGTCCGGGCCCGAGATGTTGATCGTGTTGACGGATGGGTTGATGCGATGCTCTTCAGTTGCAGGAATTGCTACTTGAGCACTTGTGTTGACCTCCGCGACTGGGTTTGATGGCTCTGACGGTTAACGTGAACGGTTTGTCGTGTCGCCTTTGGTTCTTCCTTTCTGATACCCTGCGAAGGATGTCGAGCTTGATTTCATGCTCAAAGCAACGATCAAGAGGATAGTCTCGGGCGACGGAGATTTACACAGGATTGAGATAGATCAATGTGTTTGTGGTGAGAGGATAACTGACATGATTTAGTATGCCATATTTGTACGTAAAGTTTTTTCTCTCAACACAAGCCAGCGTTGTTTTTGGCATATCATATTTTCTTTCAGTAGAGTCAAGCCGCTGTGTCTAAATTCCAGGTTTTATCTGCGACAAAGGGCGCTGAGGGAGCTGCTTCCTCCGCGTTATCGCATCGGAACGCGGCAGAGACATATTTACCACATATTGCTGCTATACCTCATATTTCTGCTAGGCTCGCTCATTGAACACCATGGTTAAATCTTCCAACATCACAGGCACTAGACTGCGAGGACGGCCAGGGGCAAGCTGGACCCTGGCGCATCCCGTCTAATTAATCAATCTTGGCTTCACAAAATCCGCCAATGGCGGGTTGCGCTCCGACGCTGCCCGCGAAATCACCACACTGCCCGAATTGGGAAATAATTTGCTACTAACCAAGGCTTGTCGACCGTCTTACCTATGAGATTGACACACCTCTTTCACAGGCTGTTAAAAAACTTATGACGCCTACATCTTTCAGTCTCTCCTTCATCTGCTCTCCTCTAAATTTCTGAGGTGAGCTCTACTTATGTGGTCTTCGCCGGGATGAGTGTCTTTCGCAGGCAGATTGCTACTGGCCACCATATTCGAGATTTTCCCCCACTAGTAAGCAGCAGCTCCTTTTCTGATCAGCCTACAGAATGGCTGTCTTCTGACCTGCCATAATAGCCATGGCTCAGGTTTGTCTCCCGCCTTTGGGCGAGTTCGGTTGCTACTACAATGCGACCGATCAATCCGCTTTAGACGCCGTCGCGAGAAACTGTACCACTGTGAATGGAAGCATCCTGGTCGCAACCAATTTTACGGGCTCCTTCTACCTACCCAATGTTCGCAACATCACTGGCCAGATACGCTAGGGTTGGAGGAAACCGACGCGGTACTGCGTCGACATCTGTTAGTCTTCCGGGATCTCGAGTACATAGGGAGTGACATGTCTCTGCATGGTCTGTCCAGTTTGGCGAATGTGTCTGCGCCAAAGCGGAAGACGGCCTGATAGGGTTTAAGCATGAACCATGTGAAGGAATTGGTCCGATCGTTGGAGACCGCGCGGTGTTTGGACATCTCAGGTGATATTTCCAGGTAAGCTCTGATCATCTGTAAACAGCTAGGAGATGTTATTGACACCGTGCTATTGTATTTGTCGTAGTCTACATTTAGACTCGTTGCGTAATTTCACCGGCTCCATTGCCATCTGTAATAAAGACCAATGTGCCACGAACCAGTCTTTGACCACGCCATTATATATCTCTCTTCCTCCACTCCAAGCAGTGGGCTCCATAAGAGTCGATGGCAGTCTTACAGGGTATGTACTGTTGACCCTCACGCCCCCCATTCATAAAACAGCATCGATTACTAAAAAGGAGCCTGTGGAGTCTCGCAGTCCCAGACCTCGTCGCAACCATCAACGGAGAGAGTCAATTTACTGGTTTCAACATGCCACATTGGACGAACTAGCTATCAATCTAACCTTTTCTCGTCTCAAGAATGTTGCTGGAGCTATGAATCTCAATGGGAACATTTCAAGGTGACTTGACTATTTCTGCTGCATCAGAGGATCTGTAATGATTACAAGCTAACTGCTATGAATATACCAAATCTTTCTATGACCAAGATGCGGAACATGAGTACATATTTTCGGGTTGACACTGCCAATTCGTGGTCTATTGACCTTCCTCTTGAAGAGGCGTATTCTATCGTGTTATACGGCGCCATTTCAAGGTGGGTCCAAGCCATCTATGGGAATCCATACATTCAGCGAAATTTTTGGCTGATGTGAATGAATAAAGTGTGAATTTCCTCGCCTGAGCTCCGTTTACAGCTTCATTGTACACAGCAGCCACCCCTTGGACTGCAAAGCCACTGCGAATATCATCGAGAAAGCAACGAACGTGCTCGATTAGAAGGTAAACTGCATATCGAGCTCGGACAAGCACTCGAAAAAGTAAAGCACCGGTGATATCGTTGGTATTGTGGTTGGTATAGTGGCTGATGTTGCCGGGCTGGCCTCGATTTTCGGGGCGCTCTACCACCTGAAACGGCGAAAGAGTCAGGAACAACAGCCAGAGTCAAACATGGGATCCGGTCATTCAAGCCCGCCAATTTACGAAGAGCCACAGGCTGCTCACGTAACTCCCCCGAAGTACTCCCCGCTGTTGGTTCGATGTAATGGGGAATGCATTTGCCTGGTTTGTCATCGCGCGAAAGTGACATTCACTCGGTTCTCTTGCCGGCGCAGGGTGCAAATTGGACTGTCGGTCTATAAAGAGGCTTAACGATTGGCACCAATTTCAGCTTTCTTGCTGCATGGCTACGAATGGACCGCGACGTATCGCTGGGCCTGACCAGCGAAGGTCCTTCACGGAGCTGCTCTTCGAGCCATCGTTCGAGGCAACGCGCGAATAGGTTGAGCAAATAGAACGATGAGAGTAATCTTCTCATGACCGGTTCTTGCATCGCAACAGTGAGGCGGAGCATTTCTTTTGATCTCGTCCCTTGTTGGAGCCTTGGCTGATGTCTGCCTCAGACCTGAGGCGCCTGCAAGGAAACCTTGCCGGTTTGTCTCACACCAGAATGTGACATCCCTGCCCTCCTTGCGGTCATATTGAAAGGAAGCCAACAAAGATGACTTGTGCTGACCTTGGAAGTTAGAAACCACTTGACGTGTCGCTGCAGGTTCCAGTCCTTGCGACTCCGGACTATTGACTGATCGACAACCGGTAACCCCCGTCTAGGATACAATAACAACATAATTGATTTGACTTGCATTTATCACTTAAGAAGCTTCTCAGACCGACGGGGTCACTTTCCTGCTTTCTGCATCTTAGTATCATCTTGCAAGATGGTTCGCATGAAAACCTTGAGGACGTTTGTGCTCTCAGGACTCGCAACCAACCTTTCCGTGGTGGCAGCAGCTGGACGAGCATGCGAGAATGGAACCCGCCCGTATTCAGCATGGCTGGCCGATAGTGTCATTGCCCGCAAAGATGCGTTGTTGACTGCTGACACTGAAGGCGATATTTCGCTTTCATTGAAGCTTGGGTTGTTCCAGATCAGCGTCATTCACTTGAAGGAGTACTATGATGCTGTCTCATGTGCGAAGGAGGATTGGGACGCGTACCTGAAAGAAGCTACAGATAGCATTCTTCCTAGAGTGCTGAATGTCACCGGTGATATTGAGGCTCCTATGGACATTTTCACCACTGCTAATGGGCTGTACTACCAGTATGATTTCAACTTACCTTCAATACTTACTCGATTTTTGCTCAATCTGACATGAAGATTGCTTTAGATATGAGAAGTCTGGAGATGAGAAATACAAGCAGGGCCTTGATGCCTTGAGGCAGGCGTATGATGGTAGGAGACGAAACTCGGAAGGTGAGACCAGGTGCCTGTCTGATCATGTGAACTACTCGTTAACCAAATCCCAGGCGGCTTTTGGTTCTACAACGCTCGACCGAACCTCAGCTACCTCGACGAAACGTATCCTCTGGGTGCTTTCACTACCATTATCAAGAACCGGTTCGAGCCTACCAATGAAACCCTGGCCGAAAATCTCAGCAAAGACCTCGACCTATTCAAAGACCACTGTCACCACGATACTGGCCTTCTAGCGCACGGCTACGATGCTTCGAAATCCGCCCCCTGGTCTAATAAGACCACTGGTGCAAGTCCGTATGTCTGGGATCGCGCCCTTGGGTGGTATCACATGGGCCTCGTTGAATTGCTCTACAACACCGACGAATTTGGCATTCTCAACCAAACGCAAAGGGACGACGCCTACAAGAAGTACTACAACCTGGCAAATACCATTATTAACGACGTTGATGAAGCTACGGGGTGCTGGTGGCAGGTAATGGAACATGGCGGGGAGAAAGGCAACTATATCGAGACGAGCGGATCAGCCATGTTCACCTATTCAATCCTTAAGGGTGTGCGGCTGGGCTACTTGACGGGCAATCACCCTGAAAGTGGCAAGAACTACAAGGAGACGGCGCAGAAGTGCTATAACTGGCTGCTCGAGAATCGCGTGGTCCCGGATGACAACGGCGCGTTGAATGTGAGCGGCACTGTTGGAGTGTGTACATTGGAGGATCCGACGTATGAGGTATGTCCTTCCCTTCACTCTTGCTGTCCTAAGCAGGGAGGTGTTGCTAATACTGGATATGATAGTACTACACTACCCAGCCTTTGTCGTATAACAGCGTGCTTGGATTTGCACCGTTCGTGATGGCGAGCTTGGAACACGAAATGGCTGCTGACGCGATGAGTTCTTGACATGTTTTAATGACATGATCGAGAAGTGGCATAGCTAGGGAAGAAGAACACGAATTGGAATTGATGTAGCGGACCATTCTAGACTTTGAGCTGTTTACATTATCGTAATATGATAAAATGTGGAAGCGTCAGGTGTTATGGGATGAGAAGTCTTTCGATCTGCTTAGCAGAGCGACCTACACTCACTAACTTAGTGATGACCCACTTAGTCAAAGTGACAAGTACTTTTGTTCAAGGAGGCGATAGTATGTAAGATCAGTGGCATCAAGATAAATTAATTCGAATATCAATGCGGGGTGCTTTTATGGGTTCTTCGATTTAGTATTATGTGCTTTAAAGATCAACCTATCATAGTTGATCTCCTGTGCATCACATTTACATGCATGCTTAAAGTAAGGATCTGATGAGACCAGGAGGCAACTATTGCGTATAAGACGATGCTGTAAGCAGGGGGATTCGATCTAATAGTGGTAACAAGGTCGGATTTAAGCTCGCTCCATCACAAACTCTATCCGCCGCATTGGAGTCCTTTGTCTCATTGCATTTGAACCTGAACCTGAACCTAAACCTGAACCTGAACCTGAACCTGAACCTGAACCTGAACCTGAACCTCAACCTGAACCTGAACCTCAACCTGAACCTGAACCTGAACCTGAACCTGCATCGTGACAACTCCCTTGTATTACCCCTTTGGGATGAACTTGGTGTTTCTACACCCCTAATTCCAGGCACCCACTTTTCTTTTCTGGATATTAGCCTTTATCTGACTGAGATGAGCTCATGATTTTCAATGCGGTGGGCCAGCCCTGCCCATGCCCGGCAAGTGTATCTGTCACCTTGGGCCCACGAATAGATGAATAAATAATGGACGATCGAACCCGAATATCTCGGCTCAGAATCAAGCCAGCTGCTTCTGACTTGACATCTTTAATCCGGTAGAATGAGCTCTGGCCTGAAAGTGGTAGATTCGTGGTTATGCATTCCGCAATCGATGTGTAGCATCGGTCCAGACCGGGACCTCACCCCAGGAATACAATGTCAGTTGCACCTCAGGCTTCTCGTCACTCTCCATGCTTCTACAGCTTCCCTGCTTGTATTTCATTGTCGCTACACGAGCATACTGTAAAGCCCCTGCAGATAAAACCTTGACTGCTGCATAGCACTACTTGCCGCCTCTTATACGATTGGAAGATCCAGGTCTCCGTCAATAACGGCCAATTCTCCTGGTCGGTCAATCTGCTCTTGATTGCTTGATTCGACATTCGGAGAGTCCGTTGAATAACCCAAATGGCGTACGCAGTTTTATCATGTGAGAAGGACTTATGGCTCAGTGCTTTCTTACATTGCCATTCGTGCGAACGAAATGTCTCGACTCCTTCATACCTGGCCTGTTCGCCACCAGGCATCAGTCATTCGGCGGATGCAAAAGTCAATTCTTTCAACGCTCGACGCGATGATGACTCGGGAGATTCCTCGTGGAGTGGATTAGGAAGGAATCGACATGGGGGCAATTTCCTCGGCTGGCTGGAGCTTTGAATGTGTCCGGTCCCTAACCTTGCCCCCCTTGCAGGAACAGGAGTAGCATGTTAGCATTCTACGGTGAATTGCAAGAATTTCTGAGTGCTAGGGAGGGAGGGCCTCACTTGTGCTCGGCCTTTCGCTCTTTAAGCGCGATCAATTTACGGTATGTGTTTGTTTAGATGAGCTTCGAGTCGAGACGGGTCAGTGTGGGTGTATTGATATGCATGCTTCTACGACGTCGAGTTTGTCTGATTTTTGATCCAAGCTAACTTTCGTCCTTCATTTTCAGTTTCGAGCTTCGACCGTATATACCCAATAATCCTCTTGCCTTGCACACACTCATTCTTCGTGGATGATCAGCTCACGGTAGTGGCCATGCTCCGAACCTTCTTGCTTCTGGGCCTGACGGGGCTCGTAGAAGAAGCATTCGGCAAGAACGTGTACCTCGACTGGAATATCACATGGGTCAATGCAGCACCGAATGGCGTTGAACGACCGATTATTGGAATCAATGGCAAATGGCCATGTCCACAGATCGATGTTCATATCGGCGACAATCTGGTGGTGGATGTCTACAACGCACTGGGCAATCAGTCCACCGGAATTCACTGGCATGGACTTCATCAGAACTATAACACCTTCATGGATGGTGTACCAGACATCACCCAATGCCCGATCAAGCCCGAGCAGCGTATGCGATATGTTATTCCGGTAATTGGCTCTGGATTCACTTAACATCCCAAGTAGCATACTTACTCAGTGTCTAGGTAAATCAAACCGGAACGTACTGGTATCATTCCCACCAAGAAGGCCAATATCCCGATGGGATCCGGGGTCCAATTGTTGTCCATGACACAAAACCAGCCGACTTCCATTACGACGAGGAAATCACTGTCACCCTTTCGGACTGGTACAATAGACAGATGCCGGAGCTCACCGAAGAATACATATATCCATCAGACGGGCCGGCGGGCTTTGAGCCGTTGCCAGATGCGGTTTTATTCAACGATGCAGTCAATACCAAGATTCCAGTCAAACCGAACAAAACCTACCTCATTCATGTGGTTTGTATGGGTAATTGGGCAGGACATGCATTCATTGTCGAGGACCACGATTTGATCGTCGTCCGCGCCGATGGAGTTCCCGTGGAACCGAAACTTGCGACGCCTCAGTATCTTCGAATGACCGTTGGTCAGCGCCTCGATCTACTCTTGAAGACGAAGAATGATACAAGCAGGAACTACGCCATCTGGGATGGACTCGATATCGACGAGATGTTTATCCGAGAGAACCGACAGCCGCCACCAGGATATAACGCTAATGGCACCGCCTGGTTGATGTACAACGAAGACGCCCCCTTCCTACCATCGCCAGATATTCAGATCCATAATGCCAGTCTTGAGTTCCTAGATGATGTAACCCTCACACCCAAAGATGGACTTCCGCTGCTCGAACCGGTTGATCGACAAATTGTCTTGGACTTCAATTACGCTCAAGTCGACGGCGTTCCTACCTACTCCATCAATGGCAACACGTACGTGACGCCGAAAGAGCCTACATTGTACACGGCCCTAGGCGCTAGCCCCGAGGAGTCTCTGGACCCCTCGATCTATGGCTCCATCAATCAGTTCGTGGTCGAGTACGGCGAGATTGTCGAGATTGTGATCAACAACAATCATAACAATCTGCACCCTTGGCACTTACACGGACATGATTTCCAGATTCTGCAACGCACATACCCCAGCGGCGGGGCTTTCAATGGCTATGGTAATATCTCGGCAGTACCATCCCGGCGAGACACCCTTATGGTAGAACCAAAGGGGCATGCTGTCCTGCGTTTCAGAGCGATGAACCCAGATAAGTACCCCTTTCCATGAGTTCTGATCCTTAAGTTAACTTTGGCAGTGCTTACGTGTCTGGATGTTCCATTGTCATATCGAATTCCACGTGGAAACACGCCTGATGGCAGTGATCATTGAAGCACCGGACCATTTACAGAACTTATCCATGCCGGCTGATCATAGAGACATCTGTAGTGGCAAGCCTAGTCTTTTTGCACCTCTGCCACCTCTTCCAGGCCATTGAAAAGTTGATGGTTGTTGACCCGTGAAGGCTTTAGCTGCCGCAAGCTTCTTCAGTCACGGTACTGGGCATATTTCTTCATTGGAATCAAGTTGCGGTCCAGTTCTCGCAGAGGAGGGCGTTTCTGGTAGAGGATCTTCTCGTTTTGCGAAACTGTTCTTCGGACCTACTTGTTCATACAAAACAGTCGGATGGAGAAAGGAGTTCTAATCATAATGTACACATTTTCTTTCACACAAACCAGGGGTTGATCGATAGGCCATTTGAATTCTATCCATGTCAGCTCATTAGAAGACCTTTGACACTCCAGAGACAATCCTTTAGAGAACAGCCCTTTGCTGAACGAGACTTTGCTCCGCCATAAGATTGAAGACATCCTCCGCAACGCCCCACGATAGCTCAAACCCGCGCCCGCCAGCCCCATAGGCATGGATGACGACACGGTCGTCGTCACCGTCTAGATGCTCGGCCTCGATCCTCATGCCTCCTTCTCTCGCCGGCCTCCGCCCCACAATATCGCGGATAACATCGAATTTGCCTTCACTCCCTTCCGCAAATGGGAACCACTTGGCCGCATTGTCCAAGATCCGGGCTCTGGTCTCCGGCGACGGGGTTGGATCCCAGTCATGCGGCTGTTTTGTGCCCCCGATGATCGTACCCCCGGCCAGCGGACGGGGGATGCAGAACGACCACGACCCATCACTATTCTGCCGGGTCATAGTGAAGGAGCAGGGATTTCGGACCAGACAAGTTTGTCCTATAGTCATCGTGAGTCAACCAGTCAGTCTCGGTTGTGTACAATATCAACCAGCGATTCCCGCGCCCGATCCCCCCGAGTTTCTCGGAAGCAACCCCCCCTCCATCTCTCTCCGAAGTAAGCATAACTATCACAAACTCACCTCGAATAATAAAAGCCTTCTCATCCTTCCCCAACCCCATCCCGGAACAATTCACCACAACCCTCACTCTACCTTCTCTGCTGGGTCCACCCAAAAAGAACCCCTCCCGCACATCCCCCACTGTATACTCCCTCACCTCCCCACCCCGAACCACAAACTCCCGCATCAACCACTGACAATACACCGGCGGATTTACCACCGCCGTCGTGTACGTGACCCCCCACATCACCCCATCCGGCAGTTCATTGCGTTCTAGAGCCCGAAACCCCTCGACATGGCCGTACGCGGCTTCCACCCCCGCCGGGTCAAGGTACTCCGGCGGCGGGCGCTCGAGGTGCTCCACCGCTGGAATCAGGGCGATGCCTGCGCCGGGCTCGCGGGCTGCGAGGTGTTGGAACCGCGTGTATGTGCGCCGGGCTTGCGAGGCTTCGCGGAGGTGTTGCGGGGTCGTGCCGGGGACGGGGCGGTAGTGGGCGCCGGCCCAGGGGGAGGTGTAGTTTAGGGAGGTGGTGTGGGGAAGATCGCGCGCGAGGAGGAGGATCTTTGTTGTGGTTTTCTGGTGGGAGGTAAGGTGGGTTTGGAGGTAGAGGGCTGTGGAGAGGCCGAGGACGCCGGCTCTGTTTGGAGGAGGGTGTGTTAATTTGTGATGAAGGAGGAGGAGAGGAGATCTGAGGGGAGGAAGGGAGGGGCGTACCCGATTATTACGATTGTTTCAGGAGGGGTTGTCATTTTTCTTTGCTTGTTCGGGGCTTGGAGATGGATTGAGGTGGTTGTGTTTGGTGGTGTTGATGTCGGTCTCGATAATAGGAACGAACTATGGTTTGTTGCGTGATGCGGGGATGGCAGGGTAGATAAGGCTGTTGACTGTTTGTTTCCCCGCACTTTAGAGCAGGCGAGTTCTTAATGTGCGTTATGAGTCATGATACGTGGTAGAATACAAGCTCGTTCTACCTACTTTGGGATAGATGAAAGTGATTGTCATGTCAATGACTGATAGACTTCGATGCTCTTATTATGTTATGATCTTCTACTGAAGTTCTGCTTTGAACTGGCTCTCGAGCCTACCTCAAGTCTTCTACCATGCAGCCCCCCACAAAAGGTCTCCTGGATATTGTAGTGCGTGACAGGGCTCGCACATACTTCGTCTGTCGTGGCTCGTTGTCCCCGCAGCTTGAGTCTATGCAGAGAAGTAGTGATCCCCAGACAAGATGCTATCTCGTTATACGAGGAAGTGCCCTGGGCACGGTATGAAGATTCCGTACTCGAGTCGTGTAGCCGTGCAAGGTCGTGCGATAGGTGGTATCAAATAAAATCCGACATCTGCTGTCCGATCCAGACTCATCCAAACGATGGCGCATTAATCCAAAGCGTCGGGCAGCTTTTCGATCGTGAACTTTCCTCTGGCGACCTTCATGATCGGTACACCCGGAATCTTGCGAAGACGACGACACAGATCCTTATCGTTGGTCGCCACAATGTAGATACGGTGTTTTTGGACCTAATTGAATTCGGCATTAGCATCCTGAGATCGCATCCACGACCTCCGCGCATCGCAAACTCACCCGATCCACAATACAGTCATCTGCATACGTGCCCTTGTGAGAGCACTTAACTCTAGCCCATCTGGGATCTTTGGCAGTCCGGAGCGCCAAGCGGTATTTCTCGCCGAGTTTCTCCAACTCAGCAATCGTACAATCCGAGAAAGTCGGGATACACTTCGCGTACAGCCTGTCCAACAAGTCTTAGCACCATTTGTCTTATTGTCACAGATCACCCCTCCAAATAAAAAACTCACAAGTCCATCATAGAGGTGAGAAGATCCTGCTTCGCCCGGATGGCGTGCGAGACAAAGTTGGTATCGACGAGAACATGGTAGGGGGGCCCGAGTGCGGTGTTGGCGGCGAAGAACATGTTCGAGGGCGCGACAGGGATATGGCGGGTCAACTCGTTCTCCTTGGACTTCTTCTCCTCCTCCTTCTTGTTGTCGGGCTTCAGGCGTTCATCGCGGGCTTTGATGGTGCGCTTCATCTGTGGGACCATGGTGATTAGGTATTGCGCTCGCTGTGGGATATCGGCTGCGGACATACCTGCGCAAACTTGCGAGTCTTCTTTTGCACACCCATTGTGAATCTGGTAGTAGCAAATGATTGAACAGGTAAGGTTATAAGCCTTCTGAGTATTTCTGCAGACGCAAACTATACTAGGAGACGATTTTGGTTGGTCTCAAAAGATTTTGGAGATGGCGGAAATTCTTATCACGGCCCGATGTTTCGCCGCGGATAAAGCACGGGCGGAATCGTTTTTATCACGTGATGCTCTTGAACGGACCCCGCCCGTGCACGCCCCGCTTAAGCCTAAAATAGTAACTGCTATACAAATCATGGATGACTAGAGGAAGGATTGAGGCCAGGCGCTCGCTTCTCTTCTTATGCCTTCTGCTTCGAATCATCTCGATATGAAGTTCAAGAAAGTGGAATCATGCTCAAGCTTTGCTTGATCTAATCTCTGGTATTGTCTTTGATTCTTTCCTCTTCACCAGACTCCAGCCATTCAGGCTCCGACAACTGTTCCCAGTCCACTATCTATTGGGCGAAACGTCTTCTTAAGTAGTGGCTTTCGCAGGGCTGCTCTACAGGCTCTCTCTCGATGGTAGCTATACCGCCTCTTTTAACAAATTTGAGACTGTACAAGAGCGCTTCATCGAACCCCGCAATTATCGGGATACCTCGCAGACGCTAAGAAAGCCAGTCACGAAACTAAGTAGTCACCCTGCTAGTCAAACCACATTCTTCCCGCCACTATCAATGTCCCGCTATGAAATATATGTCATCGCTCCCTGTCCGTGCCATATTGCTTGGTATTGCATGAAGCAGTGACTGAGTAGCACAATCACAGTCACCAACAATGTGCATACTACCCTGCGATTCCATAATCACAGGCAGCATCCATGGCGACATTCTACCCTGCGCCACTGTCGCAGTTCGATTGGGAAGAAATATGTACCACTCATTCTGCCTCAGCATGACGAGTGACTATTCATACATACTTAATGGTCAGGACACAGACAAACCAGGGACTCTAGTGGCAGCAGGCAGATCTTCGGTTTTGCTGGAATCTATTCAGTAAAATCTCCTAGCCTACGGAGTACACAGCACAGACCTTCTCTTGCCAGGAAAGGTGGGCCAGTACTTGAGTTCTAGCGCTCCTAGTGATAACCTTGACCTCCTCAGGTAACGTCTACATCGCTACAGGTAAAATGTGATTCGATGATTACAATCATATCGCCTGATTCTGGCAATGATCCTTTCTTCGGGAGCAACAGTGTACAATTGGCGCCCATTTGCTGGGCTTCGCTGCAGCGAGCAACCATTCAGATGCCAATATAATCTTCTACGCGCCCAGTTGATCACCAGAGGGCGACAGCGGAGCTTCTGAGGCGGGTGATTGGTGGGTGGAAGTGATGAGGCCTGCAGCTTGAAGAAACGCCTTCTGCACCCGGCAGGCCAATCATGCGGGGCTTCGTCAAGATTGATCCGCCCGTCGAGGTCCCTGACAGCCGTCGCGAGCCATGCAGAACTCACCGTTGAGTGACATGCTCGATCTCACTTCCCGCTCATTTCTGCCTAGTTAGGAGAAGACTGCACGAGAGTCTTACAAGCAATTCCCATGTTCGTGCAACAATTGGCCCTGCCGATTTCACTTGGTTCAGATAGTTCCAAACTCTCTTTCACTCTTCCCCCAGAAACGGCGCCTCATTTTGATAGTCAAGTAAGCTCTCTGAATGCTACAGTAACTGGCTATCTTGCTACTCCACCAAGAACTTACTGATAGCAATGCAGTAACAAGGGATATCCACTCAGGCGGCGGTCGGATACCTCAGGTCGATAGGCCGACTCATGCTCTCCTGTGCTGCGAGGGCCACCAACAACTTTTGATGCCGCTCGATGGGTCTTCTTTACCATCGTCCGCTAATTATGTTCCAGAGAATCCCCCTCCCCCCCTCCTCCGCTCATGCTGGTGACATCCCGGTCCTCGGAAGCGCCGTCAACCCTCCTTGGCGCTAGTTCCAATTGCTTGATGTCCCAATATTTCGATCGACTGTGGCCGTTGCCTTTGCGATGTCCCAGACCCTATAGGCATGTTTAGCTGCTGCGCGGAGATAGAGGCTGGCGCCATCCGAAATTAATAACTAACGAAACGAGGTGTACAATTTCCGCTGCTCCTTTTCTCTGTTGAATCTCTATTGTAGACCGCAAATTTTCCTGCAAAGACATGTTTTTGCCTTGAAATAATCCTCCCCGGTCGACTTCTGACAAATTGTCTCTGAGGCTGCGCTCAGTATATGTTTCAAATGTGGTAGCCTGTCCACTTACATGCTCATTCTCACTGCACCGTTCCTTCTGTGCTTCGTCTGCATGATCGTGCATTCGCATATCTGACAGGTTTTTGACCGTTTCTCCAGGCTTCAAGAGTACCAAATCTCCCTCATATTGCGGTCGCCTCCTCAGCACAATCCAGCCACACCCTCGTCTCCTCCCTTGGTCTGATTTTCTGGCGGAATTCTGGGCTGGACTCTATGACTTTGTTCATCAAGGCCAGTTTCTTGCTTATCCTGCTGTAGATACTGAGAGGCGGAGTGTCGTTTCTGTGGTCTAGGCCAACGGTGATCGATACATTCATCTGCGTCGCAAAAAGCTATCAATCATTGTGAGCATGGTCATTTGACTATATACTACATTGTCCGCTTTTGCGCAATTTCTGCTCTTTCTTGCTTCACGTTGCCAGGCATCAGTCTCAGGGGAAGACTGCCGCTGCCTCCAATTCACAGGAGATCGAAGGTCTATCCGGGCAGCTCAGAAGCTTGTCAAGAAGGGCACTCACGGTTCGAGAGCGTGCATTCCGGAAAATGGTCGACTTATCATGGAACAGAGGCATGATTGCAGAGTCACGACCGCCGGTCATGAAACCACCAGCGCCGACCATGATACCACCACAGCCGCAGGCATCAACCTCTCGTCTCGAGCCATGTGCCTCAACGGCTTCGCTCTTTCTGTACGCCCAAGGCTCTGTGATTTCGTGTCTTCACCATGATACCCTAGCACTTGAGAGACGTTTTGAGAATCACCAGGCAGACATCGAATTTATTTCGGTTGACAATGTCAGTGAGCGAGGTGCGGGCAGACTAGTGCTCAGCTATGATGTTGGGAAAACTGCGATTGTTTGGGATATTTTCACAGGGACAGTGATCGCAAGGTTCGCATCTTTTGAACAACTCAAAGTGGCTACATGGATGCGAAACGGGAATGTCGCTTTCGGTAAGCATTAGTTCTCTCCGTGGGGCAAAGAGAGAAGGCCACTAACATTGCTTCAAGGAAATGAAAAGGGCGATGTTATCATCTTCGAACCCTCCACCTCGGAGCACATTTCCTGCCGCACTATCTTCGATCCTATAACCGCTCTTGCACCGGGCACAGACTGTCGAACATACGCAATTGGGTAAATCTCCGAGCCATACATTGATCTAAGGGTAGGGCTGATACGAGATGTCCTAGATACCAAAACGGCTCTATAATGATCGCTACACTCCACCCAACATTCACGATTTTGCATACCATGACCACCTCACGAGGACCGTCGTCGATTCTCTCCTTGGCCTGGCATGCCTCCTCCTCCAAACAGAAATCTGATATGCTAGCAACACTGTGGGCGAATGGAGATCTGAGGGTTTGGAGCGTTGCAAAGCCGCCAGCGAAAGAACCTCCTAGGGTCATTCGAGTGTTAAAACGATCAGATGGCTCGCCTCCATCGGAGCCGAAATGGATGGCCTGGTCGAGAAATGGGAGAATTGTACAATATCTCGATGGGTAAGTGGGCAAAAACCAGTCTGCACCTTGGATCATCCTATGTCTGATCACCTTGTTTGCAGAGAAACTTGGGCCTGGGATGTCAGGACAAAACATGTCACATATGAGCCAGTTCCGACCATCGACAACCCTCGTGGCTTTGCGAACTTCGGGCCCACGGCCACTCTTTTCACTCTCGGGCCCCAATTTACCGTTCAACAGTATGATGTGGAGGCTCCAGCGATGGTCGCCAATGTGCAGCATCTTCCGGCCAGCGCTATACCTTTGCCTCAGGAGCAAGTGAGTTTACGGAGTCTAGAGGATCCACCGACTATAAAAGAGTCTGCAAATGGCTACAACCCCAGAAGAACGCCATTTGATTCGAGCGGGGTTGAAGCTGTCCGGCAACAACGAGCAGAATTGAGCAGTCCAGTCTCGTCTCGGAGTCATGCTAACTCGGTGAGTTCGAAGGCGTCCTCGGGAAAATATAGGATGGCCACCTTTTCGCCACCGAGCAGGTCGGGAGTGACTGGGACTTCATTTTCATTGACATCTGCATCCGGTCGAGATACGCCTCAGGCGTCTGGAGCTTCGTATGCTTATGCATCCTCCGTCTCGATGTCGTCTGTTAAAAGCTCCCGTGCAGGGGGCTCGCGGCTGAGGAATGAAGTTCAGCTCAGCCCAGCAGATAGACCCAGTGATCTATTCCCCTTCACGCGCGCACGTCTTAATGATGTGCCATACGGACATCATCAGCCGCTCGACGAATCTTGCCTTACTCCAGACGATTTACGACAACAGATGCTGAGCGTTGTGTTCGGTTTTGACGGTGATATTGAAGGGCTGATCCGAGACGAAAGTAGGCTTCACTAGGTTAAATTCTTGCTTGTTACCGTGATCACTGACAACTGGACAGTGAGCCATCATGCTCCCTCGAGCCATCATGCCGTGTTATTAGCTCAATGGCTTGGAGAATCTGACACTGATCACATGGTTTCGATGATTAACTCTGGCCCCGCAACAACTACCGATTGGATGCTTCTCGCTTTTAGCCAAATGTCTGGAGAATCTCAGTCGAATAAGTTTGGACAGGCCTTTGTCCAAAAGCTCCTGGAGATCGGAGATATACACACGGCAGCGACCATATTGCTAGGGCTCGGAGACCGGAACGATGCTATCGAGGTCTATGTGTCGCAAAACTACTATATGGAAGCAATTCTTTTGACATGCCTTGCTATGCCCACAGACTGGCAGCGACAGTCATACCTTGTCCGTCGATGGGGTGAGCACGTAGTATCACATTCACAGCAGCAGTTGGCAATTCGATGTTTTATGTGTACAGGTGTTGAACCATCGGAGCCATGGACGTCGCCTGCCGCTCAACAGGCAGCATCATTTGCCGAAGTTATTGCAAAGAGACCGCAGATACAAACACCAGAGCCACCATATCAGAAGCCTGCGGACCCTGCGAACCTGATGGTGCCAAATTCGCATGCTAGACCGACAGCTAGCACCACTAGGCCAGGTCTAAAAATGCCAGCTCTCAAGCTGATCACATCATTTGACTCACAACCAAACCACAAATACAGCTTCCCCGGCTTGAAGTCAGACGATAGGACGCCAACAAATGCTCCAGGGGTTACGCCTATAGCTGAATCGGCCGTCGTGGAATCGGCTCTTTCGCCCGGTGGGTTTGGTTCCTACAAGCTGAACAATACCCAGAGCTTGAACCTTGCAATGAACGGACGAACGAACACACCTGCTTTCAATAGGCGCCGTCTCCCTTCTATTGGGGAAACGCCGGTTGACGTTCACCCGCCAACCTTTGCCGCGCTTGCATTAAATGACAAGCTTGCAATGGAATATGGTTCAAACTCTGAAAATGAAGAGATCCAAGGACAAAAACAAGAGGACAACGAAGAGGGAGAAGGGCTCGGCTTACTATCTTCTGCGCGATACGATCCAGAAGAATACAAACCTAGTCCGCAAACTGCTGTTCAGGCGGCAAAAGACCAGTTCGCAGGGATCAAGGGCCTCCCCTCGCCAGCTGTCGGTGTTTTCGAGGCGTTCAAGGAGCGATCTGACAGTAGGGCAAGTACTCGAGAACGGAAGCCAGAGGGCTTGCAGCTCCACCTGGGCAGCTCCTCTCAGAACGATATTCAGGAGCACCCAAATCTCTTAGCAAACTTCAGAAGTCCAGCGTCGACCTTGAACAGTTTTAGCTCCGCCAAGACTCCTAGTGTGAGCAGCCGAAGTATTGATCAGTATATTAGCAGTTTGGGGGAGGCAAGCCACCATTCGCTGAAGTATCAGACTCCGAGTGTGAATACTCCTGGGCGCGGACGAAGAAACACGGATGACGCCACCAGTCAAGCCTCGAGTCGCAGATACCGATCCAGAAACGAATCCCAAGAGACTCGAGGCCGACATGGGAAAAGATACATACAACCTGCCAAACGTTCGCCATCCTCACCAGTTCCTATGTCGCCCGAAGAGCTGGCACGGATCAATGCAAGCGCTGCAAAAAAACCATCGTCTCGAACGCGCAGTGCCAGCAGGGTGCGGAAACCACGCTCCCGCAATTCCTCTGAACGTCGTCAGAATCGCTCGGCAAGCCGCAATACCGCCAGTCGTGTTGACACCGAAAGTTCTCAGCGGGGACGCAGTATGGACCGCCAAGCTTCGAACATGAGATCTCCTTCATCTCCACTACCACTCCCTACAATGACTCCAGATGACGCTATGAGGCTAGTGGCAAGCGATAGGGAGCGCTTGCGGGTACGCCAGCGGAGTAACAGCGGCCGTCCGGACAGAACTATGAGCACGAAAGGCGACGAAGCAAGGCGTCCCAGAACAGACTCTCGTAGCCAGTTTGATTTGGACATTGCAGCCCATGCAGAGCAAGGCGCCGTCATCATCTTACAGGACGAAACCTTGGGCGACAGCGCATACTTTGATGATAGCAGCCAGGAGGTTAGAGATATGGTGACTGAACTGGCACGCGAGCCTCCATCGGCGGTCAACAATCATGCCGCTCTGATAGAGCAGAGGAGAAAGCAGCTTGCAGCTGCTGAACTCGAGGCACGCCGCCTGTCCCTGGCACGTAATCCATCTGCGCCAAACATCCCATTCCCCGGGGAGTTACAGTCCGCACGCACTGCTCCGGAAAGCCCGCCGTTCTCGATGTCGTCGTTTACGCCACATACTCCTGGTCGGCACAGGCCTACTGCTAGCAAAGGATCGCCAGTTGGTCCAAGCAGTTCCGAATCGATTCCGTCTAGATCAAACTTACCCTTTGGATTGCCATCAACTCCTCGAGCCATGCGACACCCCAAGTACAACGGGTACGAAGAGACCGTAGCAGTGCCTCCGGTGCCTGACAGCACTATTCTCTTGAGCGACGCAAGATACCAAGGAGATGCAGAGAAAATCGGCCGATCAATGTCAGTTCCAGTCCCTGAAACCCAGCCGTCTGGCCTTGTGCCCACCGATTTGCCAATGCATCCACGATTCAACCCACGTCTACCGAGAAGTCGCTCGACCAGTCGGTCACGTGGCAAAGGCCATCATCGAGAGAGTAGTGGAAACAGCTATGGCGGTTCTCCCGTCACAGTGAGCATTGAAGAGACCATTGAGAATGCACTTGTGATGCAACAGGCCGAGAACCCGCCCATCTTGCCCCAGCTACAACATTTGAATCCTCCGCCACCTCCCCCTCCACCTGTCCCTCCGCTAGCCTCCCCTCGACAATCCTCAGGAACGATTGATATTGCATTTGATAACGAGGACTTTGGACGGCTTCTTCCTCGCGCAATGACTGCCGCTCCGGCACCGAGTACGGACACTCGTCCTGGCTTGGAACAACGCCGCCGCATGTCCTTCGAGCATCGACGAGGCCGCAGTGTGAACGAGAGCTTGAGCACGAAGATCCGCAACCTGACACGCGTCGGTAACAACAAAGGCAGTGAGCCCTGGGTGTCTGCTGAGATTCACATCCCGTATGAAAGCGTGCAAGTGATGGACGGTCGGCTTTAAGCAATCCCTGGCACCCTGCTTACGCTGTGAGACAATGACGACACGAGATTGACCGAATGCATACCAAATTCCTTTGCGTTTTCTGATTTCTCTGTGATTCCCTTCTCTCACTGATACTCAATCTATTACGCGACCCCAGATGTATCGTTACCTGGGATAATTATGATGAATGCGCTATGTCTGATTTCATCACTAGAGGGCTGTATCCAAATAACATCTTATTGAAACTTTTCTGTTATCTATCTCCTAGGCATGCTCTCATATGTCAGAAAAGTCTGTCCCAGAGCTTGAAATGATGCAGTTTTGTTTGTGATGTGCTCAAGCAGATGTCCTATGTGACAATAGGCACTTTTCTCCGAGTCTTATCACACAGCTTTGGATCATATACACCTTAGAAATGTAGACAATATTCGAGCTTGTTTCATAGAGTGACTGACGTAAGAGGTTGATTCGTACACAGGAGTAATTCGGATCATTGACATAAGCACTTAGCCACAAAACCAGGCTATTTAGAGTGAAGACGCTAGTTTACAAACAGACCATGTCGGCGCAACAAAAGCCCTACCACTTACTCCATCCACCGCTTCCCCTCCCCGAGTCCGATCCGGCATGGCGTTCAGCATCGACCATGCGGTCGAAGTCCGCCTGCGCCCTCTCACGCTCACTGTATCTTCCACTCTCACGCTCCGCCCGCGACCATTCAGCGGCGTGCGAGTTGGACTGTGCGCCTTGCGCAGCGTTGTTCCGAATCCGGTCCCATGCGCTGCCGCCAGTTGCCCTCGACGAGGAGGATCCGCGATAGTCCGGAGCCACAGGGCTGGCATCATCATCATCACCGAAGAAGTCACCACCATCCGCGCTTTCGCTCTGTCTGGCCGAGGATCCCGCCGAACGAGACCACCAGGCGGGTGACTGCCTCGTCGTCGGCATAGCAGTGTGCTCATCGTTGCCACCACCAGCACCACCAGCACCAGCATGAGGATAATGCTGCTCATAACGAGCAAACTGCCTCTCCTCCCCGGCAACCGGCGACGCATCATCCTGATGCTGATACTCGGACGCAAACTCCGCGCCACCATCACCCTCACCAGTCTCCCCAGCCTGCTCGCGCCGCCGCATCTGCTCCAACTCCATCTGCCTCTGCAACACCTTCTCCCTAATCTGCCTTGACCTAATCCCCGCTGCAGAGTCCGCCATATTCCTCACCTCCTCCGTATACCGCCTCAACCGCTCATCATCCCTCCACGCGCTAGCCTCCTTCCACGAAGCCCACACCCCGACCACGAAATCCCCCGTCACCGCCGCCACCACGACCTTGAACAACCGCGCCCAGAGCATCGGCCGCCCCCCGCCCAAAGTCCCCGCATCCCCCATCAGCTCCCAACCCTTCATAAATCGCGCGGCCGTCATCCGCCCCCCCGGCGGCACCTGCGGTGCAAAGAACATTTCCCAGTCCATCGAGTACCGCAGCCGGTACGCCTGCCACAGGAAGCCCGCGAGCGCGCCCCCCGGTAGTCCGAGGCTGGAGCGGCAGGCGCCCTGCGAGGTCAGCTCCAGCACCGCGTCCATCTCGGGCTGGGTGGGGTCGCGGCCGGTCTTCAGGCGGATCATCTCAAGGAGGGCGTAGGATCTGCGGACCGTCTTGGTGACGTACGCCGTGCGGCCCCAGAGGCCCAGATAGAGGGTGATGGGGTTTGGGTTCTTGATGAGGGATTCGTCGACTCGGAGAGGTTTGAAGGCTTGTTCGAGAAATTGCGTCGGGGACATGTTGCGGGGGAGGCGGAGGAAGCGGATGCGCGGATCTTCGGGGTGTTGCTGTTGGCCTCCGAGAGGTGCGCCCGGTGGTGTTACTCCCGGGGGTGGGTTATTCATTGTGAAGGAGCCGTGGTTCTGGTATTCTTGATTGATTGATTGATTACTCAGTGTTGAGTGAGTTGGTGTTTGGAGAAATTGGATTGGATGGATGGATGGATGATGTCGAAGGTCATCAGGTGGTGCGGAGAGAAAGGCGGAGAGCTATGCTGAGGAGCTCGATGGCGGTGGCTTGTGCTGGTTGATTAGCTACTTGTGTATGGCTGGATTAGTCATCTATGCGGTGTTGGGGCCTCGTCCAATGTGACTATACATTTACTCTTGAGAGAATCGGTGTTATTTGAGAGCCTACAGCTTCACTGATCTCTCAGGACAACCACCTCAAAACAAAACAGGTCTTGACCCTCCTCTTATTTTCATATGAATGTCAAGCCTTATTGAGGCATGCTGCTATGTTCACTCGCGCAAGATATTAGTGGATTATATCGCTTCCCGCAATATCTTGGTTCTGGAGGGACAGCTTAAACTGGCGGTTTTCGGCTAATTTATGATGCCCAGATAAAGATCCTCCATCTTGGGGTTGGATACATACTCTACTCTATTTCATCCTGCCATGTTCATAGGTATTACATCTTCGGCCCTGAGAACTCGGATCTCTGTTGGCCTGATGCTGACTCCCTCCCGAACGTTTGACGATGTTTTATATGGACGGATAATTAGGAAGTGTTGGCACGGTGAATATGCGAGTATGGATCAGCTGAAAGATGAGTCCCAGCGGTTCCTTCTTAGCTAAGAGATACACTAGTAGCTTGTTTGCATAACCTTACGATTTTTAGCATTTTAAACTTCTTATCATCTTTACATTGCTTCTCAATTTCCCATACCCCTGAGTTACCACTTCTCAACATACGGCCTAAGATCCAGCTCAAACCCAAAAGTCGTCCGTGGCTGCGTATGCAAATGCCAATACGACTCGGCAATCTAGAGTTTCAATTCATCATCAGCCACAAGCTAGCCATACCCCAAGAAAACAAACGATGACTTACAGCCTCAGGATCCAACTTGGCATCCTCATGCTCAAACGTCCACGCCTTCGTGCGCGGGATATCAATCACCCCATCGACAATCACATGCGACACGTGCACGCCCTGGGGCCCGAACTCGCGCGCCAGCGACTGCGCCAGCGCACGCAGGGCGAATTTGCCCGCCGCGAACGAAGCGAATTGGGCCGAGCCCTTGATGCTGGCGGTTGCGCCAGTGAAGATGAGGGTCGGAGGGTGTTGGAGGTTCGTGGCTTGGAGGAGAAGTGGGAGGGTCGCTTTGGCGAAGTTGAAGGCTCCTTTGCTGTTGTAGGATATCAAGTGTTAAGCACAAGCACAAATGATGTAAAGGTAGAAAAAAGGCAGGGGAAGACAGTAAGGGCTAACTTACCCCTGCGACTCAAACCCGGACGAAAACTCCTCGGCTGTCAGTTCGAGGAACGGCTTACGCACCAAGCCGCCACCGGAGTTAAAGACAGCTGCTGCCAGCGGGGAGCCTGTGTACTGCTTGGTGATCTGTTCGAAGGTGGACTGGAAACCTTGCGGGTCGGAGAGGTCGGCGCTGAAGCCGGTGGCCTGGCCGCCGGAGGAGTTGATCTCGTCGACGACGGATTCGTAGTTGGCAGGGTTGCGGGCTAGTACGACGACGGAGTAGGCTTTGGCAAAGCGGCGGGCGATGGAGGCGCCCTGGACATTCATGTATGTAAGTAATTGGTTGGTTGATGGATGAATGGAGATGGTTGTATACAAGTGGAAACATACCGTTCCAGGGCCGACACCGGCAACGATGGCGAAGGGTTTAGTAGCGGCCATTCTGTATGACTGGTTGAGTCAATTGAGAAGAGATACACCAGAGAAGAGCTCAAGGAACAGGATTTGGTTTTGGCGATGAGTGTCCAGATATATCACTCCTTCTCCGCATCTCATGTCGTCATTTGATCCGGGGAGTTGCAAAGGCCGAGATTAGAAATCACAGGGCGGGATCACTAATCGCTGGATTCTCTGTTGTGATGGTCGACATCCCCTGGATGAACTTAGGAGGGCAAAGCACGCCATTGTATTACTCAGGAGTCCGAGTTTATGGATCTACAACTCTGCTGCCAGTGTTCCTTTGGTTACGGCGCGCACGAGGCTGCAGTTGACAACTGTCGCGATGGCTGCGGCCCGACTATACCAGATGTTTTGCGGCCAAACTCCGATCGAGATTCAGCCGCCGACTTTACCACAAAAATATCCCTTTTCACCATGCATTTATCTCTCAAGATTGTCATAAGGTATACCCTGTAGCTTTTGTATCGCGGGGTAAGCAGGAAAGATTGCAAACCCAAAACGTGAAGCTGACCTTCAATGAGCCAAAGGGATAACTTATGGTCATACTACGCTGCTGTTCTCGTCTGCAGTGTACTCCGTAGAAGTGGTCCACTTATGATCGGCGGAAGCCATAGCCTGCCATCCCCTGTTCCTGCCTCAGGCATCAGGAGCACCGCCCGATAAGCGCGGCCGATAAGATCAAATCAGCATCTCATCTCCAACTTATCAGTTTTTTTTTTCCCTTCTCCGCGCATCATCGCATTGTCTCTCTACCTAATACCCCCAAAATACGTTTTTCGATCTCTACTTCCACTATCCATCCTGAGACACAGCGGCTACAGATCATCTTATCTAAACGACACACCCATACTCAAGCCATTCAGCAAAACACAATGTCTTCCTCAAAAGAAGACTCCCTCCTCACCGACCTCTGCACAATCTGGTAAGCCCTCCCCCAAATCAAGTCCCCAATCTTATCCATTCTTCCAACCCCAATCCAAATACTAATCGAGACACCAAAATAAAGCCATCTCCAACCCCCCAAATACCGCTGCCCCCGCTGCGCCACCCGCACCTGCTCCCTGCCCTGCACGCGCCGCCACAAGCTCTGGTCCCAATGCAACGGCATCCGCGATCCGGCCGCCTACCTGCGACGCAGCGAGCTAGCCACCGAGTCCGCCTTCGACCGGGACTTCAATTTCATCACGGGGATCGAGCGGTCGATCGAGCGGGCGGGCCGCGACGCTGAGAACCGCGGGATCAGGGTCGATGGGGATGCGGGGGGGTTTGTTAGGGATTTGGCGGTTGTGGGGCTGGATACTGATCCTTCGTCGAATGCTGGGGGTGGTGATGGTTCTCCTTTGGAGGTGGGCGGAGGGAAGAGGAAGAGGGGGTTTGGTGCTGGGCTGGGTCAGAATAAATCTGGTGGTGGTGTTGGTGGTGGAGGAGGAGGGAGTGGGCGAGGGGAGCTTGGGTTTTTACGACAGGTGGAGAATGCAGGTGTCAAGTTGATCCGGGCGCCAAAGGGGATGAGTCGGAATAAGGAGAATGGGTCCAGGTGGTTTGCTAAGTATATTGCCCTTCTCTTCTTTATTTTCTAGATCGGGGATGGGTGGGGATAGGTGGGCTGACTTTTCGAACTGGAATAGACAGCAATGCCTGGTTTGGACAGTGGAGTGGATTGGACAGACTGGAGAGAAGCGCATGAGGAAGTGCAGAGACTCGGTCCCTATTGCGGTTTCTTACGATCGATCGTTCCCACCAAGCAGAGAGGAACGCGAGAAGGAGATGGACAAAGAGCAGAAAACACAGGAAGATCATGAGCAGGAAGAGGAGCAAGCAGATCAACAGTCTATTCCACAGCAGCTGGAAGCTTCCTCCACGGAGAATGATGCTCAGCAACCTCAAGATCCCGCCGACACCACCACCGCCACCAATGCTGAATTTACGGCTATTCCAGAGCCCACGACAGCAACGACATTAGCAGAAGAAACACTCCCATCAGAACAAGAGACGCAGCACGCAATCTTCCCCCACCGCGGCGTATATTTCTACCTCCACCGGCCGCGCACAGCAACGAAACAGCCCGTCCTAGTCCCCCTTGCCCCCAGCTTGACCCTCACCGCCGCGCTACGTGGTCACACGGTTCTGGAGTTTCCTACCATCTATGTACTACCCGACTCGCCGGATGTGTTACGCGCGCAGGGATCAGACGCCGGCTACTTACTGGAAGACGAGTATATCCAGCTGCACGGGCCGGTAGCGGATGACGATAGCGCCAGTCCTACCGATTCGGAGGTCGAGCAACTGCCATCGAATGGACTTGATCTGGGTAATGTCGACGAGAAAAAGGTCCTGGAAGTGCTCAAGAAGGATTTGTTCGAGCCGTCGACGCTTGCGTGATTGGGGCATATATGATAGGAATTAAGGGGGAAATTGTCATAGCCATAGGGGTGGTACATTTACCTCACCATATATGTCCATTGTAATGGCAATCATCTTGTGATCCGAAATGCTGCTGATGGCATTAGAGCCTGATCCACAATTGCAGGGCTATACAGGGGTTATCTGGTTGTGAACGGTTAACCGCGACGCCATCTTGTATAAGACTCGCCCTAATACTTCGCTTCGCGTGCACACTCGGCTCAGTCCGTTCGTAGCGGATCGAGCCTAGGTCTTTGTTAATTGATAGACGATCAATTGCTCAGCCAAAAATAAAACAAATCTGCGCTAAATTGACAATACATAACAAGGGTATCTAAATTTCCTTCGAAAATATTCCAAAATAAACGCCGTCCAATGCTACGGCTGGGTATAGAGACCGGTAATGATAGAGAACTCCAATCCATGCCAAGAGTTACCTGATCATTCGCGGTATAGGCTTAGCTTACTCTGACGGCGTGCAACAGCCTCTAGTCAAATGTCTTCCTCAGGGAGTACTCAGTCAAGCGACCAGTACATTAGGTCAAGCAATTGCTGCTTGCCATGGCACACGTGGCGCCAGGATTCGACCTGAACAATCAGGAGCTGGCCTCGTTTCACTCCTATCCAGGGTAGGATGTTGATCACCCTCGCGGGTCAATCAGTGCATGACGGGCCGATATGTTTGGTATCGGCCCGAAGTACCAATAGTCTGCTGGACTTGATGTCCAGCAGCTGGCTCATGATGAGAGCACATTCACAACTGCAGTGTGATAATCTCTGATAATCTTGAAGACCAGTATCCAAGGACAGGATCTTCAAGGTAGAACCTCTAGGTTCAAGTTTCAATCCCATTTAAAGGACTGGTAGCATCGGATGCAGTATCTGGAAGGTCGGGCTCTTCGACCTTCTCGGCAGCACCCGAGGAAACCGAGACAACCTCAGTGGCAACAGTGTCAGGGATAGTGCGCTCATCATCAGCAACCTTGCCGTTGCCATAGCTGGCCTTGTAATCCGAGGGCGAGACATTCGACCGCTGCTCAGGCCGAGTAGACCTGAGCTTGATCCGGCCGCGCTCAAGCGCTCGAAGCAAGGTACCAACTTCCTCCGACACGATTCCTCTGAGCTTGCTCATCGCATCGTCGGATACTTCCGAGTGAGCGTTCCATCCTAGCTTATCTGATTCCTCAGACGTCAAAGACTTGGCTTCCAAAGACGGTCCGTCAATGAGTCGCTTCAACGTAGTCGGCGACATGTTGTTCGGTCGGCGAGGCATCTTGACCGGTTTCTCCTTGGCACTGGAGGCGGCTGAAGCTACCTCATCCTGTTGCCGCTTCGGTGGACGGATGTGCAGGGTCAGCCCGTCACCAACTTCGTTGCGAATTTTGTAATATACTAGCCCCAGCGTTGCTGCCAACGCCTGATGCGCGGCCTCGGGATACAAACGAACAGCCTCTGCACGTGTAAGGGTTGACGGATAGTCACTCGAGTCACTCGAATCACTGTCGGTTGCGGTTGCGTAGAGAGGTCCCGTGTGATGCATGCGGCCCCAATACTCATACCCTCCAAGCTGATAGAAATCGGCGAGTTGAGTCAAGCGATTGACTAAAGATATATGTGGTTAGAAAAGTGCAAGGGATTCACCTGCATGCCTGTGCCACTTACTCCTACTCCTCTTCTTCAGACACCAGAATCGCCACACCGTACGAGGAAAGTATTCGGGCCATTGCAAGGAACCGTCGTCTTCGACAACCGGCACGGGGGTGATCGGGGCGTGAGTGGTATGGGCCAACGAGTTGAATCGAACACGTTCCGAATGTTTCATGCGAGACTCAATGAGAGAGAACCGATTAAAGACTGAAGTCAAGTGACGTGACATCTCATGTTGAAGAGTGATCAAGTCGGTGCGTAGTTGACTGATGGTAGCATGCAGCTTGCTGACTTCGACGCGGCATCCGCAGACGTCTGTTTGCAGGTGCTCCACATCTGCTTGGATTTGCTCCACGTTCTTGGACAAGCGGTCGACATCGCTGCGAAGGAAGACGGTCTCGTTGCCGGTCTGACCGATGCTGGATTTGAGCTGAGAGATCCCCGACTTCAACTGGTCAACGTCCGTCTTCAAGGCGACAACGTTCAGATCGATCCGATTTGAGACGGAGCGATTGGCTTCGAATTCGCGTCGGATATGTTCGTCTTCACGGTTACGCCTGTCAACGTAGCCATCCTTCGTCAAGACCGTGGATCGGAGTTCCAACAGACGGGAGTCAAGATACGTCAAGCGGTCGTGAATGTGCGACAGAGTGGGATCAGAGAGTATCGGAGGTGTTGATTCATGTATGAGAGATAACCTAGGGCTCGAGACAGGTATTGACATGCTCGAGGTGCGAGAGAGACTGCGTTCAAGGGTCGTAGTCATGGCGATTACAAGGCACGGTCGGGACCCGACCGTGACAACTGGTTAAGAATAGGCGAAGGGTGGGTTTTCGACGTTTTCTGATGCTCCTCCCAATCCAAAATTCAACAGAGGTCCATGTTGAGTCGATTTTGCGTATTGTGAAGATGTATTTTCACAGGTTCTGATGACGATGACGGTGGTTGTTGGTGCGTTCTGAAGAGGGGGAAGACGATATTGAAAGCAAGAAAGGGAGAGACGGGAGGGAGGGAGGGAGTGAGACCAGGCGAGGCGAGGCGAGGGGAGAGGCTTTCGCTCATCGATTGGAATTCCGTGGCGCCCGCTGGTTGATTTCATCGACCCAGTCTGCCGCCTGACCCCTCGATTCCTGCAACCTCATCTTCCATCTACCACAACGCACGACCGGTGGATGGGATTGAATGAGCCGAATTGATACACCCTGAGTTATTTGCAGTCGTACCAAATTACCTCTTTGTATCTACCAAAAAAACATTCAGTGATGCTATTCGCGTGCATCAACGATACCAAGGTCATGATAACCGTACGCGGTAACTCTGGTGACGATACGGTATCACGGGAGGCCGGAGGCTTGGCAGGCCCCCAACCTTCAGCTGACCAAATGCTGCCAATCAGTCGGGATGCGATGATGTTTGTCACGCAGTCTTGGAAGGTTCCTCCGTTTGCAGATTGGTGGCTTGCCCTCGTATCAAGGCTGCCTCCTGTGCTCCCTCTGAATCTAAACCTGTATGGAACGTGTACAGTATCGCTAGAATCAGATTTCAGGTTATTTTAGTTGACCGGGATTGAAATCGCTTGGTGCAGCAACCATTGATGAAGTTGGCATGTTTTTATCAGTGCAGTAGTCCCTCCAAGCTTTCTTGGGACAGACAACGAGGCTGAAAGCACCCACAGATTCAAATGGCAATATATCTGGTCGAGACAAGAAATGCCATGCAAGCGCTGGGGTGTACAGGAGTAATTATGAAGAGCATAAACCTCATACAAACTAGTAGTTACTAGTACCAGGCCACTCCACTTTATATACCTCGAGGTCGATAACAACTAAGGCCTCGCCAATTTAGCAAGCAGTATGTCGTCTCCAAAGCATAATAAGTAAATATTTTTTACTGAGCCTCAATGAATGCAGTGTGTACTGTACATACATGCCCCCATCTACGTCAATCCCATACAAAGAGGCGGCGACAAGCGACCTCCTCGATGCTGCGCACCTGCCTTCGGAAGTCTTGTCCGGACTGTATCCAACATCCTCTTTGATAAACATCATGGGACAATTACCATCTAGTCTACGAGGCTATTCAACCTCAATAGCAACGTGAAGCTGTCTACAGCTATATACTTACTCAGCCAATCACTCTTTTAAAGGATCCTATATCTCCTTAACTCCCACCGCAACGATGAGACTCTCCTTCGTCTTCATAGTTCCCAGTCTTTTCCTCATCGCCATCTGCTACGCTCGCTCGACCACTCCTAAAACCAACAGCAATACCAGCGATCACCAGCAATGCGACTGCTATCTCATCTCCGGTCCCGACCCAGGCTACTTCACGCATTACAAGCTGTGGGACTTCCGCAATGCATCGCAAATCCACCCGCAACCCGCATCCCCCAGAACCGTCACGACCAATATCACAACCCTCCTCACCCCCGACGCAGATACAGACAACCTCTACACGACGATGAACCTCTTCTCCCAGACCCCCTTCAGCAAAGACTGGCGCGTGCAGACCTGGGGTCGAGCTGCCGATCCTCTCCTCGCTCCTATCCCAATGACCAACTCCGAATCCAACGTCTTCATGCACACCCCGAGGTCGTCGTCCTCGTCGTCCTCCTCCTCACAAGACAAAAATCAGCAGCCAAACAGCTTCCTAGTACTCCGCACAACCCGCTTCATCAACCACGCGACCACCGCGGAAATCGAATCCCAATTCGGCCTCATCGACCACTGCTCGCTGCGCCTACACATGCGTTTGATGTCTCGGGACACAGCCCTATACAATCCATTTTCCTCCTCATCTTCCTCCTCCTACCCTCCCTCCACAAACGACAAACCCTCGAACCCCAAATTCGTCTACCCTCCTCCGGGCTTTCCCCCCCTACCACCTAAAGCCCCCTCCCCTGCTCCACCCTCCTCACCCCCATCATCACTCCCCTCCACACCCCCTCCTCACCCAGGCAAAGGCAAACCCAATAAAGTTCCCAGCGGCACCTGCGCCGGCGTCTTCACCTACCGCTCTTCAACCTGTGAATCCGACATCGAGATCCTAACCTCCGACGACCCGCACACCATCCACTACGCCAACCAACCGGACTACGACCCGATCAACGATCGGATCATCCCAGGCGCCAGCGCGGTCGTCAACCTCACCCGGCCCTGGACGGAGTGGACGACGCACCGGCTGGACTGGCTGACAGATCAGTCGCGGTGGTACGCGGACAACGTCCTCCAGACAGCCAAACGGTACCGCGTGCCGGACCAGCCCAGCATCATCGTCATCAACCTTTGGAGTAACGGCGGGGCATGGACGGGCGACCTCCGCGTCGGCGAGTCGGTGTACCTCGGGATTGAGTGGATGGAGCTCGTGTATAACCTCTCCTCCTCCTCCTCCTCTTCTATCTCCTCTTCTTCTTCCTTCTTCCCTTCTGCTGCTTTTGCTGGTGAGGGTGCGGTTTCTGCTGCCGCTGCTTCTGCTTCTGCCCTCTCCTCTTCCTCTTCGGTCTCCCTGGGGTCCGAGTCACTGGCGCCGTTATCGTCTCTAGCAGGACAGGTCGCAACGGGTGGTTCGGGTGGCAAGGCTGGGGTGGACGAAGTCTTCGGACAGCATAGCCGTTACCGCCATCATTATTATCGACCAGACATAAACCTCGCCGCCATGGGGCAGGGTCGAGACCGGGGGGACACATTGCGCTATCAGCACGACGATGGTCGGGAGGCGGGAGCAACGCCGTCGACTGTTTACTCGTCGGGCTGTCGGAGACCTTGCTGGGTAGATCGCTGAAAACACGGCCAGCTAGCCACTCTTCTGTATCTGTATAACCTTATTCTTCCAAGTCCATGGATGACTTGCTTTACTATGCATCTTCGGAGTAGAGGATCTTAAGACTTAACGTAGTATCATTGTGACGCGGCCGCTCGAGCAATTATGACTGAGCAACGCTCCTCTTATCTCTCCGTTGATCGGATGGCAGCTCTTATTTACATCAAGAACAGTATCTCTGCCCATGCTTTCCAGACTCGAAACAAACGCATGTCAGGAGCTCAGGCTTCTACTGACGGGGTATTCGCACAAAACAAAAACAGACGCTGAGGACCAACCTCTAACAAGCAGAGCACTGAACACCTCGCTCAAATACAAACATGGAACGCAAACATGACTCTAAACCACATATCCTAAACATCGAGCGCTGAACATCCATGTCACCTGATATGGCCGTATCAGTGCCAACTGCTGGTCCTTCTATTTACATGCTGACCATACACAAACATACAGCTCTTCCGATTCTGCGTTGATGGCCAAGTCGGGCTCGATGGCCTCATTGCTTATAGCCTGAATGCCAAAAACCTTAGTGCCGACAGCCTCACTTTCAAGGCCGTAGTGATCGTTGCAATTGCAATATGCTTCGTTCTTTCGATCTTTTTGTTTCTTTTTTTTTTTTTTTTTTTTTTTTTTTTTTTTTTTGAGGTGCCGCCATCCCCGCTCCGAGTGGCCAGTCAAGTGCTGACCACGACCACTCATCATAGCTTAACCCCCCGGCCCTGGATGGGGACTTCGCGGTATTCGTAGCCCGGGACTTCGGTAGGTACGAAGTCCCCATCCAGGCCTCCATTCATCAACTCCACCACTATCTTCCTTCGCAGGAGTGGGGAGTCTGGAGCCCCATAGGATTGGGGCTCCAGGTTGATGGCGACGGCTTTCGCCGTCGACAGGAGGAAGACACCGCAGTCGGATCCATTGTCTTGCCGAGGGGACAGGGACGGCAGCACCTCCCAATCCTCCTCCACAAACTTTCCCCCCAACTCCCCCCTCAGCCACATTTTGATGAGATCGACATGGCGCTTGTTGAGCCCCCCGAGGGAGTCAAAGTGCTCAATGGTGCGGTCGCACGGCTTCAACACGATGAGTGTCCAATGGGACTTGTCATGGATTGGAACAAACACCGTATCGACGCTGAGGAGGGCTTCGCCCCCAATCTTGGCCCGTGTCGCCCACCTGCGCACAGAATCGTAGCCTTTGTCGCGCAAATTAGAAAAGAAAAAAGAATTGAAAGCGTGAAAGCGTGGCCGATCATTTCGTCCGGAGTTGTTGTTGGTTCGCCGCATATAGTCAATGATCAATGCCAAGTACGCGTTGATAACCTCATCATTGAGCCATTCCAAGGGTGTATAGCACGTCGCTAGATCACGTGCCGTCAATGTTTCTCCCGAAAGTGTGCTTATGATTTTCTTTGACGGTGGACCGGCCATGACTTCTTCGAGACGTTGAACCCATTCTTTAGTTATGTTCAGGGGTAGGGTCGCGTTTTTCCGGCGAGCGACGTTTCGGAGTTTGAGGCTCTCTGGGTGCCGGCTTTCTCCTCCCTGGCTTTTTGCCTGCTGGCTTTTTACCTGCTGACTTATTTCCTGCTGGCTGATCTTCTGATTCTCCTCCTGTATCGCTCTCCACCTTTCGGCAAAGAGAGACTCAGTCCGGCCCGCAGGAATCAGGGGAGGGATGGGGTGGAACAAGCTTACCGCTGACATAGCCCGCCCCATCGGGTACTGTTCAGCTTCACGTCTGAAGGGATCCTGTCCATGTCTGTCCCTTGGAGTCATAGCAGAAGCACCTTGATTGGCGCTGCTGGAGTTTTCAGCCTTCGCATTTCCATTTCTGATCCGCGCACTTCTGCGAAGCTGATTGCTGATGGTCGCTTCGCTAGCAGGTGCCTTGTTCTCCTTCTGTTCTACGAGGCACACTTTGGGACTGGCAGACTTAACGCTTTCCACCATACTCCGCCCAAAATCATCGAGAAGATGGTCGAGACTTGGTGGTGCCGCATCGTACCGATCATCATATGAAAGATTACGGTAGCGGCGGGGCGCTTCATTTATGGGCGTCAAAATATGCTCCGCGGTCACTTCGTGACAGCGGGGAAAGTGAACTCTGCGCGGGGGCTTCGAAGTACCCTGATCGACTTCATCGTCGGCAGCTTGCTTCGGCTTGCTCGACGCACCGGAGGGGCGACGCAATGCAGATTTCAGAGGTCTGATCTGCTCAGCTCGCCGCTTCTCCCCTTTCGACTGCGTTTTCAGAGCCCCTTGAACCCTGCGGCTGCTCGCTTTAGTGCGTTTAGGTGGTGACACAGCTTCGTCAGAGTCAGGCGCGGCACGTTTCTTACTGGCGGTAGCCGAGTTATTGACGATAGCCGAGTCATTGACGATACCCGAGTCGGTATTCGTGACCTCATTACTGACAGCCTCAGTGCCGACATCCATAGTCTCATTGATAACAGTAACATTTTCGACGGCCGAATCGATATCCATAGGCTCGGGTCTTATGATCTCATTGCCGACGGCCAAGTCGGTGTCAGGATTTGCCCAAATGTTGATAGCCGCACGAACTTGCTCAACAGGAGTCTCGTTTCTGATTCTAGCGGGTCTCTGAAAAATTTGCTGCACGCGACGCTTGAAAGTATCAACAACATGGACCGCCCGTCTGGCAGCCTGAGGTGCATGCTGGATCACACCGTTATAAACAGCGCGCGTCATACGATTCTGCAACACGTTGCGATGAGCCGCCCATCTAGCAGCCTGCGATGCACGCTGGATCATGCGGTTGTTGGCAACGCGCATGAGGCGATTTTGCCACATATTTCGGATAGCCGTCATTCTGGACGGACCTTCCTGACGTGAATTTTGTCTATCGACAAGACGTGGAGTGATTGGGGTCCCCCCGGGCCATCTCCCGGGTGGGCGAATTTCAGGGGTGGTCGGAATTTTGGCACTGGCCATTGTCAAGCTGTAAGGAGTCGCTTGGAGGGAGAAAGGTATACTGGGGCGTTCTTCTTCGCCTTCAGATAATTCCAGTCGCCGCTTCTGACCCGCAATCGAAGAAGTTAACTGAGCTGGAGTTGATGAAGTTGGGGCCGATAAAGTAGAGTTGATACGAGGGATGTTGTTGGACTTAGGAGCACGACTAGTGCCATAGTCAGTCGAGTGTGCTAAACCATTGCTCGAAGAAAGGTTGCTCCAAGGCGTGACGCGCTGGGAGCGATCAATAGTTAGAACGAGACGACTATTAAGAGGTGGATTTGAGAATGAAGTTGGAGCTGAAGACGATTGAAATAGGTTGGTCGGGGGAGCAGCCCGTTCACTGCGATTGATATCAAGAGAAGGAGCTGAAGACGAATGAAATAGGTTGGTCGGGGGAGCAGCCTGTTCACTGCGATTGATATCAAGAGAAGGAGCTGAAGACGATTGAGTGAGGTTGGTTAAAGAAGCCCGCTCACTGCGATTGATGTCAAGAGAATGGGCTGAAGACGATTGAGCAAGGTTGGTCGGGGGAGCAGCCTGTTCAGGAGCAGCCCGTTCAGGAGCAGCCCGTTCAGGAGCAGCCCGTTCAGAGCCATCAATGTTAAGGACGGGACGACTATCAAGGGATGAAGCTGGTGCAGGAGACGGGAGAGTAGTCACAGGGCGCTGAATATCTGCAAGCTCGGCATTGAAGCGTGCACGCTCACGCACATACAAGGACCTAAAGGTGTCAACCGCATTATATGGGCGGTGAGAAGAGCCATTCTGAGAATTGTTCGGGGCGGGGTTCGTATGAGACACGTTGATATTAGAGGTAATGTGACTAGTGTTGTGATGAATCGAGTTTGTAGAAGTATTGCTCGAAGAGATATAGTTCCATGGACTAACGCGCTGGGAGCGATCAATGTTTAGGACCGGACGACTAACAAGTCCGTGTCCCATCGGAGTGGGGTCAATATTAGAGACGTTGGTATTGGAAGCGATGTGACTAGTGCTGTGATGAATCGAGTTTGTAGCATTGCTCGAAGAGACATTGGTCCACGGAGTGACACGCTGAGTGCGATCAATGTCTGGGACCGGACGACTATCGAGTCCGCGTCCATGGGGCACGAAATCCGGAACCGCGGGATTCATAAGTGAGCCTCTAGGACGAGTGACGGAGAAGTTGGTAAAGTTCGAAGAGGGGTTGGTCCAAGTAGTGGCGCGCTGCGGGCGATCGAGGTTGAAAGCAGGACGATTTCCACTGGGCACGAAAGGAGTAAAGCGATCAACATTGAAAGGCATAGTGCCGTTGGATGGACGGTCGGATGAGAGATTGGATCTGAGCCCATGCGCAGATTCCTAAGCAAAACGGTTAGTCCTGGAGACACTGCTGGAGAAGATACTAGGTATCGACTCACAGCTTCACCGTACGACGGAGTGATGTAATTGAAGGACGGCATTTTGCCGAAACAATGACAAGGTTCGCAATGGGGGAAGATCGATCGAGACTGTAGGTGTATTACAGGAGAGGAGAGATGATTCAAGTCATGAGAGGAAAGTGATGTATTCGGAGACGATTTTGAAAGTGTTTGTGAGCGAGGCAGCGATCAGAGTGGTGTCAGACGTTTTGGGTGCACGAAGCGTGGCTAGAGACGTGTTGTGAGAAGACGCGTTATGAGTACGAGGTTGGGTTGGGAAGAGGTAAACACCAGAGAGTGGGAGAGAAGAAGGAAGATGAGAGAAATACCTAGGTGGGTGGTGGGTGGTGGGTGGTGGGTGAAGAGAAACTGAGAAAGAGACAGGGAAAGCGCAATCATAACACAGCCATCGCCATGGCAGGCACACAGTAACAAAAATATTTACTGTGGTCGCGCGGCAGCGCATTGGTGTTCCATTGGAAAAAAAAGGGCCCCAGTGAATGTGGTGGGCGCAACAGAGGCAGATGGCAGAGTGAATCTTCGCGCGATGTGAAGTTATTGGGAGTTTGGTTTGGAGATGAATGATTGAGCTCTGTCGGTACGTATTTCATGCTCCAGCTTAAAAAGGCTTAGTGTCGGAAGCTTGACCCTCCTTTACACTCTAAAGTCCGCAATGGAATTTCATCACGTGAAGTTGTGCGTTATGATCTCAGACTGGGTATACTTAATCTATAGTAGTATGTAAGTCTACTTTCAGGTTCCAGATTTTCCTTCTGGTATCACACATAGTTTTCCAAGGCAGAGATGGATTTTTATGACTTCTCTGTGTTATCGTCGGATTGACCTCCCCCTTCCTCGCGATAATGACCCTTTATCTTTCACGATAAGGGTATCCGCATTCAAAACTCAGCAGCCAAACGTCTTGTGATGTACAGTACAGTATGAGGTCTTGTGCAATAGTACTCTGGTGAAAGTAGGATCGGAGCTAAATAAGCTTAAATCAATATAGGTGCAAGAAGCTAGCAGAACACAGCTAAAGCGAAGGAGGTCGTATGTATGTACAAGAAATGTCCCACTATGTTACATCGCCGACGCATGTAAATCTGACCTGCTGGAAAAACCGCACCCAAAAACACGGTTGAACCCAAGTATGCCGATGGCCATGCTAATGCGCCGCAAGACCAATCTGTGAAAAAAGGAGGGGTGCTCCCTCCATGACTATCCAAGCTATGCCTGCCAGCCCAGGTAATGTCAGCACAGTCGATCGACAACAGATTCGCGAATGCAATATTATAATGAGCATGGCGTGACCTACCGGAATAAACCACCAGCTTCGTGACTACTTCAACATCATAACGCACGCGTGGCCGCTTGATTTGCGCAAACAGTTCCTCCTTGTCGGCCTCAATCCCGGCGTCGAATTCGGGAAAGGGGACCGTTGACGAAGTCCCCTGGCAGACAGTGTCAGCAGATGTCGCCAGACCCGGAGCTCCTGTGCCCATCATATGCTCATAGTCATTTAGTTTGGAAGGCCGTCGCGAGAGCTTTGGCGGCTGGGCCTCTCGGGCAGAGGAACTGGTCTGGCCAGCCTCCGTGGTAGCAGTGGCTTTATTGCCGTTAGAGAGGCTCTCACGCCTGCGCTTCTCACGATATGCCAATGTCTCATAGGCGTCGGCTTCCGATTGGGGACCGACAGATATCGCACGTCGCCTTGGATGACGTATCGTAGTGATGAAGGATGGGATCTCGGATAGATTCGGAAGCACTTCATGATCTTTGAGATGCGTGGGAACACGGGAGTATTGCCTGGTACCCCCAAACGATTAGCTCGCTGCTTGGCAGTCCGTTCCCAATTCTATCTCATTCCGCTGAGGGAAAACATCACGACTTACGAAGCATTGGTGAAGAATCGCCGAGGGAGAATGAGTCCAAGCTTTTCCAGACCCCGAAATACCGGCGGAAGCACCCGCAGCATGAAAGGCTTTGTCATTGCTCGCCAAACGAAGAGTAGCAGGACCCCAAGGACTAGTCGGAGAGCAGTCTTCGTCATTTCTACCAAATCAAAATTCGGCGCAGAAGCTTGTACTGACTCATACCACCCCGTCCCCGATTGTGCTAGGTGCCAATAAGCGATCTGAGCACCAAGTGTTACGCCCGCAAAAGCCACGCTATCATCAAAGCATGGGCAGTCATCCGCAGGTTCTGGATGCACGCGAACCAGGGCCAAGATGAGCAAAATGACGACCATGACCCCTTTCCCTGTCGCTGCAAGGATATAATCGTCGATCATGGGTCCATAGGTATACTGCAAGTAGGCTAAAAATCCACCTAACAAGCAACCCGTGATCACATCGCAAAACCCATGCATCCCGCAGTACAAGCGCCCCAATACAATGGAGATCACATAAATATAGGTTAAGCCATGCAGTGCTAAGTTCGCACTAGGGCCAAGAGTGCATTCTGGCGAATTGAGGAGTGAGAGAACATAGACGGCGACCGAGACGGCATTCGTCGAGTGGGTGGAAGGAAATCCGTACTCCAAAGCCGCAGAGCCGGACATTGTGATACGCTGGAGGGGCGGCGATAAGGGCCGTGGCAGACACAACAAGTCCTTGATGAAGCCACTGAAAAAGACGCCTGACGCCAGAAGGTGTACCATCCTGGATGACAGCCACATCGGTCAGCGATTAATTTCCGCCGAGCGCAGAGTTCATGTGCGCTGATCATCTGATTTCAACGCCCGTTGAGGAGCACATACCCACGTCCCAAGCTTGGATATCCGCACCAGAACAGAATTGGGAGGAAAATCATGAAAAAGGTATGCGTGCCCAGATTAGCGGTGAAGGCAAAGTATGAATCCAGAGTCGGAGTTCGAATCTTTTCCTGGCACCAAGCGAGATATGGTGTCTCGAAGCGAATCAATGGAAGCAATTTCTGCCGTGGCCAGTACCGCCAGAGAGGAAGCTGATTACGATCTATCGAAACCCGCAGGTTAAGCCACGGTTAGTGTTTAGACAACGAGACTGACTTCTGCTAGTACAAGTTTGAACATACAATGATCCAGGCTTCTCAGGCCAGCGTCGGGCTGGCCATTTGTGCTGTGACCCATTCGCGATGATATTTGCCCAAGCAGGCAGCGTATAAGATTAGAGAAATGAACTGATTGCAATCCCCCCCATGTGGGTTTCTTCTCGATCCCTGGCGGAAATAGACCCCTTAGGTTCTCCGACCGCCTTAGGGATTCATTAAGGCTTTCAAATGGCCAGAATTGGGCAAATAAGACGGCGCGATAGGGTACCAAGTGGTAGAAGCGACAGAAATATCGATGCCGGCTTAAGGGGACAAGTCAGATACTAAGTGTCCCGCGGCTGGTCACTTATCAAAATTGTGATGTCGAAGTTTGGCGGTCAATGCGCCGCCGCTGGACCTCGAGACCTCCGCGGTCAACGCAGGGACGTGCTGAAAAAAAGTCACGTGTGTACCGATTGGCCACGGAAGACAAGAGACATGCTGAACCAAACCAATCAATAGCAACTCGTGGCTCAGTTTATTCGGGTTGCTTAGTAGGAATGTCTGCACATGATATAATGATATCAATTGCTCAGCTCTATATACGAAAGACCAGGTTTGCAGTTTCAACGCGCATATAGTTATTGGAGGGCTGAAGTATGTACTAGGGAGATATCACGAATACTAGTAATCAAATGAATGTACTGGGGTGCATGGAGGCTGGTGGAGGCTGGGAGCAAAACTTCAATGCTCCGACCAGTGGTGGATTGTATTACGTCAGAAGACAACCAAGCAAAGCCTTGATCGGAAACTGTCATAAGGGTGCGGCCTGGAGCAATTACGCAAGGAACCACAGTAGACAGATGCCATCCAAGAGATCGGAATCAATCCTAGCACTAGAAGCCATGACCCCAATTCAACGATCGAATGCGATGCGAAGGACACCAAAGAAGTTAGCAATCATGGATGTACGAGTAGTTACTCCGTAGGTAGGAGGAATAAGCTGGATCGAGCCTTGATTCTAGCGCAGTCAAGGTCCACTAATTCAAGGAATTGGCCCAGCTGTGACGAATCTACTAAAAATAAATATGTACAGTAACTACTGTAGTTGAATGTGTACTGTGTAGTCATCGAGTGCATCAGAAATTGAGCTGAAACTGGACTGGACTTGCTGCTTGACCGGTCAGGGACTGAAAAGTGAGCCCTTCAAGCTTCAAGTTCAATGACAGCAGAGACGGTGCGTCATTTTGTCCCGCGGCGTTGCTATGGCAGCTCATCGGCCGGTAAACATCGGTCTGGCGGTTTCATGTCAGCCGCAATGGGGGGGGGCCCTCGCTGCAACAGCAGAGACTAGGCACCAAACTAGCACCACTAGCATCACCAGCCCCATTGACTGGGTCCTCGACCATCGGTCACTCGTCTACTCCCCGTAAGAGGATTTGATCTCGAAGCCTGACATCCCTTTCTCCCCCATTTGAACGTCTTCGTGCTGGTTTCGCGTTATTGTTTTTCTTCTAATCTTCTTCCCCTCCCCCTCCTCCACCTCCACCTCCGCCTCCACCACTACTACCTTCGATCTCCTCCTTCGTGCAGCAACCTCGCAGCGACGTGTCGCCTTTCGAACTTCATTTTGACAAGAAAGGAAATTTCACGACTACCTACCATATTTTGAACCGCTTGGCTCTTGCATTCAGACAAAGCGGGTGGATCTGGAATAGCGACTATTGTCTAGAAGTATTTTCCTGACCGACACTTTTCCCCCCTTCCGGGATACGACTGGACACCCACATTCCACCAATTCTCCTATTCCCGCCATCATGTCAGGTACCATGTATGATGACCAAGCTTATGCACCCTCGCGTCGTCATTCACTCGCGACTCCTCCTCAGTCCATGAACCCGCGAAATGGCCGGACGCGCAGCCAGAGCGTCCGAGTCAGCAACAGCACCGTCAGCACAAACACCAGTGTCTCGAGCGGAAGGATGTCGGAAGCCACAAACATCACGCAGCCGCCGGCATATTCCAAAAAGTTCGTGGTAGTGGGCGATGGTGGATGCGGAAAAACCTGTCTCTTGATTAGTTATTCGCAAGGTTATTTCCCGGAGGTAAGTGCCCTGCAGCGGATTTGATCTTCCAATTCCAACTAACCACCCCGGCCCAGAAATATGTCCCTACCGTATTCGAGAACTACATCACACAAACTACTCATCGTGCTTCTGGAAAGACAGTCGAGCTCGCTCTCTGGGACACTGCGGGCCAGGAAGAATATGATCGTCTACGGCCGCTGTCGTATCCAGAGACAGATCTCCTCTTTGTTTGCTTTGCGATTGACTGTCCCGCCTCGCTAGAGAATGTGATGGACAAGGTATGTTCGACTCTCGCTGGTCTGCTAGCGGTAGAGACATCTGACAAAGTACATAGTGGTACCCTGAAGTCTTACATTTTTGTCCGACCACCCCGCTCATTCTGGTGGGCCTGAAGTCAGACCTTCGCAACAAGAGAACATGCATCGAGCTTCTTAAGACACAGGGTTTAACGCCGGTAACGCCAGAGCAAGGTGAAGCAGTGGCGCGTCGCATGAATGCATCCTACGTGGAATGCAGTAGCAAGGAGATGCGTGGCGTCGACGGCGTCTTCAGTCTGGCGGTTGACACGGTTATTTCTGCCGAAGAACAGGACTTTAGCGACCGCCAAACGTCAAGCGCTGGGAGCAAACCCCGAGTTGGGGGCGGCGGCAAGAAGGTCAAGAAGCGTAGCTGCAAGATCCTGTAAGCGGTGGGCTTGTTTGTGTTCTCTACTCACTTTCCCGACTTCTGTTGGACTGTCTTTCATCCTTGATTACCCCGAACTTTCTATTACCCTCTTGAAAACTCATGCCACACAAAAGCCTGGTTGCTTTGGCGGCTACACCGACTCTCCTTACATATGATATGACATAGCGAAAGTGAAATGGACCCCGGACAAGGCCGGAACCCTCTGACTTATGAATGTTGGTTTCGTCCCCGTTTGGGTTCTTATGTGTTTCTTGAAATATGCCGGCGGCTTTCTGCTTTTATTCATTCACCTCATGTTGTTATACCTGCTTGCCTTGATGATTGTCCCCGTCAACTACGATTTCACTAAACATCTCACGCTCCTGTTTCCTTCTTTCAATGCTTTCAATGCTTGATGTCTGTTATGAGATTGGCCAGATGGCCTTTATTCGTTATGCATGAGATAGGTGTTTACTGGCGCAAGCGAAACCCCCCCATGTGACCGAACACGAGAACCACTCCAACAAACCTCGATGAGAGATAATCAGCAATCCAGTTTGCCTGGAGAGTAGCGTTTGTATTGTCGAGATAAGAACCGTAGAAAAGCATACGCAATAACCCATTTCCGGTCGTAGTAGATAAACAGATCCACGCCATACTCAAACGCCCAAAAAAAAAAAAAACCAGAAATGTCGTACAAGTCCGCCTCCTTGACTCCCAAGATGACGGAATCAAGCTTCAGCATTCTTCATCTCCTCATCGGGCAATTCACTCTGCCCCTCTGCCTGCCCTTCCTCTTTACGCCGATCCGAAGCTTCAGGTTCCTCGGCCGGCCGGCTCATGAAATTCTCGAATCGCGACCAAAGAGCTTCGACAGAGCCGAACTCATTCCCCACCTTGAAGCAAGGCCATGAAAATTAGCATTTTCGTTCTTCTTTCCTTGCATAATAGAAGCATAGAAATTTCAGTGGGACCAGCCACCGGAAACACGGGAAGTGAAAGACTGAGGGTGGGCGGCGGGGCTGAAACCTACAGAGATGATGCTCTCTAAGTTCCGATTGAGCCGGTTCATGTTCTGAAGAACTTGTTCCATGCCCTATTCTCACATGTGAGCTCAGTTCAACTTAAACGAGTTCTGTGTTGTCGAGGCGCCTGAACAACAAGATGAGGGTAGTCGCGCCTATACGCTCCCACCAAGGTGAAACGCGGATCGGATCTGCCTTACCACAGCAATCTCCCTCACTAGTTCCGCCCGTTGTTGCTCGAAGACTGTGGGGGTCGTTGATCTGGATTTTGCGCCGGGGGTCGTTGACATCTTTGCTTGGGTGAGCGGAGCTCGGGTTCTGGGAGCACTCTTGCAACAGTGGAGGGGGTTTTTTCGGTCGAAAAATTTGCCACGAAGTGGGATTTGTGATTCAATGCCGAGTTACTCGGGTTCTTTATTGATTCAGTGATACCGACTAAGTACCCTGGTTCTTGTTCCGTCTGTCTGCGCGTGGATTGTGTTTGGACGTTTCGTCTAGTGGCGGGGCGCGGGGCGCCCCCCGGTGCCTGGTTGTTCCCATTTGGGATTGGCTTTGTTTATTGTGCCGCCTGAATGCTCACACCGCTCAGATGTCCGCCCTTGCTTATCGATAAGACTGATGCAGGGTCCTCGTGTCTCTGCAGCGATAACGGTCCTTGTTCATGGTATGTCCAGAGAGTCAGGGAGGAGTTTATTCGAGCTTGATGAGATCTTTTGTTTTGCTGAGCTTATGTCTGAGTCTATTCAAATATCGCTTACTACATTGACTATCCGAGATGACAACCGGTTGCACGCGCTGCGATGCTGTTTTATCTCTTCGACCACAGCGGAGGATGTGACTTTCGTTCAGCTGACTTGTGCATCTTATTCGGAGGGCGCTTTTGCTAATTTATCTACGCTCTGAAGAGAACCAGATTCTTACAGGTCAGCACTGAGCATATTTGGTGTGCAAAGCCACTGGTCATAGCCACAGAGCATATAACACTTTTGACGTTCGAGTGACGTAACCTTCCATCTGGCTTATAAGCTCACCTCCTGATTCACCGCTATATTCTGAATGAAACATCGTATCCACAACCCTGACAACTCGAGTCATTATGAAAGCGATTGGTGTCGAAGAATACGGCCCTGTTGATCATCTCAAGGCACGGGATATCTCGAAGCCATCCGAGCTGCAGCCTCGAGATCTTCTAGTTCGGTACGAGCGACAAATTAATCTGCTGCCGTGAACAATGACTAAGAGAGCTTCTTAGGGTTAAGGGCGTCTCTGTCAATCCAGTGGATACCAAGGTGAGAAACGGAACGTACGATGACTACCCAGGCAAGTTCATTCCCATCGCCACTCTAGGTAAATAGGGTCAACTGCTGACTAATTGCCAGATTACTATGACCGCGTCCCTCGACCGTTCCAAATCACCGGATACGATGCTGCAGGTGTCGTAGAAGCAGTGGGTTCTGAGTGCTCCTTCTTCAAAGTTGGAGATGAGGTATTCTACTCCGGAAGTCCTATCAGACAGGGCTCCAATGCAGAATATCAATTGGTGGATGAAAGGAGTGTGGGGCACAAACCGAATCGCCTTGACTTCGTCGAAGCTGCTGTCATGCCTTTGACATACATTACGGCTTATGAAGCTCTTGTCGAGCGGCTGGGTGTCAGGAAAGGTGAAAGGACATCTTTGTTGATTATCAACGGCGCTGGTGGAGTTGGTGCTGTAGCCATTCAGATTGCACGCGTATTGCTTGAGATCCCTGTGGTCATCACGACAGCCTCACGACCGGAGACGGTGAGCTTCGCCAAAGAGATGGGTGCTACTCACGTCGTCAATCATCGAGAAGACGTTCCTAAACAGATAGCAGATCTGAATCTTGATCTACCATTGAAGTAAGAATTAGCTTGACTTCGATTGTGACACTAGCTAAATATGATCCAGGTACATCTTTATCACACACTCAACGGACCAGTACATGGACACGTGTGCGAAGATCTGCTCCCCGTTCGGCAAAGTCTGCTCGATTGTGCAAGGTCAAGCGAAGATGTATGGAACCGAGTTCATGTCCAAATCATTGACATTCGTCTGGTGTCTTCTTGGCACGAAGCCGTATCACAAGGTTGACGTTGAATCGCACCACCGTATACTGGAGGAGTTGTCGGAGCTCATAGACTCTGGGAAGATCAAATGCCACTTGACCAAGCGACTGAAGCTCACGCTCGAAGGGGTCAGGAAAGGACACGAAATCCTTGAATCTGGTGGAAGTATCGGCAAAGTGGGGTTAGGCCCGGACGAGGCAGGACCTGGAGAGCCCTTCGCTTGAGCTGATAGAGATAGGAATATTGCTATTTTGTAATCACCTCTTAGTAGCGGCAGTAATATGAACGACTGGATCACTACCCACGATATTCCCGCGATAGGCAGGGTCTTCAGCTGCATGGCATGTTAAGGCGGGGAAAAATCATGCTTATCTTCTCCATAAGCCGTTTGGCACCGACTCTCTGGTGTGATTTCGGCTGAATACGGCTGCAGGCGTAGTTATTTCTTTCCCAAAATGGACCTGCTTAACTACTCTAGTGTTTTGCCTTTCTGCATGTTGGACCCTTTGCCCGCTGACCCCTTAACTTTTCGCTCGTTTTGACATCTATGCACATCATGATTACACCCGGCTCTTCCGAGTTTGCCAATTTCGAATATTGACCTCGGGGAAGGGTCAACCGAGCTATGAAGAGCGGCGTGAGAGCTTTGCTTAACGCGGTATAAAACCCAGAAATATCCAGCATGAAAGCCGAGGAGAACCAGCCAGGTGAGCGACTACGGCTTGGCATCCTTCATTATGCGTTTGTCCTCGCTTCTGATTTCTGTATTGCTCTCGCCACAGAGTTTTGCAATACCTGAAAAGATGACTGGTCTTATGACGACCTCGGCTCATTTCCGAAGCCAGCGGCTCGTGTACGCCCGAGGGTTCGCTCCTGGCTACCGTATGCCAGCGTTCACCCCGAGATCTTCCAACAAAACATCAAAGTTGCTGGCGCTCTAGGCGCAGGCGAGATAGAACTCCTCCCCTTCTACGCCTATGGCTCCGAAGTACCTGGGGCAGATTGGACGACGTATGGCTTCGGCACGCCATCGTATCTCAAGATGTTCAAAGCTGCTCTGCAGGCTCACAAAGAAGAAGCAGGCCTTGCTATGGACTTTCACCTTGGTCCTGATCAGGGGCAGGGTGTACCTGAAAAGTACGATGATGTGGGACTTCAGTGGGACTTGGTAGGTGGGGGAGGGCACATTTGTGGCTGCTAGTCCACACCTCCATGATGACTATTGGTAACCAAAAAGGCTCCCTACTCGGTCGAGGCTCCTTTGAACGGTACTTACTACGCCAAACCTTCAGGCTGGGACACAAGGCTATTTCGTGGCACTTGTATCGGCTCAAGTACTCTCTTTTGAAAATGTCACAGGCCAGACCAGCACAACATTGTACAGCGCGACAATGGAAGACTATATGCAATACGCGCTTAAGACTGAAACGCTACAGGGATGGACGGACAAGGTAGCACCGGATGGTACTATCAACTTGAAGCCCTTCGTCTAATGGGGAATCCTATCGCCTTTTTGCATTTTACCAGCACTTGACGCATACGCGGAATCTGCCAGTCAATTCGAACTTGACTGGGACTATCTTTGACAATGGCTCTTACATCGTCGATCATTTCAGCGCAAGGGGAACACAGGTTGTCACTAAGATCTGAGATAAGTACTTGCTCATCGATGCTATGCTTCTTTCTGAGGTTGGAAACTATGGTAAGCATTCTCATCACTCTCCGTGGGCGGACATGACTCATGATTCGAAAGGCTGGGAAGATAGTATCGAGGCAAGGTCGAGCATATCCTGGACCCCATCGCTTCCGGCGGTTTTTAAAAAGAAAAACGTTCGGCTATGAACTGCAGCGGTATCTTCCAGTTGTCATGTTCGGCTACATCAAGATTAACATTCAGGCTGCCGCTCCGGGCTCCATTCAATGCCTGCTAGGTACTCCTAAACAAGGTCAATAATATGTGAGATCCTGCCCTGCCTCAAGCCCATGTCACGAAAGGGTCATTTGCACCAGATGGTACAGAGTTTTGAGCCATGGTTATACCCAACTCAAGCAACCTCACTTTAGAGGGTCTTAATCAGATCAGAAAGTTTGCGAGTGCAGGTCTTCCAGTGATTCTTTCAGGTGGACTACCTAGCATCTAGTTTATTAGGGATGGAACGGAAAAGACCATGCGGGCAGAGCTCTCTTCCCTACAGACTACCAAGAGGGTGTATAAGGTCGCTTCTGGACAAGTCGCTAGCAGGCTTTTGGCTTTAAGGCATATCACCCAGGGTCAAAATCTAGCGAATGAAACCTGGTATCCTATCTGGCGAACCGATAGCGATGGCACAGAGTATCTTTTTTGTCAATTCAGACCTGGTCGCGTCTGCAGGCAGAATTAGTGTCGCGACGACCAAACTGCCGCACTGATTAGATCCCTGGACCGGCGAAGAGAGTCCTGTCCTAGCATATCAACATGACTCCGGACGCACCGTGATTCCCTTCTCTTTTCCTGCAAACCAGACTATCATACTGGCCTTCAAATAGAGCTACACGCGTGCGCCGTCAATTTGCACCGCCGATGTTCCCTCTTCGATCATTGGATATAACCACAGCAGCGCAGGAGACCTCCACTTGCACGTCGCATCCAACGGCGGTGCAAATGCAACACTCCCACTCTCCAATGGCAAGATCATTGCTCAGCTCAGGAACCGCAACATAGCCTCGACCATCACTCTCGCCAACTGGACCCTTAATCTTGAAATTCGGGACTACCCTGTCAATCTTGGCGATGCCTCGCTCAATCTTCGGCGAGCTCTAGACGGGATGGATTCGTCCGGTGGATATGTTCAGAGGCTTTGGTGGATTGCCTAGGACAATAGACAATGGACTCATTGGAGAGGTAGTTGTGGTTTCATATGTAGACGTTCATGTAGGGTGATCATCGTGCGCCATTGGACTTTGTACCACTCGACCATATTTCTCGCGATGGGGATGTCAATGAGATCGTCGGTCGGAGAACAATCGATAAGGGCGGAAAAGAAGAACGAATCCTCCACGTGTCGCAACCTAAACTTCCACACCAATGCAGAAGAAGGAAAAGAAGCAAACAAACCAGCCTTCATCTCGTTCCCATTTCCTGCAATCATCCCGATCACCCAGCATTATTCCCCGAAACAGTATTACCACGAACCAGTAAGCCGGGCGAGGGGGACCGATTTCCGAAAAGGAAGGCGACGATCCGCAACTTACCGAAGCGAGTGCTGACCGTTCGGCCTCTCCCAACAACAATCGAATCAATGAGTGAGTGCTCTGGGCTTGACTATCAGTCTAGGCTACAGTTGACTTTCGGTTGAACGACCATCATCCCCTCCAACCTACTATAGTACGGTTTACAGTATGCTCAAGCTAACTTAATGGCGATCCCAAACCCGAGCAAACAAAGCCATTGTCCTCGGACTCCCGTCTTTAATCCTACTACCTCTGGGGATCCTCACCACATAAACGCAATTACCCTCTACGCGACACAAAAGTTACTCCGGAGTACATACATCCAGGTTACAAACCTCCATTGAAATGACCGGCACGTCCACCCGCGCGATCCCTTTCACAAAACCCAAAGACCCCTCCCAGCTACATGAGAAAAATGCCACCCCTAAATCCCAGTCCAGCCATCACAGAATTGATCCCCAGACCGTTCTTTTCACGAGACGCAGACTAGACTCATTAAAGCTAGGACGCTAGATAGTCCCGGGGCAAAAAGGCATTAGACAAGTCAATAGTAACAGTTAGACCGGAATGATGTCAGTGTATCCACTTCTCCCGGAGACCCAACAGAGAGGTCTAGACTGACTGGCAATTCCATTGCAAGCATTGTCATTTTTTCGGGCTTTTAGCTACTCCGTATGATTACTTTTTAGATAAAAAATATTGGAGATCCGTTTCGGGTATGTCGTGGACAGTTCCTGCTGGTCTGTGCGCGATCGTGACTGCACAAATCTAGACTCGTTGTGGTTGGGAGGCAATGTGGTGGGACAGGGGGGGGCTGGGGCTGGGGCGAGGCTTGGGCATCAGCTATTTCTCTCTTTTGAGGATCGTCATCATCATGTTGTTGTTGTTGTTGTTGTTGTTGTTGTTGTTGAGGCGGAAGTCAAGTCTTGCTGACTCGAGGTTGTCACATGAATAACAGCCCATCGAACCAAGGAACCAAAGGTAAGGAACAGGATATGATTACTCGTGGTTAGGTTTTGTCTCAACTGAATTCCAGGTTTTTATGTATATTCGTTTTATCCATGCTTCACATTGTCTCTCCAATCATCTTGTGAAATGTAGTAATATCCAGTACCCAAAGAGATAAAAGAAAATTGTGTCTGCCTACTCCTGCGCTAAATTTGAAACCCAAAATCAGAGTCCCGTCCTTTGAAAAAAATGACAAAGTAATTGTAGTGACATCTACTCCAAGTCTAGAGTCCAAACTCCGAAAATGTAAAACTCGAGAATCAGGAGTGGCAATGGGTCGTTTCGTTTTCTCGTAAAAAGGATTCGTCGCGTGATGAGTTCTTTTGTCATGATGTTATAAGCACAGTGAAAGTTGTAGTAGCATGGTGGAGACCGTAAGGAAGGTAGGTGAGTGGGGATAGTTTGCGTTGGACGGAGGATCTCCGGGACCGCTCGTCATCGTAGTTGTCGTCGCTAAAGATCAAATATCGTAGATAGGATTGTATACGGAAAGGCGCGTGTCCTCTCAGGTGGAGGCACGTCGATTGGGGACAAGGATGTTGCTGAGCCGCTTCCACCGTTGCCCCGGCGAGGACAGGTTATCCCGCTCTATGCGATCCTTGTCCATGCTGGCTTTCGAGGAGCCCTGCGTAGAGGATCGTGGTCGGGAGACGAAGGCTTCGTGGTCGGCAAGGACATCTTCGAGGCGTACGTCAGAGTCGGAGATGCGAGGGTAGCCATCGCTGGGGTCAAGAATCTCAATGAATCGGGACGGCATGTCACGCATATTGTGTGGGGTGTATATGTAAGAAGATAAATGTGTGAAAGCGTATGCTGTAAAATCCAGTCTTCAGGCGACAGCCAAAGCAGATAAAAGTGCTCCCTTTTCGCGTCTAGGTGTCGAGGACTGATGGGCAGAGCTTGCTTTTTGTCTTTTCCCTTTACTTCGGTCTTAGTCGGCTGGGGGCGGGGGTCGTGTGCGTGGTCACGAGGCGCGCGGAGAGAACTTTAATCAAATATGGGGAAAGCGGTCGATCATAGAGGTACGTGCATGCAGATATTGACCAGAATCAGGAAATTGTTCGGATGAGGCGAACTAGGAGATTGAAGAAAAAGTAGACGGCTGGGAAGAAGATCCGAACGGAGATGGTTTCCGCGTAGACTAGCTAGGAGGTGGAGGTGATGAAGACCCTTAAAAAAATCGAGGGGTAACTGAGAGGGATGTCTGAGGATAAAGAGAAACAAACCCCTAAAGAAAAAGCAACAAGACGGGAGATGAAAAAGGCACGGATGTTGCAGTAGTAAAGTATGCTGATTCGTTGAGTACGGTTTCAGTTATGCGCCAGGCAGGGATGTCGAAGCAGTATAGGTTTGCAACGGAGGGGGGGGGGTCGGTCAGAAAGATATCTATTGTAATGTATGTCTAGCGGATAAAGGGCGCGAGGCGCCGCTGACGTCCGGAGGAAAGAAAGAGTATATTTATGAGCTCTCTCCACGGTAAGACCCATCACTTGAATGAACAGTATGTCAATTATTCCGCGCTTTTCCCGCCTCCCCAATAGACTACGACCTGTACCAGGCCAAGCGGGGGATGGTGATCATGGATGGGGATCAAGTGTCGGGACTGGTATGGTGGCGTATCTGCGAGAGCAAGGGCAGCGACACCAACTCCCGCCGCGCAAGCATATTTTGATGGGCTGGCGGACCCTGTGATTGATTGGAATATGAGCGGGGAACCTTTTGTGTGAGGAAAAGCGGTTCGTCCGTCATCGTGAAGGGAGGTGTGAAAAAGAAAGACCTCAATGCTGATTGAAGCCGATGATGCTGATGGATGCGTGGGATGGAAGGGGGTTGGTCCGTCGTCTTGGGCCACAGTGCCCCTCCTTCGGGATGAGCAATGGTTCAAGCACGCAAAATCAGAAAAACCAGAGAAAGGAAAAAGAATGATCGTCATCGGGTGACCGACTGTCAGATGTAGAGAGTACAACTGAGTAAGTCAAGGTCCATCATGGGATATTTGAAGATCCACCCACCGGTTCTTCCCGCCCGTCCCGAATGGCTATTAGTTGATGGTACGGCGTACTGTACTCAGGCAACAACTTACACAGCACACAGTATTCCTGCGCTCACTGACTCGACATGACGTTACAAGCTGTGGCTGCGATCATATTTGGTGACCTGTGGCTTGACATCTGAGGCTGGCGATCATAGATTGTCCACGCACACCGCGAGTGGTAGACGTGTTCAAGTCCATCAATCCCTCCGAGTCCAACCAATGTACTTCGCGAAGGCGACCTTCAGATCAGCAGGTTGCAGGTGTGTTGCCTCGAGACGACTCATCGCGCAACGTAAGAGCTTAGCAAGCTCTCGGACAGATCCTGGACTATTCTTAGCAACGGGTTTGACGTCGAGTTGGGTGGGAATGTATGAAAAGGGGAGCTTGTCGCCATCGTGATAAAGTGAGCTGATTGAGAGGGATGGAATTTCCCCCTCGCTCGATGAATGGTTCGCGGCATGTGCTACCGGTGACGTCATGTCCTGCTCTCTCTCTCGCCGTTTTCTCTCCCTAACGACTTCGTCTCTATCAGTAGTACATCGTCATCCGTCATGTCATTCTCTCTCTCAGTAATTTTCCACCAGTAAAAGCAACATGCCGAACAAGCGCGTCAAAAGAAATAACCGGACGTCACAGAAGCTGCCTTCTCCGCCTCGATCCGAACAAGACGCTGGCGTTGCAGATGACGCTCATGGCGTGGAACAGCCTGCGTCAGACGGAGGGAGAACAAAAGAATATCAGACTCAAGACCATGAGTCAGTGAAGTCGGATATTGCGGACGAGGACGAGATGCCTGAGGAGACAATAAGCGTTGGCGACCAACAAGCCATGCACGGTGCGGAGTACGCAGGCGGAAGAGGCGCGGGCTATAACGCGCTCAAGTCATTCAACGGTCAGGTGTATTCTGGAATGGCAGTCGGTGGCTCGCACACCTGGAAGTACGATGAAGGAACATGGAAGGAGACGAAGGAGGAGCCAGACCTCTGGCGCATCGATTATCAGACGAACAAGCGACGGGCAAAGAAAGCGCCCGAGGGCAGCGGTGCTCCTGTGGGGACAGAGTATCACTGGTTAATTGTGGGCCATCAGGTATGTGAGGAGCTCTAGGGGGGTATGGTTATGATCTGCAGTAGCATTGCTTACCCTGAGCAGCACGTCAAGAAAATCGATGCGAACACCTACGAGACCCATCTGACCGGCTCGAAGTATAAGCTCGCGTACAAGTCTGCCTCGTCCGGCTCGTGGTCGGTTCCGACCGTGAGGAAACAGCGGGAAAGAGAGGTCGAGCTGCTGGAAGATGCGATACATCGCGTCCAGGGACTGCCTCCGGTGCTGGCGTCGGAGAAAGTCAAGGTTGAGAAGCATGAGAAGGGCCAGACGAAGCTCGACAATATGTTCGGCAAGGTAGGGACGAAGCGAAAGGCATCTTAGATTGGTTGCTTGTAAGGAGTTTGAGTCTAATCTCATAGTATGCGAACCTAAGCTATGGCTGGCCCATAAAAATTGCTGAGCCAAATTGTGTAAAAGCACCAGTATCAACGCCTAGCTATCTCGTGTATGTTCAATAGTGAAAGCAGGAAGGAAGGAATTGCCCCGTACATGCAGTGCAATACACCTTACTTGGGGCTCAGAGCTATATACTGCGGGATTCCTGCGAGCACCGGCCAAGGTCTGCAATTCGGGGTAGTAATATTTACGAATCTTGCGTTGTATATAAGTATCTGTAATTGTACTAATTTCCTACCTTCAATGCTACAAGTATCACACCTATATCTCAGCACAACTATTATTAATTAAGGATAGTCACCCCGTACATCCCTACAACTTGCCCTCGCAGGGATGCAAGGCGTGAGCGGTTTTGCATATCATCCCCCGCATCTCAGTGCATCCTCCAGCCAGACTGCTACGGAAGCGCATGAAGAGCTTACACGTTTCAGGATGCTATGAGGATGAACGGCTTGCTCATTCAAAACGATTGACGAAAAGCTACTCCATATACAACGAAAGCGAGAAAGAGTCTAGACCCCCGTCGGTTTCATACATACAGCACAAACTCGGTTCAATCCGATCCACAATGGCTGGGGACAATGACATCACTTCTCTACGCGATCTTCCCACGCGCCTTCGCGCCTCGACCTTAATCTTTCTAGAACTTCGCCATACTGCGAGACCTCTAGTTGTATGCGACTGAGATATCCAATCAGCATAGCTAAGTTAATCCCAGGATCAATATGTCCAAACGGATCAATTCCTTCTTCCAGCCTGTCGTATCGAAGAAGCCCAAACCCGATCTCGAACCGACCACTATCACCACCACTTCCTCGCCATCGACCCCCGGGGCGGTCACCCACCATCCAAACTACCCCATGCCCATCCGCGACCTTCCCTCGCATATCTTCAAGCCAATAGCCAACCTGGAGCGAGCCCGACCGCCGAAAGCCATCAACAACCAGCCACACCTCGACCTGCTGTACTTTCAGCCATTCCTCCCGTCCCCCATCGCCCGCGATTTGTTCAACTTCCTCCGAAATGAGCTCCCCTTCTATCGCGTGCAGTACACCATCCGTCGCGGTCCAACCGAGACCCTCATCAACACGCCCCGCTACACGACAGTCTTCGGCGTGGACGAAACAAGCATCTTCATCCCAGGCTTCCCAGGCTCGGGGGATATCCCGAACACCGATCCGAAACCCAGCGGTGATGAGAAGTCCTCTGTGGAGTCAACCTCCACCCCAACGCCTACTCTGACCCTCGTGGAGTCCCGCACCCGCGCTCCAGCAACCACCCTCAAAGATAAGATGAAATACAACCATCCGCCGCGCCCCATCCCGCCGTGTCTCGACGCCCTGCGTCAAGCCGTCGAGGCCGCCACCGCCGACGGGACTCACTATAACTTCTGTCTGGTGAACTACTACGCCACGGGTGATGATAGTATCTCGTATCACTCGGACGATGAGCGGTTCCTAGGCCCGAACCCCACGATCGCGTCGATCTCGCTCGGAGGACAACGAGACTTTCTGTTGAAACACAAACCCGTGGCTGGGAGTGATGTCGACGCGGGGAAGCCGCTCAAGTTCCCGCTCGACTCCGGGGATATGATTATTATGAGGGGCGAGACGCAGGCGAATTGGTTGCACAGTATACCGAAGCGAAAGGGCGCGCAGGGGAGCCAGGGGAGGATCAATATCACATTCCGCAAGGCGGTGGTACCTGGTGGCACAAACAATTACTATAGATATAATGTGGGCGATGGGGCGGTCTACCGATGGGACGAGTCCGGCAAACGCATGGTCGCTGTCAAGAAGGAGGAAGTTCAGAAGGAGAAGGAGGAGTCGCAGAAGGCGGACGAGGTAAAGGTTGATGGTTGAGGCAAGACGAGGGAGGTGTACCCGGTAGACGAAATTCGCACATATTAGGACCACAAGAATGGGTTCTGGTAGTTTCTGAACCGGACCAGTGACACCGCGCCCTCGAGGATGTGCTGCAGGAGGGTTCCGTAGTCCCATCCGATAGCAGCGGCGGCAAGGACGCAAAGACTAGCTTGATCTTCACGACCAGGACGGCCAGGGCCGGTCATATTCTAAAATTTTGCACATTAGAGATTCCCACTTTGAGAACAAGACACAGGGGACATACAGGCTTCATGTTAATATCGAAGATGGCGAATTCGGATCCCTCACGGAATCGTCTGGTATCGATACGTACAGGCGCGGTGGCCCCGATCAGACTTGCAACCTGCTCGCATTGCCGCATCACAGAGCCATACGAGGCATCCTGCATCTCGTCCGCAGTCACCACCCGGGAATTAGCAGTGACAGCCACTGCACCACAGTACGGCGCCACACCGTCGACGTGATTGAACCGCGTGACCGGAGGGAGACTCCAGTGCGTCTCATGGCCCGCAGACGGCGGCATGACGGTAATAGTCACTTCTTCGCCGGTGAGGAACTCTTCAATCACCATCACGCTCGACTCCTGCACCAGTATCTCGACATGCGCCTCGAGTTCTGCGGAATCGTGACACAGTTTCACGCCGTGGCTACCGCGGCCGCGCACGGGTTTCGCGATAACAGGAAACCGATGAATAGAGCCCAGAACTGAAGCCACCTCATCGGTGGTGTGGATCACCCAGGACTGGGGGAGGGTGAAGGAGCCATGCTTGCGTAGCTGCTCGTTCAGGTAGGCCTTGTCGTCGAAGTCCTCAACCAGCGCGGGAGGTTGTCCGATGATGAAGAGCGAGTCCGTGGCGGCCAGCGATTCTGCTACCTGCAGTGGATGCGAAGAGAATAAGACAGTGTTGGCCCATAGATGCGTTGCACCCTGTTTGACCGCGGACGAAATGCCCTCCTCGGTGTCGGGGAAGCACCAGCCTTCCTGTACTGAAGGGTCCGGGGATGTCGAGGGGGTCAGGACGTGAACACCATGCTTGCGAAGCATGTGGGCGATATCTGCGCCCGAGTCTTGGTAGCCTGGCGCGGAGTGTTAGTCTAACTATGAATGAGGAGAGGGAGCAGAGTCAACTCTACCGCCAGGCTTGCGAGGCTTGCGGGCACCGTTGATAATAGGTGGCTCGAGCGCTTGGTAGAGGATTGCAACGGTGGGATGGCCACGAGCGCTGGGATGACTCAGTCGCGTGGACTGTTGTTTGCAGAGGCTCATAGTTGTGATAGTCAATGTGTATCTGTTTATTCGTTCATGAGGGCTTGGGAAGAGGAACCCTTGATATATTCCGTACTGTGTAGCTTCATGGAGCAGTCCGGAAGTGCCGAAAATCGGCACTTCGGATTAGACCAATGCAGTTCGATGAGATCATTCGATGACATTAGAGCCTTCACATACTGACAACAAATGTATCTTGAGATTATCAGCTGAGGAGCTATATTCAAGATACTGACAATGCACAAGAGATGCATCGATGGGATTCATCCATGAAGGTGACTGAGGATCCTGGCCCGTCAACCAGCGTGGGGACACGGCAAAAAGTGGAGAGTAGCTGGAAAAATGGTAGCAGAAAAGCACGCCGCCCGAGTTTATGAATTCCTGAAGCGACTGCGAATTTTGGAGTTGGCTTCTGGATTGCAAATCCTGCAACGGAGTTTACAGGCACATGAATGAATTACTACTTGAATTGAAGTTTCGATAACATGCATGATGAGCTTTGTGACTGGCATGTATTATTTAATGAGGAACGGTCATAGCGGCACACAGATGCCCTTACAATCTTGGTCTCCAGCCTTCCTCGACCTCCCCTCTGGCTTGCTCCGCCTCAACAAGACTCTGAGATATTATTCCACTTGCATTCCTGCCACTTGCGTCCACAATGTTGACTCCTCCAGTTAGAGCCTTGTCGCTTGCGCTTTTCGCCAGCTCTTCACGTTCCCTTACGAAAATAGAACCCCATCTCTCGACCGACGAACAACATACGCTCGGGGCAGCTCCTTCTCTGGGATCATATGCTGATACAGATGACAGCTGCATCGAGGATGGGTGGATGTGAGATTGACACAGCCTTCAGTTCCGTCAGAGCTATCTAGACTCGTGGATCCAATCTGTCGATCCACCACGTACTATCTCTCTGTTCTTGCTTCATGGTATCCAATACCACCAGTGTGACCATCCATCTCCATCACATGACTCACTATTCGTGGTTGGACGTCGATCTCTCCGCTGACATCGTAAGCAGAAATGTTTACACCGGCGTGGCCGCGTAATCTATGCACCCAAGGAAATATTCATGGCGATTGATTGGATGAAAGAGGTGAATTGATGAGGGCAAAGTCGCTCACTCAGCCTCAAATTCGGTATCAGCCAAATTACAGACCCTGTATAGTCCTGCTCAGGATATGGAATAGAGTTGTGATACAACTTGTCTTTGTCACCCCTCAGAATTGTGTACGTGGTGCTTCCGCACCTAGTAAAGTCTGACGATGGCTCTATGCTTCTCGATCAACGGGTGCAGCGCCAATCGAATCTGTTCACATAGACCTCAATCCCCCCACCCCTTGTAGGACAGGAGGCTCATAACGACGGCGTTGACAACGAGCGGAAAAACCGCCAAAGTCTGTCACATGGTAAATCTCCACGGTTTCCAGAAAGCGTAAGAGGTCGAAACGCCTCATGTGTGACCGGCTTTGAAGCTGCCAAAGTAGGCGGAGCACACAGCATCAGCGTGGAAGAGATTGGGGGTGGGGAACAACGCGGGAAACCTATGATTCAAGATATGATGCTTATGTTACTCAATCAAAGGTGGTACAGCCAGTGGAAGGACAACTATTCAATACAGACGGGGATCTAACTCGAACACGAGCTCATGCTGTATAACCGGAATCCCATGAGTTATTGCAGTGGCTTTTGGCAACCTTGTTGATCCGCTGCTAAGCAGCCGCGTGGATGTGGTTCGAGCTGCGATGGTTGCATGGTAGATACGCTCCCGGTCTTTGCCATGGCTTTATTGAATCGGTCCACAATACGGTGTCCTTATCATTTGTTCCTGACTTTCCAAGATGCATCAGCAATGAGGGAACTTTCAATTCCCGGGGCAGCAATTGGGATAAGTAACGGGGCTCCAACTGGGTAAGGCTGACCCAAATGTGTAGGTTGGTCGATGCCGCAAAATGTCTCTGATACCGACAGTGGCGAAGGCGACACAGAGTAAGGATGTTGTTTAGTCAGGCGCGCCCAACTTTGTGTGCGGTATATGTGATTCCGTACATCATTGGAAGAACGGTTTGACGTAGTCCACTTCAAGCACACCCCGGGATTGAAGACCAGCAATTCCTTTAACTGACAATGCGTTGGGCTTCACTGTAAGAGATAGATCGAGAGGGAACATGAGCGTCTGCGTAGACTTTTCAATTCAAAACGCGTTCGAAAAGGGAAAGCACGGGTGCTGTCCCTACCGAGACAGCCGTGCCATGAACTAGCTTTGAGAAGCTGTAAAGGGAGTCATCAATATCAGGTGCAGGAGCCACATATGCGGTTCGAGTATCATGATGTAAAATAGGGCTGCAGAAGCATCGCAAGCAAAGCGAGTATTCAGAATAAGGAACATTACACAATATATCGTAATCACAATATTACGATCGAACGTAAATCGAGTGCACTTCCAGATAATAGTCCCTTCTCCCAGTCCGTCACGGCATAGTAATGATCGAACGATCCGGCTACCTTTACTGTTCCAGGATGCAACCCGGGTACTCGGGGACTAAGGCTTAGATTGAATTTTGTAGGTTGACGGTAAGTGTCCAATCGTACCGATGAGAAGTGAATAGACATTCTATTCGACCCGCTCTCCTGCATAAAGTGAACTTCTGAAGGTCTATGCTATCGTTTATGCAGCTTGTTCTCGTGCTGCATGCGCCCATCACTGATGAAAGCCGAAGCTGGAACTGAGGATGTATCCGCCGATCTCCGTAACGCCAAATCATGCAATGAAAGCTGTGTACGTCGTACCCTGAGCCGGGTGTAGCAATGAACACGCAGACCCTTTGATGAGAAACCACAATGGCTCCGACAAGAAACCTTAGGAAAGTGCTGATTGCAGCAATCATCGTAGTGTAAATCGGGCGCAAATGTCGTGATGTATGTGTTCGTTGATGTGGTCAAGTCTTTCACAGATTGTGGCCGTTCTGATGGCACAAGCACAATCGACGCATGGGGTTCGACTCTATACAGTTGCTGTCAACTTACAAAAGCCCATTGACATTCTCGGGTACTATGATCAGGTCAGGAAGCAATGTATTGTACTTAGTAGCCGTATGTAACCGCTTCAAGCTGAGGCTTCATTGAGGACAGTGATGTGTGAGAAGGAGCAATGCCACAGTTCCTGCTAGTTTGCCTAAGTATTAGCACATTGCCCTCGAATATTTCGAGTGACTTGACCGAAGATTAGTGCTGTTTCCAATGCGGCACAGAAACTCAGACCTACTTTTCAGCAAGACAGAAGGATATCGTTAGCAAAAATTCCGCCGCCAAGAAGCAAGCACAACCTTCGCAGGGATGTTGTCGTTGTGTGTCAATTGTCTGATCATAGAAAGGCAAGGGGTCTAAGTCTGGATTCAAGGGTGTTGTGCTGCTCCAGTTGCACCTGGCGACTTAAGCTGACTTGATAAGTATAGTAACTGATAGACACCTTCAAGCTCACATGTACTACTAGCACTTAGTTACTGAGAGAAGCTCAGTCAACGTCACCCGGAAACCCCAGAACACATTGTTCTCACTAATGACCAAACGAAAATATGTCATAGAACTCTTCTCCAGTGACTGAGGTAGTGTCGAATGCTTAGGTTGAGGGAAGGTACCTGTCGTTCGCGAGTTAGATGAAAACACCTCTCGCTGCCTCCTTCAACAGCTTGGCGTCACTTGGACTGATGCAACATGAGAATTCTGGAAGTCCAATCACAAACAATCGATTCGCCGAAGAAAAATAGAGCAGTTGCAAGTCGGCTTCGAGAGTGATTGATAGCAGAATAGGATCTGGCAGATTGTCTGGAAGTGCCGACAACCGCTCCGAAGCTGATGGCGGGATCAGCCAGTTAGTGGGCAGGTGCAGAGCACAACCAGATTCGGGAGGAGAAGCACCTCCCCGCCCCCGCCCATGACCTCAACTCTTCTCAACATCATGACACTTCATCTTCTTCCCATTCCTTTCTATTCCATTGAGTCTCATCCACACAGAGCATTGACTTTGCACGGGCGGACTTCGCGGAGCGAAGTAACTGACTGTAAGTTAGACTTGTCAGTGTGTCATTTTAATGGCTCATCAGTCGATCAATCAAAAAAGAATACGTCGAGCTTGCTACCAGAGGTGGTGTAAGGTGTCTTGTCCTCGAGTGATTATCGCCAAGGTCGACAGATGTCACCCAAGGCTTTAGACGAGCACCATAATCTTCTCACTGAATGCTGAGAAGGCAGATGATAGAGCCAGCTGAAGCCGAGATGTGGCCACTCAGACTTGGCAATTTGGCTAATAAGTGAGACATACAAGAGTCTTCAAGGTGGTATAAGAACTCTATTGTACGTACGTCTCATCTGACGGTCAATGCCGCAGGGTCCGCCGTACTACTCGTGCCCAGGCCCACGTTGTTTCATGAATGCCGAATGAAACAGCAGCAAAATGTTCCCCTCTACCTGCCAATATACACTAAATCTTGGCTTTCTCCTCATCGACCTCGATCGACTGGCTATTCGGGAGGATGAACAGAATGAGACCCAAGCTCCTGATGGCCACAGGAGTATCTGGACAATTTTCCGGTCGAAGCGAAAGACTCATGATAATCAACCTTGAATTAAGCGCTACTGGTATCGCCTAGTCAAATCTGCATCAGTAGTCCGGACCAAGTCCGCCTAGTTCGAAGCCTTCAAAAAGTCGCTATCTGAGCCACAAAACCATCGCCCAACGGTTCGGTTAATTGCCCAGGGCTTTGCTCGAAGACGGTTCAAGGTCGATGCTGATTGCCGTGACTTATTCGCACGCACATACCAGACAATTACTAGTGGCGCACATGCAGAGCAAGCGTGATAATGCATCTCCTGCCGACAAGGTAATTTAGGCTCGACCTAAAAGAGCATCATTTTGGTGGATGTGTGCCAGAAGAGTTACTCCTTATGGAAATCTGATGCTTTTGTCCGCATTGAGTAGAGGGACTAACCAGCCTGGCACCAAGCGGCACTGGTGCCTATTTCTCGAAGCGCCACCAACATTGACACTGGCCACGCACTTGAACAACACTGCGGCAGTAATATTCTAGTCGGTGGGGCAATGAAGGATTACAACTAGAATCCACACACTTATGGTGTCCCTGAATGCACAGCGGCACAAATACTGAACATAAGGTACGTAGGAATCTGATGCAAGCTTTCCCGTACAGACGGAGATGTCTGCTTACTTATTTCACGGACTTTAATCAGTTTCCATTTTTCACCAGGCACACACACTGTACGTAATGCAGTACTGGCTCTATGTTCTTCTGTACGACTTTTTATCTCTCTCTTTGTGCAACCGCTCGACACGACACAAGAACAATTCCAGGATGACATGTACTATCCCGGGCCAGCCGGAGGTGTATAATTGTTACCCTGCTCTTGGCAGCTCAACTCCCCCTCCTTCACCTTTGCCTAGACATGCCCCCCTCCAAGCTATTATCACGGGATGCAGAATTTCAAGGTCGCACTACTATGAGGCAAGGTCAACTTTGAAAAATGAAACGAACAAGGTCCTTGGCAGATTCTATCCCATGCTTCCTCATTGGGCTACGCACTGAAGCGGTCAAACGCGCACTCCAGTAACCTGATTAACCTTCTTCGACATTGACAAAGGATCTCAAGCTGAAGAAGAAAGTGAAACAAGCTCTTGAGATTGCCGAAGTGAAGATTATAACATTGCATATGTCACTTTTGTCCAGCCGATGAGCATGTCATCAGAATTTATTTCAGGCTACAGTGAGCATGCATTCGGCAAACTTCCTCTACTGACTATTAGTGAAACAATTTTAAATTAGTCTTGTCTATTATTGATAGGGAAGCCCTCTCTTTGTGCATTAAAGGGCTCTATAAGCGGCAAAGCAACAGTACAACGGCCACCAATCTCACTCGAGTCCTTCAAAGGGTGGACACGATGCAATTTCTAAGCCTTCGTCATGACATTGTTTATTGGCACTTGGCAGACTGCCACCATGTTTGCTTAGTGTCTCGGCATCTGAAAAGGATAGAGGTCAGATCAATGTGGTTAGATTTGGCTGTCCGGCTAACCTGCACAGGATATACTTCAACGACTCTTTTAGGTATAGATTTAAACCTGCATTCATTCTGCGTTAGACATCATGCTACTGTGTTCCGTGTACAGCAAAACCCTCTTTAGCTCGGCCCCAATACTCATTGATCTGCGTTCAGCTCCCCTGTAGTCATAGGTAAGTGCGGAGGCTGCGCGTATACTGGGTGCGGATTTATTCTAATCTCAATATGCTTCAGTCTATACATTAAACTGCAGGGCAGCTTGCTCGAGGATCGCCGGGTGGACGTAACCCGCTCATGGTAATGCAGGCTGAACAATTTCTCCAGTGGCCGGCCGAAAGGGTATCGTGAGGTGCCACCGTGTATGATTGTCAACAAATGCGGAGGCATTTTTGTCCCGCTAAGAATGATAATCTCTTCCCTAGAAAGGAAGAAAATTCACATCATAAGTTTATCGATACAAGATCTACTCGAGACGCACAAGGATAAGCTGAAGTACATATACTTCACTCAATTGACCCAAACCAGCCAAAGTCCGCGGAGTTTACACTTCCTCTCCGACCGACTCCGACTTGCACATCAACAGTAAAGGCCTATCTTTAGTTTCTGAAGGCTTGCGTATCAGTTCCTCGGTCCGTGTTGAAAAGGAACCGACAGGTGATTTTTCTTAGTCCGTTATGTCCAGATAGCAGACCAGCCGAGGACGCTACATCGGTGTCGGATAGCATGATCAACTTGCACCTTTGGCTCCATAACCATAAAGCCCACTTATCCGTCTTGAGCCCGAGGATCGACGCCGCGTGGGTCAACCTTGATTTCTGAGTTATTTGATTTCTCTTCTCTCCATTTTTTTTCCGCGTGGATGCAAGTGCTGATGTAAGATTTTGCCTTCAGTGGATTGACGCCGTACTTTCGTGGCCGCGCGCTCTTAATCCTGAAGAATTATAATTGGGGAGATCTGGAAGACCACTAAGCCAGTAAAGGCAGGTGAGGACTCCATCAAGGCAGCCGCCAATCCTTCAATCTAACCATACAAAAGGTATTCCTTTGTATTCATTCGTCTCACTCACTGAAGGCATGAACTGTGTGTTGCAATCTTGCAGCAGGGATGAATGCTCCCAGGTCAATTCAAGCGAAGATGCATTACACATGACATTTGATTTGGCTAATCAAGGTACATGGTTGAGGCTCTGAGCTTTCCAAACAGACCCTGAATCTCACCTGCCAATCAGAAGAATTAAACAGTTTTTCCAGGAATAAGCCTCATATCCGTGGCTTGCGCAGGGTTCATGTAAGTCAGATGGGCCCAGATTTCTATCGGTGCAGCCGAAGCAAGGGATTTTGTGGTGACACAGGGTGTCATAGTCTGTCACTTTTACTGTCCGCCCGAAGCCACGTTTCCTTTCAGGCATCCACCTGCTCTGCTACGTGCTCTCCCTGGTGGGGTATCTGGAAGACCGGATATTTTTGCTCAAGATTCGGGAACTAAGTATAGTTAGTACCTATGCATTGCAGTGTATTAGCTCAGTGGGCACCCGCTCCACTGACAGCGCCGTGCCGAGTTCTGGCCTCGAAGACCCAAGTTCATTTGGGAGGGTGGTACAAATACGCTGTGGCCAACGGTAAAACCTGAAACAGAGAGCGGGCTAACAGGCTTGCAGTTCAACAGGATTGAACTAAAACTAAGAAAAGATGAGGAAGGACCTGCACCAACACCAATGGATATTTCCCGCAGGAGCGCTATACGGTTGGTGGAGCATTAGCTTCTTCCGCTGATGGGGAATCTGCACTGGGGAATCTTTCCCTATTTCACATCAATTCAAGTCGACCGACCGTGCAGAGTACGCAAATTAGCGACAGGAAAGACTAGTGCATCCGATTGGAAAGCCACCTATGACTACGGCTGCTGCTGCCATCATACTAGGGCTGAACGAGACAGGACGACTAAGGGTACTCTCCTAGGAGTTGTGTTGGGCAAAAGAAGCCGATTCGGGCACGGAGGGGGCTTGATAGGAGCAGAAGGCCCCTGGCCGGGGACAATCACCCGCAGCCTAGAGCTATATCAGATCGAGAGATTCTATAGCAGTGACGCGCCATTTGCGGTTCGCCGTTCGCCTATCGCACCAGGCAAGGAAAGCTAAGTAAAGCCGCTAAGGCAAAGAGGCACTCACTGACTCGGCTCCAGGCCTAAGGCTCTAAGGCCCCTAAGGCGGCCAGAACTGGACTTTGATTTAACTTCTTATCGTCAGCTCTAATTATTTCACTCACTAGGGGTTTGGACGATCCCCGTACCGTCAGTGATTTGAATACTTGGTATCGTTTCCCACCCTTGCATGTGCAGGACATGTAAAAGAAGGGATTGCAATCCTTCCATCCATTGGTTTTTGTTTTGACTAAGTTCCGCGGGTTAAATCAGAGAATCGAGAATTGGCTGATTGGCATATGGTTTGCCAAGAGATATCTTGGACTGACGATACTTTATCCACCCTCCTCCCTCTAGGAAGTCCTAAATCGCGGCAGACAATCCTTCCTCTACCTTTCGTTAAGGCAGGCTGTTGGTGTCAAGCAACTACCCTCCCGGTCTCCACTACACACTCTCATACCTCCGCAATAGTTATCTTACCCACGTTGCTACCATTTATCTACGCAATGCTAGGTACTCATGCACCTCAAGTCTCGTTGAGAATGAGTCTTGAAGAGGAGAATCTCCACCAGAAAGCGAAGAGCAACCACTTTCTCCCGCCTCCTCCCTCACAACCGACAGCTGAAGGAGATTTCCGGTGCGGAATCTGCAATAAGACATACAGTCGACGTAGGCCACCCTTCTCCTATGATTCTGTCGATTGACTCTTGATTCCTTCTTGTTGCCCCGCTATCATGACCAAACTTCGTGTCTCTACCCTGGACAACCATATTGATAGCATGACAGGCGATTTGCGGGATAGACATCGTCGTCGATGCATCAAGAACATCGGCCAGGAACGCCAATCCAAGCGCAAGTCTTGTGACGCGTGTGCTCAGAAGAAGCTGCGTTGTTCCATGACTCGTCCTTCCTGTAGTCGATGTCTACAAAGTCGAAGACCCTGCGTCTTCCCAGCATCCTGTGTCCCTGTAACATCATTGGAGTCTGTCATATCCCAGGCGAATCCTGAGCTGGCTACCACATCACCCCTCACCTCCCTCTATGTTCCTCTGACTCTAACTCCGGGGAACGAGCTGTGGGCGCCCTCAGCGCCGCCTTTCGAAACTTCATCCAACCCTGACGATACATCAAGGACATCATGGAGTCCCTCAACTTCTTCCAACGTGGAATTGTTGTTCCATGGTCACAGTGACAGTACTGTGTTTTCGAATCAAGGTCACTGGCCCTATGGATCACCATCCGGCTCTGATTACTTCACTACACAGCCCGACCACCAGACGCATGATCACCTGCCTGGCATGATTGATGACTACTTTGGGTCCCCATCACAGCTGCCGTATCACTCGCAGCACGGAACTACCGCATCGTCACCCTCGGCGATGATGCCACCGACGCCAGCAACATATTCAGGCGACTCGTGCTCGTTGCACAATGGGCTAACGATGGCATCACTCTCATCCGCCTATACGGAATATGCTTGGAGTGAGGGAGTATCAGCTTACGATGATGATGAGCTCTTACCTTTGACTGCATATCCAGAGGCAGTGTCTGGTGCGGTATTTGGTGAAAATTTTATGTCTAAAGGGAGTACTGCATCCAGTAACACTGCTGGTAATGTGATTCAGGCGATGGTCAGCTTACTGAGAGAATATCCTGGGGTTGCACTGCAGCAGAAGCTGAACTCTCCATTTCTACATCCCGAGTTGCATGCTGAGGCCATGAAAACCTTAAGAGAGCCTCCGGAAAGTACACTAGCCATTCTGTCAGCCTTTGTCACCTATGTGGAATCTTACGAGATGGCTCACGGCGGGACTCGTGATTTCGACCATTTCGGCCAAGGGTTGGAGAGTTGCATTACTCCTCTCCACACCCTTTGTGTTAACCAGATACTAGATCTGTTTGACGAGACTCATCTCTTGAAAAATGGACCACGGGAGGTTACATCCACTCCGGTCCTCCAGTCGCTCAATAAGGTGCGTGCTCATGAGAGTAACCTTTTTCTGCGTTATAAACCTTATGTGCCATGCTAATCCGCTCTTTCCAGTTAATCCAGCGGCTATGCATTGTCTACGGGGGTCTTCTCCGCGCCGCTCACGAGGATGAAACAGACTGGGGGCGTTGGAAATTCGGGGAATCCCTGCGCCGAAATATCTACCTGGCGCACATCATCCAGACCTTGGCGGTCAAGACTCAACTCAATGGTCAGTCCCCGCATATTGGAGGGGTTTTCTGTGTCCACCCTCTCCTGCAAGATGAGACACTGCTGCAATTACCTTTGCCCGCGCCGGAAGAGATGTGGCTGGCGCGCAGCGAGGAGGAGTGGATAATCGCACGCACGCAATCCCTCCGGTCCTGGATGGGAACCCTGAACGGCACCATGCTTCCCAATCCTCGGACGCTGCAGCAGTGGTTGATGTTGGACGAGGTGGGCAGTATCAGCGTGTCATCGTTGCCGCCCATCACCCGAATGATCCTGGCCTGCATTAGGCTCAACAACGACCTGACAGTAGCAGTATGAGCTAGAGACATTCATCATTTTTAGGTTCTTCCTCTTTTTTCTCACTTCACCTTGCTTCTCCATACACCTTCATTTTCGTGCATATATTGATGTCTTTCATTTCTTATTAATCGCACGAGCTACACTATATCCGGGATAGAGCGATTCGAAAATCTGCAGTTCTGGCTATTTCTGTATTTTTTTTTAGGCTTGTTTTTGGCCCCTCCTTGTTTCGGCCGCTGGCTGTGTTGCAATCTGTCAATCACCCAGGGCCCGCGGTGGCAATTGAATTAGTGGAGTGGAGTGGGGAGGGGAGGGGAGGGGAGGGGAGGAAGGGAGTGGGAAGCACAGGATCGAAGCGGAGGGAACAACAACCACAAGCCCTACACCATCCGATGTGCACCATGAATTCAACTTGCAATCCCCTCCTTTTTGACTCTCAACCTATAGATTTCCTTCTGCCCACTGTCACGCCCCTTGTTTCTTGCTTCTTTTGAGGCTAAGTAACTCAAAACCCATTAGATTAGATAAGAGGGCAGCCCTAGTTTGTTACTTACAGTATAGCTAGACTAGACTAACTTAAATTAAGTCACTTAAGTTGACTTCTTAAGTGCATGTCCGCAATTCTATCAATGCGTATTGTCGACTCCGTACTCCTCCCGGCAAAAATATGGCCCGGAGCAAAATTTACTGAATCTTTGGATATTAAATTGTAAGGTAAGAAGTTTTTTTTGAGTAAGTATACCAGCCACCTCCGAGGAAAGCCGGCGAGAGTCCCTATGTGTTTTGTCTTGATGAGTATCTTAACGCCGTATTTCGGTTCTGAGCCCCCGAGCCTCACTTTCTCTACGCGCGCGCGGACCCCACCGCGGCATTCGTCATCTCTCTGTGCAGAAAACCCTCATATCTGATAGATAGATTAGGGTCCTCAAGCATGTATTCTATACGTTCAATTTAGAAGGGCCTATTGAACGGACGCCCACCGTATCGCGGTGGGTACAGGTATAAGGTGCAGAACGGACTAAGGAATACCATGCAGTTGCCCCTCTCCTTGGCTCGGCCAGCACCCCCTCCGCAACCCACTTCTTTCTTGCTGAAGATAACTTAGTGAAGGTGCTTTCGGAGGGAAGGGAGGAGGAGGAGAGCAGAACTAGCTTACAGGGTGTGTTAGATAGCGGGATTTGTGATGTGGTCGGAAACCTGCTGGATGCGGCTTCGTCTCGAGTCTCAGGCGAGGCATGATTTCATCTCACTTTCTTACTGCAGGCGAAAGAAATCAATTACCTCGGGAGAAATTAGGGAGATAATGGGGAATGGGCAATATGTGAGACCATAATTCCAACGTGTCTTGCCTGTCGGCTCGACTGTCGGCAACCTTACAGGGCCAAGGTGCTTCTTCTTGCTTTCCGCTCTCCGGGGGAGGGTCGGTCGCCACTCGTTTGCATAATGCATTGAAGGCCCGCGATGTTTTTCCACCCCAGGCGTATTGAATCGGCGAGGCCGATGAAGATCTTGGGTGGAGTGAGGGGCATTGCTCACTGTATACTGTATAGCAGTAGGATGATGCTGGAGGTGTGCTGGTACTGCAGGGTTGTCCGTGCTGTTATCGTCAAAAATTACCTTTATCGGAGAGTGGTAGAGGTAAGAAGGTATACTGGGTTAATTCAGAGTTGTTAATTGATTTCACTGACTGCAAATGAATCCTTCGTCTTGAATCGCTCAGATTCTGACGATCATTACCCTAATTCAGTCTGATCGAGAATGGCAAGTTCAGCAGGAAGAGCAACCTTGTGAATGATTGTGCTAGCTCGACTTGTGTCAGGTGTCAGTAGTGTCAGTAATTTTCCCAATGGTGAGCAAGCAAGACGGCAAAGCAGTTTTATGCTAGTTTAGTAGTCACAATAATCGCTGTGTTGCTCTCCTAGCTGACACTCAATACCAGAGCCTTGACTGAGTCGATGGCAAGAATCCCAAGCCATTCATGCGAGCCAGCTACCGAGCTAGCATGTAGGGTCTGAAACAGACATACAAACGATGATCGAGAAACATCACAAACAGCATCGGGTGTCGCCCGTCTCTGTCTTAGAGACCCACAATGGGAACCCAACACTAGCGCATTTGCTAAATCAGAATGGATTTTGAAAAGCAAGTTAAGCTTAACAATAATCATCAGAAAAAGCGGACACCCTAGTCCGGTTAAAAGGAAGTATGCAACTGAGTGAAGGGGGCGCTTATCACTCATGACTTTGTTTGTTGGCATAGATCATCTCGCAGACTCTAGTAGCCGCAGCTCCTTTGGCAATAAAGGATAGAGTGATGACATGGATTGGATGGTTCATGATCGATGGCGCTAGAAATATAGAGAAGCATGCAATAAGATAACATGATCAGTACACCATATATTGATAGAGTCGCGGGGGCGTTGTTCCTTGGTTGGTTCCTTGGTTTGGTGGGGGTTCAAGCGATATCTCGGCGAGGCGGAAAGGGTTGGGCAGGGTCTTGGAGGCTCTTAGAGGGTTTGCCTTGATGGTTGGCAAGACATGACTTGATGGATAATGTGGTTGTTGATGCCGTACGATACTGTAAGGGTATGCCTCTAAGACATTCATCCCCGTACAGAGCCCATTTTTCACTCACAGAAATTGGCTGAATCTCGTGCGGTTTCTATCTTCGATTTCATCAAAGACTGGCAATTCGCGCTAGTTCGCTCCACTCATGGGGGCCGGGCGGTCAGCGTCGAAATAGCGATGATTGTGAGAGTGACAAGCTGACCAGGTGCCGAAAGCGTTGAGCAAAGACGCGTGGATTGTATCATAGCAAGATGAATTAATTTTCCGTGACTAACCACGAATCGAACTCTAATAGAGCACGGCATAGACAGCTGAACTGGCCGGTGCTCCACTGCAAAAAAGGGACGGACCGTGACCCGGACTATCCGTCAAAACACCGCAACAAAGGGCCTGCGGCAGGCCGAGGTTCTGGAGTTGCTGGCTGAGACTCGCCAGTCACCATGTCCGACGTCTAACTGGGACCTTCGCTTGCATTGCAGCCTGGAGCCTGCAGTTTAGTGACTCTAGTCTAGACTCAGGCCGGCGATTGCCAAGCACGGCTGCCAAGAGAAAGTAACAAAGCCGGGAGATCAGGCAAAAAAAAAAAAGAAGAGGGGAGGTTCGGATCCGGGCCGGGAATACGGATAACGCACTCTGAGTCTCTTCCGTGATTCTGATTGACACTATCAAGTGAACAGATAGCCGCTCTATACACGGAGTAATACACAGATGCGGCTAATGTCCACCGAGGTGATCGACTGCTCTAGCTAGAGCTGAGGATGGTGACTGAAAAGTCGGGCCCAACTGAGTGATAGGCCAGCGTTTGTTGATAACATTTATGCTAGGTAGTGACGAAGTGTGCTGGTGTGTTTATCAATTTCATTCAAGCCATGGTCCGGCTGGTGCAACGGTTTCCCGACGGAGATTTGGGATGGATGCTGTCGTCAGGGAGGGGAGGGAAACATGGTGAGACCTGGAAAAAGAGAGTTTCTCTGGTGAACATCACGAAAATACCAGTGAAGGTTTGCGTTCCTCGTCGATTTGCGGACCTTATGGAAATAGGACGGAGTTGGCGCTCAGGAGCGAAGCACGGCGCACTCGATCGGGAATTTGTTCGGAAAAATAGTAATGTTAATTGCTAGTACGTGGAAACAAAGGCTTGGCTCGTCAAAGTATTGCAACAGTATGAGACCGTATCGCAGTGCTGACCAGGCTGAATGTGGTTCAACTTTCAACCCTTCGGTACGGTCCAATAAGATAAAATGGACATTGCTCTGATACCCCCGTCGACCATCGAAGTCGAGAAGAGGGAAGACAAGCGTCGCCTGTGTCAAAGACAGTCTCATGCCAGTCTTAGGCAGTACTTTAGGCATGGCCTTGATCTCATCTTGATACCAATGCTTCAGCGGAGTACACCGCGTGGCCAAAGCTGCGTTCTTCGTTGTATAATCCCACCGGGTTCAGGTCAGTGTGAACCCTGAACAAGATTTGACATACAGTTCAGGCTCATTCAGGTATCGAAAGAGAAGCTTAGATTGACCCATGTGTTGTGGTAGCTGTGGGTTTCCCTTTGTGTCGTGTTACCGAGATTATTCCGAGGTCAAACGCGCGGTCTGATGCAGACATTTTGTTATCATCCTAGTGTACTCCGTAGCTGATGCGAATGATCCCTGCCTCTGAGCAAAGAAGGCTACAATGATAACCCACCCACGTGAGCATCGATATCCATGTAATGTGGCATCTATTCTGACAAGTTGTGCATTAGCATTATACTAGCTGGAGAACTTTTGAGCCAGCCACGATCGAGTGGAAAAACGACAAATCAGAAATGACAGCTCACTATAACTGTCCTATCTTAGCAGACTCAAGTGGAAGAACGAACCAGAAGCTTAGTCAGTGTCCCTTAGGACCAAGGCTGCGATGTAACGCTCGTTGATTGCTTGCATGGTAAGACATGAAGAGGATCGGTATCCTGGGACGGGACATACGGGTATAACAACATGGAATACCGCACCAGTAGATTGAGACCAAGCTTTTCATTGCTTGGTAAAGCTTGGTAAGAATTGTCCTGATAAGAGTTTAGTTGCACTCGCAGTGGGATCGTATAGGCCCTGCAGCAAGGATGTCGTGGAGAAGCTAATTTGAGTGGGTAAGTAGCCATAAAATGGGAGGCCGAGCCCAGGTCCCTCGTCCCTCCCAGTTAGGAGGCGAATCATGTGAGCGGGCTAAGGGTCAACCTTCCTTTTGTACTTCTTTATAGTAATTCTTCTGTTACCCTCCCGAGACTCATCATTGATCCAAGAGCCCCGATCTTCGTTCATCATGATATTTAGTCTGTCTAATTATACATGTCCACTGCGGACTTCCATTCAGAGCCATAACTACAAACATAGATTAGTTTCGTCAAGCACAACCAGGGGTATATCCCAAAAACATGATAGACATGAACATAAGGAAAAGGTAAATAGAAATGAGAGTAATCCGCCTAACTCCAACCTATGGCTACCTATTCACCACGACCTCCACCGTTTGTGATACATCAATCGTCTTCTGGATGCCACCTGTTTCCGCACTGGAGGCCAGATCCAGCCCACCCGCAAAGGTAATGAGGTGACTCTGATCCGAAGCAGATTCGAGCCCATCGGCCCGCCGCGACGTGCCCATGGAAAATCGTTTACTGCCTCCGTTCTTCATCTTGCTCAATTGCATAGAAGAATTAGGCTCATATCGCTCGGAACTGTAGTAGCCCTTCTTCCAGAGCTTGTTGATAAGGATGTTGATTGTAGGAAGACAGGCGCAGATCAAGGCGACGCCTCCTTCTGCGTTTCTAGTGAAATAGGTCAGTATTATCATTGCCTCAGGCGGAATGAATCCATTGGTTGGTGGGATTTGAGATCTTACCCCGACAGGATGACACAGGTGAACACGATGGTTTGATCTCTCGAACTGCCATCTTGAACCACCAAGACCAAGCGATAGAGACTAAATGCAGTGGCAAGTCCACCGGCAGAAAGCATACCAATGACCCGCAGTTTCTTGCTGCGGGACATTTGCAAGGACCAGGTCAAGGGAAGAGGCAGAATGAGGATAATTAGGTCGGAAACCACACTTATGACCGAATCGGCAATCAGTGCGGCGCGCTGGTTTAAACAGCGGGCGTTAGGACTGCCAGTCCAGTATCCTGAGATGGGATCACACATCCGAATTTTCACGATCTCAGCGATTACATAGTATATGCACAGACAGCCGAGGAAGAAGTAAATCATGAGAACCTTGGTGCGATAAGGAGCGAAAATGCGAATCAAGATGGAGAGGAGAGCGACTTTGACCAGGAGGGCCATGGGGCAGTAGAGCACGGTGGCAATGTAGCAGAACTGCAATATGTAACAAGTCAGATACTGTCAGATGCTAAGGACCGGGTCGACATACCTTGCGAAAAAGGATCTGGTTTGCAGTCGAGACATCATCGATATGGTATCCTCCACCATATTTTCCCACTGAAAAGATGCGTCAGTCAAGTCAAGGGTGAGGGACTGCAGAGGACTCACCCAGCATGGATGTGGCACAATATCCCATGAACAAAATCTACTACATATTAACACTGATCTCGGTAGCAAAGTTTCTTGGTTTGTCATACCCATGCCGACAAACAAGACCCTAGAAGATGTCAGCCTCATGAAGGAACTTGCCCGTAGGTCATAGGAACGTACAATCCTCCACCCCCACCCATTGTTTGTAATATGTACGGATTGAGAATCGTAGAATCACAAAGAGACTGACGATCGGGATACACAAGCACTGTGTGATAAGGTTGACGGTCTTTAAGACATCTTTAGGATCGCTGACAGTCATGACGCCTGGGGTAAACGGGGTGATAACGAATGAATCCCCCCAGAAGTCGAGATAGCATTGACGAAGGGAGTCAGAACTCCATCGCACGTTCGGTGGGGGAGCCCGTTACATTTGTATTATAAATAGGCGAGTCCCAGCTCCATCGCCCAAGTGTCATTGCGCCTAGAGTGTCTCTCAGGGACAAGCACTGATGAAGCCCACCGTGGCGATTCTGATAGGTGCCAGCCGGGTGTCTAGAGAAGCTCAAGTTTGGGTCGGAAGATGGGAGAGGGAAGCCGAAGTTGTTGACCTCCAGTCACAGTGTCGCAGCACGCAAACCGTCGTGATAATCGACCCACTGCGCTGTCGATTGAGAAAACAGAGGGAAAAACCTTAAGCTGGCCGGGCGGGATTCCAGGGGAAGGATTCAATAAGGAAGAACAAGAGGCAGTAGTGGGTGTCTGGGACCAGCTGGGTGGTTACTGACTGGGTCAAGGGACTTCAAAGATTGAGCCTCCACAGCGGATCGATCGTGATAGGTGCAGGAAATGGATATCCATCTCGATTGCTCGTTTTGGGAAAGATGAACAGAGAACGTGACGCTAGAGAGGAACGAGCGTCTCGGAGGAAGAGTTTGTAGAAAGGAGATGTACTACTCCGTCCGTGTTGTGGTCATACTCGAGCCAGCACGAGCCCGACTCGAAATGTTGACAATTCCCTGATCAGGAAAGGAAAGGTACCTCCCTCACTCTACCGTCTCTTTTTCTCTGTCCCGGACGGCTCAAAATAGCGGAGACAGAAGAAGTTTCACTTATCCCTGACTTTTGCATCCGAATGTGCCGACGTCCCCAGCCTTGGCTCATTCTGATGGTGTTAAATTAATTTCCTTTTCATCCTTCGGAGATCATTCATCCTTCAGCCCCGTGAAAGCCCGTGGATTTAACAGTTTAGGGGAAATGCACACGCTGCGATGACAATGGCCTAGCAATAACGACGCCACCACTAACTACTGATACATCGGTACAAATAGCTTTGCAGACTACTGCATCAAGGCATCTTACGCGACGTAATGGCGCAAATGAACAATCCCTAAACTTTAGCCACGCAAACTACTGATGCAAGCGTCAATCATGGGTGAATGTCCAGCCGCGCTAGATGATCCGCCAGTTATGGCGCCGGGTCCGATGGGACAGCGGTAGCCACGCAGTGACCATTGGGGCCATTTTTAGACAACACAACCAAGGCCATTGCGGTGCCACAAGAAAATTCCAGGCAGGTCACTAGCAGGTGTCGGATCAACTCATCAATCCAGTTGGACTTGGCTGAGACGCCAACGCGTGCTCGAACAAGCCCTAGACAGACTAAAATGCGTGCCAAGCCGATCGGGCCTGGTTTTTGACTTTCGCTTCTGGCCGAGAGTGGAGAATTGACCTCCGCTCAGTCGGGAATGGCTGAAGTGAGGCGGTGGTTGGCGTTTCCGAGGACCGCGACCAGGGTTGAAAGGGGGGTGATTTGAATGATGGTTGGTAACCACAAGCAAGGGGTTGGGGGGTACAGAACAATGGTTGTCGAACCGCACGGTTGGCCGCACATGGATCTATATGTCAGCACATTATCATCACTTCCCCAACTTTTACTTTCAGAATCACTATCTCCCTTCCTTGTGGGCGTCAACCCCAAGAAGAGAATTAAAGACCCGATCGTCACTTATCGACCCCCTCCTCCCCTCCTTCTCCTCCTCCTCGGCCAGCCGGAAACACGGTAGCGGACAGTCTGCTCCACTCTCCAAGGTTCAAACCCGTGTCTCTCACTCTCCATAATTTCTCGTATCCGCTACACGTTGCTGGTTGGATATTTTCAAGGAGACTCAAACCTGTCAGGCTCCATCTGTCATACCCGTTGAGGAAATGGCACCTGTTGGTCCCCGTTTGACTCCCCTCTCTCGGGCCATGGCCGAACCAGCAACTCAGGATGAGAGAAAAGCGGATTTCACGAGGAAGTGAAAATCCACGAGCCACCCGGCGGGAAGAAAAGCCCACCACGGCGGCCATTGCTATCCGTGGTTTTTCCCCATCTTGCTCCCCTTTCTGAGGAACTGTGCCTTCACGAGATTGAACCACTGTTCGTCTCTGCCTGCAGCCACCGCATCCATCGCACAGAACTTTAACCCACTCTCCACACCAAAAAAAACCTAGTAGTCATGACTGGCGATCAGCTTCTTCGAGAACAGTCCAAGCTCTTCCAGCCCTTGGCCATCGCTAATGGCAAAATCCAACTCAGCCACCGAGTGGTTCATGCCCCTTTGACGCGCAACCGGGGCGAGCCTTTGAATCCGATCAGTACGCCTGAAAATCCCAATCGAATCTGGTATCCCGGACAATTGATCGTCGAATACTATCGTCAACGCGCAACCCCAGGGGGTCTGATAATTTCCGAGGGCATTCCCCCATCGCTTGAGGTAATTAGATCCGATCCGAGCTTTTGCTGCTCTTTCGATGCGCATCCGGGTCTAAGTCCACCGTTAGAGCAATGGCATGCCAGGTGTCCCCGGTCTATTCACCCAGAAGCAAGCCGCAGGATGGAAAGCCGTGGTTGATGCTGTCCACGCGAAAGGCGGATATATTTACTGCCAGCTCTGGCACGCCGGCCGTGCCACTATCCCTCAGATGACCGGATCGCCCGCTGTCTGTCCCTCCGCCAGCGTCTGGGACTCGCCCACAGAGTGTTACTCCCACCCCCCGGTGGGCTCGACCGAGCCAGTGCGCTACGCAGACTACCCGCCCATTGAACTGAGCATTCCCCACACCAAGCAGACCATCCGAGATTATTGCGACGCCGCTAAGACCGCAATGGATATTGGGTTTGATGGAGTCGAGGTCCACGGTGGAAATGGATACCTTCCCGAGCAGTTCTTGAGCTCGAACATCAACAAGCGCAGTGATGCGTATGGTGGCACTCCTGAGAAGCGTTGCCGCTTTGTGCTCGAGTTAATGGACGAGCTCGCGCAGACGATTGGTGAGGAGAACCTCGCCATCCGTCTCTCGCCGTTTGGTCTATTCAACCAGGCGCGCGGCGAGCAGCGCATGGAGACCTGGACCTTCTTGTGTGAATCGCTGAAACAGGCCCTTCCCAACCTCTCATATGTCAGCTTTATTGAGCCGGTGAGCATCACCTCTGCCCTGCCCACTGCCCCTCCTAGATGTGATTTCCGGCTGACACTTTGGTCTCGAACTCAGAGATACGAACAGATCTTCTCCATAGACGAGAAAGACACCTTTCTCCAGAGCTGGGGTCTCTGCAACGTCGACCTCTCCTCCTTCCGCCGAATTTTCGGCTCCACACCTTTCTTCTCCGCTGGCGGATGGGACCAGACCAATTCGTGGGGGGTGCTGGAATCTGGCCGGTACGACGCCCTGCTGTATGGACGGTACTTCACGAGTAACCCGGACCTGGTGGAGAGGTTGCGCAAGGGTATCCCCCTCACGCTGTACGATCGCAGTCGGTTTTATGGGCCGTTTGAAGACAACAGAATCTGTTATGCGGACTATGAGCCGGCTCAGGGCCACGACGAGGCAGAGGTCCGCGGACGGCTGTGAGGGGTATTCTCACCCGTCAGACACACAATCTGTGATCAGGACAAAGCTTTTAGTTTAGTTTGTGCTCTGCAGCGATCTCTTGACGAATCAATCACGAGCTGGATACCTTCTTTTGTTATTATAGAGGATGCCTGCGTGTGTCGAAGGACTCATGGTACATTCCGATTCCTCGTTAAGGCAGCGCGCCGAACCAGTCTAGAAATCACTTAAGAGGTGTCATGTAGTTAGTGAAAACAACATGACAAAATCTTGCCGCGTGCTGGACGCACAGCTTACCCACACCCCCCTTGCAACCTGACCAGGATTAAGGATTAGGCTCACCAATTTGCATCAATTCCTCTCGAAAATTCTACCTAAGCCGGCAAAGACCAATTTGCATTGCTATCAATCGGACGGGGCCTGCACCCCCTTCCCCAGGAACCCACGATCATGCACATCCCCTGCTGCTCCCGCTCCCTGGCCCCTGCCGCTGATCCCAATACCTCCGATCATCCGAGACACCAAGAAGTAATGTCTTTCCAGCCCAATCTCCAATATCACACCACATCCTAGAAAAATTACCTCTGACTCATAGTCAGGAATTGCATGATAGCGGATCGGGGCTAATTTGTGCGAGAGGGTCTACATTAATCTATCTGGGGCGCTCGAGTCAAGTCTTGTGAGGATTGGGTTGAGTCAGGATGCGAAGGAATTTTGCATACCTCCGCTTGTGGGTCTTGTCTTCACTTGAGCTGTTAGTTTGAAGGCTTTTCTTAGCGGTTACTATGGGATTTATTCATGACTGGGAAGATTGGGTTGTGTTTTGGGGTCAGAGGAGGGTGGTGAGTTTGGCTTTGCGGACATTGGGGGAGCTAGGCTTCAGCAGAAACAGATGGAGGAGGATTGTTCTCTAGTAAGAGGGCTGTGGTGACTGTGCTAAATTGATTCTTGGTCAACAGGTACCTAGACGAAAGGGCAATGAAGTGGGATGGACTGGAAGCCTTTGTTGTCGGATACGTGACTGAGACCACGACAGGTGGAAACATTGCCAGAGATCTTCATTCCGCATTGGCGGTCACATCGAACGACGACTCGAGGTATACAAATTCATATCTCATGCACATTAGCAGCAGCGAAACATACTGAACAAACGCAGTCAAAAGTAAACACAGGCCATCCTCCCCGAATCGAAATTCGGAAGCCATATTATAACCCTCCACACTCCGCCCAAAGCAAGAAATAAGTAGGTATTAAAACAACAACAAAACCAACCAACCTAGACCCGCAGAAATGAGCAAAAATCCCCTTCTTCTTCTTCTCCTCCTCCTCTTCCTCCTCCTCCCTCCTGCTTCTCTCCCAACTCGACCGGCCACACCAGTCCTTCTCAAACCCTCTCCGTTCCCGTATGAGCCTGTACCGGATAAACCACCTGTTCAGCCTGTTTCACCGGGAGGTCGGTGCCATGCGCTTGATAATAGTAGGGCGACTGTCCGTACTGTGCCGCCACCACCTGCTGCGTCTGATACTGGACGTACTGCTGCTGCTGCTGGAAGTGCTGGGCACGGGCCTGGTCCTCTTGTTTCTCGCGCTTGCGGTCCCGACGGTACTTAATCAGGAAGTAGATGAGGCATCCGACGAAGATGCAGAAGAGGATGGGGATGATGATGATTTTGCCGATGATTTTGGCAACGCCCATGGTTGAGATGTGGTTTGCGGTGAAGTCGATGAGACCTTTTGGAGGTGGAGAAGGGGGTATATGGATATTGAGTGAGTTGGCTATGGAGTTGACTGGCTTTTTCAAAGGTTGTGCTTGGACTGAGGAGAGTTGAAAGAGGAGGGGCTTCTGTCAGGCTCTGCTCTACTAGTTATATTATCCTTTCTTTCCAGTCTGTGACCTTCGGTTCTATCGTTAGGCAATCACGTTTTGAAGACCTAGCAGTGGTTCTCACTCTGGGAAGCAGAGTCGGACAACGGAACCTGAATAACATGCTGGTCTCTGCTGCTGGGCGCTACATTGCGCCGTATGATTGGGCAGGTTCGATAGGATTTGGTGAGGGAGAGAGGGGGAAGAGTCGATATCGAATATGCGGGCGATGGCTTATGCATTCTTCGAAGACTCGTCACCTGCATTGCAGTGCGTTGTGATTCCAGTGGAAAAGCTTAGCTGGGGGGTGGATTGGGGAGATCTGGTGAGCTTGGAGTGAGCGGTTTTCCTGTTAAGCCAATCATGGGGATGGGTTTGCCGCCGCGGGAGGGACAGTCCATGCAGCTGAGAACAAGACTCGACCCATAAGGCTGTAGGGCCACGAATGATAGTCGAGAGAGACTTCGTGATCAGTGACTGCCTGGTTATTGTGTAGTTGGGCGGTTGCGAACAGGAATAGGGAAAGAGTCGGTGGCCAATGTTCTGGCCGGATGGACGCTCGTGGGGGGTTTTCAGGGCATACTTAGGCGAAGAGCATTACTTTGGCTAGGCAAGCGTACGCATTCAGCAGAACTCGGCAGATTTGTACTCCGTACGTGATTTGTATAAAAGAGGGTCCTTCGATCAAAGAGACTGGGACTCGAAAGCGGCACTGATGTTACTAGCTTCCCAGGACGGTGGCGCCTGCACTGCTACCAAAGAAGCTCTGCAGATGAAACCACTCCCTCAGAGCCGAGAGGCAACTGCTCTACAGACATCTGCAACAATTGATCCGGAAGAGGAGATGTAAAAGGGAAGGCAGCAAAAGAATCGTCAAAAACATACAACAGAAGGGATTCGCTGGTGGTCACCCACCCAACTACTAACCTCCCGGCGTGTGGCTTGAGGACGGCTGAGCGGACGGGAAGCCCTATTTTCCACACCCTGTGGTCGTATGTGCTTGACAAACTTGTGCAATGGCTATTGTAGCAGGTTTCTTTGGTCCAGCTTCAACTCCCACCGTTTCCCCAGACAGTAACAAGAACCGGTTGGGGCGGCCGAGGATGCCGCGGGCTCCGCGGACAGCACGGAGAGCACGGCGAACACGGAGTGCTTGCTGTTCAAGAGTATGGAATTAGGTAATGGCAAGCTGCATATAAGGCGAATGGACATCCCTGGATAGTCCAAGGAATTAACTAAGCAAAAACGAAAATGTATGCCGTTAGCACTGCTGTGAGGTGCGTGCCCCCTATCCATCTGGTCTCATCCGTCGAGCAGAACGTACTGTATAGATTCTGATATTTACGGGCTGTAGCCAGCAATCCGAATTGGATCGAGCCAAAGGCAAAGAGCGGCGACGCGACTCAAGTATCCCTCGAAATGCAGACGAAAAGAGTACCTTCGAGTTTGGGGGCGCCCCGGGAGTGGCGCTTTTGATGATTGGGTTTCCGCTCCTCATGTACTACATGTACATTGGGGCAACGTTCTATGACGGCCATCTTCCTCTGCCAGGACCGGAACAGTCACTCTCTGATTTCACACTGCATCTCTTTAACCTCGCCCACACGCATGCCTTTCCCCACCGCAGAGCCTGGGTCATATACTGGACGTTTCTCGTGTTGGAAGGACTCGGTTACCTCTATCTGCCCGGGGTATACGGCAAGGGCAAGTGCTTGCCCCATCTGAATGGCAAACAACTCGATTATTACTGTTCAGCCGCTGCCTCGTGGTATGTTACTATTGTGGCAGCGTTGGCCCTGCATCTCACCGGATTCTTCCCTTTGACAACCCTCGTCACTGAATTTGGGCCTCTGATGTCCGTCGCCATATGCTCCGGGTTTCTCGTTTCCATTGCCGCATACGCCTCTGCCCTAGGAAGGAGAGCACAGCATCGCATGACAGGATCGCATGTTTACGACTTCTTCATGGGTGCGGAGCTGAATCCCCGTCTGTTCCGGTGGATCGACATGAAGATGTTTTTTGAGGTTCGCATCCCATGGTACATATTATTTCTGTTGACCTTGGGTACGGCATTGAAGCAATGGGACGAGCTTGGCTATGTTTCAGGCGAGGTTGCCTTCTTGCTCATGGCACATTTCTTGTATGCAAATGCCTGCGCCAAAGGCGAAGAGCTGATCATCACAAGCTGGTGGGTGATTTCCGTCGCTTCGGACGCGCTTTTCTGACCGAGAATCAGGGATATGTACTATGAAAAATGGGGCTTCATGCTCATCTTTTGGAACCTCGCCGGTGTTCCTATGAGCTACTGCCATTGCACCCTGTACTTGGCACATCACGACCCCTCAACCTACCGATGGAACCCAATGGTCTTGGCTGTTTGGGCTATTCTTTATCTGTTCTTGTACTGGGTCTGGGATACTTGTAATAGTCAGAAGAACATCTTCCGTGCTCAAGAGAGAGGTGTTTCTGTGACTCGCAAAACATTCCCGCAGCTTCCGTGGAGATCAGTCAAGAACCCAGAGTCAATCCCTACCAAGACCGGAGACTCTATTCTGTGCAGCGGTTGGTGTACGTGGTCCCGCTCTCTGATGAATTTCGGACTATGGCTGATACTTCTTAGACGGAATGGCCCGAAAGGTTCATTACACGTGTGATTGGTTTTTTGCATTCTCGTGGGGACTGATTACCGGGTTCAACTCGCCATTTCCCTGGTTCTACTCCATATTTTTCACCGTGATGATTATCCACCGTGCTCGCCGCGATATTGAACGCTGCCGCGAGAGGTACGGTGAAGCATGGCGCGAGTACGAAAGACGGGTTCCCTATCTGTTCATCCCGGTGAGTCGTCCCGTCATCTGAAATCTTGAGCTGAGGCTGATCTGAGGCCAGTATGTCTTCTGAAAAGTAGACTAAAGACGGATTAAGGCCCATACATCGAGGTGTGCTGCTGTAATTAGAGGAGTATGTATCATAATTCTAACTGGAGATGTTTAGCTCATGTAATCTGAACTTAAGATATCCATCACCGATCGATTAGCTCCAATGAAATCGTTCAGAAACATGGAGATGTCAGTCTGATTCATCAGGGAATCAAAAGTGTCTTCCGGCCAAGAGACATTGGGGAAGGCGATATTAGTCGCCCCATCCGCAGCTGGCATAACAAGTGATCCATCTTGGTGGCGTTCAATGCCAGACAATGTTTGCCGTGACTTGACCAAGACTTGGGCAGCCTTGACAAATGCTTCACAGACTGTATACAGGTGCAACGAGCCTCGCGAGAGTCCCTTGATCAGCTCTAAGGAGCTGACAGTATCCTGAAGGAGGGCCAGGTCAACGGCGCTTGCGGTGGTAATAGCATGGGTGAACACAATGATGAAAGGTGTGAAGGAAGGGTAAAGAAGAATCCTGTTGCCTGGTCAGCATCTCTCGACTTCAATACTGAGGGAAGACGTACCAATTAACATATTCGGTCTGCTTGTGAGTTTGCCGACCGCGGAAGTATGTGAAGCATTTGAGGTGACTGTGTAGTGCTAATGTAGCGATCTCGTAGCAACGAGACGAAATTGCCATAGCATCACCTGGTCGTGTCTGAGCGCGGTAAATGACCGTCAATACAGAGTAGGCAATGAAATCTGCACAGGCCGCAATTCCGTGCAAAGAGTCAGCATAAAGACCCATGCTTACGTCGATCTGCGATCAGAGTTAATCCTGAACTCAAACAGATAGGAAAGAGCCTCACTGCTAGCAATTTGTCCCGAACTGCCTCTAGGTCTGAGGAAAGTTTTTCTATCGCTGCAGCTCTTTGCTCATCGCTAGCTCGGAAAGCAGACGTAGAATAAAGTTGATCATAGACTCTGCCTTGAATTGTGGCAAACTCCATGCGAACAACACTCATCAAGTCCCAGGGGCGTTGCTTAGGGTCCTCTGATGGCGTGAACAACTCTGCATCGATGTCATGATCTTGAAAGTGAGACGTCAAGCCGATATTCAAGGAAATGTTCTTGTCAATAGTGTACAGTGCCCAAAAAGCATGGCGCTTAGCCTCCGCAGTCGGTAGTGGGTCGTTTCTCAATGCTGTGCGCCTGTGTAGTCCCATGGTTTGACACATATTGAAGGCCAATGACAAGTATGTCCAGCAGCGCTGAATATCAAATTCTTCTTGTGATTTGGTGACCTTTGATACTTAGCCTAGTTCCAGCATGGATCTTGAGCTACTTACCCCGATCAGCAGAGCCTGTATCTTCTCCAAAGTTGGATCGATCATGATTGTGGGGCTAGCAAGACCTGCATCGAGCTGTGTCTCGCAAATTTCCAGTGCTGACGATAAGTTATAACGCCCGAGGTCAGGGTCTTGTGCGTGTAAGTAGTCGCGGATTATATAGTAAAATAGGCCATAGAAAAGTGCGAATGTCCCGGCGGGAACAGGTTCAAGCGGGAAGTATATGGAATGACACAAAGTCTCTATGCGGGTTGCATCAAACCAAGACTGGCTGACCAGAGTGAAAGGAGGTTGAGCTGCCTTGCGTCAGTTGCCTATCACAGCGAGACAGGTCAGGTATGGATGAACCTTTGACTTTCTTCACCACAGCGACAACCAACTCGACAGGAAGCAATATCTCCTTTGGCTGAGTAGCTGTCTGTGTCTCCCCCTGGGTTACTGACGCGCGGTGTTTATCAAGGTTGGTCTTGAGGGACGCAAGTGCGGCCGACACGTAGTCACCTAACTGGCTATTATGCGAAGTGTCTGCGGCAGAATAGGCAGCATCCCTAGCGACGAGTGTCTCATGGTGAAAAGACGAATGGCCTTCGAAAGGGGGTATTGTAGGTCCTGACGGTGTTGGCTCTTGAACCGGCCTGATTGGACCAGATGAACTTGATGGACATATGATTCGCTCGAGCGTCTTCTGAATTGTGGCGAGCTGTTCTTGCAACGCGGAGAATCGCTGCTCACTACACAGCAGATCAGCTTCACAGGTCTACCTGGGGTTCCTATCTTCATACTAGTCATTTGGTGTATTGCTCCGAGGGGAGTCTGGAGCGGTCGACGGCGTTCCAACTGGTCTGCACGGTATCCCCAAGGTGCCACAGCTCGAGCAGGGACTAATTTTGTCGCATTTGATCTAATTCTCTGCTGATCAGATGACGGTTCGAGAGCATAGTCTCGTGGTAGTAATATACCTTGCGAATACGGCAATTATCGCACTGGGTTAGGTCAATACTTTTTATTGCACTCGAAGCTCAGTGGAGGATCATGCCAACCGCGCGGGCCCGAAAACTGCGGGCAGTGGGTGGAGTCCCAGAAACCATCCTCACAAAAGAGTACTTCTTAGATTATAAGCTCATGCGACTTGTTCACCAGGTATGAAATGGTATGTTCGTTCATACAGAAGAGAAGCTGGCCGCAATGCAATTGATCATGTTGCCAGGCAAGCTCTTTGGTGATGGATGGATAAGGGAAGCCCGCGCTATGCCTGTATGGGATATACAGACACGTGACTCCTTTGACAACCTCGGACTAGCGCCATCCTGAGCGCTCCGCTGTATCGTAAATTGCCTAAAGTGGACGGTCGCCTGTTGCTCGGTTGAGTGGCATCTGAAGCTCTCGGAGATTCTCCGTGGCAGACACGCTACATGTCGGCATCACTGCGGTGCGCGACTCAGCTTTTCGGCAAAATTGACAGGCTTTGCCCTCATAGTAATCGCAATTTATGCTGGTATGTTATCAACATGATTGTACTCTCTCCCAGGTAGTATGAAGGCTAACTTTCACTGTCAAGGACAATAGGTGATAACTCACCAAGCAGCAATTTCTCAGTTACTGAACTCGGCTCAATAAGCTCAAAGTTAAGCATCATGGCTAGCAGCTTCTCGGCTCCGTCGGATAACACCTGATTCTACCATCTCAGCATACAGCCTGAATGCAGAATTTAGCATGATGTCACTTCCCCCCACGCTTGTCGTCTGATAATGCGGGGAGACGCCAAGAATACTCGCTGATCATCATATATGAATGATTAAGATGCTTGATCAAACCCCTAGATTGTCTATCTTCAATCAATTCCTCGTGCTTGGAATACACGATGGGACAATTTGGTTTCACCGGACTAGTATGCGGTCTGCTACTGTCCCTGGCAGCGGCTGAAGATGGATTTGCTGGCTGGTTGCGATATGCTCCCATACCATGTGATACCTCTTGCCTCCAGAGACTACCTTCTAAACTCACCCTGCTCAACGCTACTACTGGAAGTCCAATTGAAACAGCAGGTCTCGAATTGATTTCTGGGTTGCAATCCATATTCTCGCAAAACTTGACAACCACGCAATCACGCTGCGACGAATCATCTTCAATCTTGGTTGCAACCGTCGAGGACTTCCGGCACGAATGTAATGCGACTACAGCCATTCCCGAACTTGTTCAAGACGGCTTTTGGCTGCGATCCACTGGTAGCAGTGTTCAGATCCTAGGGCAGAGCGCACGAGGCGCCTTGTACGGAGCATATGAGTACCTGTCACTGTTAGCCCAGGGCAACTTCTCCCATGTTGCTTATTCAAGCAATCCTCATGCTCCAATACGCTGGGTCAACCAGTGGGACAATATGGACGGCGTGATTGAGAGAGGCTACGGCGGATTATCGATATTTTTCAAGAACGGGCGGGTCGTCGATGACTTAGCGCCAGTCAAACAATATGCTCGCCTTCTGGCATCCATTAGAATCAACGGTCTGATTGTCAACAACGTCAATGCGAATGCCACTTTACTCTCTGCGGAGAACATGAGAGGATTAGGCCGGATTGCAGATGTATGCCGGCCGTACGGTGTTCGAATCGGCGTTTCGCTCAACTTCGCATCTCCTGAAACTCTGGGCGGCTTGGACACTTTTGACCCGCTGGATGCAACGGTTGTTAACTGGTGGAACAATATCACGAACAGCTTGTACGAACACGTCCCAGACTTGGCAGGGTATCTAGTCAAAGCAGATTCCGAAGGTCAGCCCGGCCCTAGCACATACAACAGGACATTGTCACAAGGTGCAAATCTCTTTGCACGGGCTCTTCAACCGCACGGGGGTATTTTAATGTTCCGAGCTTTTGTCTATGACAGTAACTTGAACGAGTCAGACTGGAAAGCAGACCGAGCCAAGGCAGCAGTGCAATATTTCAAAAACCTAGATGGTGAATTTGAAGAGAATGCGGTCGTGCAGATCAAATACGGGCCCATTGACTTTCAAGTACGCGAGCCCGTATCGCCTCTCTTCGCCAATCTTTTCGAGACGAATACAGCCATTGAGCTTGAGGTCAGCCAGGAATATCTAGGTCAACAGAACCATCTTGTTTATCTTCCCCCGCTCTGGAAAACTATTCTCAATTTCGACCTCCGAGTTGACCATAAGCCCTCTCTGGTGCGGGATATCATATCCGGAGAACGGTTCAATCGTACCTTGGGCGGTTGGGCGGCTGTTGTGAACGTGGGAACCAACACGACGTGGCTCGGAAGTCACATTGCCATGTCAAATCTATACGCATACGGTCGCCTGGCTTGGTGCCCAACAGACGATTCGGAGCGTATTCTGCATGACTGGACCCGTCTCACATTCGGGACGAATTCTCAAGTCATCAACACGATCACCAACATCTCTATGGCCTCTTGGCCTGCTTATGAGCAATACAGCGGCAATCTAGGTATTCAGACTCTAACAGACATTCTCTACACCCACTATGGGCCGAACCCCGCCTCGCAAGACAACAACGGCTGGGGTCAGTGGACCCGAGCAGACCACGAGACCGTGGGGATGGATCGAACCGTCGGGAACGGAACCGGATATACAGGTCAGTATCCTACAGAGATCGCCCAACGATTCGAATATCTCAACTCCACCCCCGATGATCTGGTCCTCTGGTTTCACCATGTTCCCTGGACCCATCGACTGCACTCCGGGAAAACTGTCATCCAGCACTTCTATGACGCCCATTACGCCGGCGCCGAGACAGCGCAGACCTTTGTTTCGCAGTGGGAGTCTCTGCGCGGGCTGGTTGACAAGGAAAGATACGATGCTGTACTTGATCGGCTCGTTTACCAAGCTGGGCACTCCATTGTATGGCGAGACGCGGTCAACAACTTCTACTTCAACATGACGGGAATCCCTGATCAGAAGAGGCGGGTGGGTCAACATCCTTGGCGCATTGAGGCGGAGAGCATGGAGCTAGACGGCTACCGACTGTACACTGTCAGCCCATTCGAAACGGCTTCCAATGGGACGGCTATTGTGACTTCATCCAACTCCACGACTGGGACAGCGCGAACCACGCTCCACTTTCCAGCAAGTACGTACGACATAGGCGTCAATTACTATGATATGTATGGAGGTGAGTCGCACTGGACACTAAGTCTCAATGACCAAGTGGTTGGTGAATGGATTGGCAATATGCGCAACCACACGTTGGGAAATTCTGTCTCTATCTACTTAGATGGCCACTCGGCGACTAGGGTGATTTTCCGAGGGGTCAAAGTTCAGAAGGGGGATGAGCTGAAGATCGTCGGAAGACCCGATGGCGTTGAGCCTGCGCCGGTGGATTATGTTGTGCTACTACCATCTGGAGTGGTGGATTAGCCGGACAGATGAGATGGCTAGTGTAGGAATCATACTCTAAATAAGCAACGGACGAACGTCCCTTCCATACGCATAGTGTACTCGATGCGTACAAGATCCTTAGACACAGTTTCCTATCAGTCACATTCGTATCAGTGACAGATGCTGACTGAACTCTTCGCTTGGCCCTCCTAGCACAAAGTAACACGCGCTTCAGGGATTGTGAAACAGGCGTTTTGGTAGTGTGCCGAATGCAAGTGTGGTACGACCTTCCCATGATCTACAACAGTTCCAAGGACCCCGCCAAAACAAGCGCTACCAATTCAAGGACTACAGTACACTATGAGTACGCACATTGAAAACGGGTAACAAACAAAATCATCGGCTTTTGTTCATTAATTTGAAGATATCATTATTGTAACTTTTTACACCGCCTAGTTGGCAGCAATCTTCTTCCAGCTCTCACGGGTCTTGAGCTCCTCCCACCACTTTTGGACGTGAGGATACTTTGGCAGCAGCTCCTTGAAGCCAAACTGCTCGACAAAGACACCGTAAGGGAGGTGATTGAGATCGGCAAGCGTCACGTTGTCGCCAGCAAGGTACTTCTGCTTGGAAAGGATGCGCTCGTAGCCGTCAAGCGCGGCCTCCAATTGCTTGAGTAGGGCCTTGACGCGGCCCTCGTCCGTCTCTCCCTGGCCCTTCATCACCTTGAAGACCTTCTCGTAGGCGATGCCGGACACGACGGGGTCGAAGTAGGATGCCTCAACGGATAGAGCCTGCATGGGTTGCAAGTGTGTATTAGTACTCAATCGTTTGGGATAAGCCCAAATGGGCGAGAGCGGGACGACGGGTTAGGTGGTGGAGGCCGGAGGGGCAAACATACCTGCTGGTACAGGGCGAAAGCCTTGAGGTCCGACTCGGAGGGCGAGATCTCGTTACCCTGGCCGCGGTACTTGGCGGCGATGTATTGAGCGATGGCTCTGCTTTCTGGAGTAGAAGTGTCTTGTTAGGTTTTGGCCGAACAATGGCACCGAAGCAGCAATGTAGCGGTGACTATAGGAAAAGTTTACGCACCGAAGATCTTCACCCCGGTCTCTGTATCCTCCAGCACGGGAACCTTGCCGAAGGGCTGCTTGTTGGCGAGATATTCGGGGGATTTGTGCTCGCCCTGGGCAAAGTTGACGGGGACGAGCTCGTGGTCCACGCCCTTCTCGTTGAGGGCGATCTGCACCCGCTTGGTGCAGGTGGACATGGGGATTCCGTGAAGCTTGAGGACCATGTTGGCGATTTTGTGAAGAGTGTTTTGGGTGGTATAGGTTTGATTGAGAGGCTGCAATTGAGTGAGACTGGAAGGAAAGGAGGATGGATAACTGGTAGGGACAAGTGAGAGGAAGAGAAGGAGTTAAATATGCAAGACCACGACGCCATGGGGCGGGGTCAACTCAAGTTGAATGCAATTGATGCATACAATGCAATCATCGGTGGGTCTGAAACTCAGCTCTGGAACCCACTTCCCTTTCCAGATTCCACTGGAATCAGAGCGGAAGAAATTCCGCCCCGTTCAGGAAGCATTAACAATCAGCCCCATTCAATCACAAATCCCAAATTCAGCTTAACGTATTCCACGGGCGCCCGTGAATTACGTTAGAAGCAGCAAAAGAACAGATTTCTGAGACAATTGAGAATGTCGTTGCACAGTGCGTGCAGGAAGTATCCCAAATTTCTCTAGATCAGGAGAGCTGCAGAACAGTGTATATTACATCGGGGTAAGCCAGAAAATTGCACTATTGTCATTCACGAACAGGTCCCAGCATTCAGGGGTTGGTGAGCTAGATTGGGACCAATCATGGAGTAAAGAGTGAGGTTGTAAGACGAATCATTGGATGTGATAGGATTAGCAAACTCTATCTCATAAGGCTGGAGTAACAAACATCTGCACGCCTTAGGCCGTCGATGGACAAATGAGCGTGGTTTCAAGAAGAGATGGTGCTGACGCTGACACCGATGCGAAAGTATCATATTATGTCATAAGAACTTGAACCTCAATGCATGCAATGTATAAGGGTAGCGTAAGGCTACTCCCTTAACCGACCGACGTTACTTGGTACAGATCTGATTCTGGTTTGTGAGTTAGGCCAGGTGGTTAAAGGGCAGTCTTGAGTTTTAGAGGAGACCTGTCCCCGAACATCTGACTCTTCTCAATACTTCTTCTGCTTCTATCCCATTGTCTCTTCAAGAGCTATCCTTTCACTTTCACAGTAGCGTGTCGATGCAGGCTCATTGAAAAATGTGCCAAATATAACGAACGCAGTCAAGTGATGCCGCTTTGAGGTCCGGTGGTCTTTCTTAAGAGCTCGATCGGACTATTTCAGATTTCTAAGCCCTATGTTGTAGGAGATATCTCCACTCATCTTTGCCCCAGCAGGTCAGCCAGTCTATCTCGACAGAATGATCACCGTCAATCCCTGGAGAATCTCCAAAAGGCTCTTGATACCGCATGGTGTCATGAATAGAGTCTTCATAGTGGACTCCAGAAGCGACAACCATCCTTTTCCCAGGTTCTCGACAATCATGTATGCGCAAGATTCTTGCAGTTCCAGTCACCTCTGAACAGTATTCATCAGAATATCTATAGTAGGATTACAAAGTGGATACGAAGCTCAGCTTAGTTATGTCGTGAGCCCGCTGCATTTGTAAGCGGGGACTGACTAAGTAACATTACGTGGTGCCAAAGCCCCAAGTCTTATCGATCATATCGAGCCACTAAACCGCCATGCAGACAATACGCAGTGAACCGAGTGAGAATTGATGAAATACCTTCACTTGCAGGCTTGAAATGCTATGGAAAATCCACAATGGGCGGGGACAGGAATCATCGATTGTTTTCCTTGTCTCGGTTCTCGCAGCGGGAGATTGCGGACGCTTGGCCGCGGGAATCTCAATCGAGTGTAAGATTACATGGATAGCGTTCCACTCCTTGTCAGCTTACCCCGTATTTCTTACCTTTACGAAAGACTTCGGCGAGTTGTTTCATAGCAACCTCGTATCACTTTTCCTCGAGTCTCGAAACTCCTATTACTAACTTTATAGGTCTCCCTAAGTGCACTCGTAATGCATCCTCGCCGGCAACCACAGCAGTGACAAGTTGATAAATAGTCGGACCCCGCTCCAGCCCGATGAGATTTATCCTTCTCACCAAACTTCAAAAGTTTCGCAATCGAACTCAAGACTGATCACAATGACCAGCACAGAAGCCCCAGTAGTCCTCATTCTCGGCGCAGGTCGCAACATTGGGCAACATACGGCCCAGCACTTCGAAGCCAAGGGCTACCGAGTTGCTCTTGTGGCTCGAAACATCAACACGGATGACAGCACTGAAACTCGGCTTCATATTCAATGTGACCTCTCCGACCCAAATGCCCTCCACGACGTGTTTTCGCGTGTGAACGCTGCCTTTGGAGTTCCTAGTGTGGTTATTTATAATGGTACTTATGCTTTGCCAACCCGCCAATTAAACTACTACCATCCCTAGCAGATTCACTAATGCTTCGTGTCGGGGACGAAAGCCTACGGTTTGACCCTAACCAGTCCCCACGACATTTTCAGTCCGACCACAGAGCAATTCACTCGCGATCTGAATATAAACACCACCAGTCCTTATGTCGCCGCCCAGCTGGCTGTCCGGGGATTCGAGACCTTGCCGGCGTCCGCGGCTCGAACGTTCCTCTACACGGGTAATGCGTTGAACACTATCGCTGTTCCCCAGTTCTTCACTTTGGGGATCGGGAAGGCGGCTACGGCGCATATGATTGAGGCGGCGGCGGTTGCGTACCGGGAGAAGGGATTCAAGTGAGTTCCTCGCCTTGACATTGCTGAATCTTTGAGGTTCTACTACTGATCACGAACAAGGTTCTACTATGTCGATGAGCGCAAACCAGATGGAACCTCTGGTCCTGACATTGACGGCGCGGCACATGCGCAATTATTTGCGGAGCTGGCGGAGAGTAAGGATCAGGGCCCGTGGCAGCAGACGTTCGTCAAGGGAGAGGGATATAAAGCGTTTCTTGTCGGAGAAGGAAAGATCTAAACCTGCGGGGCTATGGTTGCGATCGTGAGCTTCACGATTCAGCTACAAGAGACTAGGTAACCATGAGCCAGTTTCATCTATCTCATCCCAGATACAACTATTGATAATTGAACATAATGAACATAATCCAGTTGATTCACACCAATCAATCATCCCCACACAGGGCATCCCAAGGTTTTACCCCAAAATCTCCCCCAAATCTCTCCCCTCCCCGCCAACAGTCGCCCGTCCGCGGTAATCCGTGGGCACTGCCTGCGATGCAAACGCCAAAAACACCGCTTCCCAATGCCCATCCTCAAACCGGAAAACCAACCCGCCATCCTTGAACACCGCATCCTCGTACGCCTTCCGGCTACCCTGGTTCATATGCACCTCATGGATTCCCGTCCCAAACGAGCTCCCAAACACATACGCCCTCGCCCGCCGGTGGATCGCATCCTTGAGGATCGGCTCTAACTCATCCAGCATATCGTTGTCATTGCCCGGCACGTCATGCGGCAGCAGCCGCCCAGCCTCAATCTCCACAAGCTTCGGATGGGTGCGCAGGTAGTCCAGACCGACGAGGGTGGGATGATGCGCGATGTGGCGGTAGGGGGCCTCGCGCTCGTCGTCCTCGTCCTCGTTGTCCGGGTGGGGTTTGATGCGGTGGAAGCCGGCCTCGAGCGGGGCGAGCTGGTGGACAAGCGGGTGGTGCGAGAAGTCGCGGATGAACCAGAAGACGAGGCGCGTGTCGTGCTGCGTGGACTTCACGTTGATGGCGACTTGCACTTCGTCTTCGCGCTCGTGGTCTTCCGGGTCGTCGCGCAGGAAGAGGTTGATGTGCGGCGTGATGTGGTCTTGGTGGGAGGTTTGCGCAATGAATCGCGTGGGGCGTCCGACCCAGACGCCGTAGTTGGGGATGGGCATTGTGTATCGGAGATAAACTGTGCAACTGTTTTGGAGATAGATGTTGGGAGCTGGCTTGAGGGCGATTTGGGCTGGTAGTAGGTTCTACTGGGCTTGCTTCTGGAAAGAGCTGCGGGGGAGGGGGGAACGAGTTGGCTACCATATTTATGTTTGAGTGCTTGCGAATGCTTTGGGGATTGAGGCTACTATTGACATTCTCGAAGAAAAAAAGGAGAAAGTGGAGATGTTGATGGGGCTGCTAGTGTGACACCAAGGTGGATGCTGTGGGGACGATCATCGATTCCTTCCAAAGGAGATCGCTTGGGCTCGCTGGATACTGGATCTCAGTCTGCATTCGCAATCTGATCTTGAATTCGACCAGAGGCTCATCTCAAGCCGATAATTCATCCCAGCCTGCTATATTCGTGGGAAAGTGGCGGGGAATGATGAAGGCCTCGAAGCTTCACTATCGAGACAAGTGTGCTCTCCTTAGGACTGAAAATGATTTGCCAGCGCGCATTCGCTCATCAGAAGCTCGTACAGTCTTGATGTATCGACTGTATACAAACAGCATTGCAGCTCTCCTGCTAGGTGAAGCGTTAAACAAGGCCTCGTCTAGCTTCATGAAATTCTCCGCGGATCACAATAGAGTGGATCAGACAGAATCTCTAGAAGAATCCGGTAAGCGATCCTATATCATTTGTGTCTTTTTAGTAGGCGAACACCTCACATACAAAGTAGATGACCCATATGCAGCCACACGCTACTAGCATCGTCTGTGAGGCTTGACTGCACGCCTTGGGCTCGATGGACAGTGGCTAAAGGTCTCAGCATTTCCAGTACCTCAGCTGCGGTAAGTTAGTTCCTACCTGGTAGAAGTATAGGCATCATTTACGTTGAGCTGTCGGAGTAGCCGGCTGACACCTACCATATCTGATGTATTATACTATAGGTACCAACAAGCCTCCATACACGATAGTCTCACCTGGGAAGGAAGGTAGTGAAATGTGCCTTCCTTAGGGTGATCTATCTCTTCTTTCCTCCTTATTAGACCTTGATATTTCCAAAGTATCTCTTCATCCATCAACTCAGCAGACTTATGTATTCTTCCATATCATAATCAGCATTTAGCTATATCACGTCCCTAGCCATGACAGTTTGTGCAGTTACCCTCTCGTGACCGTACACGAACTGATAACTGTTCACAGTCCCAGCTGCCCGATATTTCAGAGCGGCCGACACCGTCGCCGACACCGTCGACACCGCCGTCGACACAGCCGGAGAACCAGGGCCAGCCCTCGTCTGAAAGACCTCCGGTGCAGCCCCCGTCTGATGACATTAGGACGAGGCCGCCCGAGTCCACGCTGCCGCCCCAGTCAGAAACTATCACGAAGCAGGCTACCGCTACAGTCCGAGCTCCTGAGCCTCCGAGGGTCACATTCTCCAACGATCTCATTGAACAAAATCGTTTCCGAAGAATGTTCACGTCGAAACAAAAATTGGGACCACAAAGGACCAACCCTCTGCCTCGTGTGGACGCAACGCCTGCCCCCGCAGAACCGCCTACTCCCGAGTTCATCTGGGGCTATGAAAACTTACCCCGGGAAAATTGGCCCGGGAAGAGATATATGCCTCAATGGATGACTAGCGTGAACTACAGGCAGAATCTGAAGGATGCTTCAGAAGCCATGGGTGCGTGTGCCGCGGCACTTGCCACAAACCAACATTATCAAGTCTACCCAAAGACAGTCGCGTCTCATTTCCCAATTTTACGCACCAGATTCACGGACGACGGATTGCAAGAGATTCAGAGTTCCGACGTCAACAAAAAGTTCAAAACCCGCCAAACGCTGCCCTATTACGCGGCTCTTTTTGCCAGCAGACATGACCGTGAAGACGGCGCATGGCATTGGTGGGCAATTGCTTCAATTCGTGAACCTCATCCCCAGGATACCACCGTCCCGGATCCCGGAGTACCGCAACATCTACTTGTGTATGACTCACTACCTCTGCCGAAGATTGAGAGATGGGAAAGAGATCGAAAGATTGGTTTACGTAACTTTCTTCGAAAGGATCAGTGCCACATGTTGGAGGAGATACACCGGGAAGTTCCGATTCAGCATATTTTTCTCAACACGAGGCGTCTCACCGCCGATGTGGATGATCCCCTCATGGAGACTCTGTGGTGGATCTGGAATGTGGCCAATCGTGGTGACGTTCCCTGCGAGATGGGAACAGAACTCGACGATATCCGCATGAGGGTAGTCGAAGCGATCACTCTCAAATTTGCGGTGCGAGAAGGGGAACAGGGGAGAGATAGACACCGAAAGTTGATCTTACAGACGATCAGACGAAGGCCTTGGAATGGGAAGGAGGAGGCTTCGGCCAGCTAGATAGGTTCTAGGTAGATAATCATATGCAGTGTTTATCTTTTCTTTGAAAAGATTCAGCCTAGTGCGCAGTAGTGTGTAGATACTTGGTAGGAGAATTCTTCACTCTTTTTCATAGCGAGACATCTCATCCTTGTTTGGGTTGTGGTCAAAATCCTTTGACCAGCTGAGAAGCTTCTCTGGCGCAATTCACTTGTGGTAATCGAGTCTGTGGCCTCGCCTGTTCGCGGGCGACGATGCTCCGTGTACCTTTTCATCCCTGTTCCAGATGGCCACCGTCTCTTTGCCTGGCATATTCTCCCTCTTTCTGTCTATCATCAACACGAACGTGCTCTCCTGTCGGAAGACACCGTGGGCGTGATCACCACCAACACCACACGCCATAGATTTAATCTCCTCTCTTCTGACCCAGACGCCAGCTTGGTCCTCCACTTCCACGGATCCGGGGGAACTGTCGGGTCAGGTTATTGCGTCCCCAACTACCGAGCGCTAGCCGCCAGCTACCCGACCGGTGAAGCAGCGGACAGCGGGTTGCAGAATACGCACGCGCGTGTGAAGCGAATAATTCACCGTATTGGTTGACGATTATCCATGTGGAGGACGATTAATGATATACCCTGGTGGCATACCGGGGACTTGGTTGCCCGTGGGGTGCGGGCAGCGGGCAGGGACCGGGTGGAGGAGGCGGATGTCAAATGAAGGTGGATCTTAGGGCTTCAGGGACGATCAATGAGTGGCGGTCCAGTCAAGGAATCACACGAGAGGAGATACTGAAGACGGCCGGGGGCTGCACGATGTGATCATTGGGGATGCAGTGTTGTCGATGGTGGTGATGCGGAGCTTGGAGGGTGTATGACGTCAATCGAGTTCTATCAACTTATCATAGAAACAATAAAGCAGACTTTCTCCAGACTTACATATACAATAGCAGATATTAGTCTCTTTATACTACTTACTTTTCATACAACTTACCAATCCATTGTTAGTTGTCCCATACGCTGTCGATCAGCCGAGGTCAGCCCTACTCAACTGTATGTATCTGTCAGTCACCGAACATCAGTCCACCCTCCGCCATCACCAAAAACGCTCATCATTTCGTAAGGGAAGCCCAACCACACGATCCATGGTTCACCACAATTATCAGAGGAAGATTGCAACAACTTCCCCCTGACATCACTCCTGCATATCCAGAATTTGCGCGCCACTTTCCAAATGACCTTTCTCTAATACGCTTCCCGTCACATTTGACAGTCATTCGTTCTCAATATCATCCAGACTCACACCTGCAGCATCACGACAAGCCTATCTATCAGCATGCGCCTTCCACCGCAGACTCAAGAGGCCACTGCCCCTGAAATTCATGCCTACATCCTCGGCGCCGGGATCACCTCCCTCTCCGCGGCCGTCCATCTCCTGCAAGAGGGGCATCTCCCTGCCTCACACATCCACATCCTCGAAACCCTAGACCAAGCCGGCGGCGGGACCGTCAGTTGTGGTGATGCAGAGCAAGGATACCACTACCGCGCTGGCGGGATGCCGCTGTTGAATGGGGAGGCGATGGCGACGTTGTTGGCGGAGGTCCCGTCCGAGACGCATCCAGGGAAGAGCGTTTTGGATGATTTGTACGAGTACTGGGGTCTCTCAGCATCATCTGCACATCAGCAGCAGCAGCAGCAGCAGCAGCAGTCGTCAGAGTGTCATCAGACGCGGCTCCTCCGGCGGTCAAAGCACGGATTGGTCCGGATTGACTGCAAACGAAGTACCAACCTCGGATTGAGAGATCGGATGGAAGTATTTCGGTTTATGAACAAGCGTGAGACGGTGTTGGGGAGATCGCGGATAAGTGATTACTTCGGGAAGGGGTTCTTCGGAGGATGCTACTGGGGGGTTTTGAGTACGACGTATGGTCTTCCTTCTGGTGCTTGGGCAGAATTGGACATTCTTCGTCCGAGTTCCATAATTCGCTTACAGTTCGTTGACATGCTCATTGACTTCCAGCTTCGGCTTCAAACCCTGCCACAGCGCTGCTGAGTTCCACAGGGCTCTGCACCGATTCGGACACGATCTCTCCCACCTCACCAGCTCGCACCCCCGTCCTCTCGATGGTGGACAATACAACCGCCACGAATCGCTCGTCGCCCCCACCGCCCGCTTCCTCCGCGATCAGGGCGTCGACTTCCAGTTCAAGACCACCGTCTCGGATATTATCTTCGCAGACGCCCCGGACACCGTGCCATCATCATCATCAACAGCAGCACCCACTAATTCCAGAGGCTCGACTCCAGCAAGAGCCAACTCCTTCGGAAGTGCCCACCAGAAGCTTCCTGAAGACGACGACAGCAAAAAATCCCGCCAGCCGGAACAGCAACCTTACCCACCGCGTCTCGTCTCTGCGATAATCGCGCACCCGTTCAACGAGCCCGAACAGACGATCCGCGTGCAACCGCACGACATCGTCCTCGTCTCCCTGGGCAGCGCCATGTCCGGCTCCAGCCTGGGTAGCAACACCACCGCGCCCCCGCTCTATCAAATGGAAGCCGACCACGAGCTGGACGAAAACTGGCTCCTCTGGCTCGAGCTGACGACCAAGGATCCGCGCCGCTTAGGCAACGCCTATAACTTCTGTACGCGCCTCGAGGAGTCCCGCCTCGAGTCCTTTACTATCACCCTCCGCGCAGGTGGAAACTGCATCATCGATCGAATCACGGGTGCGGGGACGGGAATCCAAACTGTAAAAGGCAACGGGCTGTTTGTCTCGCTCATCGATGCGCCGTGGGTCGTCAGTCTGCATGTTCCGCCGCAGCCTGTTTTCCCAGACCAGCCAGGCCACGTGCAGGTGCTCTGGGGGTATGCCTTATATCCGGAGCGGAAGGGGGAGGTGGTGCAGAAGACGATGCTCGAGTGTACCGGCGAAGAGATCCTGAGGGAGGTGCTGGCGCAGCTGAATTTCAAGGACGCCGAGATGGAGCGTATCCTGCAAGGCGCGCTCACGGTGCCCTGCGTGGTGCCGCGGATGGCGGCGGGGTTGTTGCCGCGCGGTGAGGGGAATCGGCCGCGCGTCATTCCTCCAGCGATTCGGAATTTGGGATTGATTGGGCAGTTTGTGGAAATCGAAGGGGAGACGGGCGTCACGGCGATGGAGTATAGTGTGCTGGGGGCGCAGATGGCAGTCCGAAAGTTAATAGGAAGGCAGGCCGCGACAGAAGAGCATCAACAGCATAAAGTCAAAGAGTCGAGGAAACGGAGTTGGTTGCCGTTGCCTTGTGCTTAAAACCTGAGAAGAGATAACTTTCGAGCATGCATTACCCATGTTGGAAATAAGATAGGGCATTTGTGCCGCGATGGACTACAGGATAGGCCATATTCAGTGTACATGCCGTCCAGTATCTTCCGGAATGGCACCCAGAAAACAAAACTAGAAACAGTCAAATTGGATATAGAACATCATTTCCCCCCCCCCCCGAATCCACCGAAACATACGAGATAACAACTTTTCTTTTTCTCATAACCCAAAAGAACAAAAAAAACCAAACCCACTCCCCTCGATCAAGGCTTCTTCACCCACTCACTCTCCTCCAACCAACCATCCAGATTCTTCAACCCGGGATACAACTTCCTCAACCGCGGAATATCTGCCCCATACCCCTGGTCATAGAACCAAGTAAACATCGTCCTCGGATCCCCCATCACCCACAGCACCAAGTAACACAGCACCCGGTACGTCGTCGGCAGCGGCCGGCCCGTCTTAGCGCGCACCGTCCGCTGCAGATGCTCGTAGGTCAGATCATCCCCCGCCAACGACAGACACTGGTTCCGAAACTGCGCCGCGCGCACCAGCGCCATCGCCGCGAAGTAGCCTACATCACTCACGCTGACGCACTGCAGCGGCTTACCCTGCAGGTAGGCGTCCCAGGCCGTTGCAGTAACCTTTCCCGCAAACCCCGCCGTGGGCGCCAGATTCTCGAAGAAGAAGGTTGGGCGCAGTACTGTCCAGGTCATCGCGCCAGTAGCAGCAGCAGCAGCAGCAGTAGTGGTAGTAGTAGTGGGAGTTGCAGTGGTGTTGTTCGCGTCTGCTGCTGCTGTTGTTGTTGCTGCTTGGATTTCAGCTTCGCGAGTCCGCGTGAACAGGTGCTGCTCGATGCGGTGCTTGCTCCGGAAATGCGGGATGGTTGTCGGGTTGTCGCTCGAGGCGTCGCCGCCGCGGTCGACGGAGCTGTAGACGAAGTGCGGGATGTGCTGCGCCAGGGCTTCGTCGATGAGGGCTTTGCCTTGGTGTTCTTCTTTGAGCACGCCTTGACCTTGCGCGAAGGGGTTCTATATTTGGAAGGAGTGTGGGTTTAGTAGTACTCGGTAACGTTGACTAGAGGGAAATGCGTGGGTGAGGGTGAACTGGGCTGCGCTGCGCTGCTTTGGACTTACCTGCACGCTGAACACTCCAGAAATTGGCAATGTGGCGAGTTTCTTCGCATTCTCGAATATCTGGGCGGGATGGTCGAGATCGCCCTGAACCAGTTTGATCTGGGCAGATCGCTGCGTCAAGCGGCGGGAGGCGCTGGAGTGCGGGTTGCGGGTCACGGCCAGGATCTCCACATCGAGTTCCTGGGCGAGCAGGGCGTTGATGACGGCGCTGCCCTGATTGCCGGTGGCTCCTGTGATGAGAAAAGCGAGAGGCATAGTTTAGGAGGGTGAAAGGGTCATGGAAAATGGATGGATGGATGGATGGATTGATGGGAAATGTGGAGAATGAATAAGTTTACTAGTAGTTACATACTACTGTAGTATGACAGCCAACTTTAAGCTCGGGTGATCCTCCTCTGCTTTCAGCTTCACCATGACGTGACGTGACGTGACGTGACATGACAGCGATCTGCGGGGAAGGGACCGCTTAGTCAGGTCGACTGTTTGTCCAGGTGGTCCTCAGGCACTCAGGCAGGCAGGCAGGCTGGCAGGCTGGCTACGTTTATGTACCCGTTTTCGGAAGATGCCCTTGAAGATACCTTACCAAGTAAGTAGTACGGAGTACCTTTGGGTCAATTCCCGACTTCCTCCTATTCATCTCTCTTCATTCCAACCCGGGTGCACCGCCTCACTTCCCCTCATCTCGCGTGCTATTTTGAGAACTCTCCGTAATTGCTGCCGCAGTCAACCTGCATTAGTCAAGGTAGTGAGTGCACCGGCGCTTGCTCCGTCACTGCTAGCTCCCAGCTACGTGCTACGTGACTAGTATAGCAAGCTATCAGGAACGCCATCCCTGATGGCTTGTTTGAGATGTCGCAGGGATGTTTCGCGCTCAGCGCCAACGTCACAGAACAGCCACAAACCCTTCACCGAGATGAGGGGGAAAGTGGCAGTGCCATGGATTGTCGAACCGTAAGCTGGAGGGCCATATAAGCTCGTCATCATGTCACTGTTGGTGGGGGATCAATCAATCTCTCATCAACTTCTCCATCGACAGGCAATGACCACACCAAGCAGCAGGCGGCAATCGGAGATGGCTCAGCAGCGGGCACAATTGGATCATCTCTCCGACATCCTAGATCTCCATCCTGATAAGGAAAGGTCGTGTGCGGGATATGCAGTCTCGCAGGGTCGACGGTGCCACAATCCCATTAGTGCGGCCAATCGAGTCTATGCCGTGCGTCTGCTCGACGAAGGCACTCGGGGGTTGAAGAAGGGTATGGACTTGAAAGATCTTCTGGTGGATCTGGCGTCATTTGTTCTCTGCCGCGGTGTCCATCAGAAGGGTCGGAACGATCAGACGTTTGAGCTTGTGCAGAAATGGAAGCATCAGATTCAGTCCGCCTGTGAGGAACTATGTGAGGCAGAGGATGTCGACGCTGGCCGGGACATGATGCACGCGGGTCGTCGCCGGGAGACAATTGAGCTTGAGGTATCAAGGAGGCCTCGCTGGCAAGAGAATGGGCTCCTTCACCTAGGCGCGGGGGCCACCGATTTCCACAATTCCGACGATCGTCTGGCTCGGCTGTCGGATTTGGATGAGCGCAACACTCGTAGGGCTAGCTTGCCTTCGGCTAGAGTGTCTGAAGCTACTCCTGCAACTCACTCGCGACACTTAGCGTCAGACACCAGACAACCTAGAGAATTCACCACGTCTGCAAGGACCATTCGTGCTTCTGCTTCGCCTTCTTCTGCTCAGATAACTAGCTCAAATTCTTCCCCTTCAACCTCGTCACGCTCAAGATCCGGAATATCCGCGCTATCCCCTCCGATGATCAGTCAGCGTGCCACTTTTGCATCAACCTTCGGCTCCCGCGCTTCAACGACTGCCTCAACCATGGCCTCTACCTCCTTCTCTTCAGCTTCGACTTCAGCTTTAATCACCTCGCGTACAAGCACCAGCACAACTCCGTTTCGCATCAGCGCCCCCGCCCGCACACTTGATGAGCCGTTCTCTTCTCGTGTCTCGAGTTCTGCTTGTTCAGACGAGACCTCTCGCCCGAGGCCCACTCCACGCCTGAACATCACGAATCCTACTAGGATTGTAGCATATCCCAGTCAGGCCACTGCTGCCACTCGCTCAGCCCCTAGATCTTCGAATCATGAGTCAGACCCGCCAATTTCTGCTCGTCTCGAAGTCGCATCTAGTATGAGTCCTACAATGCGTTCGGAAATATCTGCAGTGACTCCTTCGGTATCATCTCGCGCGAGTAATACTACTGCAGCCGCCCTTTCGAGCGATTCTCCTGAAGTCGAATCTCCTACAGTCTCGACACGAACCACCACACCACCCGCGAACGCCTCGTCCGATCCTGCCCCAAGCTCAACTCGAACCCCCAATCAGCCATCAAACCCAAGAATGACCACCCCATCCCGCGCAGTCCACTTTGACCCTCTTGTTCTCCCAGCCTCGCATAATTCCTCATCGTCATCAACAGCATCAACAGGTTCATCATCACCCACTTCATCCACAACACCAGCAGATCCATACACCCTAAATCGCAAACCTATGACCGGCGACTGCTCCATTTGCTACGAGCCCCTCCTCCAACACAACCACAACTCCTCCCAGGTATCCCCCAGCCGAGCAGCGCGCGACATCTCAATCGTCTATTGTAAACGACAATGCGGCACGAACTTCCACTACAGCTGCATGTTCTCATGGAAGCAATCCGTCTGGCAGACGGGACGGGAGCCGACGTGTCCCATGTGTCGTACTGTCTGGCAACAGTGAGCTGATTTCTGTCTTTTCTCTTCTCCTCACCCGTGCATAATCATGCTGGTTTGGGGGGCGCTGCAGCTAAACCTTGTCTTTTAATGATCGGAAAGATCGTTCTGATTCAGGAGACATGTTGTCTGGCAGCGCGTTTTCTCGTCGAGTATTGATGTTGTAGTGAGGTTTTCGATGTCAAGGTTTTAGGGGTGCTTTTTCTGGGAGTTTGGCTTGGGAGAGGCTTTTTGGATATTTGGCTTGGGTAAACTTAGTATGATTATGATTTTATGATTGTTATCATGATGATCATTACTTGCTGAAATTTGGAATTGCGATGTCTGAATACTACCCAAGTTCTAGTTTCAAGTAGTCCATAGTAGAGGCTTTGCAGGCTCCGCCAGGTTTACAGTCTGTGAGTAATAGCTGGATGATCAAAGAACTGGTTCAATCCTGTGGGGACAATAGAACCTAAAGTACGATCTTACGATAGCAATTTTAAAATAAGTTAGAACGAAAGATAGGAATACATGTATATAAAATAAGCATGTTTAAGTTATCATCGTGTATAAAATTAGAGCCCACTGCAACTCCACAATCTGCCGGTTATGTGCGAGAAAACCAGGAACAAATCCGGCGGACAGCCCGGGATCCATCATATAGGGCAAAGCTATGTTTGTCCTTTCCAACTTTTAGACTTTTCAAATTTTTTCCCTTGTCTCAATACAGCTCCATCTCTTATCATCCAAGCCCCAGCCCAACTCATCACAATCAATGAACCTCCTACTCCTGAAGCCAAGACCAGGGCATTTTGGCCTCCTTGGGAAACAGCCCCCGAGTAAAGAATTTCCCGTTCCAGTAATCCTCCGAGTAGCTGCGGCTGCTGTTGCCGCCACCCTCACCGGATTTATCATCGCTGGATGTGGGCGCAGCAGGAACGGTTGCAGCACCGGTTGAGGTAGTCTCAGTGCTGGATTCGTTGGCGCTGGCACCAGTCATTGCGGTGGGGATTACTGCTGCTGTGTTCCTCATCGGGTACCCGGCCTTGGCCGTAGGGCTGATGGTTTCGTCCTGGTTGGTGTGGTAGATGGGGGACTGGAGGATGGTGCGGAGGGACAGGAGGTTGGAGTGGTTCTGGGTGGGGTATGTGCCTGCCGTGGTAGTGGTGGTAGGCTCGTTGCGGTGGTCCCGCTGAGGGCTGGGGCCGTTGCGGTAGTACCCGTTGTTGGGTTGGTGGGGGACCTGCTGCTGTTGCTGTCGCTGTGGCGGCAAAAGCGATGGCTGCTGGAGCACTTGCTGCGGACGCCATCGATTCACGGCGTCCTCCTCGGCCTGCGACCAGCGCGGGGGAGACTCGTTGAAGGTTGTTTGACCGCCACGTTGGACTTGAATTCTGCCCCGGCGTGTGGATCGGCGCGCGCGTCTGTGGTGTGGCGTGATCCGATTGCTGTCGTGGTACCCGCTGAACGAGGGGCCGGAGAAGTCCTGGGTCGGTTGTAGGGGATTGTGGACTGCAGCCACCGGTTGAGGAGGCTGGTTCCAGTAGGCCTGCTGGGGCTCACCGATGGGGTAGGCCGACTGTCCTGGGAAAGAAGGCTGAGCAGGCATGGGCATGTCCCCTGCAGGTTGGTAAGTTGCAGAGAAGCCCGTCTGAGAGGTATTCATCATCGGGTATCCGGAATTGCCGACATATTGCTGCGGATGGTAAACCTGTGATTGTCCATTGTGTAGATGCCGGGGGCTCTCAGACGGAACGGGCTGTTCCAAGGAAGAGACTCGATTCAGAAAGATTGGGAGTCGGTTTGGGAATTCGTTGCGTGGTTGCTGGTCATCGAACTGACTGTGCTCATACACTCGAGCAGGATCTGCCGACGCCCGAACGCTGTCATGGAAGGCTCTGGATGCCGTGCGAACTGTCTGTCCCTGAAGAATAGCTGGAGCAGAAGTCGGAGTTAGGGCAGTAACGCCACTGGCAGTGCCGGAGCCAGTCACAGCAGGATATAGGTGGCTTTCTTTGAGAGGAATGAAGCCAGACCGTCCCAAGTCTGGCAGCTCCCTCTCCACGAACTCACGTCCAGCGAGGGATCGATTCAACGCATCAAGCTTGGCGTCAGCGAGGCCTTCGTCTTCGCCCCGGAAGAGTGTGTCATATGGCCTTCGTGTCTGGCTGAAACTAGGGAAGGTCGATGAACAGCTTGAGTTGGTGCCGCCATCGTCGACAAGAAAGCTCCATGACTCGGACAGCTGCGGCAGGCTCGGCAACGGAGCGTCCGACTGCTGCGAGGCATCGGATCCTGAATCCTCATCTTCATCCATCGTGACGCTGCTCTCGCTGATGTCGCTGCTGGCGCAATCAAACTCCCTCTGGATCTCGGGCATATATCCGTCGTCGCATTCTTCCATGAGAGACGAGTGCGTCGAATGGAAAGCCAGCGAAGATCCGGAAGACGAAAGAGCTGACCTGCGGCTGTGGGTTGTCTTGAGTGATGCAGCTTCATTGGATAAGTTTGCGTGCACGGATGCAGGGCCAGTTGAAAATGCCGAGCAGTTGGCAGCCGCAGCACTCTCCGCGTATCTTTTCGAATACTCCTTGAGAAGAGGGGGAGCCTGCACATGACCAGGGATTCCGCAAGGACCAGAACGGCCCTGGTCGTCAGCGCCGACCTGAGAGCACTTCAAGCACATTTCCCGGCCGTCGCCCTCCAAGGTCTCGAAGCGGTTCAGAAAGCCGTGGCCAGTGCAATCACCAGCGCGCAGCCCGTTGACCATCTCCGGACAGATGTCGATGCTGGCACATGCGATATGCTGGCACACCTGATACTGAGAATACTTGTGTAAACACATGGTGGCTAGCACGGGCTGTGTCGTGACAAGATAATTTTCCGCGGGTGTGTAAGTAGTAAGATCGTCGCAACGTAAGAAGCGAGAAGATAAGTCGGATGTTCCACTGTGGTTGTATCAAGAACGGCAAATCCCACAGACTCGGATTATGGGAAATGGAAGTCACAGAGCCTGTTGCGAGCATGGTATTATTTATAACGATGAGCAGGTGGGTAGCTCACGCAAACAATGTGATTCTTTCTTTCACAAAGTGCGTGAAATAAAGGCATTCTAGAAAAAATCTCCATCACCCGCCAGGCCATTTCTTTATCCCCTTTCGGAGAGAATAAAGCCAGGTTTCACCATGGGAGATTGTGAAAGAGCAGGTTTAATAGAATCTCCCTCAGCCTTGGTCACTCCTCGTCCATTGACAAGTCGACCAGGTATCGCACTCCAGAGTCCAGCAGCCACCAGGAGGCCAGCTCGTGAAAGAAGCGCCAGATGGGATTCCTCAAAGGCATTGTCTCCTGCAGCGACGATCCGTCCGCCTTCGTTGTCCAAAGGGCACACTCGCTTGCAAAGACTACTTCTTTAGCTTCATCCCAGAATCGCAACAGCAGTCGACCCTCGATCTCCCCGGCCTGGTGGCAGATCTCAAACTCCACGCTAGTAGGGCGACGGTCTGCCACGCGGTAGAAGCCGCAGATGATGTCGCCGCGCTGGAATTCCAGGCTACGGATGAGGGAGGGAGAGAAAGTCGCGCGGGATGCTGAACCGCTAAGAAACCAATGCATATAGGCTTGAGGAAAGTAGGCAAAAGCAGACATGTTTCGACGAAGGAGAATAGTGAGCAGGTCGGAGGGTTGGTGGGTGGTGGGGAGGAGCTGGCGTGGGACACGACGAGTGACTTTCTCGTACAGACAGTCGTGAGAGGACTTGAGGATGTCCGGGGGGATGGTCGTCATGGCAGAAGGAGAGTTGCAGAGTGGACCTCGGAATTCTTCGTGCTCCAGGTCATTCTTCAGAGAACGATGCAGCAGGTACAAGTAGGCAACGGTGCTGGTCGACACTGCTAGAACCCAAGTTGTGAGTGACATGATAACGACCTGACACTGAGAATGTCCAGCTGGGGTGAGGACAGAACTGAGGTTCAAGCTCACCTTTGAGAAAAAAGAATGCTTCAACGGTGTGCAGATCATAAGGCTGAGCTGAGCAATGGGCTCCAAGCGAGTACGAGCTCCAGCTTTGGTGCTGGCACGAATCACAACCGCATGCAGCCATCAGCCTATGCGAAGTTGCGGGTTTTAGACTTCGATCCGCGGTCGCATTCCTCGAGAAAGTGGCTCAGTCAGTACTGCCTTCAAAGTAGTACTTACTGCCACCCGTTTTGTAGTAATTTGTGGCTATACTGAGCCATGTCCGATTCACATCCATTATATTGCTATCAATTAACGCCTTAACACATAGAATTCATATTCTTCTTTCCTCCACATACAACACAAAGAACGCCTGCAGACCTTCAATTTTCACTCCAACCATCCAACCTCACTCAATCCCTCATTGACCACCGACATAACAGGAGCGGGTATCCGTAGTGGCCAACTCAACAGCAGTAATAAGTATCAGACAAAAGTATAGGAAAACGCCCTCCAAAGAAGTGGGATCACTGTCCCCTCACCAGACCATAGGTGATGACGCCCCAGTTGACTCAAAGTTCGCTTTACGCGACATCGTAAGATTGCTTCTCTGCTTTCCGTTTCAACATCCGGCGGTAGATCAGCAGGGCGACGATCCCGACCGCGACAATGAAGACGATGCAGAAGACCAAGACCACGCCGGGATTCCTGCTAGCCCAATTGCTTCGCTTTAGGAGCTGGTGGTGCCGTTGTGCAGCGGTGGACACGAGGGTGTCGATTGCAGCCATCGCCTGTTGAGGATTAGTGCTCGGTTTGGAGGTGCTATCTGTTTACCAGAGAGAGGGAGAGACACTCACGTTGTACAGGCCGGTCAATTAGTTGCTGAAGAGGAATCACGGCGAATGAAAAGAACCCACAGCTCTCCAACAGATCACCACAGCACGGTAGGGCAGGAGCAGGTGAGGAACGCAATGTGCAAAGGATGTAGGTCGACAAAAAAGAGAAACTAGGGACTTTGGTCCAGTTGGCGACCGGGGGCACCATCGGGAGTAGCGGAAAGAAAGTCATGACTCCAAGATCGCAATGACGTGGGGGAGAGCGCATGCATGCAACGTTGGACGGGTTTGGCGTCTGGCAGCCGGGGATAACCCACGAAGCTTATTTCGGTTTGACAGGGCAACGAGGAGAGATGTGAGGGTCATATACTCCCGATCCGGATAGCAGGCAATGGGTCCATCGGGAAGGATGAGTCGGGTCAGTCATTTGAACCGTGGACACCACAATCCGAAGAACTCAAGCAGCTCCATAATCGCGATGAGTCTACTTGTTGGCTTGCAATGCAAGAGTTCACTTGTGAGGGCTATGCTGTCCATACGCATCTTAGGTGTATTGAGGAACAGCTCTCGAGTGCTGACATCAAGCAGGGTACAAAGTGTGGAAGATCCGCTCGTCCCGTTGGCGTCACCACTCCTGTATTTCCATGGTTCGTTCTGTATCCCTCGCTTTTCCGTGAAGAACGAACGCATAGTATAGTACGGAGTAGGTGTAGTAGCTAGGCAGGGGGGCTGTAAGCACATTCATTTTCATGGTCGCATTCCTCACGGAAAGTCTGGTGCGGTCGTCAGCAAATTATCCAGTGTGATAACTCTTCTTCTCTCTTACAGGTGCAGATAATAATTATCATCATATTATGAATACAGACGAGTCTCAAGCAACAAGAAAGTCTCAAACCGAGTGGTGATATGAGCGATGGACAAGGGATGGAAAAGTTGTAACGAGGAGAGACAAGCGGGATCCTGCCTCACTACGAAGACAACCCCGCAATTACGATCGGCAAGTGCTCCATTCCCTCCAGGATGCCATCAAACTGCCCTTTCAACTTCGCCTTGTCTTCATGAATATCATCCGTCCACCGATCGATGTAAATCGTTTTTATCCCCACCCTTTGCGCACCCCGTAGGTCATACGCATGCGCCGCCACCAGGACCACCTCCTCCGGTCGCAGCTTCACCAGCTCCAATGCCCGCCGATAAGCCTCCGGACTTGGCTTATAGTACCCCAGCAACTGGCTGGAGAACAACATGTTGAAACTCAACCCCGATGAGCGCACAAGGTCCAGCTGAAGCCGCGTCGTGCCATTGGCGTGAACGAACACCTCCAGCCCGAGCTCGTTGCGGAGCCTCTGAATCGCGGTCGACACCTCGGGCCATGCGGGCTGGCTGTGCCATGCTTCCAGCAACTGAGCAGTGCTCCCAGCATCGATGTACGCTTGGTATTCAGGTTTGCGCTCGAGGACGACGCCGAGCGCCCGGGCCAGGGTCTGGTCGATGTCTTCGGGGGGCAGGTTCTCACGCACACGTTGCTCGTTTTCGAGGAAGTACTGGCTGCGCCAGTCGAGGGCAAGCTGCGAGGCTTCAGGCGAAGAGATCTCGGGTGGCATCGACTGGACAATACTGCTGTGCCAATCGAGGCATGTGCCCATGAAATCGAAAAAAACGGCTTTGATCTTGGTAGGTCGAGTCATGACGGGCTGTGAGTATGCTTTGATGGTAGCCTTGATATGCGTTGTATCGATTGAATGCTGCTTATGGCAAGTCTATATGCCATCATTTAACTAAGCCTTGTAAGCCCTTCGGTGAGTAAGCCATGGCACCAAGATGGATTGATAATCAAAATGAGTTTTGTAGTGCTTGAAAGAAGAGCCAATGATTCTCTTTCACTAGCACGTCACGGGCTGCAGGATTGTTAGCTGTCGGAAGTCTTGGCCTGGAGATCACAGCCACAGGGGCGCAGCAGTCTGATCAGCAGGCCACCATTTGCATCTCGAGATTATCTTTTCCGGTGCAGTGATCCACTAAAACAATGATAAATCATATCACGGTCAATAGCTTGTTCAATGGTCATTGAAAGATCGTCACAAAGCAAAAGAACATCCAATTATTTATAGCCTCGCTTCGTTGCAAGGCATTGAAAATGGTATATCGACAATCGTTATAAGAAACGCAGTTCCGTATCACCACCACAAGCCATCAAGATCAACTGAACACCATCAGTTGCGCTGATGTACATCTGTCCGTCCGCTGTTGTGCCAGGTTGCCAGTAATGCACCACATTTTCCGCAGTAGTGGTGCACATCTTTGAGCGACGACATCAGGTATGGAATGCATCCCAGACAGCAGCAAATGCAAGTCACGGCGGCCCATGCACTAAGGATGGTTAGGCTACAGTGCTATTTCAGGCCCGTGGAGTCTTACTGTGTAGTATTTCCCGCCTCCGCTTGCACTCGCGTCATCTCACGGTGCCCGCAAACTGGACAGTCCACTGGCGCTGGACCTCGTTGAAGCGCATGCAGGGCTGTCGCAGTGTTGTATCCGCTCGTGTGATGAGTTCCCGCATAGAAGTTCTGCGAAGAATCGAGCGGTTGACGAGCCTCCACCGAGGGTTGTATTGTTTCCATTGGAGGCTGCGCATACGCCGGGGGTGGGTGGGTCATGCTTGGTTGATTGGTCTCGTGCATATGTTCGTACGTAGGAACTGGCACTGAAGCCGTTAGCTGGTTTGCTCTCTCGAGTCTGGCGATAGACAGACCAGGAGGGTTTTTTTCGGCCATGTTGAAGACGTTGATTGGGCGTGAATCTTAGTATTATTGCCGCTGAGAGCTTGATCGTATTCTTACCGATTCAATGTTTGGTTAAGAAAGAGACATTGTTAGAGAGGGCACTCGGATTCTCGCGTCGGGGATTTGTCTTGCTCATTGTTCTCACGTCCATTCTTATAGCCCGGGCCTCAACGTTGCGAGCTGTAGACAGATGTTTTATGGGCAACCAACAGCAGCCTTGACAGGTCTCGTGGGGTAGTGGGACAGCGGGCGCAGTGCGCTGGGCTTATTTGTCCAAGACATCAGCAGCATGAAGACATCGTTCTTGTACCACTGGCAAGCATACGGTGTGGAAGAATTGAAGGGGCCAAATACGAGGCTCCGAGCTGTTTCGACCGGGGGACGTGGGACTGCATCGCACAGCTTCTCTATTGGATGCAAGGCTTGTGTCAGCCTTCTGCATCTGCGCGGCTAGCAAACTCCAAGATACGAGCAAATGTGCCAACGAACGATCGAGACTTATCTGAGCGGAGAGTTCGTACCGGCTGTGGAGTCGTCTGACACGTCGAGGCGCTCTTGGTAGTCTACCTGCTTTTCTTCTCATCTCCCCAGGGGTGCAGGATTGAGCCAAGACGGCCACTATCACATAGCTTAAAATAGAATAAGCTTGGCGACAGCGAGGTTGGCACATCATACGTAATTGCAACTGCTTCTGAGTAACCGGTGATTACTCCTGGTATCTTTTATCATGAACGGACTTCGTGGCTACTGGATTGAAGTACGGTTCAACAATAAGAACTTGGATGGAACTCAGCTGGGCAGGAAACTGCGGCTCGCGGTATAACTACCGTCTATTGAACCTCTGCAGAGTGACTGAAGTCCTAACTTGAAGTCATTCGAGCACCTCATGTCATTTGCAGCCTCCGAACCAAACACTACACCTAGTCATTGCGTTATAGATCTCGAGTACTCATATAGTGTCGGCCTGACAGTACGCTACACCAGAGCGACTATTATTTCAACACTGCATAGGCTGCACGAAATTGGGGCCCAGCCCTGTGGTACTTATAGATCTTGCCATGAAAAGTAAGTTCAAATGGAACCGTGCCGGGACCCAACCGCACGTTCCTATTGGCCGACCCTTTCTCTCCGGCAGTGGACAGACAACAACCGGCTGTTGAAACAAAAAACAAAAAAAGAAATGCTTGCGTCAGCGGGGAGTCGAACCCCGATCTATTGCTTGGAAGGCAACAATGCTAACCGCTACACCACTAACGCCTTTGCTTGAAAATTGTTTTCATGATGTAGTTCATGTATTAAGTTATCTTCTGCATCAATGCTATCTACACCTTCCACCCTGACTTTGAGAGACCGCCATAACAGTAAATTCAGCCGGGATGTTCTGATGAAATATAAATGTGGCACTTAATAAGCTGTTTCTGGTCTCTTTGAGTTGAACTGGAGCATTGCGTGGGGGATAGTCACAAGAAAAAATCTAGCTGCATCATCAACATATATTCCTAGCGCTTTCCACTACAATTACATATTTGATCACGCTTTGCAGTCCGGCACCTTTTCAGGAACCAGGTTGAATCAGAAGAACGAGATCGACGCCAGAAATGACTACCCATACACCAGGAATACGGCCATCTCGGAGACCTGAAATGACACCCCAACAGGCGAATAACCTGTAATATACTCCATAAACACACAACAGCACCGTAAAGGTACTATGCACACCCCACCATGCAAAACACCACCAACCTCAGTCAAGGATACCTCCCCCCGGACCCCAACATATCAACACACCTCTCCACAGCCCTCTGCATCTCCCTCGTCGCCTCCTCAATCAACGCCGTCAGCGGCACCTCTCCCGCTTTCTCCCTCATAACTCTCACAAACTCATTATTCAACACCTTATTAATATTAACCTTACTCACCCCACAGTCAATACACCTGCGAAAAATGCCCTCATCGAACGGATCTGCTCCATGTAAGACCAACCTCACCCGGCTCCCCACCGTCTCATGAATCTGTTGTAGACGGTCATACTCCAACACAATCCCCCGGGGCCCATAACTCCCATGCACATTCCCAAACGCCGGCGCCAACCAATCAATGCCCGTGTCGGCAAACTCCACGCTCTCTTCCGGGGTCGTCAGCAACCCGGCCAGATCAGCCGTGTCTGCGACTCCGTCCTCCCCGCCCTCGATGCGGCCGGGCTCGGCTTCCGTGGCGATCCCGCGCTCGTGACAATATGCCACGAGCTCGCGTGTGAGTGCGAGGTTCTCTTGCTTCGAGTAGTGCGACATATCGATCATGATGCTGTCGAAGCCGCCCATGTCGGCGGCGCGGCGGATGATCTCGGGGGTTTGTGCGTGGTCGAGGTGCACGGTGATGGGCACGGAGGCGGAACGGGCGGCTTCGGCGGCGGCGTGGACGAGTACCCCGTCGGCGTAGTGGATCGCCCACGGGAAGAGGAGGAGCATGGCCGGGGAGCGCTTGGCTTCGGCGGCGCGCACGGTCGCGAGGATGCCTTCCACGTTGTAGCAGCACATGGCGGGGATGCCGTAGTGGTTGGCAGCGGCGTGGTCGAGGAGGGGGAGGGCGCGGTTGTTGGTTAGAGGCATTGTGGGTAGGTGGGTGGTGGTCGGGGGATGCGGGGTGAGGGTGAAGGCAAAGGGGAAGGAAAAGCGAAGGGAAAGGGTGAGAACGAGAAGGTATGAGAGATTTGTGAGGTATATGAAGACAGTAGCTTGTGTGGTTTCTGTGGTTGTTCTTTATATGAGGGGTTGTGGATAGATAGACCGCTATAGTGTAAGTACGTCGGTAGATACAAACAATCTCTGTCTATACTTCATCGAGATACCCCGCGGAAGGAAGTCCGAGGCCGGAGTTGCTCCGACCTGATGTCATTTGTTTATTCGCAGTGAGGGGAAACCATCCATACAATGTTGGCACAACAGAGACAGACTCGTACAGCTCCGATACCTTCTGCCACACAAGTGTATGCCTGCATGCACAGGAGGAGAACATGGGAACAGCCAACACCCTTTGTCAAACCATATAACAGATGCATTCGAACTGCACCCCCCAAACATCTATGTAGTCACATACTTTAAACTGACATCAAAGCTTCCCCTTGACACCCCCCTCATACATCCCCACCACGCTGGTACTACTGCTCCCCCCCAGACCAGCCCTCTTCGCCATCAACAACACTCCCAACGCCGCATTTCCCAGATGCAATGGACAATGCAAGTCTCTGGCCCGCTGGACCACCCTCGCCAACCGCTGCACGAGTGAATCGACCGTCTCTGCTCCCGCAGGCGCCTTCTCCCCAACCCTCCCCTCAATCATCTCCAAACCATGAGTGATAAATAGCCTACTCCCACCGGCAGCATCGCTCACCAATTCATAGAACTGGCGTAGATCGACACCCAGAAACCGCGCAAAAGCCACCGCCTCTGCAGCCGCCACCAGATTGACTGCCGCCATCAGATCGAGTACCAGCCTCGTCCTCTCCTCCTTATCCTCCTCCCCCAGTCCAGAAGCATCGACCTTCATCACCGGACCAGACACATACTGTCTCACCAGCGCCGCATCATCCTTATTCCCATCGCCCTGAAGCAGCGCCGAGAGATAGATCTGTTCAGCTGTAGCGCACAATGGAGTAGGGAAATAATGTTCGCGCGCCGAGGTCGTGATGATGCCCTTGGCAGTAGGAACGATTATCAGTCTCAAACCACATGACCCCGGTGAGAAAGGAAAAGGGGAGCACATACCGCATCCTTTAGAATGATTGTCACCGCACTAGCTCCGGGAATCCACTCCTTCTCGTCCCCCAAGATTCTCGGCGAGCGGTTCTCATGCATCCACGTCCACGTCTCCCCACTCTTAATTCTCTCCGCCGTCTGCGCGGCATCCAACCCCAACCGCGCCGCCAGACCCTGCGCTTCGCTAGCCCCCAGGATATGGATCGCTGCGAGCACCTGATGCACCATCTTCATGTTGCTGCCTGCGCCAATGCCGCCAGGAACTAAATAGAGTTTGCCAGGGGCAGAGAGGGTAGAGAGAAGCGGGGTGGCTGCCTCCAAGGCGGCAGGAGAGCCGCCAGCCATGATGGAGAGGGTGCCGGCTGCGGCGCGGAGGGCGCCTCCAGAGACGGGAGCGTCAACTACTAGAATATCCGGGCGATTGTAAGGGGGCGCGCAGAGGGCGTGGGCGAGGGACTGCGCTGCTGAGGCGGAAATGGTGGACATGAGGATGAGCGTTGCGTTTGGGGGGAGGTCTTTAAGATGTGCCCCGTTAGAAATGTCGCACAGCAGGAGGGAGTAGGGGTTGGGTGAGGGAGAAGGAACCTACGCTGAACGATGCCCTCTTCTCCAAACAAGACGCTCTGGACCTGAGGGGCGGAAGCGACCATACAAACGTAGAAGGACTTGTCCTCTGCAGAGGCGCGGAGAGACTCAGCTGCAATTCCTCCTGCAGCCCTGAAGCGCTCGATTGAGGCGGGAAAGACGTCGTAACCATGCACAGGATAGCCCTCGCGTACCAGGTGCATCGCCATGCCGAAGCCCATGGCCCCCAGGCCGACGAATCCGATAGCAGGTTTGGACATTAGGAGGCAACGAAAAGGAGTATAAGGGAAGCTTTGTTTATTAAATTGTAAATCCTTTTATGGTGTGATGCGCTGCGACTTTATTATCAAGGCAGTGGTTCGCAGGGAAGTCCGAGCGTCGGAGAATGGCCGATCATGCGGGGATGACATCGAGGGGTGTTTTTGTCCCGCCAGCGTTGCCGATACTGCTCCGATACTCCACGGAGAAAGCCGAGCAGGCCGATTCTGATTCTATCTTTTTTACTGGGTCATTGCCATAATCCTGTCCTGGTGGTTGTGGGTCTGGCTCGAGGAAGACTACTCTATGCACAACATTCCCAACCAGACGAGTTGACTAGCATGGCAGTGCTTGATGAATGGCCCTCTCAGAAAGACAGTGACTTGCCGAGGACACTTTCATATAATGCAAAAAGGAATTCATGCTCGGTGACTGCTATATCTCAAAGCTGAATCACATACTCCTTGATTACCCGCTGGCGTTGTCGGGTACTTGTGATCCATCTTGGGAATGACCAGAAGATGCCGTTCTTCAACTCAATAGCAATCATGGCTTGATCAACGGCTGCAAAGGTCCAGACCCGATCTCCCAAGATCAACCCTAGTGGTGATTCGTCCCAAGGTCGTGAGAGATTCGGGAGACATGGCTAGACGATGAGACGATACTATGTGCATAACCTCAACAAGCAAAAGCAAGAGCCTTGCAAAATGACCCACAGCTCTCTCCTGCGCCGTCTGCCCTGGTCCTCGCGCCCACAAAGCGCGATATCTCAGGCCGATGGTACTTTGTATGCCATCGGCACGAACTACCAGGCCGTTTAAGATCTGGTGATAATATGATGCACGCAGCATGGTTCCTTGTCAAGGGATCTGGACTCGTATTCGTACAGTCAGGCTGCAGCGATTCATCACTATGACTGCTACCCGAGTGACTGCTAATGTGTGAATCAACATGCTGATTAGTCTTGACTGCGACGACTTCATTGTCAACCTGACAAGATCCGAGCATCTTTACAGGGTAAAATGTCTTTGGCGAGCTGTTTCATAGATAAGACGCGATATTTGCGCAAACTCCGGGATCGTCGGGCGGTTAACAGATCGATCGTCTCCATCGTCTCAGCCCCGCAGACGAGTGGCGAAACATCATCAGGCGAGAAATCTCGTGCTATAAGCCTTTTCCCACAGCGTTTGGGCACGTACGAATTTCTGATCGTATGTAAAAGCCGCCTACCTGTTGCGTCGTGTGAACACAAAGTGCTGAGCCGCGCTGGGACTATTCGGGCGTGTCCATTGATGCTGACACATTCTCTCGAATCAAGCATGGGTAGGCGTCACGAGCTCTTGTAGGTTGAGGTACGCAGCGAATCAACCTATAATTCAGTGATACTCTCCTGGTAAACAGCACCCCCAAATGCGTCGATACACACGTAAATGTAGCTCACAGAGATATAGAATATATATATGAAATTCCATTGGTAGAAGTGACCACCGCGGCTAAGAAAATCAACATTCACAATTTACACCTATTGAAACATCCGACATGAGACCTCGAAAACGGAGGGAATAGAGCGCAAGCGACAAGGAATTGAAAGGAAAAGACGAGGGAGAAGAGGAAGGGTCTGAAATAACACACGACTTAGGACAGAAAGGGAAAGAAGAAATCAAACAGTTCTTTTCTTTTGTACTTGGTCGCCTCTCTAGTGAGCAGCCATCATCTTCTTAATCTCGGCAATGGCCCGAGCAGGGTTCAGACCCTTGGGGCAAGTCCGGGAGCAGTTGAGAATAGTGTGGCAACGGTAAACGCTCATGCTGTTATCCAAAGCGGCCTTACGCTCGGCGGTCTTCTCGTCACGGGAATCGGCCATCCAGCGGTAGGACTGCATGAGAATGGCGGGACCGAGGTACTCCTCGCTGTTCCACCAGTAAGATGGGCAAGAGGTCGAGCAGCAGGCGCACAGAATACATTCGTAGAGACCGTCGAGCTTCTTGCGCTCCTCGGGGCTTTGGCGGTACTCAAGTCCCTGCGTGCAACCAAGTTAGAAAGGCCAATTCACCCATGCGATGCGACAAATACTTACATCCTCAGTGGGGGTATCACGCTGAAGGTAGGGCTTGATGGATTTGTATTGCTTGTAGAAGTAGGTCAAATCGGGGACCAAGTCCTTGACAACGTAGGTATGAGGCAACGGGTAGATGCGAGAATCCTTGGCAGTATCGGTAGGAATGCGGCCTAGACATATTAGGTCAGCGACTGCAGTCCATGAGAGGTGCATGAGCGTGACGAGAAGCAAGACATACACAAGCAAGCCAGGGTGTTAACACCATCAATGTTCATTGCACAACTACCGCAGATACCCTCTCTGCAACTTCTCCGGAAAGTCAGGGTGGGATCGATTTCGTTCTTGATGCGGATGAGCGCATCAAGCATCATGGGACCAGTCTTGTTCAAATCCAACTCGTAGGTCTGCATCTGAGGCTTTTCGGAGGGAGTGTCGGGGTTCCAGCGGTAGACCTGGAACTTCTTGATCCGAGGCTGCTCGGAGGGAGTGGGTTCCTGTACGGTCGAGGTCTTAGACTCGGGGGTGACGCTAGTCGTGGCATGGCCGGTTGCGCTCACCTGAGCTACGGGATCAACGGTCGCATAGGTGCGGGCGAAGACAGCGGGACGGAACAGAGGCTTGGAGGCCGCGAAAAGGCGCGAAGTCGAGCGGAGAGCAGACATGGTGGGCAGTCCTTCAATTTCGATCCGGAAGAATGGAAGATAGGAGGAAGGCGAAAAATGGGATGGACACCGAAGGCACAGAGGCGGAAGAAGGACCAGACAGCGGAAGGTCAGATGAAACTTAGAGCAGAGCAGAGGGGAGAGATGTCCGTGATAATGCAGCCAGCCAGCGGCAACGACGAGCGACGTCCAAGGGAGGCACGAGGTGGATTGAAGTCGAAGTCGATCGATGCTGGCGGTGTTTTGTCGCCTTTGGGACCGGAAGGTAACCTCGGGTCTGACGGCCGGCAACTGGCTGACTCAGCACTCCGGGGCCAATCAGGCAAAGGCTAATTGCAAGCGTCGGGGATACACGGCGAGGCTCTACAGTGCGGCTAGGCTTGTGGGAATGTATTTCCCTGTGACGGTCGAAGTGAAGATGTGCTGGGACCAACTCTTCTGATAGAAACAAAAGAGGGCCGACCTAGAAGCACTAATCACCTTTCTAGTCTTTACGTCTTCCTACATCCCCCCGCATAAACAGCTTATCCCCAGCTCCCGTCGCGCAAGGGCAGCCTCTTTATGTAATCTCTTTGCCGGTCCGTCTGCTTGACCCAAAGGAGCAACGGAGCCGAATCTTTTGCCGTCCGTGGAGTCATGTGATTTGATGGTCTAGCACATTCAGCCATCAGCACCTGAGCGCCAGGCTATAAGGCATCATTACCAATGTCAGGTATTCAGGCACCTAGGCAGCCATTACCAGGCAACGATAAGTCGTCTGTCCTGGCCCGAAAGTGCTTGCCGTCGCCGGTGGTAGTGAAGCCGATACCCAGCTTGACACCGTCCCTTTTCCTCACCAACTAGAGATAACGGCTCTGATTAAGAAACCGTCAGCCTGCGTTAGTCCGCAGGCATGCACTATCTGAATGATGAGTCAGATTGGTCGTTGTACTCTGACTTCATCCTCAAGTCCTCCTGGAAACGTGGGAGTTAACTGCGGCTCTTCGATCTGTCAGTAACTGAGTCGCCGTGCCGTTTTACCCCTAGCACCGACCGACCTGCTCACAAGATAGTCAATGGTGGACAATTCGAACCTTATATGAGTATTTCTTGGCTTCATTTAGAGAAGTCATCCTATGCCGAGGGTTCCGACAAACTCCTCCCAGATGTCGTATTCGAATCCCTCTTCCCTTCCCTTTTCTCCATCCTCTTCTCCTTCAATGTGGCTGGTGGGAATGAGCGGAGTCACCAGTGCATCTAGGTGGTCTTGGTACGGAGCATGTCTTCTCGACTCTTTGCCAATGTCATGGGCGAGATGGATCACAAGTGGCTGTTCTGATCTAGAATGTGCAGCTGGGTGCATATCACTGCCAAAAGAGTAAGGGAACAAATCGATTACGCTAATAAGCCGGGCTTCTATAATGGCCATTTTGTTGAGGCGACTGACGAAGATGGTCAGCCAATATCGCGTGTACGCCACTTTGCTGCGGGCTCAGACTCTGGATTGCAAAGACCAGGAATTAACCGCCGCAGAGAGAAGCCGGAATAGTTGCTGCATCAGGTTAAGGGCATAAATGGGAACATCGCCCGTCAAGATAGCATTGACCTTGCTTCAGGCCGAAACCCGATGGTCCTACGGCCTTAATCCACCATTTGTCTTCTGGCAAGTGCGTCTCTACTCTCCGAATGGTAATACGACCGACCGACCGTCACGGGTTGCTGGCTGGTCGCCAAAGATGCCTTCAGAGGTACAAGCTCACCTCGTTGTGCATTATCTCCCAGCAATATTGCACGAAGCTTAAAGTGCTAAGGCGTTTGGTCTCAGATTAAGAATTCACCTCCATTAGTTTATTTCCGCTGGCGTCCTGCAGCTAGATTTGCATGTAAGACATGGGTGGACGTCATCTCCATTTTCCTTCATGGGCCGGATCCTCATAGAAGACTTGAAAGGATATCCCAAGTCTTCCAAGTGGGGACTGTTGCCTTTGGTGGTACCCAGCCAGAGCTGGTGATGGAGTCAATTGGTCTTTCCGCACTAAGATGGCCATAATATCCGATGGATGGAAATATAATTCTTAGTCATTCTTAAGGACTCTCGGAAATACCCTCTCTGGGAGGATGAAGAAAATTTACGTTTCTTTCTGGTTCTTTTTGTTTTGGGTGCCACGATGCGGTGGGCCTTTTCTCAGGCCCACTTTTGTCGGTTGTTGCTTGTGGACCGGCGGTTCGGTGTTCCTGACACTAAGTTATGCAGATACAGAGGTACGATCTGGAAGAGTTCCTGTCTTTTTCCGCTTTCACCCAGCTAACCTGCGACAGATGTGGGAGATACTCCTACAACCGTTGAACAAGACAATCACCACCAGACTCGAGAACTTCTTGGTAGTTACAAGGCACTGAGACACTGGAAGTTTTCCGGCTGGGACTCTGTGTTGCATCCGACAACGCTAAAGCAGCCCCGGCGCGCAAGCCGATAAGCCCTAGTTATCCCATCAACTTTGAAAGTCTACCATTGTTCTTGATATCCCAATATTATGTAGGCTTCTGAACACTTCACCTCATGGAACCTCCGGCCAAGACGGAGAAATTGCTCCTTTACGAGTCCACTGGCAATGCCGACCTCCGACCTTTGCCACGGCGTGGTTTTTTACTTTAGACTACGGTGACCTAAAGAACAACGGTGTGATTAGTATGAAACATCGTAAATCACCCGGGATGCTCCACAGCCCACCTCTCCCAGCTACCGGCCGCCCCCTGTGGGTGGATCGCCGAGTTCATGGGCTATGAACCAAGGGGGTCCTTCCTTGGTGATAGGCAAAACCATGTGGCTGCTACTGCTTATCATTTCCCCTTTCCAATCAGCCCATGGCCTGGTCCATGAAGACATCCATGCTTCTAGTGCAAGGCCTCGGTCAGTTCCCCGGCGCCAAGTTCGGAACTGATCAAGAAGAATTGACGCATTCGTGCAACAGCCCTTAGCTCTTAATCAAAAATGGCCACGGTCGTTTCATATCGACCATCCGTTCAATCTCATCTGACATCCTGTATTAGACCCACTGAACGAGAGAGATGGTGGCTCAATCCTCATGAATCCTGAAGTCAAACTATAAAAGCCCTTCAATACCTCCCCTCTATATGCCAGGTTCTCTCTTTCTCTTCCAACCCACTCTTTCCCTCTTTCTCTCCCTTTTTACCTTAGTCCTTCTTTCAGAACCTTTCCTTTTCTTTTCCCAGATAGCTGGTCCTCTATCTGTGCACTTTCCTTCCATCCATCATGAAGTACACTGCTCTTTTCAGCGCTGCTGTCGCTGGTCTCGCCGGTTCTGCCGCTGCCGTCGGTGTCTCCGGATCTGCTGAGGGTTTCGCCAAGGGCGTCACCGGAGGAGGTTCGGCTACGCCTGTGTACCCCTCCACCACTGACGAGCTGGTCTCCTACCTTGGTGACAGTGAGGCTCGTGTCATTGTTCTCGAGAAGACCTTCGATTTCACCGGCACCGAGGGTACCACCACCTCCACTGGTTGCGCTCCTTGGGGTACTGCTTCTGCTTGCCAGGTCGCCATCAACCAGGACGACTGGTGTACCAACTACGAGCCCGATGCTCCCTCCGTCTCTGTCACCTAGTAAGTTTGGTTCTACAGACCACCTCGTCATCCTGAGGAAAGAACCTTCTGACTTTGGTCTTTCTAGTGACAACGCCGGTATTCTCGGTATCACTGTCGGCTCGAACAAGTCTATCATTGGTGTCGGTACCACCGGTGTGATCAAGGGCAGGGGTCTCCGCCTTGTCAGCGGTGCTGAGAACGTCATCATTCAGTAGGCTGATTCAACACTCGTGTTGGCCAACGATGCATTTCTAACATATCTATCTCAGGAACATTGCCATTACCGACATCAACGAGAAGTACGTCTGGGGTGGAGATGCTATCACCCTTGACGACGTCGACATGGTCTGGATTGACCACGTTACCACTGCTCGCATTGGTCGCCAGCACATCGTCCTCGGAACCTCTGCCGACAACCGCGTCTCTATCACCAACAACTACATCGATGGTGTGACCGACTACTCCGCTACCTGCGACGGCTACACCTACTGGGGTATCTACCTCGATGGCTCCAGCGACATGGTGACCCTCAAGGGCAACTATATCTACCACACCAGCGGTCGTTCCCCCAAGGTTGGAGGCAACACCCTCGTCCACGCTGTACGTTGCTCTTTTCCCCGACCTCACACCTTACCAACACCATTCTTTTCGATTGAACCACCAACTAATCACTTTTCCGTTTACAGGTCAACAACTACTGGTACGACAACTCCGGCCACGCCTTCGAGGTCGGGTCCGGTGCCTACATCCTTGCCGAGGGCAACGTCTTCCAGAACGTCGACACCATCGTCGAGACCCCCATCTCCGGCTCGATGTTCTCCGTCCCCTCCACCTCCTCCGGCTCCTCCTGCACTGCCTCCCTGGGCCGTGCCTGTGTCATCAACGGCTTCGGTAGCTCTGGCACCCTCGACGAGACTGACACTGATTTCCTCACCAACTTCGCTGGCAAGAACATTGCCACCGCTTCCGCTTACACCTCCGTCGCCTCCAGCGTCACTGCCAACGCTGGTCAGGGTAAGCTGTAAAGGAGAAGCTCATTTGGTCTCTCTCCTTGTGATACAGTTGATATTGAGTTTAGCGGTTGGAATAGTGGTGTCTGATGTTTCGTGGAGGAAAGCGTTTACCTTTCGTGTAATTAATTCTTTAGATATACGGAAGCCGATCCTGACTTCATGTCGAGTTCGACTTGACAATCTAATCTACATCATTGAAGGATAATGCACCTTACCTCTCGTAATTTATGGAACTGTAAATCACTGCACATCTTAGTCTAATCGTGGCCCCCCTGCAAGTGGGCTAGTCTCGGCTTTTGCATTGCTCCTGCTATAGTAGCCTAAGGGGCCTTGAACCTAGCAAAGACAAGTCCTCATTCACAAATCTAGGAGTGATCCCTCCTTGACCCGTCCACAGAATCTATTAGGACTTTGTAGGATTTGGGAGAATTATGTCGACTTTACAGTACAACATAATTGCTGCTCTCCCATGCTGTTAGGACGGCAACGTCTCTGAATGATCTAACCTCCAAAAAATTCCGACTTTCCCAGACTAGGACTAAGCAGTGACAATTGATCATTATCAGACTGCCGAATCCAAGATACTATTCAAGAGGTTCATTTTTGGAGGCCCGAATGCAGTGCCATATGGGTGAACAAAAACGAAACACAAGATGATCCCACAAAAATACAATCCCCCCCGGGGAATCGTACGCACGCCTCACCCACAGGCGAGACAGAATTTGTACGACGAGGTAGTACCGCTTGACTATTACGGGACTAACATAAAATTAAGTTGTTGCAGACTGACTCTCATAGCCTAGCTGTATGTCAGTAGCGAGCTTCTCCCGCCAAGTATAAGATCCCCCGCTACATATGACGAGGGGAGGGCGCACGACAAGTGCGGAATTACGGGTCGCCGCGCGGATCAATCGCCGCATAAAACAAGCTTTGTCAGCATCTTTCCGAAAGTCTTCCCTCGTTGCCAAGTCAGCCATAAACTCCAAAGTAGTTCACGTCGTATCCAGATTTACATATTGTCCGGAGATTGACCGTTGGAAGATTGCTCACACGTGGGTAGAGAGCGGGGAAAGCCAATTATCCATAGGATGATAATTAATTGAAGTAGAAAAACCGTTTACTTGTAACAGGAAAGGCGGAAACACGAGCTGGAGGGAAGTGCATGATATCATTTACGGTAAGCTACATGTGGGTCGGAAACAGCCCGACGGCGAATTCTTGCACGTTGCAGCCTGTCTGGCACAGAGATATGCGGAGGTACAGCTTCCTTAAATGTAGACAGGCAAGCACACTGGCAACCCACGAGTACGAATAGCAAAATTGCCTGTCCGGTTTGGTTGAACGGAGCGCCAATCGCCACCCAATCATCCTTCCCTGTCATATCCATCATCCTCACCAGAGTTACTCCTCACTCCTCGTATTCTTCCTCAACGTCAAATCCACTTTCTTCGACCTGCTTCCCGTGCTTCCACTTCTTCTCGGGGCATCTACTTGATCATCATCATCTTACAGGCTGTAGCCCACATTCTATCACTTTTTGTCATCGCCCATTGACCCCCAAGCTTTGCAATTGCCGTCCTCCCGATTCGACATCGGTGGGTAGATCACGTGCTTCGGGAAACAGTGACGCTTCATCCAAACATCCCCGGGAAATGAATCTCGAGCTGAGACAGAGGGACCAACAACGCGACTGACATCACTCATCGGATCAAGACATGGTAGCGCAGGACGGTGCTGGAGCACCTGCCTCGCCGTCAATGCAAGATACAGAGGAGAAACCCAAGCAGCGAATATGGAGGGTCTTCAGCTTTCCCCAGATAATCTGGGGTAAGCTGAATATGGACATCCCCACTTTGCTGCTCATGATGAAGTTCGTTCCTCCAACCGTCCCACTGCGTACAATATGTACTCGGATCTAATATTCTTATGCTTGACAGAGGAGCGCTACCTCCGACCATATGTGTAGCCATGTATGACTTCCTACAACATTGGTCTGACATCTTGAATCAGAGCTAATAGACTGAAAGGTACCAATCGAATGCTGTATCCGGTCAATTCAACACCGTCGGCTACCTAGTGGCTATCATCTCTGTTCTAGGCTTCTCCATCATGCCGCGGGCCAAGTTTATCCAAATGATGGTTCTTGACATCCTAGCAGTCTGCGTGGCCTCCGCTTTCGCCTTGCTGATGATGTACTGCTGCATCAAGGCCCGAGAACACTCCCAATCATCTTCAGCAGCAGCAGCATCGGCGACCACGAGTTCGACAGCAACATCATCCGTTGCCTACAACTCCTCCGCTTCAGCTGTCAGTGGTGTCTGGCTCTTCTTTCAGATTTATGTGGTTCACACGTTCAGAGCCAAATTCCAGCAGTTTCAATTCCCCGTCATTATCTATTCCATTATTGCTAATGTCACATTTACCTATGCTCCCCGTCTTGGGACCATGACTGCAGCAATAGCATTGGTCAAGAAGCTGCTCGAGGCTTGTCTAACCGGCCTAGCTATTTGCACGGGCGTATCTCTATTCATCCTGCCCAAAAGTACTCGTGGTGTCGTTCTTAAACAGATGGGAGGCTACATCCAAGGCCTACGTGGTGCTCTGCAGGCTCATACAGCCTACTTTGAGTCCCTCGAGCGCGAAGATATGTTCGGCCGGGCAGAGACCTACGACTCCCGAGTGGAGAAGATGACCGACAAGGGCAAGGTCTACAGCCCAGAGGCGGCGGCTATTCGAACAGCTTGCCAGAAGCTGACAGATCTCCATGCGAAGATTCATGGAGATCTGACGTTTGCGAAGCGTGAATTCGCAATCGGTAAACTTGGCCCTGACGATCTTCAAGCCATATTCAGACAGCTGCGCCAGGCTATGATCCCGGTGGTGGGTCTGAGCTTTGTTGTTGACATCTTCCAGCGCCTGTCCGATTATAACAAATGGAACCAGCCGATCGATCCTGGCGCCCCGGAAGACATACGATCTCGTGTCGTGCAGGAATGGAACGATATTATGCGGGCTGTACATGATCCGTTCCGCTCTATGATCGACACAATTGATGAAGGTCTTCAGCATGTGTCGTATGTTCTCGAGTTCAGCAACCCGCCCAAAGCTTCAACTACATCCAAGGACTCTGGAGATGTCGAGGCTAATGCAAGCCCGAGACCGGGCGAAATCGGCTTCGCTGCCCACTATGCCAAAAAGCTCAGTGATTTCAAGGCAGCGAAGCGCGTTGCGCTGCGAGCCTGGAGTGAAGAGAAAGGCATCACTCTACCTCCCGACTTTTTTGAGCACCCTTCCTCCGTCCACCTCGATGTCGATGACATACCCTCAGACAGTTCAGGTGTAGGACGAGACCGGAGCAGAAGGCAGCTGTATTTGATCCTATACGTATGTGAAACGTTGTGTTGTGTTTTCAAATACCAAGCGGATTGCTAACTTGCGTAGATGGAGCAACTTCTCAGCTCCACTGGTCATGTCATTCAAGACTTTGTTCACTTTGTCGACGAGAAGCGTGCAAGCGGGAAACTGTCCAGACAGCGGCTCATTATACCAGGATCTAAGCGCATATTGAAATGGATCATAAGCGCCTTCAAAGCAGAAGATACCCATGAAGATGATAATCTTGGTGGCGACATCAGCTCGCAGAACAATATCCTTCAGCTGGGCGAAGCATACAAACACCGGAAAGACCCCGAACATTTGCCTCCGGAGAACGCACTACAAAGATTCGGAGATAAGCTACGACGGATCCCCTCGGCCCTCCGCTCACCTGAGTCTGCCTATGGCCTTCGCGTAGCCTGTGCCACGATGACCGTGGCTGTGGTCGCATTCCTCAATGATACTCAAGACTTTTTCGTGAAACAGCGATTCGTATGGGCTATGATCATGGTCAATCTGAGTATGTCCCCTACTTCGGGGCAGAGTATATTTGGCTTTGTCCTTCGTATTCTGGGCACAGTTATGGCTATGGTGCTTAGCATACTCGCTTGGTATATTCCTGACAGGAAAACTCCTGGAATAATTGTTTTCCTGTTTATCTTCTTGACCTGTGTCTTTTATGTGCCAATCAAGCAATTTCGCTTTCGAATTATTGGCATTATCACCATCATTTCTACTTCCATGATCGTGGGATACGAGCTGGAGGTTCGCAAGATCGGGGAGGCGGTGGCCACCTCGAATGGACAGCAGTACTATCCCATCTACCTGCTGGCACCGTACCGACTGGCAACGGTGGCGGGTGGTATCGCGGTTGCATTCTTTTGGACCTTCTTTCCTTACCCAATCTCGGAACATTCTGCTCTCCGCCAAAGCCTCGGAGCATCTTTGTACCTTTTGGCGAATTACTATTCTGTCATCCACGAGACTGTGTCCGCGCGGATGCGAGGAGACGAGGGTGACCTGGCAATCAAATCTTCCTCCGGGCGACGGCTGCTCAAAGCTCGCAACAAGGTGTTCTCGAAGCAGATGCTTATGCTGAATAGCTTGCGGACCTACTCCGGGTTTCTAAAATGGGAAGTTCCCATCGGTGGGAGATTTCCGAAAAAGCGCTATGATTCGATTATAGCATGCATTGATAGGTACGTTGTTCTCATGCTAGACTCAAATTCCGAGCGCTCTGACTATGTGAGCAGCATCGTCAGCTATCTGAGTCTTCTTGGATACGCCTCGGACACACTCATACAACTTGGGCATGATGATGAATCAGACTCGGCTTGGCTTCAAGATTTCAAGAGACTGGTTGCCAGTGCCCGAGTAACGACGCACGAGATAACATCCGTTCTGTGCCTCCTCTCGGCTAGTATCACGAATCAGCAGCCCCTACCACCTTATCTCAAAACGCCCCGTCCGTACAGCTTTTCGAAAAGGCTCGAGGCGCTGGACAAAGATATTTTGAACCTGAGACATATCGCGGAGCCTGGCTTTGCCACCTTCTCAGTGCTGCAGATCTCCACCAGATGCATTGTTGGAGATGTGGAGAGACTAATGAAGTGAGTACTTCTGTTTGATCTAGTAAGGTATAATGCTAACAAAAGCAGAGACGTGAAAGCGTTAGTTGGCGAGTTGGACTTTTCTTTCCATGCTGTTAGCACTGCACATAGCGCCAAATCCTCAGCTGAAGTCTCGAGAGTGTCAAGGACGGATCTGGACAAAGCTGATTGATCTTTCTCCTGTACATAATTTATGTTTACTAATGTCGACAATCTCGTTCTGTGCAGAAAATCTTATCTGCGCCAAGGTAATGACGGACAGCAGATAACGGCTTTATCGGCGATGTCGAAGAACCGACAATCTCGCAATTGCGCTCTCACTCTCCTTCAATGCCACATCTACCACAGTCCATTATCTCTAAGCAAAAATATGCAAGATCTCGATCCTCGATCCAGCTTTGCTGTCTGTATCCGCTGGTCAGTCTGTCTTTATGACTGGAGACGCGAATGGGATTAGGGCAGCCACCGCGAAGCTCTTCGACGAGCATGGCGCGAATGTCATCTTATCCGATTTTGCATCTTCCAAGGCGACAGCTGAAACCCTATCCAAAAATTCTCTCGGCCTGAGAAGGCAGCATGTGTCGCAGCCGACATTCTTGACTGGGAGCAGATGAAGACGGTCTTTCACGAGACAGTCCGGCTGTTCGGAAAAGTTGATGTTGTCATCGTCAATGCTGGAGTGATAGAGTCTCGCCCTGTACGAAATTTTGATGATGATGATGGTGGTGATGATGATGATGATGACAGTAGTAATCTTAGAAGTTTAGAGAAGCCTTTAGAGTGATTGATGACAATTGAAAAGGGACCTTGAACAGTGAGTCTTCCTCGGGAATAAGGTCTATCTCCGCTGACCATCGACAGCTCTGAGACTGGCGATGCACCACATGAAAAACGCGCCCGGGCTACCTGGATCTATTGTCCTTCTAGCATCAGCATCGCGGTGTTTTGGAGGTGCCAGAGTCGTAGCCTATGTCGCTTCCAAGCATGGAGTTATCGGGTTACTTCGTGCCTCTCAGCTTTTTGCGCAGCAGTATGGCATCCGCATAAACGCTATTGCTCCATTTGTCACACCTACACGAATTCCAGCAGGATTTGCGAAAAAATGGCACGAAGCCGGTCTTGAAGCCAACAGACCCCAACGTGTGGCGGAAGTGATCGGGCAGGTTGCAATGGATCCGACCAGAAAGGGATTCTGTGTTCTAGTGAGTGCCTTTCGATAACTCGCGTTCTTGTTGGAGGCTTTCTTGATACTAATGTTTATTCTGACAAGTTGCCGGGGATTATCCTCGCGAATTGGAATTCACCATGGCAAGAATGCTGGCGCCATGGCTTGGGGAGGATGTTGCGAGATCTATGACCAGCGCGATGCAATTTTTCCAAGATGTAGGGGGCTATGTGCTTCCCAGCTACCGTTAAGAGCACCCCCTTTTCATTGATTGTCGTGCCGGTTGTTGCTTTGCTTATTGGCTTGAGTCAGTTATCAATGTGACCTGTGCCTGCATGCCGATACTTCAAGGAGAGCCAAGCTGGCCGAAAAGGGAAAAGTCTTGGACTACCTAGGGTGATTGGAATGCCTTCTTCGAGCGAATCAGACAGATTTTATTCTCTTTGCCGTTTCGAGGATGGCTAGAACTGCAATATGACCGAGTCGAATGCATGAGCGAAAGTAGGGAGAGAGCAACAGCACGCATTAGGTCTCGGCTCCTAGCGGATCTGTGCTTACTCCTTGCATAATGAAGCATGCTAGTATGCGTTAACCGCTAAGTCGGCCCCCATCAAGGCAATAGGATTTGGATTGATTGACTGGTTTGCATCAGGGCTCTACAAGACGATGATGCAACGAGCGCTTCTCCTCTATCCGTGATGATGGGACGGGATGCCTACCATCGACGTCTTTCCTCCTGTCGCACTCGGCTGTCTTAGCAGCTCTAATTGAATCAGACAGGTTCAAGAGACTCTGAGCGCCGAGCGACAATGGGTTTGGAGTTTGTTGACACTAGCCATGACAAAATCAGCTGCGATGTGCAGCTACTTGACGGCAGAGGCGTCGAAAACCTAGTTGAGGATATTGACGCCCAAGCAAGCCACCATGACAATAACCTGGAAGCCAATATTGAGCGGACTAAGTGGAAGCCGGACGTCAAGGAGTGGTTGATGATCATCTCGGCCTGTTTGCTTGTCACGATGGATGCCTTGAACGTGACTGTCGTTATACCTCTGATACCAGTACGTATGGACAACAGTATGCTTTGCGTGAGCTAAATGGTTGCCTCAGAGTCTATCGAGTACGCTGGAGCGAGCGCTGGGCGGGATCCTGTGGTTTGAGACCTCGTATCTCATGGCCAGCGCCACGGGCCAAGCTCTCTTCGCCATGCTCACTGATCTTATCGGTGCCGGCCCTGTTGTCCTTGTCGCTGTGGTGTTCGCAACGGCCGGGACGGGCGTCTGCAGCGGCTCAATGAATCTAGCCAGCCTCATCGCCGGCCGTTTTGTGCAGGGAATCGGAGGAGGAGCGGTTACGGCGTACTCGCTTCTGGTCATGGCCGACATCATCCCTGACATGTACCTTGCCCACTACTCCGGATATCTCTTCCAGGCTCGTGTTGTGGGGACCATGCTTGGCATGGTCCTCGGAGGACTGTTCAGCGACTATACCTCTAGGATCTGGGCTTTCTACGCTAGCTTCGCTTTCTGCGCATTTGGGCTGCTCATCATCCCGTTTGCCGTCGACCTGCGTGGCCGTCGCAGCATTTCCATGCGCAAGTTACGCAGCATGGGCTGGCTGAGTGTGGTACTCAGCCTGTTGGGAATGAGCAGCCTGCTTATCGGCCTGAGCTGGGGCGGAACTTTTTTCCCCTGGTCCAGCTGGCACGTCCTCGTGCCTCTGTGCGTTGGAGCTGGCGTGCTTCTCCTTGTTGTTGTCTACGAAAGCCTCTGGGCGACTCGGTCGGTGTTCGTAGCAGCTGACCTTCGGTGCCTTCCTCGGGCCATGATGTACCTCAGCAGCTTTCTGCATGGGTTCTCGGTATGTCTATCTGATTTTTTCCAGGTCCTGTTGAAGTTGCTGAAGCTGATAAGTCAATCAGCTCCTCTCTCATCTGCTCAATCTGTCGATGTACCTTATGTTGATTCAGCACCTCACACCGACTCTATCCGGCCTCAGCCTCCTCACATTGACCGCGCCTTCCTTCCCGGCGCTCCTTTTGATCTCCAAATGGTCCTTCTTACAACGTCCGCGCACGCTGCGCTGGATCATCCGCGCCGGCTGGGCCATCGGGTTTGTGGCGTCGTGCGCCTCTATCACGCTTGATATGCACACCCCACCTCAAGCCTGGGTTTTCATCTTCCTCGCCACGGGGATCAGTCACGCCCTACTCGTGTCTGGACACCATCGTTGCCTTCAGCACCGGCCACCACTCTATAATCCCTCCGGACGCTGGAAATGCGACAGCGAGCGTACTAACAGTGCGGAGGAAACCCAGAGCGAGGTGTCCAAGGCCGGCATGCTGCTGTACTCCATTGTACGGACGTGGGGCATGTGTATCGCTGTGCCGGCGAGTGGGGCGATCGTTTTGGGTCAGGTGGTGCGGGAGATGGGGGATCAAAGGGGGGTGGATCTGTTGGGGCTTGGTGGGAACGGGACGGATAGAGATGGGTCGTCAATGATGATGACGTTGCTGCTGCTGATGATGGGAAGTGGTGGGGAGGGTGAGGGTGGAGGGGAGATGGAGGCGCTGCGGGAGATGTACATGGATGGGCTGCAGGCGCTGTGGCGGGTTATGATGGGGGTGATGGCTCTGGGCGGATTGTGTAGCTGTTTTGCCAGCTAGTTTCTTTTGCTGAATTTGGGACTTGATAGGGCTGGGGGAGATAATGAGTTCATTGTTGATAAACCCATATCGTTGGGCTGGCTTGATCCAGAATTGATGCTATACTGCTCTGCTCTGCTATTTTTTGAAATGGTTCTTTTAAGACCAACAACTCAACACTAGACGTCATCAAAAGCCGATAGCCGACAAGACGACATTTAGTTTTACGAGGAAGCCAGACATTCAACCATCTGCCTCCCACTAACAGGAATCAAAGCAAGGGTATCATCACGCTCAACAGCAAAAGACAAGCAAAGCAATAAGAATCACCACTCACCACTCTTCTTCGTCTTCCTCCTCAATACAGCTAAGCATTCTCTCCCGCAACTCCCAACACGAAGCCATCCGCCGCAGAGGCCACTGAATCCTCTGCAACTCGTCCCCGCCCTCAAGGCAAGGAGCATCATCATCCGCATCATCCGAATCATCGAGCAAGAAAAGAGTGACACTTTCAAGCGAGTATTTGCTGCTGCTGCTGCTGCTTCTACTGAGGCAAGCACCAAGCTCACCCCCGGTGAGAGGGGTGGTGGTAGTAGTGGCTGTGGTAACCGCCATAGCAGCATCTTTGAGAGCGATATTAGTGCTTCTGTTGCTCCTACTGCCACTGCTACCACTACTAATACTAGTATCAGTATCAGTAATAACACTCTGAAGACCCCCACTCCTCCCCTTGTAGCAAAAACTACAACACAAATTCCACAACCCACTTCCCAGCTTCCGTCTCCGAGACACTGGAGCAGGTGGAAGAGAGCAGCAGTTGCCGGAGTGGTGGGGGTGGCGGCGCCGGCGCTTCAAGCTTCTAGGCAGGCGGCGTAGAAATGGGATTCCATCGTGGTGTCGGGGGATGTAGATTAGGCGTGCGGTGGGGCTGAAGCGGACTCTTGGGAGGGGCTTGGTGGGGGTTGTGGGGGTTGTGCTTGTCGATGTGGTGGTGATGATGGTGGGGATTTTGAGGATGCTTTTGTGGCTTGTTCTTGTCATGGTTTGTTTCTTTCAGGAAGGGGTTGAGTCTTTGGTGATTGTTGTGGTTGTGGTTATGGTGGATGTAATTGAAGTGTGGTGGTTTGAGGAGTATGATGGGATAGGAGGAACTGTTTGGGACAAGATGGCATGGATGAGTTGACAGGATGGGATGGGTGAATGTCAGAAAGATGGAGGACTGCGATTTGTGGATGGTTGAGGGAAAAGGGAAAAGGAAAGAGGAGAGGAAGAGTCACATACATCTATGTTTTCCCTGCTGACGTCTTGTTGATGCTATCCCTGCATCGTGATGATTGTGTATGTATGGATTGCTTCAGAGGTGTGGATTGACTCATACATATCATACATGGGGATTCTAATATACTGTCTTCAGCCCTGTCTTAAGAACAACCCCTACTCCCTCTGCAAAAACCTAATCGACTCCAACTGCTCCATCTCCCCAACAGCCAAACTAATCTCCCTCGTCTCCTCCAGATCCCTCCTGATACTCTCCAACTCAGCCAAGATCATACCGTATGAATCCGCTCCCAGCGGCACACGAATAGGAATCCTCCCTCCTCGACTCACCACGTTCACCATCGCCCGAGCAATCGCCTCAGGCTCCGCCCACGCCCGCCGATTCTCCTCCTTGCCCACATACTCCCGCAGCCTGTTCGACGGGTACGACGGATCCGCATACGCGGGATGTCTTCCCTGGCTCATAAATTTCAGGCTGGTTGTCGCGTAATTGGTCTTGACGCCGCCGGGTTCGATGTTGCAGAGGTGGACTTTTGTAGGGTTGACCAGAGATTAGCTAATTTGCCTCTTGACTGGCTAGCAGGATACTCACTATTCCACGCAGCTGGCAATTCCCTCGCAACCGCCTCCGTCCACCCCTCCACCGCGAACTTGCTCGCATGGTAGAACGCACTGCCCGGAAACCCGATGAAACCGCCCATCGAGCTGACGTTCAGAATCACCCCGCCCTGGGCCCCCCCGGACTCGGGGTTCGTATCGCGCATGATACCCAGAGCTCGTTTGGTGAGGTCCACGACACCCCAGAAGTTGGTGTCGAGGAGGGCGCGCGACTCGGCGTCGCCGGCAACTTCGGTGTCGCCTACGAGGCTGTAGCCGGCATTGTTGACGAGGATGTCGATGCGGTGGAAGTGGGTGAGAGCCGCGTCGAGGGCAGAGTTGATGGAGGCTTGCGAGGTGACATCCAGCGGGAGGGGGAGGACGCTCGGGTTGGGTGGATGGGTTAAGGCCGCTGGGTTGCGCGCTGTTGCGACGACGCGGTGGGTTGGGTGGTGTGTGGTGATGTACTGGACGAGGGCTTGGCCGATGCCTGAGGAGCATCCGGTGACTATGAGGACATTAGTTGGTTGGGCTATTAGTATATGGTGGTGTGGAAAGGACTGACTGAACCAGACGGCGTCGGAGGGGATGTGGTATGATTTGGTATTGGGGCCATCCATTGTGATTGATTGTGGAGATGTGCTTGCTCTCTTGCTGAATCGGAAGTTGGAGTTGTATGATTTGAAGGCAAGGGTCTATACACTGGTGCTATTTATCTGTAGAGCCTGCAGGAGTCTTTGTTAATCTTTGGTATAGCGGAATGGCTCTCGTCAGCCACGGGTAAAGTCCGTCGCTGCGCTTAATTCCATGTCAAGCCCGCCATAACTCCGTAAGCCACCCTACATGCGCAGATGGCTAACGATCATACCAAAAGATCACAATCGATGATCCGCCAGTTTCGAGGTGAAAAGTCATATTATAATCATGTTGAGCGTTGGTAATCCGCTTAGTCCAATCTATGGGGGTCTTGTTCTGCCCTGGCGCAATCGAATGATCCCGAGTAAGCCCAAATCACAGCTCACAATCAAACGCTGCTTTCGACCAAATGCATTCCGGTATCTTTTAATGAGAACTGTCTAATAATTGGGCCATTCAGGATCAATCTGTTCTCTCCACGAGCGAAAGCCGCCCTGAATATCGACAACCTTCCGTTGCCCCTCACGATCCAAACCCAATTCCTTCAGTTTCTTCACCACAATCTGCGAATCATTTCCCATCCGACACACCACGTAGATTGGGTCCGTCGATTCGCCGGTGGCCAACTCCGCCGGTACCCATGGTGGAAGCTTGGCGTCGCCTGAGCCATTCGATGATGCCAGGATCGTGGAAATCGGGATATTGATACTGTTCTCCAGGTTGCAAATGTCAAATTGCACCTTCTCCCGCACGTCAATCATCGTCGGCTGCTTGCCTTCCTTCGTACCTCCTGTCGGAGGGTGCAGCTCCCGATATTCCAGCGGTGTAACGCGTTCTTCCGGCCTGAGCAGCATCTCCGGATCGGCACTTCCGCAGAAGAAGACATAATCCGTGGAGCCCGAGCGCACCGTGTCCAAGTTCACAGTAGCCTCTGCAGAGCATACCGCACAATTGGCCCTGCGGGAGCGCAGCTTGATGGATCGGAATAGAGGCGTAGAGTATGCCGAGAGAATATGCAACGAAGGAGGAACAGGAGCCTGGGTCTCATCGGCGGTAATGACCTTAATAGCTTCCAAAGCTTGTAGGACGCCCATTGTTCCGACCACCGGTCCCAAGATACCCCCATCCGCGCAGCTGGTGACCGTATTCGCCGGCGGGGGTCTAGGAAACACGCATCGGTAGCACGGTCCGCCAGTCTTGTCGCCAACAGGTCGGGGCGGGTTGTTCAATACCATCAATTGTCCTTCCGTTCTCAGGGCGGATGCTGAGACCAGCGGCTTCCCCAGCAGCACGGCCGTATCCGAGATTAGGTATCGAGTCGCCGGGTTGTCCGTACAGTCCAGTACCAAGTCATAGTCCTTGAAGACATCCGCTGCAGCGTCGGGGGCGAGGTGCTCTCGATGAGCGATGTACGTGGGATGAGGATTCAACCTGGCGAGGAACGAAACATCGTGGTCAGTCAACTGTGCTCAAGAGAACCGTCACAAGCGTATGTAAGGGCAAAGCTCACTCCCGCAAATACCCAATCGCACTGTCCACCTTCAACTTCCCCACATTGCGACTACGATGCAGAACCTGGCGGTGCAGATTCGACGACTCAACGGTATCCCCGTCCACCAAACCCAGAGTACCAACGCCCGCTCCAGCAAGGTACACCGCAGCCGGACATCCCAATCCACCCGCGCCAACAATCAGGACTTTCGCCGATCGGAGTTTTAGTTGACCTAGACCAAAAATACGACTCAAGGTCAGCCAAGTCACATCTCAACCATTTCAAATCTTCATCATCGACGAAAGTAAAGAAGAGGAGGAGGAGGAGGAGAACAAACCTCGTAGGCCCAGCTGCGGTACGATCATCTGCCGCCCATACCGCCGATACTCCTCCGCTAGGAGCGGCCATTGCCTAACTTTCTCCTTCATGTCATCCTTGCTGCTGCCGCTGCCGCTCCTCGTTTCCTGACTCTGCGAGTCAAAAGCCGCTCGCTCCGCAATCTGGAGCTCGCGTTTGAGCCCCGCAAGCTGTGCCTCTGTAGCGGCGATCTGCGCGCGCAGCGATGCGCAAGTCTGTTCAATGTCTTCCATCCAGAGTGATGGAGACTATACGATAAGCAATTGAAGTAAGTGATTGATCTCTTAAGGCCGCAGTAGCCGAGGGGCGTTTTTGCGCTCCCTCCCCCGCGCCCGCAGAACTTCTGGATCTTATCAGCAATGCGAGCTAAACCCGATTGAGTGAGCAGCTCAATCCTACCACGGACGGAACTCGGTGGGCAGAAACTGTTCATTTACTGACCGCCCGAGTCCGGCAGACTAACTCAACAGCCGGCTCAGGCTCGGCGAGGAAACTGTTCGCCCGCTGACCGCCCTCTAGCTCACCTCGGCAAGATAGTTTTCGTGCCTCAGGCATAACAGCTTTCGCCTGCTGCTCTTGGGCTGTTGTGGAACACATAAGCCTGCCAGGTTCATACAAGCTACTGTGCGTGATCACAACCAGGTATGTCGCTAGATGCTTGCCAGAATATCTGGCGCATTGGGCTTCAGGTGCCTCAACGAGCTTACATTTATAGTAACACTCTACCCAAGACCTCCGGTCTCCCGGCATGCTCTGCAACAGCAGAGGTAACATTGGGTTCTGCAAACACCACGTCTAGCCATCGTAGTACATGCGAAAATCATACATCATGCCTTGGAACTTCTTACGTCTAAGTGCAGCAGTAGTATGATAAATATGCTCGCACATTACTCAAGTCCTTTGCCATTAACTGTCATCGCCATGGGTCCGGCACAACAAAATAGCCAAATTATGCAACCGCTGCAAGCTATCATTAATTCTTGAAGCTAACCATCTTTTGTAAAAGGAATCAAGGTCATAGACTAGAGAGTTAGTACATGAGTTGGACTTCCTGCATGGCTCAAAAGAGCGGTTCGATATACCGTTCAAGTCGATCGCGAACCAGTGTCCGCTGCTCAAATGCATAAGCCATACCAATCAACGCCTCTTCGCTCCACTTAGGTCCCAGGAAACTGATACCAAGAGGGATACCTGGCGCCCGATCAATCAGATCTCCCCGCGCGTTTGGCTGCTCTGGGGTTCCCTCCGGAAACGCCCCCATCGGCACGGTGATTACTGGCGTTCCGATAATAGCGGGAATATCAGATGCCAGGGTAGTCGGCAAGATGACAGCATCAAGTTCATGTCGCCTTAGTGCTCCCAGCAAGCCCCCTTCTTCACCGAATTGCAGGTTCTCTTGGTACAGCGGCCAGAATTCGGGGGAGGTGTTGTTCATGTCGGCCGCAATCACTGAATCCCAGATTCCCGTGTCACGAGATGGATACTCTTCTGGTGGACTGTGCTGAGTGAACCGACGAATGTCTGCAACGCTATGAAGCTGATTTGGGTTTTTGGTCAGACTTGATAGGTAAGCGGCGATGTTGGATGTGAAATCAGCAGCCACCACCAACGATGGGATAGAGCTCGTGTAGAAGTTGCTGTACGCGGTGAAATTTGTATCATCGATAACTGCCGCACCAGCAGCCGCAATGACGGAGACAGCCTGCTCGAAAATTTGCATCACCGAGGCATCGGTTTGCTCCATGTAATCGATGACATTTCGCGGAACACCAATGCGTTTCCCTCGCAGCCCAGATAGCTTACATGCATCCACATAGTTCGGCAGGAAATTACCGAAAGGCGACGCCAGCGTATAATTATCCTGTGGGTCCGCACCGGCAAAGGCCTGCAACAACATTGCAGCATCCTTAACAGTCTTAGCTAGGGGACCAATCGTATCCTGGCGCTCACTGATGGGAATGACCATGTATCGCGACGTAAGGCCGACAGTGGGCTTGATACCGACGATATTGCTCTTCTCCGCCGGAAGTAGGATGCTGCCGCTTGTCTGTCAAGTCCCAAGGCTTTAGCTCGGAACAGGTCATCAGAATTATATTCACGGTCTCACCTCTGTACCCAGAGCAAAGGTGACAAGTCCTAGGTCAGTCGCAACGGCGCTTCCGCTAGAACTTCCGCTCGGATCCTGTCCAGGATAGTAGGCCCCATACGTCTGCCCTCGTCTGGCATTCCACCCATTTGACGAATTGAAGGATCGGAAATTGGCCCATTCCGACACGCTACTTTTGCCCAGGATGATAAGCCCCTGTTCCCTGAGTTTGCTCACCACTGTGGCCTCGGCAGGAGGCTTGGATCCGAGGAGGGCAAAAGACCCAGCTATGAAGAGTTAGCATCAGCCAACTCCAGACTCAGTTAACAAGATCGATGTCTCACCTGTATTGTTAAGTTGATCCCCCGTTCCGATAAGATCCTTGATCAGAATCGGCAGCCCATGCAGCGGTCTACAGCCACACCCAGCATAGTCAACCGTCAGTCCAACGTTCTGCGGATGCGTCCCCATGACAGCAGACTTACCCTCTAACTTGACGTCTACTTCTCTCGCCATCCAGAGCCTGTGCGATCCCCAGCGCGTCATCGTTCAATTCAAAGACAGCATTCGTCCTAGAGTCGATCTCGTGGATCCGAAGTGTGTATGCCTGAAGAAAATATTCTTGTTTAATTGTCCCTCCAACTGCTAAATCCAATTGAAAAACCAAGGATGAAAAGCCACACGCACCTTGACCAACTCCACACTGGTAAAACAATTTCGATCAAGGCCCTCTCGAAGGTCATCCACCGTGGCATTGATCAAAGACGGCATGTCGCATTCCGGCCAGACGTTGTCGGACAGTTGTGCGCGGTCTGGGACCAGGATACGACAAGCATAAGGAAGAGCCACGAGGGGCAACAGGTGCCAAATATGCATGATTGCTAAATGAGGGTTAAGCAAATCAGCGGGTATTGGCCTCACAGACAACGGACAAGCTGTTGAGTCCAACCGATATCTCGAATTGATTGGAAAGTGGTAAAGAGAGGGGATATAACTCATATGTGACATGTAGACTGGAATTGGTACACACCCGTCTTTGCTGAGCCAGTCCTCCACCGCTCCTGCCCTGCCCTGGTGGAGTGTCGGCGGTATGACTACTTAGTCACTGTGGCTTCGAGGCAGGCACGGAAGCAGTGGCCTGGAGGTGACTGGCAGTGCGATCTTGAAATTGAGGTGCCAAGCCAATGCAAGGACGGCTGGATGCAGAAACATGAGTAATCACCGACTAATGACGTGAAATAGTAACGAGCGGAGAGAGGCTCTATTGTTATTGCCATCTGAAGTATCCTTCTGCATGTTCCGTCTATTGAAGACCCGATTTGGCCTACAACGAGATGGTGTGAAACAGGGGGGAATCATCTGCGGTGATGTCTGGGTGAAGCGTCGGTCAGAAAAAGTAAAAAGAATGATTCATCGAACGGTGAGCTAACCGCCGTCGTGACACGTTGGACTTGTCTAGAATAGTTCAAATTCCGTAACTGTAGATATCTCTATCAAGCTGCCAGCCATGATCATGTAGCCAGCCCAATAATCTAAGTATCTCTAGCCTCTAGCTTCTAGCCTTCAATATCGATAAGGATCCAGCCCGCGTAAGTAAGTCATAATCATATACAGGGGAAAGAGCCAAGCCACAGAACCTAGCCAGCTAGACCCTGTCTTGGCTGTTGCGGACACGAACAGTCTCCGCGCTCATGTCTTCAATATGAGTGGCGCCTTGCTTGTGCATCGTGTGCTCCACCGTCTCTCGTCGCTCAGCCTCGTCGACCGCGCCAAAGAGGATGTCCATGTCTTCCAGACTACGGCCCTTAGTCTCCTTGGCGAAGATAATGACAAAGATGCCTGCCGCAACACAGAAAATACCAAACATCAAAAAAGTCCTCCAGCCAAGGCTGTGGACGGCTTTGGGGGTGACCTCCGTCACTACAAAGCTCCACAGCCACTGAGAGGTTGCTGCCAGGCCCACACCGTATGCACGAAGTCGTGTAGGGAAGATCTAATCTCAAATGTCAGCCGAGCTATCCTTTGGGTGATACGAAACGGGGACCCATCGAAACTTACCTCACTAACCACAACCCAACAGGTCGGACCCAGTGAGAAAGAATAGCCGATGACATAAAGATAGATCATGACAACCATGGCGATCGAGGGCTTCGAGACACCACTGGCGTTGGTATCGGGAGGATAAGCGGCCAGGATAGCACCCAAGATGAACATCATACTTGCCATCCAGAAAGCGCCACCAATCAAACTGGGCTTGCGACCCCATCTATCAATACCAACGTACAGGAAGATTGCAGTGGCAACGACTTTAACTGTCCCGTAGATACCGGTAGCAAACAGAGAGGAACTAGTAGCACTAAGTCCAATAGTTTGAAAGATCTCTGAACTGTAGTAACCGATGCTGTTCGTTCCTGACCACTGTTGCCAGAACATAAGGCAGAAGGCAAAAGCAAAGCGCTTGAGGTTGCTGGGCTGGATAAACTCTTTGTAAGTCAATCCTTCGGTAGCAGCGGCTTCCTCTGCGACAGCTGCTCTGATCTCGGCCATTTCTTGCTGCACCGCGTCACTGTCAGGCGCCTCATGGCGAATATAGGCTAGAGAGTCCAAGGCCTCCTCATACCGGCCCTTGCTGCTCAACCAGCGCGGCGATTCCTTCAGGAAGAAGAGCCCAATCAACATGAGACCACCTGGAATAAGCTGGATTGCCACGGGAACACGCCACTGCTTGGTGCTGGGCTTGATGTGCAAAGAAACACCATAATCGAGCCAGTAGGCAAATGTGCTTCCGATGACTAGAAATTCTTGGAACAGTCCCGAGATCCGACCACGGATCCTCGCGGGACAGTTCTCGCTCACAAAAACGGGTGTGATACTGGACATTCCTCCGATGCCCAAGCCAGCAATGACACGACCACCATAGATCTGCCCAATTGCATGGCTAGAGGCGACCTGGATGGCTGCACCGATAAGGAAGATGACGGTGAAAATCATGAGGGAGTAACGACGCCCAAGACGCTCATTGAGAGGGGCAGCAGCAATAGCGCCGAAAAAGCAACCCGCAGTCAGCAATGACACGACATTGGAGGATACTTGTGAATTCTTGGCGGATGCGAAGCCGGTCGAATCGGTAGGAAGGCCGAAATCGTTCTTGAAACTGTCAAGGGCAAGGACACTACCCATCACACCAGTGTCAAAGCCTAGAGCACATGAGGGTCAGTTAAGGCATTTATGGAACATGATAGAAGGGTACGGACCGAATAGAAGCGAGCCTGAATAGGCCACCGCTGTGAGGATGTAGATACGATAGTTCTTGAAGAAGCCCATTTTGAGAATGTTGTTCTGTGGATGGGTGGTGAATTGATAGGTGACTCCTGGCAACACAAGACACAGGCCCTTCTCTCTCCAAAGACTCGAGAGAAGTCCAAATATTCTCAACTGAAGGGCACCTGGCTATATAGGGCCAACTTGCCCATACTTACTAAGACATGGGATCCGCATGGCTAAATAAGCGTCATGCAGCTGGGCCAAGCAGGTATAGTGTGTCGGGCTGTGAGTTGAGGGGTGGCGGAGAAGAATGAGCTATCGGGGTAGCGGGTAGAGAGCTGCAAATGGGCGAAACTGACCCCGACTCCTCCCCGCACCGTCTACTTAATCGAGCAATTCTGGGGGATGGTGGGTACATCCGGAGAAATTGTGCGGAGGAGATAGCGGGATTTTCCGTCCACTGACGAGTCTCGCTTGTAGCCTTGTACGCGCTAGGAGAGCCACCACCAGAAATTGTTCGACTTGTTGAGCATCTCCAGCTGCACCCACAGGGTAATATCAGGCCATAATCCGGGCATGCACCCGCAGTGTGAACCCACGATGACGATGATTGACTACCATAATTCGGTCCCATCCTGGCTTCAAAGAGGGGTAAGAAGAGGCTACTACCTTGTTGATCTTAGCCGAGTGACGCAGAAGTCGGTGCACACTCCAGTGTTGCAGGCTTATCATTGCTCTTTGATTGGGCCAAGTCCTGACTAGGGTCTGTATATACGAGCCGAGTCTTCACCCGAACGAAAGAGGTGCGTAATAAGATTATCCGGTTCTAAGGGTACCGGTGAGCTTCGAGGGAAAGGGCACTCGAAGGCAAAAGTGGCTGAAAGCTTGGCATTATTCAAGGGTTACGACAGGCTGGTATTGATTGCATGCGAATATATTTGAGTTTTCTCGCTCGCCCAAGCGCTTGAGATAGTGTAAGCCACGCCGACTTGATGAAGGTACAGGTGGCGGACTGTGACGAGGTTCAACGATGCGTAAGGCATTTGACTCGGCTTGCCGGCGATTTTGCAAGTGATTTCTGAGCGTTTCCGATGCTCCGAAAAACTTGTGTTGATGAATTTTCTTTCTGTCTGCTCACTGAGGACTATTGATGAGAAGGCAAATGTTAGCTCGATATGAACTTGTGGAATTGGCTGTTTAGTGACAACCAGTGTCAGATGATCTTCGCCACACTTAAGCAAAGACAGCTGCATGTTCACTCAGGCTCGACGCTCTAGCCAGCAGAAGGCGTTCTTGCACGTAGTCCGCAACGTTGAAGATGTGCTACAACACGGTTCAACAGACTGTGAAACACAGACACGATATCGGTGACCATATACACGTCCACAGTTCGCGGGAAGACAACTATTACAGGCTTTGAGCAACGCTGATAGTAGACGACGGCAACTCGATCTTCATCACTGACAGTATAATAAGCCCTAAGGCATCGCACAGTTGAAGAATAAGTGAAGATATAGTCAGCAAGAAAGCATACTTGTATGCCTTCATCCAAGTCCTGCACAGAGCATCATCTGGGGTGGTGCTGCCTTGCCGTCCTGACCTGCGCCCTATCTTCTGAGACTTATATGCACTGAACATCGGTAAATATATTCAATGCACCATAAATTCTGGATACCTCTTGGAAGGGGTGGATAAAAAGATGGCAGCTACTTTGATCGTGGCTATTTTCCTCTGCAAGACGTCAGCGTCAAATATCTCGATGCAAATCCTGCCGGTAGCAGGCCTTTGTAGCAGATTTAGAGACGGACTTTCAGCACCAAAGGCCAAACCGCTGTTCAAAGATGAAGAACAGGTAGACCGACATGCCTCAACTGGCTGTCAGGCATATACAATTCCCGGAAATTGTTCCACAGAAGGTGAACTGAGTCACCACTCAATGGTCGTCTCAAAGCCTGACCTTTAGATCCAAGCCATTATGGTACAGCCATGACAGAATAGACTGCATGCATAGATGGTGTGATTCCCATGTCCGCTCGCATTCAAGACAGAAACATCTACACGAATCTGTCTCCCAGGATAACAGTTGTACCACCTTAGCAGACAGCCTCCCTCGGGCGGGTTTCCCTCTGGAAAAGACCCGTCTTAGTAAGGACTTACATAAGTAAACCCCACTCCATCGTTTCCCCCTGACCGGGAGCCGCCAAAGCATGTGGCCGGATCATTGGTTCAGAACCCCAAACGAAAACCATGCGAACAATGAGGATCTGCCTTGAGATCCGACGGACCACAAACCACGGGACGAGGCAGGCCAGGCACAAGGTCCTGATCATCTGCAGAATCAAACCGAGCGAAACGTTGAACGTAAGTAGACCAAGCCGACTGTAATGACCCCAACTGGATCACAGATAACTTCCCCCTGTATTCAGTACTCAAGCAAGGGTGAATAGCGGTTGGGACTGGTTCAGCCAGGGCCTGAAGGATGACTACCTACATACTCGTCCCATGTCAAGTCACGTTCTGAAGGCACTCGGGAGATGGTTAATGAGGGCTGGGAGGAAAGGGAGGGAGAGTAGACCTCTAGACCAGTACTGCAGACAATAAGTTGGTACGCCGTAATTGTCTAAATACCTAGTCAAGGGTGAGAAGCCGGCCATGTGCGTCTTTTGGGGTTGTGACTGGTTCGATGATCTGCTCGCTGGCAGATTCTTATTCTTGAGTTCTTTAGTCCACAATCCACAAAAGTATATGTGACAGTCTGATCCCTGAATTTAATCTGTGATCTGATATGCACCGTTGATTTGTATGGTTAATTCCTGCGGTGTGAGGGGCCCTATTTTAACTATACCCAGTTATGGCTCCCCCCTTCGCCCATTTCTCACAACCGGTCTTCGTCTCCCTTTCTATCCCTTGGCAAGGCAGGAGGACGGACATACCAACCAGTACAGTTCTTAACAAGCATGAGGAATGTATGTTCCTGACGTGCCTCTCTCCTTCCAGTTCAATGTTGTCATTGGTTCTGAGGCCTCCGTCACGGTTGATCGCGATGATGTACTGTATGCCATTCTAAAGCTGGGATCCATGCCCTGTGACGACCTCACATTTGAGGACCCCAACCGTCCATCGTGCAAGCACGCACCCGATACACCATGGATGATGCATGATTATATCTAGAGTGCATCAGTCGTCCCCTGGTTTAGACCCATTCTGACTTCTCCCCTCCTTCCCCCTCCCCCCACAGGACACTGCATTGTCCGGTCCTGGCTACTGAGAGGAAGCCTCTACCAAAGAAGACGGACCGACTCGCCAGTGGTTTGGTGGTTGTAGCATGTGCTAGAATCCAATGCACTCAGTGGATTGAACCTCACCCCCCCTCCATTATATCACTAAGTGCCTATAGTACCTAGTACATGGTCATGATCGACGCTTCCTTCCCAACAACCTCCTACCAATATCGTCTATCCATAGTCCTCTCTGCATTCAATCCCCCACTCTTGCAACTGCCTCTGATGTCAGTCCCTGTATTCTGACAAGAGAACTTCGTCTGATGGATCACCCGAAAACCTGTCAGCTAGTTAGCACTACTGCTAGTTGCGTCCACTCTTTTGTATGATAAAAACCCCGGGTCATTCCACTTTGTGAGCGACGAGATCAGAACCTACTCTCAACAACATCTGCTGCTGGCTGATTGCTGCCTTTCCCGTCACTTTTCGGCAATGGGCTGCTGGCATTCTCTTCTTATCTGGACCGTGCTGGGCCCGGTAGTCCAGTCGGCGAATCTGACTTCGCATGTAGATCTATTGTAAGTTGTTTGAGCACTCCAACTGGATCCCGCACTCCAAATCGGACGAGAATAAGGGAAGGGGGGGAAAACACAGCTGATTGTGATATCATTCAGCTTGGGCACGCAAAATGGGGGCAACGACTTCCCCGGCGCAGCTCGTCCATTCGGGATGGTGAAGTTAGGTCCAGATCTCTATGTCTCAGGGACAGACGCCTACTCCGGCTATCTGCCCAATGGCGAGTTCTCCGGCTTTAGTATGATGCATGAACAGGGCACAGGTGGTGCACCCAAGTACGGGACGGTCTCACAGCTGCCACTCACGGGGCATATCACCGATCCGCTCTCCAACCTTACCGTAGGCCGTACGGGCACGGACAAGGCAGTGGTGGGCTATTATCTGGCTCAGACGTCCGAGGGCACGGTCGTGGAGTTGAGTGCGTCTGCTCACGCCGGGATCTATCGCTATACTTTTCCTCTGGGATCGCTAGCAAATGTCCTCATCGATGTTTCGCACGTCTTGCCGTCATATAGAGGAATGGGCCTGAGCCAGGGCTATAAAGGCGGCAACATCACTATTTTCCCGGACGGACATTACGAAGGTCACGGTGTCTATGACAATGGCTGGAACCGTTCACCTGACTGGTCAATCTATTTCTGTGCGTTCCCCTCCCCTTACATCAGCAGCATTTGGAATCGGGCTTATGAGCCATTAGGCGGTTATTTCGATGCTGCTCCCATCAGTAATCGCACATATGTGGGAACGGATGCAGCTGGCAGCGTTCGACAAAACAGTAGCTCCGCGTCCTCGACATCAGGCTCAACTCGAGTCGGAGCGGTGTATACTTTCAAGGAAACGTCCGTGACATCACGAGTAGGAATCTCCTGGATTAGCACTGAGAAGGCCTGCAAGAACGTCCATGATGAAATTCCGGAAGACAAGGATTTCGCCTCTGTCGTCGCTGATGCCCAGTCTGAATGGGATTCCAAGGTATTGGCCAAGGTAACGACCAGCAACACGAACGAAACGACTCTCAAGCTGCTGTACACTTCCCTGTATTTCATGCACTTGATTCCGACTAATCAAACGGGCGAGAACCCGGGATGGTCGTCCTCAGAACCATATTATCAGGACATTTTCACATTCTGGGTGTGTATCTCCTCGATCAGTCAGCGAAGACGAAAAGGGATTGCTCACACGATTCAAGGACCTCTTCCGATGTTCCACTGCTCTCATGCAGGTCTTGCAGCCGACTGCGTATGAGGAGCAGATTCGGTCGCTCATTGACATCTGGCGTTTCGACGGGTACATGCCCGACGCTCGCTCTTCCAACTACAATGGGCGCTCTCAAGGTGGCTCAAACGCAGATAACATTCTTGCAGACGCTTATGTGAAGGGAGTACGTGGTGCAGTGAACTGGGAAGACGGGTACAAGGCTATGGTCAAGGATGCGGAAGTGACGCCTCCTAATTACCCAGTCGATCCCCAGGCCCCGGACTCCTCAACCAAGGAAGGCAGAGGTGCACTCCCAGACTGGATTCGCTTGGGTTTTATCACACCCAAGTACTCGCGATCTGTCACCCGGGCGGTAGAATATTCCTGCAATGACTTCGGTCTATATCAGGTAGCGTCAGGTCTAGGGAAGGAGGACGATGCGATGAAATATTTGAATCGATCGCGCAATTGGCGCAATCACTGGAACCCCCAGCAGACCTCGCTCGGATTTTCTGGCTTTGTGGTTCCTCGCAATGAGACAGGGTTCATCGAGACTGATCCCTTGAATGATAGTGGGTACTGGGGCGACCCTTACTATGAGGCCAACAGCTGGGCATATTCCCTGAATGCAGTCCATGACATGGCGAAGATGATTGAGTGGATGGGAGGCAACGAAACCGTACAGAATCGGCTGGATACCATGTTTACTAAGGGAGCCAGTGGTTCCAGTGGAATCATATTCGATCCGACAAACGAGCCGTGAGTCTTCCCTCCCCAATATGTCCTGTTGGAGAACAACTCTAATCCGCGTATCTAGCATGTTCAATGTCCCCTACTTATACCACTACATCGGTAGACAAGATCTGTCGGTGGCGCGGTCGCGCAGTGTCGCTAAATCGTACTATGGTACGGGCGCGTCGGGTCTGCCTGGAAACAGCGATGCAGGTGCCATGCAGACCTGGATTCTGTGGAATATGATTGGATTGTATCCTATCACGGGGCAGTCAGTCTTCCTGATTCATGCCCCATGGTTCGAGTCTCTTACCATCGACCTTGGGGATGGAAAAACATTAAGTGTCACTACCAGCGGTGGCGACGGCAATGGCGGAGGCAATATCTATGTGCAGTCGCTGAAAGTGAATGGGAAGGCCTGGAGGAAGAACTGGTTGACGTGGGAGGACATATTTGCAGAAGGGGGAAAGCTGGACTTTGAACTTGGGCAGACCGCGAGTGGCTGGTTCACTGGCGAATTGCCCCCTAGTCCAGCTTCGTAAATAATTCTCTTCCATGCACATACACTTGAGATAGTAGTTGCCTGTTCAGCTCGGAGCCATCTTGAGGATAATTGCGTTGGCTGTAGAGTTTAAGTCATAATGAGGCTGCTGTCGACTTGAGTAAGTCGACTTCGACTGAAAAGGGGAAAAGCAGGATGGACCTGTATGACAGGTTTTGTTGTTAGTGTGATGGAGTCGGAACCCGATTTTCGTGATGATCGTCATCTCAGTACGATCAGCCCCAGGAACGGGCCCGAAAATCTCACGCAGGTCGAAAAGATTGGCCGTTGTCTTCAGAGATCGCCGAGTCAGTTGTCCGCTATCGGGACTTTCGGATAACTTAGCGCCCTTGACCCTTAACCTGGAAGGTCGTATAGATGCACGATTTGAACATGCGATAGGTGCCATGCTTCGGTCATCGATCGCTTTTTCCAACAATAGTACCAGTCGTCCTAGCCAAGACTAAAAGGCGTGCTGAGCTTGAGTAGATTTGCTGGATACATGCAGTCTATGTAAGTCGAGAGAGGGAAGGTGTACCGTACAGGGAGTAGGCCCGGGAGTCATTCCGCTAGTTATAGTTAGACTCAAGGTAGACTAGCGCCATCGCAATAAGCAAGCATTTGCGCGATCACCTCCCTCAATCCCACCCCAGAGCAGATCATAATCCCAACGCTTGATCATCCATCCATAAGACTTGCTGACGAATTAGCACCTTCAACTCTCTTCCGAAGCGTCCAAACTATTGTCTACTTACCCTTTTACCGGGATACGCTCAATTTCCAGAACCTGCAGCCTCCACATGGTATGCTTTTGCGCCAGTAAAATGAGGACTACGCTTGTCAACAAACGCGTTCGAAGCCTCACCAATTCTATGCTAATCCGTCCGTCTTTGACCTTCACATTCTGGACTTGTCGATAACAATGTTATTGATCAATGTACGTGAATATTCACCATCAGCTCGCTGTTGTATCGTACAAACGCTTATCAGAAACCCACAGATGACACTTCACAACACTGATCGGATCATATTGACGTATCCACAGGGCGCAAGTATACGAGCACGCTGGAGCAATTCCGAGCACGACATACCTCCGATTTACTGTGATCGGCAGCTGATGGGGCCCATTCACTTCCTCATCTCCTACTCAACTCATGCTGCGGAACATAAAACTTGTACGAAGTAGCGCCATGCTACTAGCAGAGTTTATCGTCCGCAAGATCCGAGCTGAATTTGCTGCTCTGGATGCTACTCAGCTACTGAGTATATTTTCCTCCTGTCGGCTAGTGGAGATCGCGGAGAAGTTCGCAAGGACTGCTGCCGAGCTATTCTCGTCTCTGGATTGGTCACTCAAGCGGCTGACAGGCGAGGAAGAGGTCACAATCCGTGGCTTCCTACTCGCTAGATTTCCACACTTGAGGAAAGGGTCCTGGGAGACGACTCGTCAATTGCCAACTCGGCTGAGCAAAACGTGGGCCGCCTGTGGGGATTTTTCTTTTTCTCCCTTGACTGTACTCCGTACCTGTGAAGGCAAGCTCCGAGATCCCAGGGTCCATACAATCTTGGCACATGGATTACGGAAGGGAAAAGTGTTCCGCTGGCTTTCTAGATGCAGATGGATACATCACCTCCCAGATGATTCACAATACGACCTTCGGGCTGCGGTCGCTTGGGACAAAAAGCCAGACGGATCTGCTTGGAAACGTCGAACGATGTCGCTACTCTCAGCTCATAATCCTCCAGAGACACCTCGCTCAAACAAAGGCCTATGACCTTGTCTATCATCCGAGCCAGTAATGCGGCTGCTTCGCACCGGAAAAAATCCTTTGATTCTAAAGTGTGATTCTTCCGCCACCGCGTGGTGGAGACGGTAAACAAAGCGCAGATCACAATGGCAGTGGCGATAATTTTTCCGAAGGTTGCATGCTTTTTGAGCGAAGATCAGCGGGCCTTTGAGAACTGAAGTAGTACTGCAGTAGGTTCTGGTTCTGACCTTGCGTGATGCTCACAAGCAGCAGTATACCGAGAGGGTACCTGAAGCTGAGCTCTTGCCTCTTTGCCTTTCTCGACAATCGTATTCGAACTCGTGAAATCACGCCTATGCAAGCAACAGGTGGTAAATGCAGGTTCCAATGGTCATCAGTTGCCTGTACCTGATGATCACTGGTGAAGTTCGAACGGTGCGAAGCGTGAGGGGGTAAACTGTCTTTGATCATCATTGTTCTGTCAATCTGTATCCACAATCAAGTAGGTCGAATACTCCATTCTCCCTGTCTCCTGAGTAGAAGCTACAGTTTAGGCAAGTGCTGTAGACCCATCAGTACTCCTATGCTTTCATGCTCTTGCATGCATACGATTATAGCGATTGAGCTGAGAGGTTGGTTCATCCAGCTGCGGTATAAAAGGACGGTCTTCACCATGCTCACCTCTATTTTCTTTTCTTCATCCAGCAACGAAGCATTCATTCCTTCTCGAAGTCCAACTTCTTGTCATTCCTTGTCAATACTCACTATATCATAATCATAATTCTCTCTTTAAATTTCCTTTCACACACATCATCACAATGAAGGCTGTATTCCTCACTGCTCTCGCCGCTCTGGCCACCTCTGCCATCGCTGCCCCCGCTGGCAGCTTGTCCGACCTCACTCAGGTCACCAAGACTTTCTCCTCTTCCAGCTCTGCTGTCTCCAGCGGCGTTGTCGCCCCCTCTGCCGGTGCCAGCGGTCACGTCGTTCAGGATCAGGGCAGAAATGTCAAGCAAATCCTCACCGTTACCGGACCCGATGCTAAGCAGCTCCTCATTGAGTTGAGCCCTGACGTTGCTGGCCTTCTCTCCAGCCTCGGCCTGCCGGGCGTCGGAGTTGCTGTTGGTAGCGTCGTTTCATCTGCTTCTAGCGTCGGTGACCTGCTGACCGACCTTGCTCTGCCCCTTGAGGGTCTTCTCACCGTTGTCGGCCAGGATGGCGGTGCTCTCCTTATTCAGCTCGACCCCTCCGTCACCGCTCTAGTCTCTGGCCTTGGTCTGCCCGGCGTTGGTGTCCCTGTTGGAACCGTTGTCGGTACTTTGGGTCAAAACCTGAAGCGCTCCGATGGTAAGATCGTCGAGGACCTTGCCCCCAGGGTTCAGGACGTCCTTGAGGTCACCGGCCCTAATGCCAAGCGCCTCCTTATTCAACTCAGCCCCTCTGTTGCTTCTCTTGTCGTCAACCTCGGTCTCCCTGGCGTTGGAACCTCCGTCGGCAGCATTGTTAAGACTGCTAGCAGCATTGGTGACCTTGTCAAGGATCTTGGTGCCCCTGTCGAGCAGCTCCTCACCGTCGTCGGCCAGGATGGTTCTTATCTCCTCATTCAGCTGTCTCCCAACGTTGCCGGCCTTGTTGCCGGCCTCGGACTTCCTGGTGTCGGCACCTCAGTTGGCACTGTTGTTGCCACCCTCGGTGACAGTCTCTAAATCGTGAGTATCCCTCCTCCCCGTGAGATGCTGAAAGATTCAGGGAATGACACTGACAAGCTCTTTTTCTCGATTATAGAACCATACTCGGTGTGAAGACTGCGCCGTTTATGAACCGTTTCCAGATACCCTTTTTGATTCGATGTAGTCGGCATGATGGGTGACCGACATTGTATAGCGAAGAACAAGCTGCAGTGTCTCTATCCGCTCTGGGTGTCTCTTGCGAGCCCGCTGGCGTGCCGGTTTTGCATATATTGGAAGAACTCCAGGCTATATAGGTTTAATCTAATTTTACGAGTTACTATGATTCCCACCGAGTTGACTGTGTTCCCAACCTCACGTCGTATCTGTCTAGGTCGCCGATATGTTTCAGGTAGCCGGGACGGATGTCGTAACTCGACGGCGCTCGAGCCCTACGGAGATTGAATGCTTCAGCCGGTCCAGTCTCGAGCTTGGAAGCGAAATGATAGATGTACTGGGCAGTCTGTCTGTCTGTCTGTCTGTCTGTCTGTCTGTCTGTCTGTCTGTCTGTCTGTCTGTCTGTCTGTCAATTTGTCGAAGTAGAGAATATCTACTATGAGTGGGACGTCCTTCCGTGAGGACAAATCGAGCCAGCTGTGGTGGTGGTCATAACCAGAACAAGGCCCCTGAAGGAGAAACGTCGGACCTCCACTGACCTCCTGATGTGGTAGACTGGCTGGTAATTGTTCGGGTAGGGTTAGAGTAACCCTGGTGTGTTTCAGGTGGGCGGGCGGGCCATCATCGACCAGCTGTTCCTCGCGGATTCGGCAAATTCCCCTTTTCCCCCCTCTTCAATGCACTCAATTCTCATCCCCCTTTGTTTCATTAACCCCCTCTCCCCTCGTTTTTACTAGTGCCTTGTTCTAGTTCTGGTAGTTAGGAGCCTGTCAATTTATTATTTAATGGCAGTTCTGAAGGGAAGCCATGCTGATTCACCCGATGTCAATTCGCCCGCCAGGGGGCCTTTAATCTATCTGAATCAGAATCCAGAGCATGCAGTCCCCAACGCCATTCTCACAGCGCTTCATGCTCCAAACCAAGAACTTGGCTCTCCATAATAGCACCGCTAAGTCCCTCGCAGTGATCGCATTGAGTGTACGGCCGACGCTGATGGTTTTGAGTTGTGCCAGGTTTTGCCTAGTCGGGCAACCTGCTCCGGCAAATGCTGTTAATATGCCATGGATCGATCAATGGGGTGTAGTTCATCGACTAAGCAGAGACAACCGAGACTTCTCCTACGGTCCCACTCCTAGAGTGTCCACTTTCCACGCGATTCAAACTTCAAAGAGAAGAAAAGAAGATGCTAGCGGCAGCAAGGCAGTTAGCTCAACGGCAAGCCGCTGTCGGTAAACGTCCTCCTACAGCGAAATGGTCCCTGATATAAAGACGGCGCCGAGGCTCGCTGACGTGAACCTTATGGCACGTTTCTTCACTTTTTTTTTCCATGTACACTCTTTGACAGACCTCTTTATTACAGTCTTTTCTGTGTCTTTTTGTTTCGTCATTCTTTTTTGCTTTCGTTACCCAAAGCGGCACAGCACCATGCTTGTCGACAAACTCGCTCTTTTCACCGCCGTGGGCCTGGCGCCCCTTTTCGCTGCTGCGCAGCTGAGCGGCTCTGTTGGTCCCTTGACCTCAGCCAGCACTAAGGCTGCCACTAAAACATGTAATGTTCTCGACTACGGAGCCAAGGCAGACAAATCCACCGATCTGGGAGTTCCTTTGGCCTCTGCCTTTGCTGCCTGCAAATCGGGTGGACTGGTCTACATTCCCGAGGGTGACTATGCGATGTCAACTTGGGTCAAATTGGCCGAGGGTGAAGCTTGGGCGTTGCAGCTTGACGGTACTATCTACCGTGACAGCACGGAGGGCGGCAACATGATCATGATTGAGCACTCCACCGACTTCGAAATGTTCAGCAGCAACTCCAAGGGTGCCATCCAGGGTTTGGGCTACGAGCTCCACAAGGATGACAATTACTCTGGTCCTCGTCTGCTGCGCGTGTGGGACGTTACCGATTTCTCGGTTCACGATATCATTCTGGTTGATTCTCCTGCTTTCCACTTTTCGATCGACACTTGCACCAATGGTGAAGTCTACAATATGGCAATTCGTGGTGGTAATCACGGTGGTCTCGATGGCATCGATGTGTGGAGTGACAATATCTGGATTCACGATGTGAGCTTACCATTGACTCTAGCAAACTGACTGGGGCTAACAACGTCTGTAGGTCGAAGTGACGAACAAGGATGAGTGCGTGACGGTCAAAGTATGATTCCGACGTCCTGAAGCATATAAGACATGAAAATGCTGACCAGGCCTGCAGAGTCCGGCACACAACATTCTAGTCGAGAACATCTACTGCAACTTAAGCGGTGGTTGCGGTATGGGCTCCTTTGGCACCGATACCAATGTCACCGACATCACCTACCGCAACATCTACACCTGGAACTCGAACAACATGATGTTGATCAAGAGTAACGGAGGCAGTGGTTTCATCGAGAATGTCGTCCTCGAGAACTTCATCGGTATGTACCCCGGCGCAGTACCGCTTCGCACCAGCACGGGCGTTAACCATACTTATCTCCTTTAGGACACGGTAACGCCTATTCTCTTGACGTGGATAGCGCATGGTCCAGTATGAGCACTGTGGCTGGCGATGGTATTCAGATGAGCAACGTCACCATCAAGAACTGGAAGGGTACTGAAGCCTACGGTCTCACCCGCGGACCCATCAAGATGATCTGCCCTACCGGTGCTCCTTGCTACGACATCACCATTGAGGACTTTGCCATGTGGACTGAAGAGGGCAGCGTGCAGTGGTACTCCTGCCAGAGTGCCTATGGATCTGGATTCTGTCTCAAGGACAGTGACGACCACGCCGCGTATTCCGTTACCACCACTACTGTGTCGGTTGCTCCTTCGGGCTACTCTGCTGCCACAATGGCCTCCGACCTGACTACGGACTTTGGCACCGCCGTTTCTATTCCCATTCCGACAATTCCCACTTCCTTCTATCCTGGCGCTACTCCTTACAGTGCCCTGATGTCCTTGTCCTCTTCTGGCACCAGCCACGGTACCCCTGTAGCTAGCACGGCTCGTGCTACTAGCGCGGCTACCAGCGTTGTCAAATCCTCTTCGTCTTACTCGACCTCCGAGTACGTTGCTGCCACCGGTGCTGCTGAGTTCGTTGCCACCACCTCGGTAAGCAGCGCCCAGAAGCAGATTACCAGCGCTGCCGGTTCCTCTGGCTCCTCGGGTAAGCACAACCAGGGAGGTCAGTGGCAGGGACTGGGCCGGGGTGAGTCACAGGAACAGGATCAGGATAGCTGCCAGGCGTAGGCAGCCAGATCGATTTCCAACTGGGAATGAGATTCCCTGCCTGGTTACACAACGATGGTTCGCCAGGGGGAATTGTAGGGAAAGAAACCTGCGATAGCGCAGCATCTTAGCAAGCCTGCTCAGTAACATGTACAATTTCCAACTGAATTAATCCAACTCTGTCTTGCGACATTGACTTTCCTTGTTGTTTACTGGTGTCTGCTGCATGCGGGAAGTGGCTCCAGCCGTGCCTGGATGTAACCTTATCGCCCCTGAGTCTGGACCGCCCACCCGGATTGCTTGTGGTTCTTGCTCTCAGCAAGTTGGATTTCAATTTGATTGATCTTGCGAAAGCACAGAATACTGTGTAGGATGTGTAGAAATAAATAGAGCAGCGGATGTAGCAGGTAATTATTGGCGAGTAGAAGTGGCCGTAATGTGGATTGTGGAGAGAGAACGAGGGGGAGGGAGAAAAGTAGGTGGGGGTGATGTCACCCTCCAAATGGAGAGATTGATTGATGGTATTGTTTGCTGCCACCCCCGCATGCCCGGACGGAGCTCCTCAACCAACCCTGCTTTTCTTGTTCTTCTTCGGTCTTCGCCTCCCCCTCTTCTTCCTCAACCTTTTTCCTTTTTACTGCTCTTTTGCTTTTCTCTTCTTCTTTCAACCTGATTCTTTCCCTAATTTCCTCGCTTTCTATCGAGTTTGGGGCTGGACGTTGTTCGTGTCCCAGTTTACTCCAATTCGATTTTCCTCTTTTCCGAAGTATCCCCAGGGCTTGATCATCATTATTACCTGGAGCTTCCAGTTTCCCTCCCAATGGCTTCAGACTCAGCTCCCGCAGATGGCACTGGTAAGTGGTTCTTTTTCCGCAGCCTGCAGCTTGCTGGTTGTCGCTCATCATTCAATTAGGTGTCATCAAGCTCGATCCATGGCTGGAGCCGCACCGTGACGCTCTCAAACGTCGATTTGAGTTCGTGGAGCATTGGATTAAGACCATCAATGATCATGAGGGTGGCTTGGAGAAGTTTAGCAGGGTACTTAATTGATTTCTATTCCAACCGATTCCCGCGAACTGATTGCCGCCCGATCTCGAGCCACCTTTCTCCTTGTCTACTGATCCGAACTCATCCCCGCATTCCACTAACATAACCATCGGGTGACCGATAGGGCTATGAGAAATTCGGCCTCAATGTCGCCGATAACGGGGACATCATCTACAGGGAATGGGCGCCCGGTGCAGTTGAGGCCCAATTGGTTGGCGATTTCAGTACGTCTCGGTGTCGTCCCTCTATTTCTGGTGAAGCGGCGGAATTAATGCCTACTGGCAGACAACTGGGACATCAAGGCCAATCCGATGACACAAAATGACTTTGGCATCTGGGAGGTCACAGTACCGGCCAAGGATGGCGCTCCCGCCATTCCGCACGAGAGTAAGATTAAGGTGCGGCTGGACTAGACTCCCGTGGATATTGCATTGTCTGACCCATTTTTCCAAATCCCAGATCACGATGGTCACACGCGGTGGGGAACGCATCTACCGTATACCCGCCTGGATCAAGCGCGTCGTACAAGATCTGAACGTTTCGCCGACCTACGAGTCTGTTTTCTGGAACCCGCCCGAGGCAGAGCGGTATCACTTCAAACACAAGCGTCCAACAAAGCCGGAGAGTCTGCGGATCTACGAGGCTCACGTCGGTATCTCCTCTCCGGAGACGAAGGTTGCGACCTACAAGGAATTCACTAAGAACATGCTTCCTCGTATCAAGTACCTGGGCTACAATGCTATCCAGCTCATGGCCATCATGGAGCATGCATATTACGCCAGCTTTGGCTACCAGGTCAACAGCTTCTTCGCGGCGAGCAGTCGTTACGGTCCGCCGGAGGACTTGAAGGAACTGGTTGATACGGCACACAGCATGGGCCTGGTGGTGCTTCTCGATGTGGTGCACAGCCACGCTTCCAAGAACGTGTCGGACGGTCTGAACATGTTTGACGGCACAGACCACCTTTACTTCCACTCCGGAGGAAAGGGTCAGCATGATCTATGGGACAGCCGACTGTTCAACTACGGGCACCATGAAGTTCTACGCTTCCTTCTGAGCAATCTACGTTTCTGGATGGAGGAGTATGGCTTTGACGGATTCCGGTTCGATGGTGTCACAAGCATGCTCTACACACATCACGGTATTGGAACGTACGTTGACCCAAGCCTACCACTTCTCGAAGTCAAGACTAACTCCACCAAGTGGTTTCTCCGGTGGTTACCATGAGTACTTCGGGCCCGCCGTTGACGATGAGGGTGTTATGTACCTGACTCTTGCTAACGAGATGCTCCACAATATCTATCCCAACTGTATCACTGTAGCGGAGGATGTATCTGGCATGCCAGCCTTGTGCCTGCCTCACTCACTCGGTGGCGTGGGCTTTGACTACCGTCTGGCCATGGCCATTCCTGACATGTACATCAAATGGCTCAAGGAGAAATCCGACGACGAGTGGGACATCGGCAGCCTGGCTTTCACCCTCACCAACCGCCGTCACGGCGAGAAAACCATTGCCTATGCCGAGAGCCACGACCAAGCGTGAGTCTACCCTCCTTTCGTTCAATAACCCCCCATCTCTCACTCTCCCAATGGGTTAGACTAATCCGCATGCCTCGAAACTAGTCTCGTTGGCGACAAGACTCTCATGATGTGGCTCTGCGACAAGGAGATGTACACGCACATGTCCATTCTTACCGAGCTGACGCCGATCATCGAGCGCGGCATGGCCCTCCACAAGCTCCTCCGCCTAGTCACCCACGCCCTAGGCGGCGAAGGGTACCTCAACTTCGAGGGTAACGAGTTCGGCCATCCAGAATGGCTCGACTTTCCGCGTGCTGGCAACAACAACTCGTTCTGGTACGCCCGCCGCCAGCTCAACCTGACCGAGGACCACCTCCTCCGTTACCAATTCCTGAACGAGTTCGACCGCGCCATGCAGCATACCGAGGAGAAGTACGGCTGGCTGCACGCGCCGCAGGCGTACGTTAGCCTCAAGCACGAGGGCGACAAGGTTCTTGTCTTCGAGCGCGCCGGCCTTCTGTGGATCTTTAACTTCCACCCCACCAACAGCTTCACGGACTACCGCGTCGGCGTCGAGCAAGCCGGCACCTACCGCATTGTCCTCGACAGCGACGACAAGGTCTTTGGTGGCTTCGGGCGCAACGACAAGGAGACGCGCTTCTTTACGACTGACCTCGAGTGGAACGGTAGACGGAACTATCTGCAGGTCTATATCCCGACACGGACAGCCTTGGTAAGCATGCCCCTTCCTGAAAATTCCTCAACGTGTTCTACCTTTATGAAAGCATATCAGCAATGCTAACGAGGTGATTGTGTGCGACAGGTCCTTGCTCTGGAAGAAACTCTTTAAGAAACTATTCCCTATTTCCGAATACACCTACCATACAGGTCTTCGATATAATACCTATCTACTTATCAGAAATATGCTCGTGTGAGTTTGAGGGCGATAATCACATCAGTTTTGACCTTAGATTTGTTCTGCAGTCTTTGAATTCTGCTAGCGTCTTAATGAATCTTTTTACCCTGATTGCGTATCCCATCTGTCCCTAGTACGTATTCATAATGAGTTAACAGCAAAGAAACGGGATAGAACGTCCAGTATTGCCATCACATTTGATCTATCAAGTACCAAAGGAGCGAAAGGGATGGCTACCACCCCGTGCATGGCCTGGTAGAAGCAGGCCGGTAAAGAAGCCATAACCAACGTCTCACTCTCACTGTCACTAACGTATTCCACAAGCGAGCTGGCCACCCAAGTAGGCTGGCCATCTCTGTATCACATACAGAATCGCTAAGTATTGCATACTAATATCTTAGCCAATGTTAGTTCTTACCGTATGTATTGATCTGTATCTCCCTTATATATACTAGTCAGCTTGAAGTTCATCATACGGGGTAGTACTACCATAGACTACCCAGTGTCAAATAATTAGCTCTCTACTACGTTAATTGAATGGATTTTATCACTTTATAACATTTGCAGGTCCTGTACATTATCCCTAGCTCATAGCAACAATTGAGACAGTTCAATCTTGAGTGGAGTCTTAGCACCTTGACTTAGCGTACACACTCAGGTAGCCAGTGTCACAGGCCACAGTGAGGGTGAAACTCGAGAAGCTGGGGTAATAAGCTTCCAGGGCAAAAAGTTGGGTGAGAGGATCGAGCTACGTCGAGTATAACGATGTCATCATACGACACTACGGATTGACACAGTTCCAACAAAAGAAAGAGTACAATTGTCTCCGCCCGATGGGTATGAGGCTGAAGGTGGTCATTTTAACTTACTTACATGAGCACGTAGTCACTAGTGTAACACAAGCCGGGAAGTCTCCATCCTGGCTTTAGGAAATCATGGTCGGGGTTGTCTCCAAGTGCCCCCTGCTTCCTTGTTTATGGATCGTTGGACTTTGCAAAAAAAATCCTTTCTCACATAACTCCCTTTTCTCAATTCGAGTACTGTACAGGCATCGATGGAAACCGGATCATGGAAGAAAGGTAGTCCATGTCTAACATAAAAGGAAAAGGGCGCTTAAAAACAATATTACATTTAGGCCTTGTTCTCGAGCTCGGCCAAGATCTTCTCACCCTTGGCACGGGCAGACTCGAAGTCACCAACCATGTAGAAAGCAGCTAGAAGAGAAGCAGTCAGCCAAATTCTGAGCAGTGCGAGGATCCACGGAAATAGAACTTACCCTCAGGAAGGTCATCACCCTCTCCGTTGATGATAGCCTTGAAACTGCGGATGGTGTCCTTGAGGTCGACCAGCTTACCCTCGATACCAGTGAAGACCTGGGCGACGGTGAAGGGCTGGGACAGGAAACGCTGGAGCTTACGGGCACGCTCGACAGTGAGCTTGTCAGCCTCAGACAGCTCGTCCATACCCAGAATGGCAATGATATCCTGGAGGGACTTGTACTCCTGGAGCATCTGCTGGACACGGGTGGCGGTGTCGTAGTGGTCCTGACCGACAATACGGGCGTCGAGCATACGGGACTTGGAGTCGAGAGGGTCGACGGCGGGGTAGATACCCAACTCAGAGATACCACGAGACAAGACAGTGGTGGCGTCCAAGTGAGCGAAGGTGGTGGCGGGGGCAGGGTCAGTCAAATCGTCAGCGGGCACGTAGACGGCCTGGACGGAGGTAATGGAACCCTTGGTGGTGGTGGTAATACGCTCCTGCATACCACCCATGTCGACGGCCAGGGTGGGCTGGTAACCGACGGCAGAGGGGATACGACCCAGAAGAGCAGACACCTCAGAACCGGCCTGGGTGAAACGGAAAATGTTGTCAATGAAGAGCAGCACATCCTGACCCTCCTCGTCACGGAAGTACTCGGCAATGGTCAGACCGGTAAGGGCGACACGGGCACGGGCACCTGGGGGCTCGTTCATCTGACCGAACACAAGAGCGACCTTGGATTCACCCTCGAGCTGAATGACACCAGTCTCCTGCATTTCGTGGTACAGATCGTTACCCTCACGAGTACGCTCACCGACACCAGTGAAGACGGAGTAACCACCGTGAGCCTTGGCGATGTTGTTCTGCGGAGAGGATTAGCCAAAATTACTGGCAAACTAAGCGCGAGGGAAATACTCACGATCAACTCCTGGATGAAGACGGTCTTACCGACACCGGCACCACCGAAGAGACCAATCTTACCACCACGGGCGTAGGGGGCAAGGAGATCGACGACCTTGATACCAGTGACGAGAATCTCGGCAGTGGTGGACTGCTCAGTGAAGGCGGGAGCCTCGCAGTGAATGGGGCGGAACTTGTCGGCCTTGATGGGGCCACGCTCGTCAATGGGGTCACCAGTGACGTTGACGATACGGCCGAGAGTGCCAGGGCCGACGGGGATGGTGATGGGAGCACCAGTGTCACGGGCGGCAGCACCACGGGTCAGACCCTCGGTACCTGAGAAACAACACGTTAGGAGACCAGCGAGAGAGATATTGACACCAAAACCACGCATTGGAAGGGATATTGACGGGGGGGGGAATGGGACGAGTGTCGAAATCTTTCCAGGGTGGCCGGTGTGAGGTAGGTGAAGCTTACCGTCCATGGCAATGGTACGAACAACATTCTCACCCAAGTGTTGCTAATGTCGAGGTTAGCTACAAAGCTTGATGGCAAGCCTAGCTGAGAGGTAGTGGTGGACATACAGCAACCTCAAGGACGAGCTTCTGGCCGTTGTTCTCGGTCTCAATGGCGTTGAGAATGGCGGGGAGCTTCTCGCCGTCGAACTTAACTGTAGTCGAAAGTCAGATGATGAATTTTTTGATGGCATTGAGTCGTTATTGATGGGATTAGGGATGGTATCGCGGGCGGAAAAGATTTTCGCGTGGCCGCCGGCAAGGTTTTTTTTTTGGGGAAGCGGGAACGAAGGGATCGAGCTGAACATACCGTCAACGACGGCACCGATGACCTGGTGAATCTTGCCAACGGAGGCAGCCTCAGTGCTGGCCAGACGGGCAAGGGAGGGAAGACCGTTGGTCTTGGGCTGGAAAGCGCGACGGGCGACGGGGGTAGGCCGAGCAAAAGCAGCCCTCCCGAAGGTCCGGGCAAGACCGCTGAAGGGTGAGAGCAGACCAAGGTTAGTTAAAAGTTCTTTAGCATGGCCAAAGGATGAACAAAGATATAAAGAAAAGAAGAACTAAAGTGGGGGATGGGGGAAGGAGTAGACTGGGGATGGAAAAGGGTCTTTTTGGGATGGGGGGTCTTACCTCTTGAACATGATGATGGTGTTGAAGAGCGAAATGGGTATAGAGAGGTCAAAGGGGAGGATGGGGGAAGGGAAAGAAAGAGAGGGAAAAGGGAAAAGAGGTTGAGAGAGGAGGAGGTCGAGTTGAGGTGGACTCTGGCGGTTTGTGTCCGGCTTAGCCTTTCCGGGGCGGTTTTGCCGACGATCCCGTGATGTACCGAGCAACGCGCGCCTGTGTGTGTTTTTTGTGGCCAGCTGGTGGTAACTGAGCTGTATGCTGTATTGACTGATACCACCAGTATTTACTTACGCCTGCAGACCGACTGCATACATCCATCCATCCCTTCTAAACTTATAGTAGAGGCAAGTAGCTCCGATGTGCAGTACGGAGTAAGTTAGTATATAGTAGTACACTTTCTTGTGTCTAATTGTATCCTCCAATTCATTTAGGCTAAGCATCCTCCTCTCCCTTCCTCTCCCCAATTCCTCCCTGGTCGACTCCATCTGTCCGAGACCCAGAGTACAGCTCGGGGCACTTTCGCACAGAAAATGGGGATCGGACTTGGCGCCGCCCGGATCTTTTACCAACTGGGAACCCCCTCTTTCAGCTGGAGGTTCTGGGATGGATATATACTTCCTACTGCCCACCTAATATCGATAGCATGACGATTCATGATTCATGTCCGAATGGATACTACCTGTTCTTCCCATACACACTCCATTATCCTGCGTCCAAGCTCCCCCGACCCTCTTGTAGTTGAAGCAGCGGTTGCTCCGACAACTCGCAGACATGCATATCCATACATACAGGGAACAAGCGACGGTATCGGACCAACCGCAACCGCCAGCGGAAAAAAAACCTGATGTGTTCCCGTGATTTCCCATTCCGGTTTCCCCTTCAATCCCTCTCTTGCTGTGGTGGCCCCCAAGCTCCATCTGGCGGTGTCTTTCTGTTGAGTGTCAAGTGCGACACGTCGATGGACGATGTTTTGGAGGTGCTTCGTAGTTCCTAGCAACCTAGACCGATAGTTATAAGATGAGGCTGGGAAACTCAATTGCAACGGTTGCAAAACATCGCTTAACTCGTACCGGATTGGTTGTAACAATGACGTTTCCAACAGAGCCGCGCACATTACTTTACTGGGGAGTGAGTGGCTCAAAGCACCTACCAACCCAACCAGTCGGTAGGGGCCCCCCCTCTCAATCTGATATCGGACTCTGGTTCACCATTGAACACTGAATGTATATATACAGTCTGAACCCGTCAACCCTACGACAGGGCGTTCTCCAGCTAGTACTTTCGTCGATTTGCCTGACACCTGCACGGGGCAACTTACGCACCCATCTTTAAAACCAGACTAGGAAAAATATATCATAGAAACCAAAAACCCATTCTAAGGCTACAAAGGAGATACATAGATTATGGCACAGTACGAGGTACAGAGGGGTCTTTTTGGGCTTGACGTTTGACAAACAAGTAAAACAGGTGCGAGAGCAGGTGTCCAAGGTTGGACGGCCACCCATCCTCTGTCATCAGCGGGCGCATCAGAGCAGAGTTGCAACACGTCCAATCGTTCTACCTATTTCTCCCAAGGAATTCGCTGGTGATTTATTGCTTCTCAGCAGGAGGGCTCTGGACGAAGCCCTTGCCTTCATATCCCTCGGAGCTGATACCGTAGATAGGGTTGATCTTCTCACGCTGTTTGTGGAAATCAAGGTCAGTCATTGTTCATATACGTCAAAGCCCAGAATCTTCGAATCAAGGAAAGAAGCAAAGGAAAACAAAGATGCTGTAGACGATAGGTATGTCTTACGAGAGCGTATTCGTTGGAGGCCTCCTGCCACTCCTTGCTCATGGTCTTGGGGAGAGGCTTAGCGAAGTAGTGGATGGCGTAGAAGAGACCAACACCGATGGCGCAGTACTGGAGGGCCTTGACGAAGACTCTGAAAGCCTCGCCTTTGGGGGGGAGAGTGCGGGGGCCGTGGTTGCCGAAAGAGATATAGTAGGCTAGATGATGGGGAGAACAAGACCTGTTAGCAAAATTCTGTCTGCGCTTGCCAGCGTCCAGAAATCATTGCAGACGAATAGAATGAACATACCGGCCTTCTTCTCCTGAAGAGTCAGCTGGTGCCAGTCAGCCTGCATGCGGTCTCTGAGCTGCATCCACAGGTCAGCCTGCTCCTGGGGAGGCATGGCCTCCCAGCGCTTCTCGATACCGGCGAGTGTGGGATTCGAGATGGCATGCTCGGAAGCGGCGCGGGTCTGCTGGAAAGCAATGGTCTGCTTCTCAGCCTGAGGACGAGCATTCAAGCAAGCCATTGGGCTCGAGGCAGTGCGGTAGGAGCGGAGGGCAGCGGTGGGCATGACCGAGCTGCGAGCAGCGACCCGAGAGACGGACTGAGCGAACATTGTGTGTGAGGGGTGTAGCTGTACGACGAGCAATCAACAAATGGTAGCTATCAACTCTCCAGTAATGAGAAGAGCAATTCCTCGAGATGGGAGGATGGTGAACGTGGGGGGTGGAGGAGTGGAGGGGGTGACGAAAGAGTCGCGATGGGAGACGAAGACGACGTTCGATAATCTGTGGTTTGAGGTGGAAAGTCGAGTATCCGGACAGGCTAGCTTAGTCCATTTTACACCCATTCTCATTGGTCAACTACCAAATCCCGTCCCGACCGCCCGTCCGCCTTTGCCCGTCTGACTGAATCCCTCTCCTCCCCCAAGAACATCAGACGATGTCCATCATTGATAAGAGGTTCTCCTTTAACTAGCATGATCCTGATTACTACATTTCGGGTTGGTAAATGACCCCAGGTTCATTCTACTGTAACATCCGACTGGCCCAAGAGTGCAAACTGTTAGCGATGGCAAGACAACTGGGATCCCCTTTCTTTTCACAGACTGGCGATATCTGCGTCAGTCTTATTCCCAGTGACCCATCAATGATCACTTCCAACCACTATAAAGCCATCGCACAAAAGGGTAGAGGGGAAGATCTCTGATTTTGAATGAGCTGGAAGTAGTTCCGTATATCTACTTTACACCCACCGCGTCACTCCTGTCCCATGTCGAGCAACAGCAACCTATCCTGTACAGGCGAACGCTGAACAAACAAGAACAAATCACTGCCCAGCCGTTCGACCTCACAAAGCGCCAGAATCGCGTGGAGATGATACGGTCACTATTGAAAAGATAAAAACGCAGGGTCAAGTCGTAACGATCTCATATTGAACTAAGTGTATGCAGGGAGATTCGGAGTAAGCTGCTTCGTCCCAGGTTTCGTCGCGATTCGAGATGATGCGTTGCGATGGAATATCCAGCACAGTCACCCTGGCCCGGACCCAGCCGGCACCGTCATTTATTTGCCAGCCTTGCCACCGCTGGCCTCGTTCAGGACGGCCTTCCACTCGATGTCGCTCTTGTCGTCAGCGTGGATGGAGGTGTGAATGTTGAGCGCATTCTTCAGGACTTCACGGGTGCTGGCGTAGATCATGGACCACTAGTGTTGCGATGTCAGATATTAAACCCCCAGTCGATCGTGAGGAACTAGTGACGGAGAGGACATACGAGAGTAGGAGTTTCACTGGGAACCCAAGAGATGAAGATGATCTTGCTTCTGTTTCAGGCGAAGATGAGATTAGCAAAGACGTGCACCGCCAACACCGCAATAAGCACAAGCGACAATCATACCTCTTGCCCTCACCACCACCGAGGTCATATTCCACGTCATAGACAGCATAACGGGGCGCGGGGCGACCCTGGCTGTCCTGAGCGGCTGCGAGCTTGTTGCGGAAGACCTCGTAGTCCTCCTCCTGGGAAGCCTCATCGACGACGACTTCCTTCTTGTTGTCGGCAATCTTGAAGATGATGAACTTGGTCTTGCTTCCCTTGGCGCCTCCGCTCATGCGGAAGTCATTGAATGCACTGATGCACTCATCTGTGACAGTGACACTGTTTAGGCACAGCGATGTCAGCTTGGGCACGGAGATACTGAGCTCTACGCGACTCCCAACGGAGCAGGACTTCGACATACCCAGATGCGAGCTAGGAGCATTGTGAAGAGACCAAATTAGTTTCTGAGCATAGGCAACGAGGAGAATAATGTACCTACCGACATGATTGATTAAAGATTTAAAGCTGAGATGAGGGGTGGGTGAGTGGATAACCTGCGCATGCACGCGATGTCAGTTAGCCAGATTCCCCTATTTGTCCCTCTGGCGTCACAGCACGGTCGGCGGATTACCAGTGGGAACAGCACCGAGCTTGCGAAGGGCAGGAAAGGCAACTCACCAAATCGTGAAACAAGCTACTCGGGTAATTTTCTCGAAAACCGAAAGAAAGAAGAAGAATGGGGAGAAAAGGAAGTGGAGGAGAATGAGAAGGTGAGGGGGGAGGGGGATGGAAAGGGAAGAATAGTGGTGGTAATAATGGGGGGTGGAGGGAGGGGGGGAATGAGAGCCGAGATGGAGATAGAGGGGCATTTACTAAGGAAGTACCTAAGTTGTGTTGTGCTCTCTCTCTTGCTCTTACTGCCTATGCTCCAGCGGCGGCGGGCGGACAGTGGGGGTGTCTGCCACGTGATTCGTCCCATCGCACCACCAGCCGCCTTTTTCTGCTCTTCCACTTTCCTTTTTTCCCCCTGAATTTAATTTCTTATTATTAACTTACTGGGCGATGACGGAGTGGCAGTGAAATTCCTTTAATAAGCTAGTACCTAGTACGTAGTAGTAGTTAGGTTGCTACCTACGCATTGGAACTTTACTGTCGAGGGCTCCAGGTGACAAGCCTACCATTAGCAGCAGCAGCAGCAGCAGCATCTCGCATCATGCGCATTACCTGCAGCATCGTGCTTTGCCGCCTTGATCGAACAGTTCCTTTTTTTTCCCCTCAGGACCATAGCCGATAACAGCTAATATCAAGGGACTACACAGTAGTCTTACGAGGAAACCCTCAGAAGGCCGACAAGAATCTATAGTGAATTTGCAGTTCATATGAACCACAGTCCCTCATTCTATTCTCGGAGCTGCAGTCAAATGAATCTTGTTTTTGCACCGGAGTAAACCGCCGTTGATGGGCTGCCAACCATGGAACTAGACCCGGCTAGCCGAGTGATATCACGTCAGTCCGGTCTGGGCAAGGCTACCTGTACGGTCGCTGCTGTGTCTCATCCACATACTTCTTGTTTAGTGTTTACTCTGCATATGCTTACACTATGACTTCGCTCCTGTCAACACCTGAATAAAAAGAGAAATACCCTCCGGGCTCTCATAATGCATAGGATGAGGGCGCAAAAGTACATCAGTTGATACACTCTAGAAGGTGGTTATAGAAATGCAAATCGTATCTAAAAACAAGACATGCACCGCGCGCTGTAAAACGGGGTATATAAGAATCTGAAGGTCGAAATAGGGGTAATCGCAAAAGCATAAAGATCAGATCGTCTCATGAACATCGTCAACCTAAGAGTACATCCGGCAGATTGAGGATGTCGTGACTGCAGTTCAAATCATCATAAAGAGTGCCTAATGTTCTAAGCCATATATCAGAGTCAGCTGTTGAATCCATGGTTCAAACTGTTGAGAAAAGACGTCTGGAGATGTAAATTGCTCTTCGAGCTGCAGCCCCAAGTCGAAGATGCATAGAAGACCAAACGGGAAGTGGTATAGTTCCGCGAGGAATGCTGCGGACTTGAATCTTAGGCATAGTTCTTGTGTCTCATGGATCTTCGTCCGCCTTCCCGCCATCAATAATTTTCCGCCAATGTTGCGGAAGGCATACGCAGACCAGTGGGAATGCTTTAATCTCGCCAAGGGGAGGCGGAGATGGGGCTGGTCGTTGTGAGCCGTTTGAGACACCACTATCACGCTGCTCACGGTGTCTGGCATCATGGTCATCGGCGCTTTCCGGAATACGAATGCCAGTAGCCCATCCGTCATCCCAGATGCCTATTACCTTCAGCATCTCACCTCTGTCCAAGGCAAATTCATCTCCAGCTCGAGGTTGATATGCCCAGAGTACAGCCACCTTGTCACCGGGATGTATCTCATCCGGCGAGTAATAGTCCTGAAATGCGGACAATTGTTCGGACTGTCCGCTTGTCACACCTTCAGGTGACGAGTAGTGACCAGCAACCATTGAACGAGGCGAGCTATCCGTACCCGCACCAGCGAGAGCTGAGTTGCTGGATAGCGAGCCACGACGCTTACCAGTTGTTGGAGGGATCTGCTTGGACATCGCACCCGGACTGGCGCCAAATTCTGAGTCGGAAGAATCGCTGTATTTGCCGCCTCCGAATAAGGCTGCCGAAAGGCGCGAGCGTGCCGGCGACGCACTGGGAACCTCGCGCAAAGCAGACATTCGAGCGACGCGTCCTCCGGGAATAGCAGTATAGCCATTGTTCACCTGGCCCTGTTTCATAGCCGGCGACCCCTTACGTTGTGGGTTCGGTTGGTTGAGACCACTTTCAGTCTGAGCCTTACGTTTGCGCCGCAGGCAGCAGAAAGCTAGTACACCCAGGGCAGCCAGTAGAGCAAGACCCGCCACAGATCCTATCACAATACCTGCAATCTCTCCGCCAGATAAGCCGTCTGACGCATTGGCGGTTGAGTTGGATGTTGACGTCGAGGTGAAGACCGGCGTGATTGTCGATGAGGGGACAGTTATATTCAAGCATCGGGTAGCCGCCCCAGCACCCTCGCAGCAGGAATCGGTGGTGTTGGCCGCGCTCGATTCGCAATATGCACAGAGGCCCAGAAGATTGGTCCGAAATCCACAATTCTCAGGCTCATTGTCTGCCCCCTCGATGCAGCTCACAGTGATCGAGTCGGCAGGAAGGGCACAAATGGTAAAGTCGGATCGAATCTGGGCCATGTAGTCGCTGGCTCTCTCAGGACAAAGGTCGGAGTCGGTAATTATGGCCTCTTCACTTTCAGCCATTTGGGCCTATTGCACGTCAGCACAGATATATGATATGATCAAGCGGGGAAGACTGACACAGGTATCAGCACAAAGTGGTCTGGAGTCTTGAACTGATAGGTTGCAATCATCTTTGGAGCTTTGGACCAAGCTACTGCAAATGACACTCGTGGTGTAGCGGGCATAATAATCACTGGTGTCAGTGAGGTTGGCACCTTCGCATCCTAGATAGTCCACATATCTACCAAGATCAGGCATTGTGAGAGGTATTCATGGTACAGCTGAGGGTTAATATGCTCACTCACTTTGACTTGACAAAAGACTGCATAACATAGCTGTTCAGCTCTTGGTCAAATTGGGTTAAGTTGGAGACATATTGCATGAATGGACTATTGATTCTGTTAGCGCATCGCTGAGCTTCAACCCAGCGGCCGGACAAACGTACAAATCTGTATAGAGACTAGAGTTGGTTGAGATTGATGAGGTGTTGAACGCGGGACATTGGGTCGAGCCCGAGAGTGAGAAGCATGTGCTGGACATGACTGCAGCACCGAACCTGGTTTTACTATAGGAGTACAGAGATCGTGTGGCGCTCAAAGAGCGTAGGACAGACTCGATTCAAGTTCGCGATTCTTCTCGGAAGGCCGTTTACTAGCAATCGCACCCCATGGTTCTCCGGACGCTTTCTGTTTCACTCCGTCGAACCCAGCTTGAGCGAGATTGTTCGACCTATTATATTCTGGCGCGCGTAAAGATGCTGAACGAGGGCAATGGCAAGAGCGTGTGGTCTCGATCTGAGAAGACACGGGATCTTGCGGACAGCTGATAGAGCCGATTGAATAGCACGAAGTCGAGCGGGCTAGCCCAATCTGCCTTACAGCCGATGTTGGAACGAGCGACTGGAATCTGGAGAGTGTCGGAAGAGTCAATACAAGTCGTCCAACAACAAGCAAAGGACCAGAAAAAGAGAGAGGATGAGAAGGTGAATCCAGATTGATGAGCAGATGCAAAGGACGGCCGTGCTTTCCCCTCCGGAAATCTGCGACGGGTCTCGGTCCAAGCTACCGCTGAAGGGAAATCGCCTGGGGCAGTCGGCTGGAATCGCTCTTCACACCAGGGGAAAATCAGAGACCTTCCATGGCTACTGGGCCAGAACGAGGAGACAAGAACTGAATACCAAACGAAACGTGTTTTCAGGTGAAAGAGAAACATACATTGCAGCTACCAATGGAAAGTGGGAGACCTGACTGAGTCGAGGGTCAAGAGTCAATAGGGGGGAGCCCTTTGGCGCGGGCGGTTCGCAATTGGAAAGCAGCCGGCGTCTTCTAAACCCAATCTGCATCCACTGCACAAGTACTGCAGTTCACTTCCTCCCGCATCCAGGAACAAATCTCTGCTGCCGATCAAGTTAGTCGGACTTGTACGGAGCAGCTTCCTATCGAATCAGGATCAGAGCCAGATGGAGAGGTCCCCAGATTCGAGCTCCACAAACTCGCCGGAAGTGAGGTTCGAGGCGGATCGAAGCCATCATCGGCACCAAAGTCCAAATAAAGAGCAATCGCAATGCACGTACTTCTTCTGAGTTTCCACTGCAAGGGTCTTCAACGCCTTAAAAACCTTCTGGTGCACCCAAATTGCACAACTTGCCCCAGGCTTCGAGTATATATTCGGGATTTTGGGTGATTTCGCAGCTCAATTCGGACCACCGACAAGGCCTGCAAGTTAAGATGCGAGCAGAGAAATGGAAAATAGGGAGAAAGAGAAAAGATAAATGCAGGAACCGTGAACTTTATTGCCCGGATGGTCAAGAAGGTTCTGTGATGCATGGCAAGTCACTGGCGGTGTTTATTCCCAACTGACGTGGCACACCTCAATTTTGTGAGGCTGTTAGTGCCAGAGACATGAAGTGAAATGGGCAGGCAGAGCCAACATATGGATCCACCATGCTGGTGAGATGTTCATTCTGTATGTAGTCTTGGGCTCAGCCAGCTTGGTGCATGCAAATTCACACCTTGCCTAGCCAGGCATTCGGCAACTACGGTTCCTACCAGCTGTAGTCTATACAGCACAGTTTGATGGAGAGTGGGCCTGCAAACAAGGAACCAGGACAGAACCAGAGATCCAACCTGTGGTACGCTAAATAAGTTCTAGCCCTAAGATGGAAATTCCCCTGGGCTTTGCGGAGACATCTGAAACTATCTATTATTTTACCTCTTGGAGCTGGCTATCGATAATGACTATCGCAGAATCGCGGTCATATGAGTACATTGAGTATACCAGTACATGTGTTCAGCGACAAAGAGGGCTCCTTAAGTTGTTTCATGTTCAATGGCTAATTGTGTGTCAGCCACTAGGAATGCTGGGCGGCTTGACACTGCCGCTGTTGGGCCGATCGCCATTTGCGATGGCTCACAATGCTCCACTCATGACATTGATTGAAATTGTCCACGATTCGCCTTCTCAACCTCACCACGTCAGGTAGCCTCCCTTGTTAGGTACCTGATTGACTTTGCATTCCAGCCTTCAATTACTGGCCAGTCGTCAGTCGCATGATCGTTTCAACCAAAGAGAAATCACAGTGTTGGCAGCCTCGAGTTGCCGCGATCATTGAGTGTTACCACCCTCGCGTCTTGGTCGTAGGTAGATGGTTTAGTCGCGACCACCATGATGAAGTATTATATTCACGGGGACTGCGAGGAGCTTGCGACTATCTCAATTTCACTTACTGCTTCAATGGACTATGTCCCTCTAGGTAAATTTTCCATATGGTCATTAATTTGGGTGTGTTTTGCATTCATTCCAAATGACGCGGGCTCAGACCGCCATGAGATGCCTCAGAAGTATGTTTGTCCGATGTATCCAAACCTCGTATAAGGATGCCATAATAGTAAACTTATCTCCTCGATAAGGATTGGCATCGGGTACATCTCCCGACATATGTCTATACGTCGTGAACTTACTCCGTATCCCTCGGATTGATGTCCCCACTCATGCACGGATAGATAGCTGGCAATAGTATATCCTTCCCCGCTATGACTTTAGACAGCCCCGAGCACCGCAACTGAAGAGAAGCAATGTTTCATTGTATCCCACGAACGAGCGGTCTCATAAAGTCTATCTAATGGTCTGCCGTCTTCCTGTGTCGCATGAGGGGCGATTGTACCCTTCTCTAGACATCCCATAGCCAATACATGATCAGTGACATTGATTGCTAACTATACATAGGAATTATTTCAAAAGCCTCCATCCCACTATCCTGGATTTCCATATGGAGTGCTAAATTCATAATACTGTGAATTAATCGCTGAGGCTGACTACCAGCAAGTTAACAACAACCGCCCGCCATGTCAGGTGATGAAACCGCTTGGACGACGTCATCTGATTGCGGGCCTGCGGCAGGCATCCATCCATCTTGCTGCTATCATTCCACTACCAACACAACCTGTCTCTGATATACCAGACGAAACGCGTCGCCCGAGTGATTCTCTCTTGATATTCGAAATACTTTACATGGTCTACAAGAGATCCTCTCATCAGTGACCATCCTACCACACCGATCATGTGTGGTTCAGACATTTTCCTAGCAATCCTCGCCGTCTTTTTCCCCCCAGTTGCGGGTAAGCAGGAGCCCCGGGTTTTCATTCAGAGCCAAATGCATATCACTAAAAACTGTGTATAGTGTGGATCAAAGTAGGCATTTGTACGGCCGACTCACTCATTAACCTTGCTCTTTGCTGCCTGGCCTATATCCCGGGCCTCCTGCACGCCTGGTACATTATCCTCAAGTACCCCGAGCCAGACTATGATGATAACAACTACGCGCCTCTTCCCAACCACGGAGGCGACGCCGAGAACGGTCGCGTCACATATTACTATGTTTCTCACCAACCCATCCAGCACCCATCACAGCGGGGATATGGCACCATGCCTTCACAGCAACCCCAGGCAGGGCATGCGCAGTCTCAACAGCAACACCCCGCACCGCAACAACAGCACGAAAATGCCCGAGGAGGCGCCAGCAGCAGCGGCGATCATGCTGACTCGCGACCACCTCCCACGTACGCCGAAGCTGTCAAGGGAGACAACAAAGTGCAACACTGAATGGGTAAGCTGTGGATGAAGGGGGCATGATGCAGTTGCTTCGCAACGGTTGCTATAGGTTGCCTCAGAAGACTGCTTGCGGCTCCCGAAGAGACCAGTGAAGGAATGCTTTGCATCTCCGTGTGCTCTTACTCCTCACTGGACATTACGAACACTTTGCTTACAACGAATGGTAATGGATAATGACACTGTGATATATTATTTGCTCAATTGTCTTTGATCACCACGGCCACCCGGTACTCTCCAGGTGGAACAGTCTCGGGGAACCGCTCTCTGATCTGGTTCCTGAATGTGCTCCTATGATAATAAACAGGGGAAGTTATATTAGTTCTAGTGGTAGCTCTAGGTTCGCACAGATTATTCATGTTCTTTAGTATGTTAAAACGCGCGAACAATTTAACCATAATCCCTCACCGCATCAAGTGTAGAGAAATCCACCAGAAGCCCGCCGAAGCGCGGAGGTTCCGCATGACCGCCTTCTTTTCCGGCTGCCGGCCGACAAACAAGCCTGAGGAATGAATCTCAACCGAATGACTCGTACGATCCTCAGGAACACCGACACCGACACCGACACCGAAGCTACAGCATCTGCGTTGGCTTCTTGTCAGCCTTAGCAGCAGCGGTCATGCAGTCCATGCCATTGCTGCTCAGGCAGTCAATTCGGTCCAGCTTCAACAATCTCACCCGCACCTCCTCCCGCCCGGTGCGAAGACCGCTACTGCCCGCCGGTGTCCCGCAGGCTCTTTACCGTGGCAGAGACACACCTCGGAACTTCTCGATCTGCCTGCAATGTCAAATCCGGTCGCAGAGCTCCCTGTACGCCTCGAATGAAGACCTGGAGAAGAAACAAGATGTGATCATCCTTGGAGCCCCTCCCGCCAAAGACACGCCGCCGGCACCGTCGCCGTCAAGTATCCCTGACCAGAACCCGCATACTGAGTCGGATGCGGGGAGAGACACTCCCGCCGCTGTCCCTGGGGAAGACCAAGCGTCAGCGACAGCTCCCCCCGAAGCTGCAGAGCAAGAAGCAAAGAAGGACGGTGGTGATGCAGACGCTGCGGGTTCCGCATCGCAACCCGGAGGCCTTCCATCCTACCTGGAGAATCGACGGTCGCAGTTCGCCAAACAGTTCAGCACTGTAATGGACAACCTTCAATCGAACATTTTCGTGGCCGGCCAGCGATTGAACGATCTAACAGGCTACTCCGCGATTGAGGCTCTGAAGAAGGACATTCAATTCCAAGGTACGAGAGCTACTTTTTCCACCTGCTCGATGGTTCCCGCACCCCCGAACCAAGTGACCATGTTCCAAGTCTTCTAACATATCATTCCCACAATAGAGGAACGACTCCGAGCTGCCCGCCACCGAGTCCGCACCGCCAAGGACGCCTATGCCGCCGCAATCAATGAACGATCGACCTCTCAGCGCGAGGTCAACGAGCTCCTGCAGCGCAAGCATGCCTGGTCGGCCGCCGACCTGGAACGGTTCACCCACCTCTACCGCAACGATCATACCAACGAAGTGGCCGAGAACGAAGCGCAGCAGGCCCTGACCGAGGCTGAGCGCGAGGCCGAAGAAGCCGCCGCCCAACTGAACAAGAGCATCCTGTCGCGTTACCACGAGGAGCAGGTCTGGTCGGACAAGATCCGCCGGATGAGCACCTGGGGCACCTGGGGCCTGATGGGCGTCAATGTGCTGCTATTCCTGATCTTCCAGATCGCCGTAGAACCCTGGCGTCGTAAGCGGCTGGTCAAGGGCTTCGAGGAGAAGGTCATTGAGGCCATCGAGAAGGAAAAGACCCTGAACCAGGCGCAGATCCTGAACCTGCAGACCGAGTTCTCCCAGCAGGTCGCATTGGCCAACAAAGCCTTGCCCGAACGCGAGGCTGCTGCAGCTCTCACCGCAGCCTCTGAAGCCGCAACCCCAGCAGTTGCCCCCGAGGACCCCGTCACCATGGCCGCTGCCGCCAGCGAAGCTATCCCGCACGAGCAGGATGCACCCGTGCCCGCTTCGGTAACGCCTGAGCCCGTCGAAACCCAAGCTACCCCAACAGCCGCCACTCCTTTCCCCTCAAACAACAAACTCGAAAACGTCCTCCAGAGCTGCAAGATTCACTACTCGCGCATCCCTCCCTACGCTACCATCATCGAATCCTCGCGGCGCTATCTTCGAGACCTCTTCAGTGACCGCCAGATCACCATGACCCAGCGGGACCACTCGATCCTTGCTATCCAGAGCGCTGCCGCTGGTGCGGCTGTCGTTGGGTTGCTGGCGTTCTTCATCCGGCCCCAATGAGGGACAGGCTCTGTAAAGGCCATTATGCGGAGTTGCAACTGTGCCGAAAGGACGCCTTTCTGTGTATCTTGTGTAATAAAGCAGCGATCTGTTTGAGAGGTTCAGCGTCCCTGTATGTATTTGTATAAAGATCCTTAAGACATAAATAAAGCGATGAGCATGTTTGATTATTTTGGACCTCTTGAGTATTACATGATTCTGAGGGGGCTTGATAATAGCTGCGGTTGTCGATAGCGATTGGGCTATGAAAGAAAGATCAAGTACAAATTGCATTGATACAGTAGGTATATAACCACGGAGACAATGAGATCGAGGATACATGCGATGATGTAAAACAGGTCGGTCGTCGGACCGGTCTATAGCCCTCCTACTGGGTTCCAATGAGATCCACATCTGCGACCCAGGTCGCCATAGCCTTTCACAGGTGACCGTGGCGCAATTCGAACAAGCTGCGATGAGCACGAAGCTGTTAAACTTCATGCAAGGGATAGGGTGACAAAGGAAACAAGAGGCTCAGTTCTTAATCGGGATCCCATATTAAAACAAGGTCTCTTTATATCTCGACAGAAGACGCAGAGGGCAAAATGAAAAACAGAAAGAAAGAGGATTTCATCTAACGCACAACACATACAGACACAACGGCACACGCGTACATACACACCAACCTTCTCCGTCACCCCTTCCCTGGCGCTCTAAAAAGGTTGCTTATAGCTAGCCTGCTCTTTCTATGCCCGCGAAAGCTCTCCCCTAATTGCACACGAAGTTCGGTTTCATCTCAAGGTTGCATTTAACCGATGACGAGGGTGTCCTCGGAGGGGAAGCTGTACTGGGGAACCTCGAGGTTGAGGGGAGCAGGTCCCTTTCTTATACGGCCGGAGATGTCGTAGTGGGAACCGTGGCAGGGGCAGAACCAGCCGCCAAAGTCACCGGATTCACCGATGGGGACACAACCCAAGTGGGTGCAGACACCTAAGGGAAGAGAGAGGTTAGAGATCGGGTTGAGCCGGGCGTAAGCACAGGATACACATACCGAGCATAACAAGCCACTCAGCCTTCTGGACACGGTCCTCATCAGCTTGGGGGTCACGGAGGGACTGCCACTCAGTCTTCTGGGCCTCCTCGATCTCATCCTGGGTGCGGTGACGGATGAAGACGGGCTTTCCACGCCACTTGATGATAACCTGTATGCGCGGGGGAGATATAGTCAGATAACGGAGTCGCACAAGGGCCGCCCAAGCGGGGCGAGAGGGAGTTGACATACGTTCTTGCCCTCAGGGATAGCGTTGAGACCGATCTCGACCTTAGCCTGAGCGAGAACGTCGGCAGAGGCGGACATGTTGACCAGGAAGTCTGTTGATATGATCCCACATCAGCGATAATGATCGGAGCGGTAAGGCAACGCAACCTGTGAATCCATCCATCGAGTTGTTGGTTTCCTCAAGTCATTGCCTTCCATCCTCCAATACCAGCCCAGCCCGAACGCGAATTATTGAGAGTGTCGGAGTCACCTACCCTGAACGGTAGCCTTAGCACCGACGGCAGAGGCCAGACCGAGGGAACCAGCCATGAAGTAGGAGAAGATCTGGTTGGAGCGGGGGCCCTTCTTGGAGGAGTATTTGCTGAAGTCGGGGATCTTCACGGTCTGGTCATAGTCCTGGGAGGGGGTGAAGGGGCTGGCGAAGCTGCTGGCTCTGGTCGAGACTCCCCGCTGCTGGCAGGAGGCGATGGCGGCGCGAGAAGTGGTGAGTTGTTGCCGAGCGCAGGCGCGCAGGACGGAGCTGGAAGCGGAGGCGAGAGACATGGCGAAAGGAGCAATTGCACTTCAATTGCGAAGGGGTGAGAGGTGACCGCTAGAAGAATGGTGGGTGGGGGGTGGAGAGGGGAGGAGGAGAAAGCCGGGGGAAGTAGGATCGGAGGAGGATTTGATTTTCCTTGAGGTTGGAGGTTGAAGTCGGAGGCCCGGCACTCATACGGAAAGTCGAACCAGAGCTTTCGCTACGGCAAGCGATCGGAATCACGCCGCCTTTCATTGGCTCGCAGCACCCGTCTTAGTCAGAATCTCACCTGACGTATTGTCATTGATCCATTGATTGATTGATTATCTTTCTAGGCGATCGTTTGCATGGATTCTATGCCACTCGCAGTGAGATTGAATGCAAGCACCCTATATCTCTGTCATCTGAAAATAAGTATATACACACTGCCTCATCCCAATGGTACTGCTGGACTATGCTATGTAAGGTACCAGTAGTATGTTGCTGTCCTCCCGTCCGTCCCGTTTCCGTCCCGCCCAATGCTATTATCCAGATTCCCAATGCGTTTAACCAGAGGCCAAATAAGAGACTCGATTGCCTTGGACCGACGACGACACGACAAAAAAAAAAGAAAATAACCAAAAGAAGAGAGAAAACAAACATTGAACTGAAGAAACCGGATGAACCCCTGAAAAACTCCCCAATGCCATGCAATGTCCCATCAAATTGTGGTCGTTGGTCGCAGTCACTGGTCGGCCATCTCCACATCCTCATCGTCTGCCGGTGTTTCTACCGTTCGATCGACCATCATCGTCACCGTCGGCGGCCGCGATCCCCTTGAAGGCTTGTCGTCTGAAGTTTGTTGGGTCTCCGGGTTGTCCACCTCTGGCTTCCCTTCTGCCGCTGGAGGTAGGCTTCCGTTCAAGGTGCGCTGTCCCTTCTCGTATCCGGCTTCCTTAGCCACCTCCTTAGCCCGCTTCTCCTTGAATTGTTTGTACGTTGTTGTCTTGGGAATCACGTCGGAGAGGAATTCGAGGTTATCAATGCGCGACACTGCCGTGGCTATAGAGGAAAATGTAAGTCTTTGTGATACATCAGCCTCGACCTTTTCTGCTACTGACCAAGGTCCTTGTATTGGATGGTTTTGCGCGGTTTCCTTTCCGATTTGACGACGTTGTGGCCTTGTTCGGTGAGGTATTGGATGAACATTTCCTGCAGGATGGCGAGCAATATGTGAGCCAAAAGGTACATCCACGAGGGCACGAACGACTAGACAGAGCACGAACCGTAGCCATAGCGATGACAAACGTAGCGTTACTCGAGCACTGAACAATATCTTCGTCGAGTTGAATGATCTTCTTGATTCGCGATACTGCCAGATACTGTCAATCAGAGTTAACTGGGCGGCTATCTTGTTCACATACTAGGAAGAGCACTCTGGCCGGTGATCTCTGGGGAGGCCGACGACTCGGCCGCGGACTTGTCTTTGGGAGGCATCGTGTAGGCGCGTCGAATTATCACCTGGAGTAGCAGCAAATCGTAGCCTGAGACCAAATGCTTTGTCTTAATAGAGGTATATAAGTCGTTTCAAAAATTTTGCAAATAGAAGCAATGGTTAGGAAGTTGGTCTAGGCAGACGGAGTGGGTTGACGATAGTAACGCGCGCGGGCCCTTGAAACCCACTCGCGCGTGGCGGAAGTGGAAAATTGGTCCAATCTCCAAGAACAATGCTCAATAGAGGATGCTTATCATCCGTCCAGGTAATTGGTGAAGTTTGTTAAGCTACAATCATTCAGCTTTTCTTACCAGTTGTACTCTTGTTGCGCCAATCTCCAAGTGTCCCTTTCGTATTTCTACTTACTACTAATTTTACTAGTTTATCGTCGCTCACGTGGGCGGCCGCGCATCTACTCTTCCAGCTTCTCCCCCTCGGAACCCTCCGCTATCGACTCCGATCTACAGCCAAGGCCAGACCATGCTCTTGTCGCCGACGCAGCCGATGGAATGAGCTCCATACCTGCCTCATCCACCTCTGCCCACCCGCCCTCAGTCCTGGCTGAGAGGCGGAACTGGAGGAGGTTATCAGGCTTATCTGTTCTATCACCTGTTGACGAACGCCCGTCCCCGGCCAACGGTCATGCCCCCGCCATCACCGAGGAAATCAGTGAGATCAAACGATACGAGGACTTCACCACCATCGATTGGGTTCAGGATGCGATTCACGAACAATCGCGACGTCGAGCGAACCGACGAGACGGCTTTGGGTTTTGGGATCGAGAAGGCACTTTTGGTTGGAGACGCAAGGTGCGCGAGTCTTACAATGCTGGACAAGCTTGGGTCGTGATCACAATTGTCGGCGCGGTGATCGGCCTGATCTCCGCCTTGCTGAACATCATCACGGAGTGGTTGTCCGATATAAAACTAGGCCATTGTACAACGGCATTCTACCTCAATGAGCAGTTCTGTTGTTGGGGCGCTGAGGGAGGTAAGCTAATGCGTCGGCCTTGTCGCATCGGTCATTGTGGGCTCACTCTTACTCAGGTTGTCCCGAGTGGAAGCCCTGGACGTCCTTCTCACTCGTGAACTACATCATATATATCTTCTATGCGGTATGTCTATCTCGCTCCTTTCACATTGGGAATGTCACTGAAGCTCGACTTTAGGTACTGTTCGCCTTTGTCGCCGCAAGCCTCGTCAAGTCGTTCGCACCGTACGCCGCAGGGTCTGGAATCTCTGAGATCAAATGCATTATTGCAGGATTTGTTATGAAGGGGTTTCTGGGGGCATGGACACTGTTGATCAAGTCAATCGCACTTCCGCTGGCTATTGCATCCGGGCTTTCCGTTGGCAAGGAAGGGCCTAGCGTTCACTTCGCCGTTTGTGCCGGCAATGTGATCTCACGCTTCTTCGAAAAGTACAAACGGAACGCCTCGAAGACGAGGGAGGTCTTGACAGCCACGGCCGCGGCGGGTGTGGCAGTTGCGTTCGGTAGTCCTATTGGCGGTGTGCTTTTCTCTCTCGAGGTAGGAGATGGCTGTCCGCGCTTGTCTGTCATCTACTTATCGTGGTACAGGAGGTAGCGAACTATTTCCCGCTCAAAACCTTATGGCGCAGTTACTTTTGTGCGCTGGTTGCGACCGGAGTGCTGGCGGTATGTATTTCATCTCACTTCAAGCGAGTAGTCACTGATTCGACTGGCAGATGATGAATCCGTTCCGAACTGGACAGCTGGTCATGTTCCAGGTACAATACGACCGAACGTGGCATTTCTTTGAATTGATTTTCTTCGTCCTAATTGGCGTTTTCGGTGGGCTGTACGGGGCACTTGTTATCAAGTGGAACCTCCGGGTCCAAGGCTTCAGGAAGAAGTATCTGTCGCAGCATGCCGTCATGGAATCGGTCATTCTGGCAGGCTTGACGGCTGTGCTCTGCTATCCTAACATGTTCTTGCGGATCAACATGACGGAAATGATGGAGATTTTGTTTCGCGAATGTGAGGGTGGTCATGACTACAACGGTCTTTGCGAGTGAGTCCGATCTTCTTCCATGCTCATACATGTTGCTGACGCGAACTTAGGGCCAAGAATCGGTGGACAATGGTTGGGTCTCTGGCCTTTGCTACAATTCTCCGCATATTTTTGGTGATTATCTCGTATGGCTGCAAGGTCCCTGCCGGTATCTTCGTGCCCTCAATGGCCGTTGGAGCGTCGTTTGGCCGCTTTGTCGGAATCTTGGTGCAGGCCCTGCATGAGGCGTACCCTAAATCTCAGTTCTTTGCGTCTTGCGAGCCTGATATTCCATGTATAACACCGGGCACTTATGCGTTCCTGGGAGCTGGAGCCGCCCTGAGTGGTATAATGCATTTGACTATTTCAGTGACCGTCATCATGTTTGAACTGACGGGGGCGCTGAATTACATCCTTCCAACCATGGTGAGTTTCTTCAGTGTGTTCAGAGGAATCTGGCTGGTAACTAACGTGATAAGATTGTGGTTGGAGTCACCAAGGCCGTTGGGGATTGCTTCGGCAATGGTGGCATCGCGGACCGCATGATCTGGGCCAACGGCTTCCCCTTCCTTGACACCAAGGAGGACCATGTCTTCAATGTACCTGTGTCCCAAGCTATGACAGCAGATCCAGTCTGCCTTCCCGTAGCCGAGTTCCCTGTGCGCGAAGCAGAGCATTTGCTAAACGACAACAAATTCCAAGGTTTTCCAATCGTGGAGAACCGTACAAATAAGACGCTAGTCGGTTACATTGGTCGCACAGAACTGCGATACGGAATTGACCGCGCCAAAGCTGAGGGGTTGCTATCTCCCAGTGCGACATGTGCATTTACCAAGGAAGCGGCCGAAGCCGCCATCGCACGTCGAGCGACTGCCGCTGCCTCTAATTCGGCATCGCAACATCTGGCCCCCGAAACGTTTGAGGACATCCAAACCAGCGCCGGGACCAGTGTTGTGGACTTGAGCCGGTACGCCGACCACACGCCGCTGACTGTCCACCCCCGGCTGCCTCTCGAGACCGTGATGGAGATCTTCAAGAAGATGGGCCCCCGTGTTATCGTGGTCGAACACCGCGGCCGCCTTACGGGTCTAGTTACCGTCAAGGACTGTCTCAAGTATCAGTTCAAGGTGGAGGCCGAAGAACAGGCTCTAGCAGCGACCAGTCCCCCGCAGCTCTCTCTGGGAGGAGGACCGGGAAATCAGCGGCCAAGCGAGACGCTGGAGGAGCGACTGTGGAATTGGATGCAGCAGGTCGCGTCGTTGTTTTCCTGGCAGCGAGCCTCACGGATACGACTGGGGTCTCGCCGAGTGGATCCGCGACCGTCAACTCTGCCCGGCAGCGGCCAGGAGGGGGCGTCATCTTCTTCGTATCCGCATGATCCGATGGAATTAGAAGATAGATGAGTAGGTAGTAATCTATAGAGTAAAAATTATGATTGGTGAATGTTGGCTTTCTAGCGAAGCGGGCATAAACTTGACCCAGCTTCTTTCGTAACTCATAGTACATACTAAGATCTGCGGCCATCGTCCGAAGAGAGGTTGGCTGTCTGAGTAGTTATATACAGTATCCAAACCTACTAATTTTCCTTGACGAATGAAGACCACACCACTGAGCTTCCCAGAATACACACACCCACACACAGATCCATAGATAGATTCACTCTGGCATTAAATCCCAAACTCCCTCAACTCCAACATACACAAACTCTCCATCCCCTACTGACACTTCTATTCTCCAGCCCAAAAGAGTATGTATACGCTACGACCTTCCATCCTCATCCCTCATTCCAACAATAATACACCCCGTCCCCATCATCGCCGCCCCCAACCACCACAACCCGCCGACCCGCTCCCGAAACACCACCATCCCCAGCACAGCCGTGACGAGGAAATTGGCTGACGTATTCGTGATAGACACCTTGGTTGTGGAGGGAGAGGCCGTCAACGCGCGCGTGAAGAGCGCCCACATGATGATGTTGCAGAGGATGTTGAGGGCGAGGCAGATCTGTTTCCCGGACCGGAATTGTTAGTGGGGGGGATCGATTGGTTGAGTTGGGTCGGTTTGGGATTTTGGAGGCTGGGGCTGTAGGGGTGTATGTAGGGCATAGCAGAGGAGATGGGCAAGACGTGGGTACTAGGTGTATATCGGATGAGTGAGGATGGGCAGGGGTTTTGAGAAAGCTTCATGCATGCGTGTATATGTGGAACGTACACCCCTAATAGCCAGCATTAGGATCGGATGGTCATCGGTGGTGGTGGTTCCCGCGCCGAAGAGGGAGAGGAGGGAGGCGGCGAAGGCGGTGGTTTGGGTGTCTGTGGTTCTATTCAGGAGTTAGACATTCTCTCGCTCGGCTTCGTGGGTGGACATGAGAGTTGAGGAGTAGGATAGGACTGAGCGTACAGTTTGGCGAAGAGGCCGTTGAATGCGGCGAAGGCGCCGCTGGAGAGGGCGAGGAGGATCCAGCGGGGGGTTTTCTGAGGTGGAAGTTGTTGGTGGGCGGATGTGTCGGGCATTATGGAGAATCTCCGTGAGGTGATTGATCTGAAGATGGAATCAATAAGTATTATATGGTTATAGAGTCATTGGATCGGGATAGCGATATGGGTTTGTTGTTGGTGTGGAGAGAGCAAGGCTGTCCGCGGACAAGGGGTGTCGTTAAATCGTTATCGGAAGAGGTTTATCTTATCTGATCGATGATGTTTTCCGCTTTGGGTGCCCCTGGCTACAGCTTACTCGTACTTTACTTAACCATCATAAAGATAGAAGTCAATTCTAGGTAGACTGAGTACACCATGAAGCAGCCAAGATCTCCTCCTACAGAACAGGATGCTTACCGTCTGACATCTAATGCACGTCTCTTTCTCATCTAGTACACCTCCTTCCCCTACGGTGACAACCGCTCAATGCGCCACCGATACCCCTCTTGATCCCCTCCACCAACCCTCACATACCTGAACCGATCATGCAAGCGACTTTTCCTGCCCTGCCAGAACTCCACCGACTCCGGCACCAGGCGCACTCCCCCCCAGAAAGGCGGCAGCGGGATCTCCTTGACGCCCTCGAACCGCCTCTCCACCTCCCGCACCCGCTCCTCCAACAATTTCCGCCCGTCATCAATATCCCGCTCCTCGACATTGCGCGGCACCTGATGCAGCGTGGGGTCCAGACTGTTCCGGCGCCGCTCGAGCAGTAACTCCGGCTCCGCCTGCCACAGCACCTTACTCTGCCAGCTGGCCCACGCCCCGATCTGACTGCCGCGCTCTCTCGTGCGCCAATACAGCTCACTCTCCTCGCGCGAGAGCGGCTCCACCAACCCCTCGATACGCACCTGCCGCTCCAGTCCCGCCCAAAGGAAGGTCAACGCCGCCCAGCGGTTCCCGCCACCACCCGCAAAATCCGCCTGGAGATTCTCATCCGCCGCGGCCGGCTCGGGGATCGCGCGCGGCCCTTCACCGTCGACATCACTAGCGCCGCCCCGACCAAAAACATCCCCGCCCTTCCCCTCCCGACTGCCCCAGTTACTATACACCGTCCACCCCCGCTCATCCAGCTCCTTCAGGTACACGACGCGCGCGCTCACCCGCCCGGACGGCAACGACGCCGTGGCCAGGGTGCACGTCTCCGGTGCGGAGGAAGGCAGCAGCCGAGGGTCGCGGAACCAGGAGTGGAACTGGTGCAAGGGGTTGGTCGGGTGGAGTTGGGAGACGGTGAGGGGCGGGTTAGAGACGAATTGGTGGGCGCGCGCCGCGTGCGCCACGAGGTCCTTCTCCGTGGCGGAGGTCGGCGTCGAGGTATTGGTTCGGAGGGCGGCGGCTATCTCGACTTCGGGTTCGTCTTGCAAAGCAGCAGGAGGAATGGACGGTGGTTGCCCATGGCTTCCGTCGGTGTTGGGGGTCTCGATGTCGCCGGGGGCGACTGGTCTTGTACGTTAGTGATGGGGAAATTCCTTTTGACCTTGAATTTGGGGCTTGGTGTTTGGTAGGGGCTTCTTGTGGATTTTGATGCGAGAGGAAATGCATGGGAAGGCGTACAGATGAGCTTCTTGGGGTGTTTGGGGTCGCTGCTGGGAGATTTGACCCCGTCTGGTGAGTCAGGGTCCATGGCGGATCGTGTGATCGACAATGATGAGAATCGAGCACGGCAGGAGTGGTGGAACTGGGTTTGATGGGCAAATACAGAATAGCAACGATGTGAAAAAGCCAGTCGTGAAGAGAAACGAGAGAAAGTCATAGACTTCGTGCAGACTTGCTTGAGATGGAGGAAAAGAAGACGGAGGATCGATGCGGAGGGCGGCGGGGCAGAGGTTCAGTTTATCGGAGAACAGCGGCGGATCACGTCACTCTCTCTCACTTGCTGACTGGCCGCCTTGCCGACTACAGTGGGACTGGAAGAACATTTTTGGATCGATTGATATGTCCATTGTATAGACACTAAAAGAGGTGGGAGTGTTCTATCGGAAGAAATCAAAACAAAATGGTATATACATCGCCCAATCCCAGTCCTAGAAACGCCAATGCCATGCGCTAGATGCAAATCCATAGTCCATCTCCATATCGTCAGAGTTGCCCCCTTATTTTTCGAATGTTCAAGCCGAGACTATCAGACTGGATTCAGCCCAGAAACAGGGATCCAGCCCTGGAGAAAATATTAACTGACCATCAACGCGATGATCGAAAACGAGAAGGCAACTTTTCATGTCGCAGGCTCTACAGAGCAGCGACGGCCGGGACAGCTGGGGCACCGCCAGTCCCAACCAGATCGGCAATCTTGCCGGCCACAGCAGGGGGATAGCCCCGAGAGAGCATCTCCTGTACAATGCGGGCAGCGCCCTCGCGGTCATCCGACGCCAAGAATGCGCGCGTCATGGCCTCATATGTACTGGGCTCGCGCTTCTCAATGCCAATGCTATCGTAGATAGTCTTGGCTTTGGAAACGTTGCCCTCCGCAGCCCATCCGTGAATAAGAGTGTTGGCAATATAAGCGGTCATCTCGACGCGGCGCGCAGCCATCTCCTTCACAATCTCCTCCGACCGAGCAACCTGATGGTTGGCCACCATGGCCTCAAGAAGGGCTTGGTACAAGCAAGGCTGGACCCGCACCTTGCGGTCCGACACAACGGAGCGGAAGACTTCCATAGCAGCGTCCATATCATGCATCACACAGCCCTTGGCGTGAATCAGGGAAGCATAGTGCACAGCCTCGGGTTGCTGACCAGCAGCCTTGATGGTCTCAAGCACCTTCTCGGCCGCAGGCATATCAATCGGCTCCAAGGAGGCGTGGGCGTCGATGAGCAGCTTGTAAGTGTGCATAGTAGGCTGGATCTTTCGAGTGAGCATACGCTCAAAGTATGCCAAGACCTTGCTGCGGTCGCGCTTGGTGTTAAGGAAGTACTGAATCATCGAGTTGTACGGGGCGGGGCGAGGCTTGTAGTTAGGCATCGACTCCATCTCTTCAAACATCTCTTCGGCAAACCGTTCGTCGCTGACACGACAAAGGGCATTGACGATCGTTCCATAGGTGACACTGGTCGGGCGAACTCCATTGGCGCGCATCTCGGCGAAGTACAGCAGACAATCATCAATGCGACGAGCCTTGCCGAGCTTACCGATGAGGGCGTTGTAAAGAAAAGACGTGGGCTCAACACCTTCGGCGACAGCGCGGTGGAAGATCTTCAAAGCCTCGGTCGCTTCGTCGAAAGTCTTGGTCGATTCCTTCAGAGTCGTAATGTAAAGACCAAAGGTGTTAGCGGAAGGGGCACAGCCAAGATCCAGCAGCTCCTGGTGGAACTTGGAAGCCTGGCTGCGGTCTCCCAGGCTCAGGCACGAGGCCACCATCGCGTCTAGGATCGAAACCCAACCGTACTTGACAGCGTTGTACTGAGGAAGCAAGGGCACATCACGACGAGCCATGCTCAAAATCTCGTGGACTAGATCAACACGGTTGATCTTGGTCGCTGAGTTGATCAGCTTGGCGTACGTGATGTAGCGAGGGTGACGGCCGCTGCGGCGCATGGAACGAAGGCGCGAGAGAGCCTCGTTCAGGTGAGACTCTAGCGAGCCGTGGTTGTTCTCAAGTCCATCAGCAATCATCGAGGATCCGCGGAAATCGGTGGCGTATGCATAGGGGTCGAATGAGTCTTCGCTGGAGACTGGAGTCATGGAGGACAGATCCGAACTGGGAGAGTGACGACCACTGACGAAAGACGAAGGGCTAGAGGTCATGGAAAGATGGTCGTGCCATCTCTTGACCATGTCCGGGCGGCTGTTGAACAGTTTGCCCACGGCTTGGTCGACCATCTGGGTGGTAGTACTTTCCATCGGCAGGCCAGTAGCCAAGGCGAGGTCCAGCATGTGAGCGAAGCGAATTGGATGAGCCACGTCGAACATAGCGCTGTTGTTCAGAAGCATACCAGCCTGCACCTGAAGAGCCAACATGAGGTCACGGGCACTCAACTGAGAGATGCCGACCGGGCCCAAGCTGGCAACAACATGCTCGGCGACAGGGGAAATGAGGCCGCCATTCTCGACCATCGACCACATGAGAGACATGGCAGCTTGACAGGAGAGAATAGCCGCAGTTTGAACAAGAACGCGACCGACAAGGTGAAGGCTTTCGTTGATCTGTTCGCGAATATGGTTGAGGGTTAAGTCGGTCGAAGTACTGCGAATCCGAGCAAACATATTACGAGCTTCAACCAAGGCCTCTTTGATCTGACCACTCTTCACGAGAGCGACTGCATACATGGCGGTCGGCTGGACCATGTCCGGGGTTGCCTGACCGGCAGTGTTGAGAGCGTGCCACAGGGTCCGGGCGGCCGACACATTCCCCTGACGTACATGAAGGGCCAGCATGGAGACCGCGGACCTCTGACGGACGCTCATGTCGGTGGGGAGAGCATCGTATGCTTCGGATGCTGTCTGAAGATTACCCGCATCCGCCGCGGCAATGCAGATCTGAGACATGGCATGATCCAGTGCGCTATCGTGCAATCGGGTCTTGGCTTGCTCCAATGCGCGACCGTGCTCCCCCGACTTGAGAGCATGACGCACCAATCCATCCTCAACAATTACCGATTCCACAGCATGCTGGCGGGCCTCACGGTTTTCTGTCACTTCGTTGAACGAAGCTTGGATCCGCTCCAGAAACCGAAGGGCTTGCTCTTCCTTTCCGCAGGAGAGGTACGCACGGACCAACGCTGCATAGACCTGCCCATCCAGACGCTGAACAATGCTAAATGTACCGTTGTCGTCCGAAACAGCGAGAGCCTTGTACTCGTTGTAGCATTCCACAGCGCTCTGCAAGTCCCCGGTCGAACCGAAAGCATCGATCATGGACGGGAATATCGACGCGTGTGGGGTCACCTTGTGGGTTTCCATGTGGGCGTACACGGTGACCATGTCTTCAACCAGGCACTCCTTGGCACATGCGGTGATCAAGTAACGGTAAGTGTCGAGCGCAAAGACGAACTCCGGGTGACGGGCGGTAGCAGTACGGAAGAGCTTCATAGCAATGGCGAGAGAATGGTCTTCGGCAAGAAGCGCCTGCTCCAACTCACTGGAGTGTAGCATGAACTTGCCAGGCTCCTCCATACCACCGTAACGGGTACGGTCCTGCTCCAAGAGGTCCTTGGCCTTGCTGGCATCATGGGCGCGAACGACGAAGAGCTGAACCAGAATCTGATACGTCTGCTCATCGGGGATTACTCTGCGACGAAGCATATCCGAGTAGATGTCCAACGCCTTCTGAATCGCCTGCGCGGTATCACCGTGGAGCTGAATCGCCGACTCCAACAGGGCATTGTAGGCCCCGACGGTCGGCGTCAGTCCATCCCGTAGGATAGCCGCGAAGGCACCCGGGATTTCCGCATATTTCCTGCCATTTGCCAAGTGGACGATGTGCTCGGAAGCAATGCGAGACGGCTCGACGGTCGCATCCTCTACAGCGGCCACATCGGCGGGCAGATCGGGGAACGCCTCGGTGGCGGAACTGTGCTTAGTCTCAGAAGCCTCCTCAGCCTGAGCTTGTTCTTCTTGTATTTGAATCTCGCGGGCAACGGCTTCCTCGACCTTGGCACTGACGTCCTCATTGGCGGAGGCTTTCGTGATGTGAGGCGAATCGTGGAATTGAGAATCAGAGGTTGGGAGGTTGGCTTCACTCTTCGTCTTTCCTTCTTCTTCGTTCAATGTGGGCTTCCATCCAATTCTCCTCCGCATCTGCATCTGCTTCCAGTCACTGTCATCTCCGGTTTGCTGAGCATGTTGCCATGCGGCGTAGTAGGCCGCTAATCCCAAGTCACCAGAGCCGGAGGTGCCCTGGCTGGCTTTGGCGCCTGCACCGGAGCTAGAGGGCTGGAAGACATTTTGTAGCTGAGTTGTGCGCGTGAATTTGGCGGCGGGCTGGTTGGAGAGGGTGTTTAAGGTAGTGGACGACGCGTATGAAGACTGCGAGGCCGCAACTACCGACTGAGCATAGCCATGGGTGAAGGCTTTGGTGAAACTCTGACGCGCGAGGTGGGTGAACGGCTTGAAGACCATTTATCTTGCGGGAGACCTCTTCAGAGGGAAGAGGCAATGCTAGAATTGAGGTCAGCAACGCTCTTAACAGCCTGTATTTTTCTCTATCTTCAGTTGTGAAGCATGCACCAAAGAAATATTTGCCTCTCACTCTCCGCCTCCGATCGGGTAATTCGTACCTTGCAATCAAAATAATAATAACTATGCAGGTTCATTTGACGACTGCTGGTCGCCAAAAGAACGCGCTGGGAAAGGAAGAAAGGGAGTGATTGCGAAAGGGAATTTTTGGTGAAATGGCTTGAAGCCTGTGTGTGAGTGAGCAAGACAGACAAGTACGAGGCCACAGTTGGGAGGGAATTGATCGGTATTTCAGAGCCCGGGGAGGGAAACTGATCGGTATCGCCGGGGTGGCTCAAAGGGGTTTAGTGCCGAGTTTGGCTCTAGGTACTTTTGTCACTGCCGTGCTGACCAATACATTTAGAGACGCTGATTGGCGTCTTCCAATAGATTCTTGACAGGTCTGAGAATGGGTTCCAAGGGAGCATTTCAGCGATAAACGGAGCCTGGAATTTTGCATCCATTGAAGGATTAGTCTAGTTTATTGAGTATATGCATGTACTGCGGGATTTACTCTGTGAAATCTGTGATAAGTTAATGCAGGCGTCAGTTTGCTGCACTGCAAAGGCTGATCAAATAAAACAGGATATGTAGCCGTTTCGAGCAACAAATAATCATTAGTAGCTGTGCACGAAAAAAAGAAAAAATTTTTTTATGCAGCCAGACAAAGATAGAAAGGAACACTCTCCACCAGACGAAGGTACGTCAGGATTCGAGAAAAGTCGTTGCCTGAGGCGAAAATAGGAAGCAATAGGAAGGATTCCGCGTGTCAGGTGGCCTCTTGACTTTCTCAGTTCTCGCTGCGGCCCCGGATTGCAGCTCTGGCCCAATCGGGTGGACCAAAGCGCACGGCTGGACCCCTGGCTGTGAATCCGTGACTCACTGTTCTTCCGACTCTTTTTCTTCGCAGGAGGGGGCCCGCAATGCACCCCCCGGAGTCTGCAGGCTGCCCTCCGAATGGTTGGTACGGGGCGCGGATGCCCGGCTGGCCGAAGCACCGAACTTCGCTGGAATCCCGCTTGGCCACGGATAGGGAAGGGTTTGGATCGTTATATCCGTCTCAAATCTCCGTCTGTCCGGTCCGTGGACTGTTTCCGCCGTCTCGGTGTTACCCTTGTCTATCCATCAGATCAGATCAGTCCTCATTGGATTGGCGGAGGAAGATCAGGCTCGACTTCGTACGGCCAGTGGAACTCTGCTTTAGATTTTAGATTAATCTTAGTTTGTGATGTCCTTGGAAGCACAAAGTGAATCAAATCAACGGACTGGAGACGACAGACGCAGTAAGATTTCACATGGTGAGGCTGCTGCCGTTGTTGCTGCGCCTTCCACGTATTCAACGGAGTATTTTCCGAATAAGATTCTGGTCTGTGGTCATCAGCCCGCTGATGATTCTTCTTAATTGCTCTGACGTTGCTCGTACTGGGCGCCATGTGCATGGGAGCATGCATGTTGAGGTACTCCGTACAGTACTTTGAAATTGACGGGATGGACCTGACGTAAATCGAGATGACAGACCGCTGCAAACTGACACCTTAAAGGCCAGGCATCAACGGTGGGTACCAGCCACAGAAACAGCCACATTTCGCATTCCGACGGCCATATCCCCGTCGACGCAGCAACAATGAAGGCATTCATGAACTATGTCAAAGATGACAAGCTCATTCTTGCAGGTCACTGATACAGATCGATATTGGCCATTCTGGCATCCATCCGAATTCCTCGACAGTATCATACCCGGGAGACCTGGCAGGGCAGAGACCAGCATGGCTTCACTTTGAACGCCTCATCGATTTAATCCACTACCCGGCGGGGCTTATCACAAAGATCGTCTCTCTCTATGGATTTCCGGTGCAGAGGAAGCCGATTGTTGTGCTTTTTCACTACTCGACCTGTGCTTATCGTTAGACATCTACGGCTTGCAAAAGGTATGTATGGAGTAAACAATGCAGGGCTACCCCGCTTTAGCTTCTGCCTTTTCCCCCCTCACATATCATAATCTACTAAAGGCAAGACTAGCTCCATTGTTGACACTGCTCCCTTTCATAGCCCTCCTGAATTTTGCCCCAACGGATTCATGATCTATTTCTCCACGATCTAGCACAGCAACATCACACCGATTTACCTCATGTCCTACATCCCTCCGACCGTCACGGCGGTCTCCGCTCCGGGCAAAGTCCTTTTGACGGGCGGCTACCTCGTCCTCGACCGCAACTACACAGGCACCGTCTTTGCCCTCGATGCTCGCATCCATGTCATCGTTCAGCAGCTGAAGAAGCATCACCCCAAGAGCCCGTCCGCGGCAGCAGGGGAGGCGGAGAGAACGATAGACAACAAGGAAAGCGAAGACATGGTCGTGGTGCGGTCCCCGCAGTTCGTCGACGCTGTTTGGGAATACGGCATACAGCGGTGCGAGAATGGCGGTGGAATCAAAGTGATACAGAAGGGCGAGGGGTAAATGCTCCTATAGTATCCTCTTAGTTGGAGACTTGAACTAATCCTTGCTCCCAAAAATCAGACGGCCCAATCCCTTCGTCGAGACCTCCCTCAACTACGCCTTGACCTACATCAGCTATGTCGCCGGCTCGAAAGACTTCGGCTCGCTGTCCATCACCATCCTCGCCGACAACGACTATTACTCCGAGACGGCATTCTCCAAGATCTCTGGGATCCAGTCACCCGGCCGGTTCGTCAACTTCGGCGTCCCCCTCCACGAGGCACACAAGACGGGACTAGGATCCTCCGCCGCGCTGGTCACCGCATTGGTATCCGCCCTCGTCATCCACCGCACGCTTCAACCCGATGACCTGGGCCCCGCGCGCGACAAACTCCACAACCTGGCACAGGCTGCCCACTGCGCAGCCCAGGGCAAAGTCGGCTCGGGCTTCGATGTCGCGGCCGCCATCTACGGCTCCTGTCTCTACCGCCGCTTTTCGCCCTCGATCCTCGAGTCCGTTGGTGACGCGGCCACGCCCGGTTTCGAAGAGCGTCTCTTCGCTATCGTCGAGGATGTCGACCCCGCCCACCGCTGGGACACGGAGTGCCTGGACTTCGGCATGAAGCTGCCGCGCGGTATGCAGATGGTCCTCTGCGACGTCGAGTGCGGCTCCCAGACCCCCTCGATGGTCAAGAAGGTGCTGGAGTGGCGCAAGCAGAACCCGCAGGAGGCCGACCTGTTGTGGACCGCCCTGCAGTCCAACAACGAGCACCTCTGCCAGGAGCTCAAGGCCCTCTCCCAGAATTCCGCCGCAAACAAGGACGCCAGCAGCTACACCCTGGCCGATTTTGGTGAGGTGCGCAACCTCATCCAGCGCTCTCGCAACCACATCCGCAGCATGACCGCCAAGTCGGGTGTGCCGATCGAGCCCAAGGTGCAGACCGAGCTGCTCGACGCCATATCTGATCTTGACGGCGTCGTCGGGGGTGTCGTCCCCGGCGCTGGCGGGTATGATGCCATCGCCGTGCTGATCCAGGATTCGCCCGAGGTCATTCAGCGGCTGGAAGACTCCTTCGCTTCCTGGGAGAGCAAAGTCGAAGATGACTTTGGGGGCAAGATCGGTACAGTCAGGCTGCTTGGCGTGCGCCATGGGTCGGCGGGAGTGCAGAACGAGGGGTTGGATCAGTACGCTGGGTGGGTCTGAGGATGATGAAAAGCGCCATGACAGAGAGGCTTGGCCAACATGAGTACGCGATATTGAACTTACCAACAACCGAGCGAAGCGGCATCCACACCTAGATTTACAGTTTACATTTTATAGTTTATAGTATTAATAGTCTGATTCTAAGATTAACCACTAGATCGAGCACCACTCCTCCGACTTTGTAGGTTAATGTTTCGGCGGACTCATACCCTTTACCTTCAACGTACCCTTCAACTTGCGATCGATTCTAAAATTGTCTACCGCACGTGGCAGTCGCAGCGAGCCTCGCGGCAGAGCGCCACCATCCCTAGAACCTGAGTCCAGGCATTACCCAAAACAACACACGACCCCAGCCCGTACGCGACGCTCTACATTTATCTCCCAAACAAGATTGAAGGAATTGACCAAGCTTAGAACCCAAGATCCCCTAAATCCCCCAACCCAGGTACATAAAGCAGACTCGTGATATCAAGATCGAAATCCTACCCCAAAAGCAAATTAGCCCAGTCACCCACTTCGTACTTCCAACCACCACAGCCAATTTCCTCCAGTGACCCCTCCACCCTCACCACCACCAAAACAAGGGGGAAATCAACTTACAGCACCAAACTCCACCCCCACCAACCCCGACGGACTCCCCAAGCTCGACCCAGCCGTCGTCGTCCCCGTCATGACAGCCGAATTCACATCTACATCGGCTCCTCCGGAAGAGCTCTGCAAGGCGGCGTAGCACTCGCGCAGGCTCAGGACCAGCGATTCGCCGACGGCCTCCTCGACAGGGTCGCCGCGCTCCATGGCGCGGATCTGCGCCAGCATCGCCGAGAGGATGATACAACGTTTGAGGCTGGGGGTGCCGATGCGGATGATCTGGAAGATTTGGTCGCGGATGTGCTCGAGGGTTCGGATGAGGGGGCCGCGGGTGGCGCGGGCAAGCTCGTCTAGCGGGTTTGTGAATGCTGGGTGCGTGGAAGGGGATGCGGTCAAGGAGGAGGGAGGAGGAGGAGGAGGAGGAGGAAGAGGGGGGGATTCTTCGAGTTGGGTGATTATCTCGAGGCCGAGGATGGAGAAGAGTTCGAGGCTCAGAGGTCCGCGGAAGGAGCCGCGGCCGGCGATGAGGAGGCGGGCGAAGTCGTCGAGGTCGGTGGTGGCGGGAAGGGTGAGGGTGTTGGCGTAGGAGGCGATAACCATCGCGGATTCGAGGCAGACTTTGCGAGAGAAGTGGTAGTGGGGGTTGGTGGCTGCTTGACGCATGAAGGGGAGGTGGAGGAGGAGAATGTATCGGCGGAGGATCATGTCGAGGAATTTGCGGTGGAAGGAGGTCGGGTGAAGATCGCTGTTCGTATGTTGAGATTGGTGCTGATGTTGAGGGGTTGTGGAACACGGGGCGTGCGAGGAGAAGAACGTTGCGATGGTCTGGCAGGTGTTGCGTAGGTTGTTGCCCAGTTGGATGGCTTTGGCGTAGGTGAGCTTGGAGCGGTCATGGATGAGGTTGACGGCTTCGGCGCGAAGTGCGAAGGATTTGTGCAGGAAGAGTTGGATGGACGAATCAGTCAGTTCGGACATGGGTCGGGCGGTGGTTGCTTGTTTCATCTCGGGGTCAAGGTCTTTGTCGTTGAGATTGCAGAGAGGTTTGCTGTTAGTTGAAGCGGGGATGATGAGTGGTACAGCGGTGTCTAAGGAGCATTGGATGGTGAGCTCTAGGACGGTAGTCCATAGACGTGCGCGCATTTCGGCCATATAAGGTGACAAGCTCGGAAACGAGGCAGAGTCCAGATGCAAACCCATCGCCGTGGCCGCCTGCAGAAGTGACCCTGGTGATAGCCAGATAGAAGGTCCTAGGGTCCCCATCTGACGGGCAAGAAGCAGAAGACAAAAGGCCTGAATACCCTCTAGGCTAGATGTCAATCGTTCCGTGGGCCCGGTCAGCCACCACTGCGCCGCGTATATCCAGGACTGAATCAATTGTGTGTCGTGCTCAGTACCTGCTTTGCTCCGCCGTGGATGGAATGTAGTGCCTATAGCGAGTACCAAGATCAATTTGACAAGGAAAGGTGTAACCTTGGCGGAAGGTTCCTCCCAGAACTGCTGATACCCCTTCTGGAAATTTGGCAGATGGAGGATCCTGTACACAGGCTCGAAAGTGTCCATATAGCAACGCACCAGTTCATCGCAAACATCTTTGGCGGGGATCGAACTGCGCAGATCCGAGATAGGGTTGTTCGGCTTCAGAGCTTGTTCCTTTTTGATAGACTTGCGCAGATTCCGACAGTCCTTGATCAGCGTCGCGAGTTCAACCTTACGCTCTGGATATGCAGATTGCGGGTCTTTACTCGTGAGGGAGCCGAGCAATCGGAGCTACAAGTCGGTCAGTGGCGTTTCTGACCCATTCAGTCGCATTGCTCTCCATACCTTATCAAGAGTGTAGGTATGATGGGTCGGACCAAAAAGCTTCATCTTTCTGACTTTCGCATCCAGCCGCAGTGGATGCGAAGCCATGCCTGGCACTTGCTCATCTCTTCCATCCTCATCTCTGTCCGGCTCTCCTCCCGGGGTAGAGTGCACAGACTGCGACAGCCGTTCCTCCAAGCTTTGTACCTTCGAGCACAGCTCTCGCAAGGTGCGCTCAAGAGGCTGCTGATCCGGCCCTGTTGCTGACTCCGCCAGCTGCTCCTCCAGGCGTTGTAGACGGTCTTGGAGATGCCGGACTGACGAGCCATGTTGCGCAGAGGCAGATGATCCATTAGTACTAGTTGGCGCCTGTGCTATGCTCACGAGCTCAGGCTGATCTATAGAAGATCTAGTCACATTATTCGTCAAGCTTGGTGGCTGAGTCTCAGGGGCGAACTGATTACTTGGTGTGGTGAGCAATATTCTCTGTTGCGGTACATGCAGGGCCGTCTGCTCGGCCGCGACCGGACTCGGAGAATGGAGATTCTGCCGGTACGAACAGTCCACTGAGGATCGCGAACGCCTACATGGTCCACAGGGAACCTCGCGGTCGCATCGAACTTTGCGTTGGCGACATTGCTCGCATGATTTGGCCGGTCGACGGCGTTTGCGAGGTTCGGAATCGGCCGCTACGGCTTCAGGCGCTGGCCGATTCATTCGTTGGAGTTTGAGGATCTGGAGCCCCCGACATGCTCTAATAGACTGTACGTTGGATTATTCCTCAAGAGAAGCGCAAGTTTGAGCCCCGATAGATTCAAAGGTAGTAGAACAGTTAGACAGGCACAGAATAACGAGTAGTCTACTGAATACTCCGTAGATCAGTGGACTGCGGTTCCGCAGCCAGCACGTGTCCGCGTCACGGGCTGCCTGCCCCCCAAATCCACATCACAACCCACTTCTGTTCTTTCCCAAGACTGACTTTGCTTGTCAAATGCGAGGCCTGATTCAACATCACGTAAAGATATCGTTTTGAAAGACGGTATATGCATAAGACTTTGCTCATGACAGCAATTCGCGATGTCCATGACTTGTTTGCACCCCCTTGCCGAAGGTCGATGCGAGATCCATAGTCTGCACAAAACACTGTTCAGCAAATCCATTATCTCTACCGCTGTGACAGGACGAAGCAGACCAAGTAGTCCTTAGAGCACAATGCATGATTGAGCCCACTCTACTTGGTTGCAACGAAGACCTTTTCGCATTAACTTCCTCGATATGCTCTGGCCATTATCCAAGAGTCCCTAGGTGAATACCGGTATGGATTCAACTAATCTATATCCTGAGACAAATGGAGGACCTGTCACAAGAATAAAATGGGAGATTCTCCTTCAGCTTCCAAAATATGGTCTAACGAGTTGAAAGCCAGTCACTCTCATGCTGAACCACAACGAAACAACTCCTTACATGCAAACTGAGCTGGCAGATGCATCGCACTAGCCATCGACCACTCAGCAGCAAACCGTAGCCTAACCGTCCAAACCACAGAAGAACTTGGCAAGCAAACCTAGAGAACCAAGACCAAAGACACGTCTATCCAACAAGGCTTATTCAACGACTGACCAAGAACCAATATCCAAACAACCCAGAGATCGGCATTAGCCAAGCCATGAATGAGTAACATGTGATGATTTGCACTCTTCAGCAAATGCCAACATTCCACACACATACAAGCTTTTTCTCGTTCCATTCCAGAGCGCAAACTCAATCGCTCTGCCCAGACGCATCCGTCCGAAAGTTGACGGGGGTAACGTATCTTGGGCTGATTATTAATGCTGTGTACAGTACATCATCTGTATGATTTCACTCTCGATCGGCTGAGAGATATGCTCTGTCCAGAACTGGCCGTCCCCCTCATGCAATGATGTGTTAACTGGAAGCAGGGGGGGCGTTGCTCCGGCTTTGGTTTAAGGTGGACGAAATAGAAACAAAGTTTGCAGGTGAACCATTCGCTCGGGTGCCGCCACCAGTACTGTACAGAAGAATCTTGATCTAGAACTGGATCTTACGTGGACACAGGAATTTCAGTGATCTACGTTCTAACAAAAACATCAAACGTGTTCAACTTGGCGATGAATAAGAAATGTAATGGCTATTCTATCGAACCAACAATGTCAAATCGCATCTGGTATATACATGCCCACACCAGAACTATTTCTGGACAGGACCGGCGAGTTTATGACTGCTTGATATCCACATCAATCTCGTAGCAGTAAATCTTGCCCCAAAAAAAAAACTCCTTCGATTTCCCAGCTCCGATGTATCGAGAAGGATAAGCCCAGCAGACATCACACACAAACGCCACCATCCTGCACCAGGCAAGGACCACGTAGGCACAAGGTTGGCCAGCAACTGGCCTCAGCAGCAAAAAGAAAAGAATAAAATAAAGAGGTAAATAAATCATGTCGCGAGGCATATCATCGTAAGGGAAAATGTTATCGTAGCCTTCCCTCACAGTTGAGTCGGCTGAAACTGGGCAAATTCAGCGGAGCGAGGAGGGTCCTTTTCGGCAATGCGCTCCTCAGCCTTCTCCTCGTCACCAAGGATGCCATATTCCGCCGCCTTGGCTTCGATTTCATCATCAGTGAGCTTGGGCAAGTCCTTGGCTGCACGAACATAGCTCATGTTCTCGATATATCCCTTGGCGAAAATGAGATCAATCTCCTCCAGACTGCGGCCTGCAGTTTCGGGATAAAAGAACCAAATGACAGGGATGAAAATGGCGTTCCATGCGGCAAAGAAAAGGTACGTTCCCCACCCTATACGAGAAACCATGACGGGCGTAATCATGACCACAGTAAAGTTGAAAAGCCAATTGCTGCAGGTAGAGACAGCATTGGCCTTGGACCGAGTCCTGAGCGGAGAAATTTCAGCAGGATAGAGCCACGGAAGAGGTAGCCATGTAGCTCCAAAGAAGCACATGTAAAGGAAGAAGCCAAAGATAGCCCCCTTAGCACTCTCTTTGTCGCCAGGAATGAGGCATGCAAAAACAATGATCATCGCAGCACATTGTCCGTAACTGCCGCCAAGGAAAAGCTTACGGCGACCAATCTTTTCGATGAAGAACCACGAGAACGTGGCAAAAATCGCATAACAGATCATGTTGATGCCACCAATCAGGAGCGCGAAATTGTGACTCTGGCCAATTGAATCCTCCAATAGCACAGGCAAGTAGTAAATAACAGCGTTGCAGCCCGAGATCTGCTGAAAGAACTGAGATGATGAGCCAACCAACATGCGGCGGAAATGCTGAGAAGGACCACCCGTAAGTAGGTCGCTGAATTTGGCTTGGGAGTTTCCGGAACTGGGGAGACCATCAGTCAACAAAGCATTTGGATGTCCACCATCAAGACTACTTACGCTCGAACGGAGTCCAGGGTTAGGTTCTTCTCCAGTTGAACATGAGGGTGTCCGATTTCCTCGCCCGCGAGGGCAGCAAGAACCCGAGTACCTTCCTCGACCTTGCCATGGGCGATCAAGTAACGAGGAGATTCAGGAAGTTTCCACATGCCAATGATGATGATGAGACCGAAGAAGACTTGAAAGGCGATAGGAAAGCGCCAGACCAAGTCCTGAGGACCATAGTGGGCTCCATAGTCGATCCAGTAGGCGATCATGGTTCCGATGGCGATGATGCCTCCTTCGATGCAGATAAGAAGGCCACGGTTGCTGGTCTTGGAGCATTCGGCTTGATATGTTGGAATAGTCGACGTGTTCATACCATTGCCGATACCAGTAATCACACGGCCAAAGATGAACTGCAGTAGTGGGATAGAGTTGGGCATGGCAGTGACCTGGATGATTACACCAATAATCATCACCGTAGCACCCCACATGACCATCATACGACGTCCCAAGGTCTCACCAAAAATCAAAGCGAAGATCGCACCGAAGAGACAGCCTGTTTTCTGCGAGTTAGCTCTCTGTTTGCTGATCTGGCGTTCAGCTGATATCACTCACCGACTTCATAGACTGCAGTAACGGTTGCCTGCATGACCGAGTCGTTCTTGGTGGCAGTAAACATGTCGTTGAACGCAGGATCCGAGATGATACCTGACATGACACCCTCTGTAGTAAAGGTTGTGAGCTGAAGTTCGCCTTGTACAGAGCAATTGACGACCACTTACGATCATAACCGAAAAGCAAAAAGCCCATAGTTGCGATTGTCGAAATCGCGAGGCCGAGTCGCCGGCCCGAAAAGCCGGCATATGTAGGAGGCGCCATGATTGAGGACTTTACGGAGCCAGAATGATAGAGGCGTGTGCGAGGAACCCGGGGAAAATTGGGGGTAAAGAGGACAGAAAGTCGAGGAAGGAATGGGTAGGATATCGAAGGAAGGAGAGAAAAGGAATGATTAGAGATTATGAGAATTATGCCAGCAGATTGGGAGGACTGCTTGAACTTAAGAATCTGCGTACTGCATGCGGCAACGAGCGGTGGAGCGCTCGCTGCCCTCTCGCTTGACCCAAAGAAGGTTACCCATGGGGAAAAGATTGGAGCCTTGGAGAGCCTTAGAGGTAGCCCTCCGCTCCCCACATCCTATACTGTGACCCTTGGAGGCCCATGGGCATTCCTTTTCGAATTGCTTTTCCGATCTTTCAACCCCGGCTGACATCACCGGGCCTCGTTACGACTGACAAGCAGTGGGACACCACCGAGAGCAGTAACTAGAGCGGGCGCCGCTTACCGAAGAAGCGCGAGAGCCGTTCGGGAACGGGATTCGGGATGAAGTATGTGGTGGTGGTTTCGGACGGAGGGTGGGAAGGAGAGAGAAACAATGATGTTAGAATGATGCATTCCAGGTGGAAAGATCGTCAACGGACAGCAAATGATGTAACTTCATGGCGGCCGATGAACGGGTCGACCCACTGGGCGTTATCCGCAAATGTAAGGTACCCACTCTTTCGGTGGCGGCAAACCCTGCAAATCTGTAAATGTTGCCATGCTTCAAGGATTTCGCTGGATCTTTTTGAAGAATTTTTTCGGCTTCTTGTCCATTTCAGAGCCAATTTGAGCCGAGTTGGAGGGATCCTGTCACGATCCGAAGTGGAAGTATCCACTTTTCCTCCGTCGTGGGATCCACTTCTCACGCACCCTTGGAGCACCGCGCTCAGGTGCTGTGATGCAGGCCACGGCCACGAGTAAGCTTCAACACGACTGGAGATCTTTTGCAGCGGGCCAACCATGATTCACTCCGAGGCTTTCCCGACCGTACCATTGGCTGCCACCCAACCGCCTTAGCAATATGCCGGCAGCGAAGTATTCGCTTGCTGAGCGTAACAAGAGCGTAGTGCCAGTGGGACGTGGGCAACTTTCTGCACAATGCGCTCATTCTTCGGGTTCATATTGTCGGGCTTGGCCATCACGAACGCAAACTTGTGCCACCAGTCAGTCTATCTTGGACCTCCCAGAGCAAGCGAACACCGTCATCTTACCTCGAGCCAATGGCTGATCCGGACGTTCTTGTACCGGGTGTCAAAATGCATGCCCTGTGGCCTGGTGGGGTCGGAATGAAGATGACAAACGGGTAGCGGAAGTTGGAGGTCTAATTCGGTGTGTTCGGTGTCGCCATCGTGCAGCGATCGGCTTCGTGCCTCGGCATCCCCGACCGTCTTAGCGGTGATATAATCGTCTTTTTCGATGTATGCTGGGTGCTCGTCCGTGTCGGCTCGACTCAACACTTTGGTTGATACCGGTCCTGCCATCTTCTCGTAGATCAGATTTCGTTTGAAAGGGCCACTGCAACAACCTAGACCATCCCGCTGATAGTATTGCACGTTTTCTGAGACGAAGACTTGCAGCCCTCGAAATTTGGCGTGGCCTAGTTCTGTGTATGACACGGTGACAGGTAGAAGGTCCCCAAGAGGTGCGCCTCGCCTCGAAACTAGTATATCGGACTGTAACAGATGTTTCCAAGCTCGAGCGAGATAGATCGGTTCGGCATCATCCACAAAGTTATCTGCGGAACAATGAACGACAGTAATGGGTTTGCTCCGGGAAAAGGAGCGATTTAAAAAGCCTGGTCGTTCGATGGAGGCTCGGACCCGATACCGAACCCGGCTCTGCCGGACTTGAATAGATTCAGGCAGCTGTGAGCGCAGGACCATCTCAAAATTGTATATGTGGGTCCCAGGTGTCAGTCGATGATATTTGGACCCTGTGTTCTCCTCTTCACGCCTGTTTGTGCCCACTCTAGCCAAAATCGCATTCCATAATGCGGTCCCTTGGAGCGCTTGTGGGGACGACGATGTCTCTTGTAGTGAGTCGACGTAGCACGGAAGTGCCGGCTGTACCGATTTTGGTCCAAGCAGGGTCAATGTGTTGTCTGTCACTCGATGGTGTTCTCGAATCCCTGCAGAATCACTTTTGGTTAGACAGAGACGACCCCGGAGGAGATCTTCTTTTCTGGAGCGTATGGATAGTCTCACCATGTGGCCATACGATATAACTCGTTCCGCGCAGATTGACGGTCAGTCGTTTCACCGTCACGGCCTCTTTCACCTTCAACCGGCATTCACCACGGAGAACCGATGGCTTGTCTGACAAGGCCGGGGCGAACAAAGCTGGCTCAGTGATATCGATCTCCAGGCTCAAGCTACTAGAATCACCTTGAACAGGGGCCTCGTCGGTTGACTTGCGCGCAGTCGAGAATGGTGGGCGGAGCATTTCCTGAAAGAATGAGCTCTTTCGCAAGCGAGATGTGTGTGATGAATATATTGGTTAAGAAGGCGAGCCGTATGCTGGATGCCTGTGGTCCATATAGAAATTAGATGGGATCGCAGTGTGGCCACATGACCTAACACAAGATCATACTGAAGATCAGTCCATTACATCAGTAAGGAACAAGTATGAGCCGACACAGACGAATATCAGGTTCTAGATTGCATGACAGAACGAAACTACTTGCCGCTCGCTTGATACTGCAGCCGGTTCCTGCCTGCATCGCCTCCTAGGGGTCAAGTGTGATAAAAGTGCTCGCGAGCTGACACTATCCCAATCCCCAAACAGCGAGGGCGGATTCTGAGCCCTACAGATGAACCCATCGTTTCTGTCAAGTATGAGGGTGGATCTGCAGCTTTGATGATCCTTGTGGACAATGATCGTCTTTGACGGAGATCAAGGCAAGAATGATGTCACAACATATCGACCGGAAGGACCGGTCACTAATGGTTCATATATGACAGAGCTATAACCATGGATTGCCTGACATGTTTGCCAAACTCAGGCGGAGTGCTGAGAAGCAGACTCCATGGATCTAGAACAAATTTTTCGTGTTAGTGTAAGAAAAAACGAAATGTCCACGTGCGCAGGCATTCCGTGATAGTGGACGGGTCAAGAGACGATAAAACCATGATTTCTCCTTAAAGAGCGGAGATAACAGGCGTGGCGAAAACAATGAAGTAGGAAATAGTACTTCTGAACGGAGATCATCTAGCAAGACGCCTTGAGGTCCGAAGAATTAGCGCCCATACTAGACAGTAGTTAGTGTCCCTGGCTCCTCTCCATGACAGAGAACCATTGGCTTTTGCATTAGTTCAAGAATAAGTCAATTGTTACGGCAATACATTAAATTGTCTTGCCGGAAGCAAGTTCATGCCATTTGGCCTGTAATTTAGCGACATCATCCGGCGAGACGAAAGATGATAAGCAGGTCAATATAAGGAATGCATAGTATTGAGGAGATGGTGCCATCATTCCCGTGGCATGACTCTTAGGCGGTCGAGATCGGACTTGACTCCATTCTGCCGCTTCAGCTGTGATCTGAATTGTCATCTGGCTAAGTCATCTTCCACAGGGTCCAGGTAAGGCCTGGAAGCAGTCCAGTATTCATTCTGTACTCTAGACTGGAGGTTAAGCGAGACCCGAGGGTATCGCTATCTGATATATATAGTAACAACAAGGCTAAGCAATGCCTCCTAGCGGGTCTTCCGGTGTCGATTCCCCAGTCTGATTCTTGGTATGAAGATCTGCATCACGTTCATAGAATGTGGTGAACTTGAACTTGAACCCGCATGCAGGAACCGGAGACAATTTCTATTGAGTGCGTGATTGTTGATGAGGATAATTAAGTACGGTGACGGGGGCCCATCGCGAGCTTGAGATCGATACGAGCATGACAGGTGTCAGTGAACACTATTTGTGACGGAGTAGATGCAGGATCTGCGACATCAAGCTGAGTTGTCCTTGAAGTATGGATCTTGACAGCAGACAGAACCTGGAGAGAAGGAAGATAGAAACATAGGTTGGGGTTAATTCCATCCCATGAGTTGACTCCAGAGTGGCCCACTGAAACAATGCAGAGTTGTGAAGTCGATGAGAGTAAAACGAAACTACCCCGTAAGTAAAACTGGCAGCGGATCGCCCGCCGCCTGGAACATCCATCCATGCCGCCCCCCCTTTCTTCGAACGGTCACGGGCAGCTCATTCTCTCTTTGCCTTTCCCTCTTCTCTTTCTCTCTCTCCTCACCATCAATCATCGTCACCCCAATTCTTCGCTATCGATCTTTACTTTGACTATCCTGTATATTCTCTATCATATCACATTTTTAGTTCCAAACCCAAGGAGTTCGTTCTTATTAGAGTTTGGGTCTCCCTCCTTTTGCCCGCTCCGTTGTCGCCTCCCTTCGTCTACACCAACTGCCCGCCGCCGCCTCCTCCTCAAACCCACCCCCTCCCCTCGTCCCCTTTTCGCCTCCCTCGGGTCGCATGGCCCCCTTCATCTCCTCTATTCGATCAAGGTTCTAGTCACTTGTTCGCGCTATCCTTGGACTTCTCCTCTTCTTATCTAGTCTAGCCCCCCTTGGGCCCCTCTTCTTTCGTGCTGTTCGGATTGCGCCTTGTTGGATTCGTCGTCTTCTCTCCTGGAACTACCCAGGGTCTCCCGCTTCCTCCCCCCCCTCCTCCAATAACGACGTCGGTCGCTCGCCCCCGGATCTACCGGAGAAATAATTGTTACCATCATCGCTTCTTTATTTCCTCCGCGCGCAGTCCTTCGAGCCAGCACGTCCGTTGCTCTCATTAGCGTTTTATCTCGCATTTCAAGTCATACAATCGCCGTCATCATGTCGGACAGCGCAGGCAATAAGGGCGATCCGGTAGTCACTACGCCGGCTCCTATCACTGGTCTCTCCCAGCCACTTGCTGTCCCCGGTCTATCATCGGAATCCACAGAGGCTTTGAATACCACTTCTCGCCTGGACAGTACAAGCGATGAGACTCAGGAACCCAGTTTGACGGACGGCAAATCAGCAGATGTCGCCGAATCCCCCGCACAAGCACGTGCTTGCCAGCAGAATCCCAGCGACGCTCCATCAGCCAGCGCATCGGCTGGCCATCACGGCGAGCCGAAATCCCCAGTAGCCGCTGGCGAGGCTTCGCCTCAGGATCTGAAGGAAGAGGCAGACTCGGGACCACACCTGGTCATCACTTTGCTATTAATTACTGGCTCGCGACACCCCTTCAAGATCGATGCCACATATCTCAAGAAGCAAGCGGTTAATGTTGAGAATTATGATCCGTTCGCCATGAGCGTATACACGCTGAAGGAGCTGATATGGAGAGAGTGGCGACAGGGTATGACAACTGCTCCTGCATTCTAAACTCGGCGGCTGACATTTGAAATTTCCATAGACTGGGAGACACGGCCGTCTTCTCCAAGCTCCATCCGACTGATCTCCTTCGGAAAGCTCCTGGATGACAAATCCCCACTATCAGGTATGGCACTCACACACCTGGCCCACTTATTAGCTGCTCTCCATACTCACTGTCTCAGACTGCCGGTTCAACCGAGATGCTCCCAATGTGGTGCACATGACAGTCAAGCCCCAGGAGATCGTGGACGAGGATGATGCGAAGGGGGCCAAGGCCCAGTACAGTCGTGAACGGGAATCCAGCGAGCGTAGCCCTGGATGCCGCTGCATCATTCAATGAGCACAGACCTTGAAGTTGGTATCTGCAGAGATCATAGGCTATGAAGACCGCTACCCTACGGGAATAGACTTTCCCGGGTCCTTCAACATCACCCACCTCTGTCATCTGCGGTATCACGTCTCCTGTTTCTCGCCCGTGACCTCTGGCTTGGTGATGTCCTATACTAGGATGGGCTGGAGGGATAGCTCACTTTGCCCTGACACAAGGCGGCGTTCCGGGTTGACCGCCTGAACGTTCACTGAATACAGCGTTCGGCTGAGTTGATTTCTATCAGGTTCAGCAGCGATCATCGTTCGTGTCCTGCAGGTCATCTGTTCCGGTGTTGGCGGTTGTCCACCCGCTTTCATTACCCGCTTCTATCACCATGAGTCGCTTGACGCAACTCGTACTTATTATCTGCTTCATATATACCCTGATATCTCGTCCTCACCCTCCTTTCCCATTGGCAGGCCGTTTGTTAGCATTCATTCTTGGTTTATACAGCGTTTTACCTTCTGTTTACCTCCCTATCGTTTGCCTTTGAAGCAAGGTTAGACCACCCGTGGGTTCGGGATGGTGGTCATCGCGGACCAGAACTTTGTGGCGGGTTTTGGTTTGACGGTTTTCGATTTGTACCGCTAAGGTACGCGGCTCCTGTCCTTTGAAGCGTGTCCAGATGCTCGATATAGTGTCTTGCCGGGGACCGCCCGGACATCACATGATGTACAAACTACCACAACTGCACATAAATAATGAACCATCTTGTTTGACTCTTAACCTGAGCTGACCATCACCGCCAGTGTGGCACATGCATATATTGAGTTTGAAGTTCAACCTACAATTACGAACCATTACCAACAAGGACGACAACATCACTGTTATGGTTTTCCATCGAAACAAAATGCCATTTAGTAGACCTGTACGAACATAAACCTAACGATACCGTAGCATGGACCCCCAGCCAACCCTAATCCGGATTAAATCAACCATCTAATCCATGCGCAATCTCTTCTCCATCTCATCATGGAAAGCGGGAGGTTCACGGAATTCATCACCTGTTTTGGTAGATTGTTAGCAACCATACCTTTCCCCTCCGTGACCCTGCCCCCCTCAACTCCCCGCAACCCCTCCCACAACCCCTCCAACATCTCAAACAAAATAGAGGGATAAAACAAGAAAGACATACCCTTGAACACATCCTCCCACCCAATCTCCGTATCCCGACCACCCAGCACCAAGATATCCTCGTGCACGTTCTGCGTGCCGCCCATGACGGCCGGACGGAACGACCCATCCCGCACGATCTTCAGCTCCATGCCGCGGCGGATGGGCTCAGCAATGCCATACGCACGCCGCAGCGACTCCATCTTCAGGGCTTCCTGGGTCGACCGCCACGCGAGCAGGCGGGCCTCGAGCGGGTGGGCCGAGCTCGGGGTAGCGGTCTGCGACGACGGCGGGCCGCGAGCCGCCGGCAGCGTGATGTTGTTGCGAAGGGTGTCGGGGAGGCCGGGGGCTGAGGGGGCGCCTTTTGAGGGATGCGGGAGTGAGATCGTTTGGGGAATGCGGGTGGTGGTGTTGCTGGTTTGGGTTGGGTGGGCGGCCGGGGGGGCTATGCGGAGGGACTTCTCGGTTTTAGTTTGGGTTTCTTGGTTTCTGGGGAATGGAGTGGGATGGGATGGGATGGGGAGAGGAGATCTGGTGAGGGGTGCTGTTGGTGGTGGATGGGTCATATAGGATAGGGTAAAGTAGGGTGAGGTTGGATGGCGGATATGGATTGATATAGGGAAGATGGGCAGGGTTAGGACGTACCATTGTGGCGGTTATGTGTGTTGAGTTTCTTTCTTGATATCGGTGGTATGTAGAAAGATGCGGTGTGTTGTCAAGTGGTGCAACAACAGCGAAGATGGATGAGGATAGAAAGGCGAGTTGATGGTCAAGTCGGAGTTTAGTTACAGCAACGAAGGTAGGTAAAGGCACTGCAGTAGCTCTGACATCGATAACTGGTAGGCTCCCTCCGCCTGGCGCGTCCAGTCCGCCCAGACAGTCCAGCTCCTCCGGCCGGCTACACACACCGCCCTCACCCAACTCCAGGAGCCAAGTCACGTGGCCGTATCGAAAGGAAATTCCACCTCCAAGGCCCCGATACAGTCAGTCAGTTTGCCCTGGAAACACTCTCTACAACATCACACGCACCACCACCATCAAAATGCCCGCCTTCATCTCCTCCCTCGCCCTGCGCACCCTTCGGACGCTCGTTCAGCGTCCCACCGCAGCCATCTCCGCCGCCCCCCTCCGCACACTCAAGACGGCTGCTGCCCCTGCCACTCCTCGATTCACTCCCGTTCTCCGCACACCCACCGCTCTTGCAGCCCTCACAACACCCACGAAGGCTTCGTCGTCGCAGATCGCTATTGCGGCGCGCCGCCACTTCTCCTCCTCTCCCTTCCGCCAAGCGACCTACAATCAAGTCCGCCGCGGCTGCCGGACAGCCCAGAAGGCGCGGCGCGCGCGGTCGCCCGCCGTAGCCGGCCGCGCCCAGATGAAGGGCGTCTGTCTCAAGACCGGTATCACGAAACCCAAGAAGCCTAATTCCGGGGAGCGGAAGACGGCCAGAGTGCGGTTGAGCAGTGGGAAGGTGGTTACGGCTTATATTCCTGGTGAAGGTGGGTTTGGTTACCTTTCTTGTGGATTTTCGGGGAGCGGAATGTGTGTCTGGATTGAATGTGTTTGTACTCTAGGGTGTGCTTTATTCAAAGGACACAGGGCGTAATGTTGGAGTTCAGGGCAGAAGGTTGTGAAGATATGAGTGAGGCTAACTGCATCTTTACGATAGGTCACAATATCCAGCAGCACAGTGTTGTTATGGTTAGAGGTGGCAGAGCTCCCGATTGTCCTGGTGTGAAGTACCACTTGGTTCGGGGTGCTATGGATTTGGTACGTGACTCTTTCTATGGTTTGGAAGGGAAAGTGATGACTGATTGGTTATAGGGTGGTGTTCCCAGCCGCTTGACGAGCAGATCCAAGTACGGTACGAAGAAGCCCAAGACGGACTAAACAGCCGTGAAATCGGGAGTGCGCATGTTGTGAGATTCTGTCTGGGTGCGGCCCGATACTGTACCGTACTTACTGATTACTCGAGGGAGAACATCCTTTCTCATTCTGCTTTCCTTGTTCGCTTTTCAAAGGCATTCGGTTCATCGTTAGAAAAACAGCTATGTACATTTATGAGACAATTTCTGGGAAAGATAACACTTTCCATCTTATCAGATATCCACTTGAAATCATGATTTCCGCTGCAAAAGAACACGGTCAAAAATTGTGGAATAACCTCCGTCTCCATGAATCACATGTGACACCGGTAACATCGAGGCTCGAACACTCCAAGACACGGAGGAGCATGAAAAAAAGTTCGGGAATGCATAATAATGGAATACTCGGGTAGCTCGGAGGCTCCCTGAATATTCCGTAGAATGTAGTGGGAAGCACCATCCTAGAAGGCCTTCCGTCCTGCCGCAATAGATTCTCACCCAGCGTATGCGTGGTCCATCAGATGACCTGCTCTCTGAACCACCAGCGCCCGGGTTTCCCTAGTTTAACTACAACACCGCAGAGCAGGACTGCCAAGATCATAAATACTCCGATCGCACGGCTTCAGCTTTGATCCTCGTAGCCCTCGGGCTTGTCCATGTTGTTGATTTGGAAGTACCGCGATGTGCCTGAGAGTCATGGTCAGTAACCCCGATCCTACTAGACGGGATCTGCAGACTTACATGAATACCCCTTCCAGTCGAAGTTGTCGTTGGGGTTGCAGGAGCATTTCAGATCCAGTCTCTTCTTCTCCTCGGTTGGACAATGTGTAAATGGCACGTGATAGTAGCCGATCTCGTCAAAGAAATGAATCTGCTTCTTGTCCAGGAGCAGACCGGCGGCAATGGAATGAACTGGCGCGTCGCCCCACCGCTCGTAGAAGAAACCACCGGCATGATCCAGAGTCTCGAAGTAGTCAATGTAGGCCTTCGATCTCAGCCAATCCAGGCTTCCGACTTCAAAGTTCGACCACTATGGATTGCGTTAGTCATGCACTGATTAACAGCCAAAAAGAACAAGGAAACACATACAAAGTGACATTTGTTATAGGTCTTGCCGCCATCGTCGCTCAAAAAGCCCATAGAGTTGTCGTTGGAGATATGTTCAGGGTGTTCGCCAACAAACTGCTGTGTGGTGTCCCAGAGGGTGGGAATCGTGTCATAGTACTCGTACAAGCTGAGCGTAAAACTGTATTTCTTGTCGTTCTCCTTCATGAAACGGAATGGATCAAACGGGACGTCGCAAAACAGTTCGATGCTGGGCTCCACACGCCAGTAGTACTCAAAGTTCAACATTAGCGGGTGGCGGAAGAAGAAGCCCGATTCGTAACGGCACATGTGACGATAGCTTTCCGAGTCACCGTAAATAATCTTCTTTTCGCCCATCTCTTGTCGCACCTTCTTCGCTTTCTCCTGGTCAATCCAATCAGGGTATGACCAATGCTCCTTAGGGATCACGCCATAATGAGTCTCTCCGGAGACGAGTGCAGAGGTGATCTTGATGAACTCATCGTCAAATGGCTTGTCGTTCAAGAAGACCCAGTCGTAGTGATAGTTGCGGTTGAATCGGTCCTCCACAGTGCGGATCGACTTGACCATATCCCAGAGGTCGCTGTTCCGAGCCAGAGTCACGAATGTTGCATTCACGCGGTCGACCGCAGGGACGACCTTGTTGGATGAGTACGCCGCTGCGGCATCGCTCTGGGAGTACGACGAAGAGGACGAGGACGAGGAAGTCCCATAGTTCAATTTGGAGCCGAGCTGGTCCGGGATCGGTATCGCGCTTCTCGATATTAAGAAAAAAAGTGCCAAACCCTAAGCGCGCTGAATTAGCCATGAGCGAAGATCCTGAGAATACGAGGCAAACGGACTGTGACGGCGAACAGGAGATATCGCATTGGCCCTAAAGCCATGATCACCGAGAATTCTGTGCTGTCAGAGTATCAAGTTGCTGCTGTGACTGTACCGCGCAAAGCGGAGTAAATATGGAGGCCTGCTACAAGGGGCCGCTTGGCTGGGGAGGTTGAAGACTGATAAAAGGGAAAGCGAGCGACACTCTGGAAAGAAAGGTCGAGAGTAGCAAAGATCTTGGATCCCACGGAGAGATCTCAAGCAAGAAGTTAGCGCCACAATACCCAGAAAGTGTCGAGATGATCGGCGGCGAGACCGGAGATGAACAGGGTGCCGTGGTATAATTATTATGGGGCAACGGTCTCGATCTCACCAGTGTTTGTATTTGCCGAACCGCGCGGATTGATTGCGACAGAATGGGACATAAACAAGGGGGAGGGGGATTTAAGGAAGAGGAGACGATAAGAAGGTCAAGGAACGAGAGAAAGAATAAGGAGTCGAACGAGAGATTATGGTAGTTAATTTTAATTCAGGAGGAGGGGGGCAAGTGATTAGACTGTTTTTGCTACGGAGAGTCGAAGGCGAGGAACGAATCTGGTCAGCCCTGCAGCGGAGCATGGATTGAATGAATGGAAGAATTGAACTGCAATGAATGGGAATACCAGTGATTCTTCTGGCCTGCGGTGGAAGGCGACGTAACCGCATCGATGGTTATTGGCCGGGCCACGTACGTCTTTCGGCTGGTGGCCACCCACTCTCTCGTGCTGAGCCTTGTTTCTCTCGTTCTTTGTCTTTGTTTCTGCTAAATAAAGATACTTGTACGGAGTAGTTTAACTCGACTACTGCAATATTCATTCTAGTCTAGTCTTGTCTTGACCGAACCGAGGATCGTGCTCGAGTTCCTCAAGTCGACTGCAGCCGCACGACCTATGGAGTACTGTTAGATCCATGATATCTCTCAGTCTGTCCAAATGCGAATAGAAGCATGGAATGGACCATCACACGAGATGAACATTATGAAACCAGCACTAAGAGATTCCGGTCAATCCATGGCCATCCTACTCCGTACTCCGTAGTTAGTGATTCTAGTGTGGTCATAACTAACTTAACTTATATGTCAATCATCTCCGGTTGTTGGCCGCCAGGCGGTGGATGAAGGACTTCTGCAGAAACTCACCGCCCACTCGCGGTGCTGCCTGAGGCCTTAAAACAGCTAAGCCCAAATCCAGCTAGGCGGGTGATATCAGACCGGCTCTCAACCTCATCCCGCACCACAATTATGCCGTGGTAATTCCTGCTTCCCCTCTCCCCACGCCACCAACCCACCCTCCCCCTGTTTCCCATCCCACCTGCCTTAGCCGAAGATGTCCTTCTTCGGCTTTGATACCACCCTGCCTAGGGATCGGGCTGCCCCATCCTCTAGTCGGGGCATTTTTGACACTCCTGACCCATTCGCCGAGGTCGCTCGCGCCCGTGCTGAAGGCTTCCAGGGCGGCGACAACGATGACGATGCGTAAGGTGTCCCCTTTTCCGGAACCCACTGGCTTAGATCAGTTGGCTCCAAGAATCAATGCTTTGACTGACCGGCTTGTACACGCATGTAGCATTGACTTCGAGGATACCTACGATGGCCTTGGCGATCAACTCGATGACGACCAGGATGCCTTCAACGACGATACCTTCGGCGACGACCTCGGCGCTCCCCCAGTTGGAAAGGATTTTGATTTCTTTGGCAAGACTGCGCAGGTGGCCGACGTCATTGGAGAAGAGCAAATCCGCTATAGCCTTCAGAAACCCCGAACACTTGTTGCTGCTCCTGTCGCCGCAGATATTGCTGCTGATCCTGCTGTGAGTGCTGCGGCCGCGAAGCCGAAACGGACGGGTTATGAGAAATACTCGGATCCTGGGTACATCCCAGATCTCCAGGCCAAGTCAAGCGTCTGGGGTGTGCAGAAGAAGCAGGATCCAACGCCAGCGATGATGGCTCAGGCACAAGCACAGGCACAGGCGCAGGCGCAGGCTCAGGCTCAGGCTCAGGCTCAGGCTCAGGCTCAGGCGCAGGCGCAGGCGCGGGCAAAGAAAATGCTCAGCTTGGAGGAAGTAGAGGCGCAGCTGCGCCGATACCCTTCGTCATTGCCAGGTCAGATCCCCGTGTCTCTGCCTCAGTCGATGCCTGAGCCCTCTCATCCGCTTCAGGGAGCTCAGATGCCTCCCCTGCCCGAAGGTTACGCACAACTGCCACCAGAGATTCTGCACGCTCAGTTTCCTAAGGGGATTCCACTGCCGGCGCAGCTGATGCATCAGCCGCCGATGGTTCCGGAACCATATCCTCTTGCTCCTCATGCTCCCAATATGCCATTGCACCTTCTGCAAAGTGCCAACCTCCCCCCACAGCACATGGGGCCGCCCCAACGCCAGATGATTCCGCCTGCAAGTCCCCAAGCCCAGCAACAGCAAGCTCCCCCGCCGCCACAAAGCATGCGGGGCAACAACGCTCAGCTACCCGTGATCACCAATCCTCAACAGTTGATGCATCTGTCGGAAGAGCAACGAGTTGCATACTTGATGGAAGATGCCAAGCGCGCTAAGCGGAACCACAAGATCTTCCTTCTGTCCAAGGGTAACGGCTTAATGACCCCCCAAGACAAGAACTTCATTACCCGTATTCAGCTACAGCAATTAGTCGCTGCGGCAGGCAACGTGGTGGACACAGATTCAGAGGCTGTGCTGGCGGAGGATTTCTATTATCAGGTCTACAGTCAAATCCGAGGCGCTCCTCGGCAACATCCTCACCAACCCCTCGGTCACTTTGCGCAGACGTATCTCCTTCAGACAGGTAACCGTCTAGGTGGTCACGGCAACCGAAGACAGTTCCAGAATGCCGATAACCACATGCAGAGAATGCAACAGCAGGTTCAGCGGGCTGTTGAGGCTGCCAAGGCCAAGCCGAAGAACAAGCAGCTTATCATTGAAGGCAGCTTAGGCAAGATCTCTTTTGGCAATGCCAAGGCTCCGAAGCCCATGCTCAACATCAAACGGCCAGAGACCTCTGAAGGTGGCAAGACTCTCAAGAAGCCTCAGACCGACCTCAGTTTGAGCGACCGGAAGTCTATTTTGACCAACATTGAGAGTGTCTACAGCACCTTGATGGAAATGGAAGATATGGAACGAACAATGCCTCCTCCGCCAGATGAGAACGATCCTGAGGCCATTCAAAAGCATATGGAATGGCGGCAGAACGTCCGCTCGCTTAATCAGAAACTATGGCGCGAACTGAAGGTCATGGAACCTATTGTCCCCAACACTAACACTCCTCACCCCTTCATCGCTTTCCTCTCTTACCCCAAGGGCAAGAAGGCCATTCCTCGAATCTTCCGCCATATTGATCAGGAACAGCGTGTTACGATCCTTACCATGATTGTTGTTCACTTAGACACTCTGGACGTGGTCCGACGTGCACAGCTTGTGCCCGGCGAAACCCAGCCATCTCCGGCCGTTCGCGAAGCCATTGACCTGTTCTCGCAGACTGTCATGCCTAGTCTGCTCGGATACGTCAACGAGGCACCCTTCAACATTATTATTGGACTGTTGGGACTTGTGATTGCACAAACCCATGTTCAGCTGGTGGCTAAAACCAGGATCGGACTGGGAATCCTGACCATGCTGCTGAGTCGGGCGGAGATTGTGAAGGAAGCTGACCAGGCTTCAGAGCGAGACTGGCAGCAATGGGTTGAGAAGTTCAATGTGTTGTTTGACACGCTGGAGCCTACGTTCGCCGACATCTTCCCTAGTTCGATTAATGCTGGCGACGATATGTACGTCTGGCAGTTCCTGGCCGCCGTCGGCATCGGCGCGAGCCCTGACCAACAGCAGCGCCTGGTCATTGCCGTTAAGTAAGTCGAAATAACTCCAGAATGTAGCGCAACTGATACTGACTGCTTCCTCAGGGATCGCGTGATGGAGACCGTCACGTATAGCAAGACGCTTCCTGCAGACATGGCCAGTCAGCGTCTCGGAAACGTCAACCTCTTCATGCGGGCCATCGGTCTGGACGTTGAACTCTTGGGTTAGAAGGCGAACGAGGATTCCACATCGAACCTGGCGCATATCCTGGGCGTTTATTATTTTCGTTTTTCTTCAGCTCGGTGTGATCAGGCCGAGCAGACCTGTACCTCGCATTATGCGGGTCTCACTCTGTAAACCATTACAGTATGCCATGGGCAACATGTCATCATTCGGGCAGAGAGAGCTGAGCGGAAGTGAGCTACGCCTCAGCATACACACACCCTGTGTCTTGGAATTCAACAGGCAGAAAGAGCAAGAAAAAGGGAGGCCACTGATAGGCAGGGTCAGTCGGTACTCTCGGGAAATGACTTGGAGGGAGACAGGCCACCACAGGACTGTCTACCCATCTTTGGGCGACGGTGAATGTGGGGTGCATTCGCAATGATGTATTACCTACCTACTTTTACGTACTTTAGTTAGTTTTGTTATGTCCTACAGCGAGGATTTGGGGACATCTTCGAAATTCGTGTCGATAGCCTTTTCATTCATGTTCTAGTTGAGTTTTGATTATGCATAGGGGCCGACGGAGACCCCGATGAGTGTATGGAGTGCGTACAGGATGGCTGCTATCATTGCTACTAGTCCTAGGACAGACTAGGCCGATAAGCTGATCTCAGGGGGGCGATGTGTGGGCAGTGCGTGAGGGTGAGGGGTGGTGCCATTCCTGATAGGAATTAGAACAAGGACACTGGCAAGTTGCCATTCACAGTAGTCTCAGCCTACTGACTCTGGATTCTGTGGATTGAACCATTCACAATTCACCTCACGGGGACGGACAGACCCTCGGAACCTGCGAGGGAGAACCGATCCACTTGCTCGCCCGGTGGACCGCGACCCGCTCGTGCTAACTGGGGTCCGAAGCCTGGAGAGGTCGGTTACAGACGCATCATACTCATGGTTAGATGAGTTCTGACTTGATGGCGTTTCCATGGAATATGGAACTAGACATGAACTAGCCTCCTGCATGTCTTTCTCCTGTCATAAACGAGTCGGACCGAGACTATCTGCTGCTTGGCTTCGGTCGGCGGCGGCATCTGCAGCCCGGGGCTGCAGCTGCAACTGGCTATCAGTCCATCCGAGCCTCTTCGATGTTGTCTTGTGATGGTTCTGTGCCTTTCTACCCAGTGGGGAGATTAGGAAATGAATTGTCCCTGAGAGTGTCATGATCAATGTTTGGTAAATGAAGCGGTGGATGGATCGTCCCGTTCACCACTGGAATGGGAGGATTGTCTGAGAATGATCGGCCAATTGTGGAGGGACTTCCAGGTGTCAATAATGAGGATGAAGATGATGATGAAGATAGGAACAGGCGAAAAGGAGAGAACTGAAAATGAAGAGATAATGTGTACTCCGTACTTTCTTTACATTCTCGAGTCAGCGTGAATGAGACAAATCGAGACCAGCCCGCGTCAGCCCGAGGATTTATTTACCTGATACCCTGGCCATACCGTTCCAGAACCGGGCTGTGACGAGCGGTGAAAACGGAGAAATTGGTAGGATGACCATACCAAAACGGTACCTGGTGAGAGACTCTCCGGACAGCCCCTCCACAGTTCCGTCTTTCTTTCCCCCTCCCCCCCACTCCATCTCATCCCACCTCGTCGAAAGCAGGTCTGTCTCTCTCTCGCTCTCTCTCTCTCCGTCTCCCCTCCTTAAATAATCCCGTCCCCAGCCCGTCCCTGTTTCTGTTCCTGTTCCTGTTCCCTCTTTCTCCCAGACCAAATCTCTTCCTCCTCCCCCTCTTTCTCCTCCCACCTTCCCATCCATTCTTTCTCAATCTCAATCGCTTTCTGTCATCATGTCTGCTGGATCAGTCCTCGTCACCGGGTAAGTCCCCACCCGCGCGCGCATGGATTTGCAGCTGGAGCTGACCCCGCAATCCGCATCTGTGCAGTGGAACGGGCTACATTGGCTCTTTCACCACCCTTGCCTTGTTGCAGGCTGGCTACAAGGTTGTTGTCGCTGACAACCTGTACAATTCTTCCGCTGAGGCTCTGAACCGCATTGAGTTGATCTGCGGCAAGAAGCCCGAGTTTGCCCAGCTGGATGTCACCGATGAGGCCGCTTTCGACAAGGTCTTCCAGGCCCACCCCGACATTGACAGTGTCATTCACTTCGCTGCCCTCAAGGTGCGTTCGCTGTGCCAATTCAATTCCAGGCACCGGGATTAACATGGTCGTTTGCCCAGGCCGTCGGAGAGTCCGGTGAGAAGCCGCTGGACTACTGGCACGTCAACGTCTACGGCACCATCTGCCTTCTCCGCTCCATGGTCCGCAACAATGTCACCAACATCGTCTTCTCCAGCTCTGCCACCGTCTACGGTGATGCCACTCGCTTCCCCAACATGATCCCCATCCCCGAGGACTGCCCTCTGGGTCCCACCAACCCCTACGGCAACACCAAGTTCGCCGTTGAGACCGCCATCACCGACCTGATCAACGCTCAGCGCAACAACGCCATCAAGGCCGGCAAGGAGGCCGATGCTCAGAAGTGGAACGGTGCCCTGCTCCGTTACTTCAACCCCGCCGGTGCTCACCCCAGTGGTATCATGGGCGAGGACCCCCAGGGTGTCCCCTACAACCTGCTCCCTCTTCTGGCTCAAGTTGCCACTGGCAAGCGTGAGAAGCTGCTCGTGTTCGGCGATGGTATGTTCTCGCAACCCACCTGGAACACAAGGAGTTAAGTGGGCTAACACACAACGCTAGACTACGCCTCCCACGACGGAACCGCCATCCGTGACTACATCCACATTCTCGACCTGGCTGACGGCCACTTGAAGGCTCTCAACTACCTCCGCGCCAACAACCCCGGTGTCCGTGCCTGGAACTTGGGTACCGGCAAGGGCAGCACGGTCTACGAGATGATCCGTGCCTTCTCCGCCGCCGTGGGCCGCGACCTCCCCTACGAGGTCGCTCCCCGCCGTGCCGGCGACGTCCTCAACCTCACCTCCAACCCTAGCCGGGCCAACCAAGAGCTGGGCTGGAAGGCCGAGCACACCCTCGAGCAGGCCTGCGAGGACCTCTGGCTCTGGACCCGCAACAACCCCGAGGGATACCGGCAACAGCCCCCTGCCGAGCTCCTCGAGAAGCTCAAGCACTAATTGCTCGTAAATGATACCTACCGTTGACTTATGTAATTAGCATGTCCTTAGTGACTGCGGAAGAACCAAAATCGTATCCATAGATTTGATTTAAATGAGACGAATTTCCTTTTTTATCGCTCTGTCCTGTGCCCGATGTGAAGAAAAGATAAAGCATATATATTGGAGATTGGAAATGCCTGAACTCCAGAATAATGCAATATGCACGACCACTTCTACAGTCACCACCATATATATTGGCACTCCTATTTACCGTTTCCGGATCCATTTCCCTTCCGACTCCTCCGCGAGCCGGGCGTCTGGGCCTTAGGCCCCGCCTTCTGCTCCGCCGCCTCCTGCTGTTCGGCCTCTTTCTTCGCCAACGCCCGCTGCACGGCACTCTCCTTCTCCTTGACTTCAATCATCTTCTCGCTAAACTCCCACAGCAGCTTTCCGGCCGCCTCATCGCGGATCTCCTTCCGCGCCACATCCACCTCCCGGCACTCCTTGATCATCCACCCGCCCTCATCCCGGCCATACCGCGCCTCCATCGCCGCATACAGGAAACTCTGCGCCCCCTGCTGCGGCGACTTGAGCACCAACCACCACACCGGCCAGGTGACCAGATACACTAGTAGGCCCCACAGCGACCCGCCCGTCATCCAGCGCCGCATTCCCGGCGTGCGCGTGAACCCGGGGTCCACCATTATAACTCTAGTCGAAGTCGGCTGGCCGTCCGGGCGCTTGAACGCATTGAGATGTTTTTGAAAGGCGTGCGCAAAGACCATGAGGGAGAGTTTGCTCAACGCAAAAAGACTTTCCGGTTTCTTGGTGCTTGTCTGGGTATTTGGTCGGGTTTTCTTCCCTTTCCCAGCCCCAGCCCCAGCCCCAGCCCCAGCTCTTCCAACCTTCTGTTGCTGCTGCTGCTGCTGCTGTGATTGTAGGGTTTGCACCTGCAAATTCGTAGCCTCCTCCACCTTCCTTAGATCAAACCCACCCGCCCGGATATAACTCGCCGAACACCCGGCAAAAATAATCCGGACATCACGGTGAGCCGGCTGCGCCCGCAGCGCAGGACTCAAGATACTCAGCAGATGAAAATTCGCCAGGTAGTTGACCTGCCACTCCTCGTCGAGGCCGTCCGTGGTGAGCTTCTTATGGGAGGGGGGCGGGTTCGTCGAGGCGCAGAGGATGACCATGTCCAGCCGGCGCGGGGTGACGTTGTCGATCCATTTGGTGGCGAAGGTGCGGATGGAATGTAGTGATGACAGGTCGACTTGCTCAGCGTAGATGAGCTGGTTGTTGGTGCTCTTGCGCAGGTCTTCGATGTATTCCACTAGGAAAATATCGGAGGGGGAGTGTTGCGTTAGAAGGACGATTTGCGCTCCTCGGGAGGCGAGGGCTTGGGTGATTTGGGCGCCGATGCCGGATGTTCCGCCCTTGAAGATTTGTTAGGCTTTGGGTTGGGTTGACTTTTGGGGGTTGTTGAGGGGAGCGGAGGAGGAGTGAGTGTGAGAGTTAGGGAGGAAGTCTGAGCATACCGTGATCATCACAACCTTTGAGTGCATCACTCGCTCCGAGGCATTTCTGGCACCTCCAAAGTAGAACTTCAGCGCTGCGACCAGGAGAACCCATGGGGCGAGCTTGAGGATCGTCCAGGCGAAGGGGATGGAGGATAGACCCTCAGTGACGCCCTGGACGATCAGGGGAATGGGCATGGTGGGAGATTGTAGTCACAAGAGCGTCTGAAACGAGAGACAAACACCAGAGTCAACCAGAACGACCAGAAGATACGAGACCACAAGAAGAAGAAAAAAAAAAAAAAAAAAAAAAAAAAAAAAAAAAAAAAAAAAAAAAAGAAACAAAAGGAGAGTGGGAAAGTTGACAATTGAGTTGAGAAGTTGACAGTAGAGCAAGAATAATCTGGCCCGTACGCCGCCGCCGCGCGTGAAGTTGCTTTTAGCGGCCGATCTCCCGCCACTGCGTCACTTTCCCTGCCATTCTCCATCCTCTTTCACCTTTGCAACAGACAACTACACACTACACAGTACAGTATACTCATGACAGCGCCACATCCCCTGATACAATGACAGACACCCAAGACGAAGAAGACTACTTCCTCCCGCTCGAGGACCAACGGGTCTTCGGCGCCGGAATCCGCCGCAAGCGCATACCCTTCGTGCGCTCCTCCGAGCCCGACCTCAACACCACCTCCTCCGCGCTCCGCTCCAGCCATGCCTCCGCTCCTCCCAGCACAACATCTGGCGCCCGTATCGCGAACACCTATCTGTCGCTTGTACTCTCCAAGTCGACAACGCCTACTCCTGGCCCCCCTTCCGTCTCGTCTTCCGAGCTCGCAACAACAGCGACATCCACCACAAACACCCCTCCACCAAGTCTAGAACACTCATCACGCCCCGCAACAACATCACCTTACCCCTCCCTGGTCCCCCACGACCAAAACCCCACCCCAAGCCTCAATGAAACTCCAATCTGCGAAGTCTGCAACCTCCCACTCAATGTGTCCTACTCAAAGCACGAAGAACAACCCCAACCCTCATCCCCACCATCATCAACAACCCCCAAAGAACCTTACCGCCCACACGAAGCCTCGCTCGCACACCAACTCTGCCTCACGCATTCCCACCCGCCCTCGCACCTCGACCGCACACGACACGGAATGCGCTACCTCGCCTCCTACGGCTGGGACCCTGACAGCCGGCTGGGGCTGGGCGCGCCAGGCCGGGAGGGGATTCGGGAGCCGGTGAAGGGGAAATTGAAGGTCGATACGGTGGGGTTGGGGGTGAATCACGCTGCCGGGGTGGATACCGATGAGGAGGACCTTCCCGCAAATCGGAGGAGGGGGAAACGTGCAGACCAAACGGCCTCTGCTGCTGCTGCTGCCTCCAAGTCGCACACAACTGGAGGAGGGAAGGGTAAGGTACAGAAGTTGAATGCTAAGGAGGTGCGCAAGGGTCAGATCGACGCGAAGAAGCGCGGGGAGAGGTTGCGCGAGCTGTTTTATCAGGATGAGCGGATTCTACAGTATCTTGGTGGTGGGGAGATGTGATTTTCCTGTTGGAATTGGTATGGAGGGGTTGGGGGGATGTGCGGTTGAGGTTTGGGAGGCAATGCTGTGTGATGGTTGTACAGTACACTTAAGTAGTTTCGTTTTTAGATACCCCTTATGCTTATTTATATATATAGTAGACTTATTTTTCGGAAGTTCCATGGAATTGGATTTCAATTGTTTGAATGTACACTTGGTTCTGCTGAAATTATCAATCCAGCAATATGCAGGTCCGGAGATTGTCCCGAGCTTGGAATTCCGCTGTTGTCGCTCAGAAATCAGAGACAGATGAACTTGGTATCACAGCCGCGCTATATTAGATCACATATGTGCCAGTCGAGGGCGGCTACTTAAACAAGAGGCGAAAGGCTCAGCGAAAAAAGTGGTGACGTTTCTTCTCCTTCTTCTCCTTCTCCTTATGCTCTTTGTGTAGCTTGGAGCTCGTAGGAGCCGGGGTTGGGGCAGTCGGCCCTCCACTGGGAGCTTTGTGTCCCAGGGACATCGAAGCCATGGCTGCCGAAGGGGGTGCCGGCGCGACGGGCGTTTTCGTCTGGGGTTGCGGTGTCGGGGGCGCTTCCTTCTCGAAGAGATGAGCAGGCGCCGTAGGTTTCGGCCGCTCGGCCGGAATGTCCAGCCGTCGTCGGTCGACGCTGAGATCGCCGATCTGTCGCAGGAATAGTCCCGGCGAGAGCATGTGAGAGGTGGCAAGGTAGACGTCTTTGGCATGTGCCTGCGATATTTCGTAGCATGTACGAGCTTCGCCATAAGTTGCACCGCCCGCCATGAAGACAATAATGCGCTGTCGAGGCTGCTCGCCGGTCGTGCGGGTTCGCGCCCACGTGGGTTTGGCACTTCGTAGTGACGCTTGCGCTAGAGCGTCCTGCTGGCCCGGGCCCTCGCCTTCGGTGTGTGGGCGTGTAGGAGGGAAGACCGTCGTGTCGAGTGTACCGCGCACGAGATCCTCCAATATCAGCTTGAGGTTCAGATCATATCGAGTAAGGCTTTCCTCTTCCATGTCTGTTGCAGGCGGAGGCTTCCGGATGAAAAGCGGCTGCACAGGAGGCTTATCATCCTTCAATGGCTTCTCTACACGCACACCAAGTAAATCCAGATTGGATATAACCTCCCCGTCCTGCGGTGGAAGTTGCGCATGTGCCATGAGCTTGCGGATGTCTCCAGCTAGCAGCCCGCCCCGATAAATGATATAGAGTAGTAGCAGTCTCAGACGTTCGGGCTGTCTAGTCGCTTCATCATCCAGAAGTTGAACAATTTGTGAGCCCAAGTGCTTGGCCTTCTTGTAGTTCTCATCCATGCCGGTTGCCAGGCTTTGTTCGACAGAGCTGACTTCTAATAATTTATGGTCCTGGAAGTACTTCATACACTCTTGTGCCATATTCAAATGGAGAGTGTATGCGTCGCGACCCTGCTGAAATTCAGTCAGGCCCGCAAGCATATCCTTGATCGTGTTCACATTCGCTTTGTTGTTGCTTGAAATTGAATTAGCTTGCGATCCGAACCGTGGGAGACACAGAACCTACTCTTCCGCAAACTGAGGGTTGGCTGCCCGGAATTTGGCAAAATCTTCGCCCAGCTTGCCCAAGACGTCTTTCATATGCATATGTCGGTACTCAACCCACACGTTGTCCTGCTCATTGATCTCCATATCCTTGATCTCTTGGTTGGCGCCCCCCTCGTTGATGACGGTCTTATACGTGACCTTATCCCCATCATTGATGGGAAGGAGATCATGTACCATGGATTGATAAGTGAACTCATGCAGAAGAGGCGCTATGACGTCCACCGAGCGGTCTACAACGAGGAGAACTCCTCGAGGCCGAGGCGAAGGAGGTGGAAAGTCTCGCTGAAATTGTGCAAATTGATCCAATTCATTTTGAATGAAGCGGGCCAGGTGTGAGCACAGTACGCTTGCCTCATGGGTCGGTGTCCTGGGCCGATAGTACCGGATGATCGGATATTCTCCTAGACTTGCGCAGAGCGACACAATCTTCCGTCCGTGTAAGCATCTGAAGCCGAATCGCAAACCTCAAACAAGCCATACCTTCTGAGCCAGCCCTTCCAAATGTGCGCGTATCAAATGGTTGCAACCTGGGTGGAACAAGACTGGGAAGCTCCATGGATCTCGAAAAGTAACGATGCGCGCTTCGCGGGGAAAATAGTCGGCATTCATAATCTGAACATTGGCAATATTATCGCGCGCCTGCTGCGACCGGTCTAGTCTAGCTCGTTGTTGTGGATCGAGAACTGCCCCGCACGTCAGTGCCAAATACAGAGCCCATAAGGATACTTGACCAACAGGAGGTCCAAACCAGCCATGCTTTCTTGTATCTCTTTCGCTCGAAATCGGCCATTAAACAGTCGACTATATGCGGAAGGGGGGAGAGGATATACAGCGCATCCATGGAGGTGTTTGTGGGACGCCGATGCTCGATCTGCTCAACATCTGGACGGCCGACCATTTAGCGCCTACCAAGGTGTATAGAGTTGGATAATTAGCTTCGCTTACTGGTAACATTGAGGTTGAGAATGTCATCTTCGCTGACAGCATTGTCGATTAATTTCCGACTGGTCTCATCCACGACGAGAACCTTCCACTACAAGCGCCCAACGTCAGCTCTGTGAGGCGGTGGATTTGACGGAAGGGGGTAAATGTGCCAGAACCCGTACCTCGTTCCCCGCCGCATAACGGATGGTGTTCAGAATGACTGGAAAAGAAAACCAGAACCAATCAGTAAAAGGGAGATCGCGCAAATGCACATATTCACAGAGGACTTACTGTCGCGCTGGATGTTGAGGATCGAGGCGCTCATTGTGGCTGACGGGCAGCCCTACGCTGGGGCATAGACTTGGGAACTCAACTCCTAATGCTTGGGAAGAGGGGTGAGGAGGGGTTTAGTACGGGATTAGCAGACCAGGAGTGATAAGTAAGAAATCACACAACAAGCGGCCGAATAAGACGAGGAATAAGAGCGCACGAAGATCAATCAGGGGTTGGACTAGTAAATGAATCGGTAGTGAGTAGGAGGTATTCTTTATGAAACGTAGCAGTTGTCTTGTCTTGAGTTGCGAGACCCTCTCTTGGTCCCCACCTTGTTTGGCTTCCCTCTCCGCCGTTGCCTTACATAGTAATGTTCTCCGCCGCAGGGGATACTCCGAATAGTTAGTTATCCAAGGCGGTGTGATCATTCGCCGCCCCCGGGAACTTTTACCGCATCGCCGTAGCTTTGATGTCAATGGCAAAAGAGCAGGGAAAGGAAAAAAAAAAAAAAAACAAAAAGAAAAGAATCCCAAGTTGATGGCGATTTGAAGACCAAAAGAGTCTCCTTAGGGGAAGTTTGCTGGCGTCCACTATTCATCTACCAGTTTTCACTCAATCATACCCTCATTCCTCACCTTTCCCTCCTTTCCATTATTGCTCCCGCGTCTCGTGCTCCGTCGTCTGCAATCACTAGACTAAATCGCCATTCAAGTACGGAACGAAGAATACACCACTCCACGATAGCATACGTCTTGATTCGTGCCATCTGCCTCAGGCATGCGCCTATGGAGCAGCAAAGGCAGCCATTGCCTTTTGTGCGTACTGCAGCCGACTGTTCGTAATGGTGCAAGCCGGACATTTGCGACTTCGTCCGCGCTGCTGAGACGTGCGGTATGGCAAAAGCACATCCCCTGAGCTGCGCAACAATCGCTAATCTAGTTTCCTCTTTTTCATACAGTCGCGACCATCAAAAAAAGGAAATAAGAAATTCGATGCCGCCAGGCCTCGCAAGCCTTCTCTCGACGCCCCCAGTTTCGAGGCAGCCGTGAAACAGTCTTTAGAAGCCTATCATGCAAAACTCAGAACAGCAAAAGACTGGACATCTTTGAAGAGATGGGATGGTTTCGAACGGCAGATGCTGGCTGCAAGCAAGCTGGAGGATCGCACAAACTTTGGTCCAGCACAAGGTCTTCTGCGCCGCCTCCAAGTTGCCCTGCAACAGGCCTACTCGAATTATGGAATTCGCGGGCTGAGGGATGAGTTGGAGTTCCAAATGTACTCGGAAGATATCACGGCGGAATTTGGCACTCCAAACGAGGAGATGCAGAAGATTATTGCCGATTTGCGACGTCCAACGGAGGCTTACCCTCAAGCGCGTGCGATGCAGCGCACAATACATCTACATGTCGGCCCCACCAACTCGGGGAAAACTTATCATGCGCTTAAACGCCTGGAATCAAGCAAAAACGGCTTCTACGCGGGGCCTCTGCGGCTTCTGGCGCAGGAGGTATATCAACGATTCACGTCTGCTGGAATCTCCTGCAGCTTGATCACCGGTGACGAGGTTAAAATCCACCAAGGGGCTGAGCCTGCAGGGATTGTGAGTAACACCGTCGAAATGATCAGCATAGGACAGCCTTATGAGGTCGGAATTATCGATGAGATCCAGATGATCAGTGACACTCGGCGTGGGTGGGCCTGGACTCGTGCGTTTCTCGGTGCCCGCGCCAAGGAGCTCCATCTCTGTGGTGAACTAAGAGTGGTTCCTCTGATCCGGGAGCTAGCTGCTCTGTGCGGAGACAAGCTAGAAGTCCATCGCTACGAACGACTGAACGAACTGAAAGTCGCCACCAAAAGTCTACGCGGTGATCTGAACAATCTTCAGAAGGGCGACTGTGTCGTCTCCTTCTCCCGTGTTGGGATTCACGCTCTGAAAGCCGAGATCGAAAAGACTACAGGAAAAAGAGCAGCAATTGTTTACGGTAGTTTGCCGGCCGAAATCAGAACCCAGCAAGCCCGGCTCTTCAACGACCCCAACAATGATTACGACTTTTTGGTTGCCAGCGACGCCATTGGCATGGGCCTCAACTTGTGAGTAGATCTCGGTATCTGCAGACGGTCCGAAATACTAATCTTTGTTTCATGTAGGAGCTGCAAGCGTATCATCTTCGAGACCGTGATCAAAAGGGTTCCGGCTGGGCTCGTACGGCTCACTGTGCCCGAGATCAGACAGATTGGCGGGAGAGCCGGTCGTTATCGGCCTGCTACACAGCACCGGGGGGCTTCGAAAGATGATGGGAAGGAAAATGTCGGTTGGGTGACGTCCCTCGAAGAAGTCGATCTACCTTACATCAAGCAGGCATTCGAAAACGAGCCCCCTGCTCTTGTTGCTGCCGGCTTGCACGCCCCGGACGCTGTCTTCCAGAAATTCGCAGCGTATTATCCTTCGAACACCCCCTTGGAATACTTGATCAAGCGCATTTATGCAGTTGCCAGAGTACATCCGCTTTTCTTCCTGTGTGATCCTCGCAATCAGCTCGAAAACGCCACAATCATCGATTCGGTTGAAGGGCTGCGCATCCCTGATCAATTGACTCTCATGGCCGCGCCGATGTATGTCAAGGACATCATTGGCCGGGACGCTGCTGTCGATTTCGCTCTAGGCGTTGCCCAGAATTCGGACGGTCATCTTTTGAGCTTTCCCAGCCTCAACCTGGAGATTCTTGAGCAGGAGGTTTCGGCGAGCAAAGAGTATACGACCGAACTGGAATCCCTGCATAAGTCTATCGTTTTATATCTTTGGCTGAGCTACCGCTTTGGCGGCATCTTCACAGACCGGACATTAGCCACGCACGTCAAGGAGCTGCTAGAAGAAAGGATGGTCCGGGCTTTGACGGAATTTTCCGCAAACAAGAAGCTTAGAAAGGATTCTTCTCTCCGGCGGCAGCTTGCTCTTGAAAAGCAGAGCGCGGAGCTACAACAGCTGCTGGCAGAGACAACTGCTACGACCTATGGTAGCGACATCACTTCCCTTGATTCTTCCGAACAAGACAGCTCGTTCCAAGGAGACGACTTACTGGAAGAACCTGTGTTGGAAGATCCTGAAGACGAGGCCAATTTAGAGGAATCTGCTCAGGATGAGCAGGTTCAGGAGGAACCGTTCTGGGATAAGCGAGTCCAGGATGAGCATGTTCAAGATGAGCGAGTACACGAAGATCAAGAGCAAGGAAAGCGAAGGACCCAAAAAGGGCCTCACTAGCTCGCTCCTTTGTAAGACTATTTTATCAGAAATGAAGCGCATGTTTATGCTTAACATGTCATCTTTCTTTGTATATAGAACCTTGTTTCATCGATCTCCACACGGCCTTGTCTGTACACTAGAAGCTAGAGAGAATCTGAACTATACAGAGATAAGTCTACTCAGGACAATCACCTTCGTGGTATTCGTCTGATCCATCCCACGCGTACGACATATGGAAGTGTACTGAACTACAGTAGTCAAAACTAGGAGTAGGTCTACAGACATTGTAGGTGTAGTATTTCGTAGATGGCACCTTATCTTATCGATGGCGGGTTTATCCCGAAAACGCCACAACGATTTTCCGCCCCAGTCAGCTTCGCCCGTAGCCCGTCGCGGATTCACCACACGGAGACATTGCGGCGAATCGGGCAGACCATCTTGTCCTTGTCCCATCCATACAACTCGCCAAAGCGGGGCGAAGTGATCACTGCCCGCAAAGTCACAACTCACTATATCTGTATCGATCGCCGGTTCCTTTTTCATCGCCGATTTAGACTGCTCACTCTCTCCGCCTACTGCGAAGAAGAAAGACCAGTATCCGCCATGGATGACCTCCAGTCTCTGGAGCTCTTTTCGCTCGTCTCGCGAATCACCGGAGAGCTCCAGAACCACTTGGGCGTCAGCGACAAGACCCTCGCCGAATTTGTCATTGACCAGCACCTCAAATGCAGTTCGTTCGCCGAGTTCAAGAAGAGCCTGGAGGAGATGGGCGCCGAGTTCCCGCAGAGTCTGATGGAGAGTATCGACCGCCTCGTCCTCACGATGCACCCCAAGTACAAATCAAAAAACGCACAAGCCAAGGAGTCCTCGGGAGCGGCGGGTGATGACGACATGGATATACTTGGGGCCCTGGAGAAGAAAGCGCGCGTCTTCAAGGGTCTCGCTGTTCCGGATAAGGTGCAAACGTGGGATGAGGAGGACTACACCCCGCGGAAGGAGGTGGAAGAGAGCGACGCGAAAGCCAACGCGATGGACGATACATTCGCGATGCTGGAAGGGCTGGCGGGCAAGGCGCGGGAGGACAAGGCGCCGTCCTCATCGCGGGTGGACCGCAGCAGCAGGAAGCGGAGTAGGAGTCCGGACTACGACAACCGTGACCGCGACCGCGACCGTGGGCGCAGGCGCAACGACAGATACCGTTCCCGCTCGAGATCTCACAGTCCCCAGTTCAGCAGCAGGAAAGATGTCGAGGATGAGGTGGACGAATTTGGCAGGTCGAAAAGCAAGTACAGCAGCAGGGACGATGGATATCGCAACGGACACAGTGAGCGCAAGAGTCGCCGCGATCGAGCGGGAGATGAGGACTATTTCCGCAAGCCTCCGCCAGTCGAGCTCGATGACCAGCCGATACTATACAAGGTATACGATGGTCGTGTGACGGGCGTCAAGGACTTTGGCGCATTTGTCAATCTGCTCGGGGTCAAGGGAAAGGTTGACGGCTTGGTACATGTGTCTGCGATGCAGGAGGGCGCGCGCGTCAATCATCCTTCTGATTTGGTATCCCGGGGCCAGCCTGTCAAGGTTAAGGTGGTTAGCATACAAGGCTCCCGCATTGGTCTATCGATGAAAGAAGTGGACCAAGTTACGGGCATGGATCTTATTCCTCAACGGCGTCTGGCGTCAGGAGCAAATATGGAACGTCTTGACGGCACCAGCGACAAGGATCGATACGGCAACTTGAGCTCGGATGTTCCTATCATCGAGGAGTCCGATGGTAGGCCGATGAAAAACCGGAAACGTTTGACGTCCCCTGAAAGATGGGAGATTAAACAACTTATAGCATCGGGTGCCGTTTCCGCCCTCGACTACCCTGACATTGATGAAGAGTATCATGCCACCTTGACTGGAGAGGGCACATTCGAAGAAGAAGAGGATGTCGATATCGAGGTTCGCGACGAGGAGCCGCCATTCCTGGCGGGTCAGACCAAGATGTCTTTGGAGTTATCTCCTATCCGAGTTGTCAAAGCACCAGACGGCTCCATGAACCGAGCCGCAATGGCAGGCACCAACTTGGCCAAGGACAGAAGGGAGCTCAGACAGCAGGAAGCTCAGGACAAGGCTGCAGAGCAAGCAGCAAACATCGACCTGAATGCACAATGGCAAGATCCTATGGTAGCGCCCGAGGAGCGCAGGTTTGCAGCTGATCTTCGGAATGCTCAGCAAGCGAAGCCTGACGAGGCGGTGCCTGAATGGAAGAGAGTCACCATGGGCAAGAATGTGTCCTTTGGAAAACGGACCAGCATGTCCATCAAGGAGCAGCGGGAAAGCTTGCCGGTCTACAAGTTCCGCAAGCAGTTACTTGATGCCGTCCGTGACAACCAGTTGTTGATTGTTGTTGGTGATACTGGCTCTGGAAAGACGACCCAGCTGACACAGTATCTGGCTGAAGGTGGATACGCAAATAATGGGATTATCGGCTGTACGCAACCTCGCCGAGTGGCTGCCATGTCAGTTGCCAAGCGTGTCGCAGAGGAAGTTGGCTGCAAACTTGGCGCAGAGGTTGGCTATACGATTCGTTTCGAAGATTGTACGAGTCCGGAAACGAAGATCAAGTACATGACGGATGGTATGCTGCAGAGAGAAATCCTCCTTGATCCAGAACTGAAGAGATATTCCGTGATCATGCTTGATGAGGCGCACGAGCGAACGATCGCCACAGACGTTTTGTTTGGTCTGCTGAAGAAGACTATCAAGCGACGTCCCGACCTCCGCCTCATCGTCACCTCCGCTACTCTAGACGCGGAGAAGTTCTCAGAGTACTTCAACGGCTGCCCTATCTTCTCTATTCCCGGACGTACATTCCCGGTCGAGATCATGTACTCCAAGGAGCCCGAGTCCGACTACCTCGATGCAGCTTTGATCACCGTTATGCAAATCCACTTGACGGAGCCTTCGGGTGATATCCTTCTCTTCCTGACAGGACAGGAAGAGATTGACACTGCCTGCGAAATTCTTTACGAGCGAATGAAAGCTCTGGGTTCCACAGTCCCAGAACTAGTCATTCTCCCTGTTTATTCTGCTCTACCGAGTGAAATGCAAAGTCGCATCTTTGAGCCTGCACCCCCAGGTGGCAGAAAGGTCGTCATTGCGACAAACATTGCCGAGACTTCCATCACTATTGATAATATCTACTACGTCATCGATCCTGGGTTTGTGAAGCAAAACGCGTACGACCCCAAGCTTGGTATGGACTCGTTGGTTGTCACTCCCATCTCGCAGGCGCAAGCCAAACAACGAGCTGGTCGTGCAGGAAGAACTGGACCGGGTAAATGCTTCCGTCTCTACACCGAAGCGGCCTACCAGTCCGAAATGTTACCTACCACAATCCCTGAAATCCAGCGTCAGAACCTCTCTCACACCATTCTCATGCTCAAGGCCATGGGCATCAACGATCTCTTGCACTTCGACTTCATGGATCCTCCACCGACGAACACCATGCTTACTGCCTTGGAGGAACTATACGCACTTTCTGCCCTGGACGACGAGGGTCTTTTGACTCGCTTGGGTCGAAAGATGGCAGACTTCCCGATGGAGCCGGCTCTTGCCAAGGTCCTGATTGCCTCGGTCGATATGGGTTGCTCGGAAGAGATGCTAAGCATTGTTGCCATGTTGTCCATTCAATCAGTGTTCTACCGGCCCAAGGAGAAGCAACAGCAAGCCGATCAGAAGAAGGCCAAATTTCACGATCCGCACGGCGACCACCTGACTCTTCTGAACGTCTACAACGCGTGGAAGAACTCCAAGTTCAACAACGCGTGGTGCTTCGAGAACTTCATCCAAGCACGTCAAATCCGCCGTGCTCAGGATGTCCGCCAACAGCTGCTGGGCATCATGGACCGGTACCACCACAAAATCGTATCCTGCGGCCGAAACACGACCAAAGTCCGTCAGGCGCTGTGCACGGGCTTCTTCCGCAACGCAGCCCGGAAGGATCCCCAGGAGGGTTACAAGACCCTGGTCGAGGGCACACCGGTTTACATGCACCCCAGCTCGGCGCTGTTCGGCAAGCCTTCGGAACATGTCATCTACCACACATTGGTGCTCACGACGAAGGAGTACATGCATTGCACCACCTCTATCGAGCCCAAGTGGCTGGTCGAAGCCGCGCCGACCTTCTTCAAGGTTGCGCCTACGGATCGACTCTCGAAGCGCAAGAAGGCCGAACGCATTCAACCTCTGCACAATCGTTTCGCAGGAGAGGACGACTGGCGTCTCTCGGCACAACGACGCCAAGGCAGGGGTGGTGGCGGTGGAACCTGGGGTTAGTGAGCTGTGTGCTGTTGTTGATTTAATAGAACTTTTCATTCTTGTTCAGAAGCATCTATATTGCAGCTTATCACAGCATACCCCTCCCACGAAATTTGTGATATAAAATGCCGTCTTCTCTTGTTTGTGGGCTATAGAAATGTATTACTATGAGACTCATGAATTACGTGATACATTTGCTACTTTGAAGAAGGCACGCACAGCAAAGGGTCAAGTCTTAGTGAGAGAGGCAGAGTGAGGTCTGAAATCAGCCATGGCGAGAGCACGCTTGCTACGGTGGGGACGCCTAGTAGTCTGTTCTTCATCAACCTCTACACGACGAGGATGTTGTCCTATAACCTCTCTCAAAGGATTCATGAACAGGTGCAGTTGCGCAGTGGGGTTGGGTCCGAATACCGATTGAGGCCACAGACCCTCCTCATCGGTCAGCATGTGTGTTTTCCCCCCCTAGGTGTATGGGGTAGAGGATCTAGCAGTTTTTTAGTCCATAGCCCGAGAGTCCAATGTGAATGGATGAAGACATATCTCAGTCTGGCGACAGATGGGTATGCTAGCCTCCTTTGGTGTCACCCAGGCGTCCACTTAGCCATCGAGACTCTTTCTCGACTTCAACTCCATGCAGATGAGGATGGTAGAAAGGGTCAAAATCTGCATCGTAAAATTCAAGCTTCATATCTATATTGTCCTACTAACTAAGTATAACGTACTTCCACTTTAACCTACTCTGAAAATGTGTCTGACAGACGTTCCGAAACATCGCAGGCATTATAGCATTTATCGTCACACATGAGATTTCGTAATGGTCTGCCGGCCGTTTTCCTTTAACAAAGAAAAAGACATTCTCGCGTCAGGCTCATTCAGCTCATCTGATAACCCTGCAGGGCCGACTGACTCTTCCCCACAGCAACTCCGGTCTAACCATCAACCCCTACATCAACCACGAGTCACTCAGTCTCTCTGCACTTGCACAGCGTATCGCCTAACAGCAATACAGAAACAAAAAAAATGAGAGGGAGTACACATACATTCAATTCCTCAAATCCCACAAAAGACAACACGAGGCGATTCCGATTCGACAACGTAACCTGCCGCTTGTGCACCCTTCCTTCCAGGTGCAGCAACGAAGCCATCTCGGCTCGATGACAGACGATGAAGCTGTTCTTCTCGCGCTCATGTCTCTCCACCCAATATTTCCCGGCGTACATGAAGCCATCGTTGAGCGCCGTCCGAGACTTCTTGCCTGTCTTGGGGGAGGGCATGAGGTGCACAGACATGCACCCGTCGGGGTGGTAGGTGAGGATGCCCCGTGCGTCGGGGCCCATGGGATGCAGCGAGGGGCCCTTGCCGTCAAAGGGGTCGGAGAAGTATTCCAAGAGGGACCAGGAGCCTATGAGAGCTTCTTCGATGTCCCGTTCAGTGCACGTGCTGTCAGTGGAGGATGAGGAGGAGGAGGAGGAGGAGGAGGAGGAGGATGAAGGGGTCAACGGAGGAGACATATTTTCGATTGTGCTATGCTAGTGCTGAGGGAGAGATGGGTTATTGTCAAAATTATCGGCTGGAAAGGAGAAATTGGTCTTATAATGACTTGAAGGACTGGGAGACTGTGTCTATAGCGTGCGGTGATTTTGACCAGGGAGCTTGTATCTGTGTATGTGTGTGGTCTGCGGTGATGATGTTAGTGACTCGTGCATTATTCTTCGGTGTTGTCTGGCGATAAGTGTTCGGCGTCTAGGTGATACAGATGCACTCATTCTCCTTCGTTGCCTGTGAAGGAAGTTTGATCTCTCGGGATTCTGCTTCCATGGATGAAGAGTCGATTTGGCCTGGTTTAGTTACCGGATGGGCTTCGGGGAGCGAGAGACACGACGAACCTTGATCCTATGGGGAGGGAGGGGGTGGCTTCCCGTTGGTGGGGAGACATCACCGGCGGTGGTTGTGTATATAAGTACTCGTGTGGGGAGGGATCATAGATGTAGCGGGGAAGAGCTGGGATCATCCTAGTACTAATATCTTGCGCTCATGACCGATCCGGTAGGAGGTAAGTTCTTGCAAATCCAGCCACCAAGGAACGAAACGATGAAGCCAATAATGGAGAGTAAGTATATAGTTGGTGATTGTGGATATTGCGATCATTTCCCCCTGTTCAATTGGTCCGGAGGTTATCTCAACAAGGGGTGTATCGACATAAGTTGCTGTCATTCAATAAGAGGTACACTCAGTTCAACGCAGATAAAATCATGACTCGTATTGTTCTGCCCGACGGCTTTAAAGTAAGTTGATGTTATCCAAGATGGTGCACTGCACTGGCTGGAGGCATAGAGAGGACTAGGAATACACGAACCAATCAGAGGCTGGCGGACGGCAGCTAGCGTGACTTCCAATCTTGGCAGGACTTTTTGAAGCCCGGCCGAAAAACATTCAGTCAGTCTTTGTGTTCTTGTGTTGACGCGGCCGTTGTCATACTTCATCGCCTTGACCACCAATATCATTACGTTCCTGTGATTAGCTTGGTGTTGCAATCAATACCTGTCTTGGGCTGCAGGTTCGCGTCGGTGCTCGTTCAAGGTAGTGACTACAGTTCTCTCAAGACCGGGCCACTAGTAGTGCCTTTGTTCCTCGTCCAATCAGAAACCGCAAAACTCTGAAGCCGGCCGGGCGACGGAGTGCCTGGCAATCAGTCAAGTCACTGCAGTGATATCTTCAATTTCCCCGGCCTTTGTCGGTGGTGGTTCCTTTCCCTCTACATCTACCCATTCCTTCTCACCATGTCATCCCACGACACTCAGTTTTCTCGATTGAAGAGGAGGAAGCTGGACAGTGCCCCGGAAGGCGAGGAAATTCCTGCGGTTGTCACCTCGCACACTCAGCTGCGGACTGCATTAACCTTTCAGCAGAACCCTGCTGAATCTAAGCAAGGTACTTCGTCTAACGTCTATACTGGACTGTGATTATTGACAAAATGTATAGGGTTACGAAAATTTAAAGATTTTCTCAGTTCTATCGTGCAGGCAGAAAGCGACGGCGAGAAGGCCAAAAAATTCCGCATTCTCAAAGCTTATTGCGATTCGCAGTGCTCTCGACTTAACGAGAATGAGGCGGTTTGCTTCACTGACCTGGTTCAGACCTGGAACTTTGCTGACAGCAACAACAACGAGTCTTTACTGACCACGGTTCCCGCTGTGCTCGCTCAATTCTTCAAGACTGTCTCCACCAATCTGGACTTTCGGGACTTTGGCTTGGCATTATGCAAGTATCTCCTACAGAAAGAGCAGCTGAAGCTGTTCAACCGCGGCTTGACTGCGGTTAAATCAAAAGAGCATCTTATCTCCCCTTGCCTCCGTCTTCTGACGGAGATGGTCACCTTTGACGGGGGTGCTGTTGCACGCCAGGTATACCAGGCGCGCCACGTGACGTTCAAGCGCGTGGAGTTCTTCCTGACCCCAAACAAGGCTCAGTTGGAGGAGATGGCTGAGGAAGGAAATAAGTCTACGCTGCGGAGGAACGCTCAGAAATACGTCCTGGCAAATCTGAAGTTCCAGCACGCCAACGCCAAAAGTGATATTATCGAGCAGCATAAGGTGATCAGAGCATTCCTCGAATATGTCAGGAAAGACCCTCGCGATATCGTTCTCGAAATCCTACAGTGTATTGACCGAGATGTCATTCGCGATGCTTCCATCACTCGCAATGCGAAAACGAAGTTCTTCAGCCGGTGGAACCTTGAGCGACTGGTAACCTTGTACGGATATGATCGCGAGTCAGAGGAGCCCAACCCCAGCGGCATTTCGACTGCAAACGAGGCCCACAAGATTCTGATGAATGTTTGCACGAATCCTGACCTTGGTGTGCTTCTTCCGGACAACGGCTGGTATCCCACCGGCAGCGACCCGGAAACTTTGCCGACGGACGACGATACACTGATTGACCTGGGCCTGGACTCAGCAGTTTATCTTGACAAGTACAACAAGACTGTGCCTGTTCGTAACGGGACATTGTCCTATCTGGCTCAAGCTCTCCGCCCAGATGCAGATAGTCTTCAGATTGAACTTCTTGTTGCCATCTTCAAAGCGGCACCAGAGCTTGTAGCGGATTATTTTACAAAGAAGACCATGTTCACCGCGGACCCGAAACCTACTGCATCCTGGATGGCAGAGTCTGCCCTCTTATTCTCCACTGTCCAGCTTCCAGTTCCTTTGAACTGTGGTTACAAGGACAAATTGCCCACAATGCCACCGCCAGTGTCAGTGGTCATTGAGAATGTCCTGCCTCGCCCTCTGTCACAGAAGATCCTTAGTCGCTGCCTGAACATGAACACAGAGATTGTCACGCTGTTTGCCGTGAGAATCCTTACGATCGCCTTCAACAAGCTGCGAGCCGTTCTGAAGATCTTCAACTCGGATCACGGCGTTAGCCAGTCGCTGTGGACTCAAGCGGCCGACAAACTGATTGCTGAGTTCTGTAGGAGATGTCCAGCTGTCAAGGAGGTTATTGTGCTATTCAAGAGAACTCCCAAAGATGATTTACAGCAACAAGATGCGGTCTCGGAACTCCTTGTGTGCTACTATGAGGTTGTTCCAGATGCTGCGTTGGAAGAGGGATTTGATGTTGCTTTAGTAATGGTTGATATCCTCAAGAAACTAGATGAGCAGAATATTGACGCAGACGACTCCGAACTTTTGCTAAGTCAACTGCAAAACCTGCTCAGAATTACCCAGCAGTCTTCGTCGATGCGTTGGTGGCAGCAGCCAGGTGAGCGTTAAGAATTTTTTCGCCCAAGTGTCGATATGCTAACAATTGCAGCAACTATGCAATATTCGGCCTTCACCTCTATCTTGAAAGTTCTGGTGCAGGCCCCATCACGGGAATCCTTGAGTGAGATCAATAACCTGCTTCGAAAGGTACTCAACGAGTACTCCATTATCCAAGACATCTCTGTCTTCCCTTCGATATTATCTAGCTTCGAGACCACCGATTCGGACAAGCTTCAGCACCAGTTGTCCTTCTTCGATAATTGTGTCTGTCGTATCGCCAAGAAGCCCGTCCATTATCAAGACCTGCTTGAAGCCTCATTCCAAAAAGCTTCCAGGCCGGTGAGTCTCATTATCGCTGCTATCCTTGAACAGTGGCCGTTCGTGGTCCAAACTGGCGATAAAACTACGGAGCTCGCCGTCAGCGCTTTGATTGCGAAGCTGCTCGGGAGTCTCAAACACGCTGGGGAAGACTCCAAAGCCTTGAAAGCTGCTCGGGATACATTAATGGATGGCACTGAGAACAAGAAATCCAAGTCAATCTTGAAAAAGGCGTGGAAAGAGAGTGAAGTGCCGGAGGACGACTTGGTCGATGAACTCCGTGCCTCTAAACCAGGAAACTCGTCCACTGAACTGATTGGACAATCAGAGGTGGACTTAGATGAGATTTTCGGTACTTTGCCCGCGGAGGGCACAACCCATAATGAATTGTACCGATGGGAGAAGGATGAAATCGACGTGGCAATCGAGCAGGGTCGGATTGCTGATTTGATGCTCTGTCTGTGCTCAGCGCACGAAGAGGTCCGCAGGCAGGCATTTGCGAATGTGAATCGCTTCATGGCGAAGCTTAAGGTTAGTCTACCCGTCCCATATACACTGCTACTCGCCATTGGCTGACTTGCAACCCTAGGACTCGAAATACGTTGAATGGCGGTCCGTTTATATCCTTACGGGTGAGCTGCTCGAGACAGTCAAGGAGCTCGGTCTTGAGTCTCCTGTACCGTGGATCGTTGGGGAATGTGCCTCCAGCTGCCTCGATGTCCTGACTAACCCAATGCACAAACTGTATGGCAAGGTCAACAAATTCTTGCAGAAAGCTCCTTCTTGGGAGTTAGAGAAGATCCCGTCTTTCTGGATTGATAAGATCTTGCTGCATGAACCTGAGCTTGATGATGGGTACTTTGAAGAGACCGGATGGTTATTTGATTTGCTCATCAAAGGTCTTCGCACTGAAGTGGTATGTTGCCTTCGCTGCTATCTCCCCTGCCTCCATCTGGGTACTTACCGAAATTGCCTAGGACATGGATATCTATCGCCGCGCCAACGTCTTTGAACGGTCCCTCTCCTACTATGAAGCACCCAGCGCATCCCACTCGGTCAAGAGAAAGATTCTGCAACTCCTGTATCGCACGACTCAAGTGCATGGTAGTACGACGTTGATTACGAGAGCAGGCATTATGAGCTGGATCCAGAGTCAGATCCCAGCCGTGACGGCTAAAGAGACGCCTACGTTCACGGCGATTGCTCACTCCCTGCAGCGGACCTCTGACAGCGATCGGGTCGAAAAATGGAGTGGAGGAGCCGTGCTGCGAACGGTTGAGAAGATTGCGGGCTAAAGGGCTACCCGTTGGAATTATCATACTAGTTGTATATGCTCGATAGACATGTGTTGGAATCCAATTGGCGCTCGGTTGTGGTGGTATACTAGTGCAACATGGAGATACTCGTAAGCTCAACGCCGTTTGGTCTGACCTGGGCCAGATTGTGGTAATGAGTGAATAATCGCAATACGTGAGACACGCAGCCATGCACCATTTCATCATGATTATACCCCCCATGAATGGGATCTAGCAAGCATAGGTTGCTCTGCGCCACAGTAAGGCAAGAGACTGGATGCAAAGGTCGAGGCAAACGGGGGTAGTAGTAGATTGGGAGAAGAACACGATCGTCCGAGAAATACAGCCATGATGCGTATAAGCGTAATGCATACTTCCAGCGTAGAATTCTGCCCAAACGGTATGACAGCACTTGAATGATAATAAAACTAATAGTGAGATTGAGAGCAATGAAGGTGAAGTGGTGACCGGAAGAGCAATCATTGTTTGACTGAGTGGTTTGAGTGGTGGCAGGCGAATTGCCCGATTGGGCAATGCACACGTTTTTGCGGTAAACTTCGCCTCGATGTGCTTTTGCCCGCAACTTTCACCCTCTCTCCTCGTCCTCCTCTTCTTCCCCCCAAAACCCGCCCCGTTTGACACCTCCCTCCTCCTCTCCCCCCATACGCTCACTCTGTTCCTGCAGCCTTCAGCTTCGTCCCTATCCGGTTCATTTCCAGAAAACGATCTAAGTATCACTTCCGAGAGAGTTCTTCTCAGCTGAAAATTTTCGAACTGTTGTGGTGCCCCTCATCCGCGTTTCCCTCCCGACCTCCCTCAAACCAGCTTGAATCTCGACCGATCGAAGCTCCCTCCGCCTTTCGGCCTTGCCACTGGCAGGCGGCCTTCCCATCTTGGCTCGTTCGGCCTTTCAACAAACCTGTCGCAATTCTTCCCAAATCCTCCCTAAACCTCAGCAGACACACCTGAATCACTCAACGTTGTGCTTGACCCTTATCCTCTCGTACTCCACTACCGCTTTCCATCATCAACCCCGTCGGCAACCAATGAGATCGTCGTAAACCGAATCCCCCCTCCCCGGATAGCATCACACACTCTCCACCTAGCCATCCTCATGGCACGACGTTACCACATCGATGAGCTGCTATGGCTGCGCGGATCGCCCCTGGTTGTTCGACCTCCTACTCTGCCGCCAGTAGACGAATGGATGGGGTAAGACATCTCCAGGACACTCCTCCATCCCCCTCCCCTCCATTTCATCAGCCCAAGTTTGTCACGAACCTAACACATTCCTTATTTCAGCCCCATCCCCGACCCTACCACACAACGCAAAACATCGAATTCTCGAGAAACTACCAATCCCAATGAAACTACACCCAGACGGCCGAGCCTCTTCGATACCCGTCACATCTCCCGAAACTCGAATTCAGGTAAAGAACACCACTGTCTGTTAGCCGAGGCGGATTATCACGGCCATCACTAACTCAAGCATCTGCTTCTGTCTCCCAGAGGATATCATTCTCGGGCCTCCCAAGACCGCATTCGCTTCTGCCTCTCGCATCGCTGGCAAGGGTTCCATAGACTCAACGGAAAGGTCGTCCAGGCCGCACGATTCCGAGGACCTGAAAGCCGACCGGTTTGCCTTCCGGGATAAGTTCTTCAAGGAACGAGATCCCAACGACCGGGATTTCGACCGACGCGATGGGAAGATGGGTGCCTTCAATGCTCGGCGCGGGGACAAGGAAGACTGGACCAATGGACGTCCTCGTCGCACGTTCGGGCAGGATGAACAGGACCGCAAGCCCAGACGGAATGGAGAGTTTGACAGATGGGATAACCGCGATCCACGCGAGTCGACCCACGATAGAACTGTGAGAGACAGCAAGGATACCCGCTTTGCCCCTCGCAAAGATGGAACTCCGGGGCGCGCCAGACATGAAGGAAGCTGGTTTCGAGATGATAATGCTCCCCACGATACCACCGACATGGAGGAAGACAAGACTCCAATCCGCAACCGAGAATGGCGTCGCGATCGACATGGCGCTGATCGCGACTGGACCCGCGGGGCCAAATTTGAACAGGAGCCTGAGTGGCTGGATACCAATGACAAGGATGAGTCTCGAAGAGTACATACACAAGAGGATTTCGAGCGTTGGAAGGAGAGAATGAAAGCCGGATCTCAGCCGCATGCAACGGAAAAGGACGAGATTCCTGCCGAAACAAATATTGCACCTTTACAGCAGGTGGATCATAGACCCACCGACGGGGAGATTTTCAGCACTAACGGCACTCCCTTCCAGCAGGACTCAACTATGGAACGCTTCTTCGGCTTGCTGAGCGAGTCTAAGCCTGCACCTGCACCTGCACCTGCACCTGCACCTGCGCCGGAAGTTAGCGCTCCCCCCGTGCAGGTGGAGGCGACTCCAAAGAAGGAGGCCCAAGCTTCTAAAGCTATGAAGTCGTCCCGCTTTGCTGGGCTTTTCAGTCCTCCGCCAGGAAGCCCTGCGAGAGACTCGGAACCTCAGCCTGATACCAGATCTCCAGCTCTGACACCTGCTGGATCCACCGACGCCGATCAAGAAGGGTTCCAACGTATTTTGCTTATGCTTGGGGGCGGGAAATCCCGCAATGGGACACCCCACAATGAGACTATTCCTGCTAACCGACCTCCATCTTTGGTGCAGGCGGAACAAGTCCAGAGTGCTGTTTCTTCACCTTCTCGAGAACATATCAAGCGGCAAGAATACCTGGCTATGCTGGAGACACCATCTCGAGCGGCTGGACCTCCCTTCAAGGAGAATCCATACCCTCAGGAAACACAGGCTCGTGATAGAGAGTACCTTCTTCGACTGATGCAGCAATCCACTGGTGCTACTTCAAGCGGTCCTGCTCCTGGTGGTCAGAATCAGCCTCACAGTGCTGGGCCAGTGCCCCCAATGATGAACCTGCCGGATGTGCTGTCTCCTCCCCCCGGTATTCCTCCTGTTCAAAAAGGCCCCAACTTCCTTGATGATCCAGCAATTGCAAATATTCAAAGACCCGATGCCGAACACCTTCGGAGACGGCCAGTGAACGGGCCCCCGATGGGATACTTTGACGATATCCCTTTCCCTCCCGGTGGTCAGGTTCCTATCACTCCTGGTGGAGCCAGAGCTCCTCACGGTCAAGGACATCCTCCTATGGGAATGCAGAGACCGCCAGGTTTCGAGCATCTGCCGCCCCCTGGATGGGCAGGTCCCCAGCTGCCTCCGCAGCCTGCTGGTGGACCGGCGCCTTTGGCTCCTCCTCCAGGGATCCCAACTCCTACACGAGGTGTTAACCCAAGTTATATGGCAAACATGATGCCGATGCATGGAAATGCTCCTCCGCTTAATGAGCGTGAGCCTTTCCCGCGTGCTAATGGCGGTGGATCGGCTGGCTTCCCCCCGCCTCCTGGGATGATGCCTCCTCCCGGCTACATGAATGGACCCCCACCATCTTTTCCGCCCATGCCACACAGCGGCGACGTTATGATGGGGCTTGGACCTCGTGGACAAGTTCCTTTTGAAGGAGGACCCCCGCCGCAAGGGCCTCCACCTTCGTCTCGGCATCTGTTGGAGATGTTCGGTCAAGTTGGCGGTGACGCCAGAGGTGGCATGATTGGTCCTGGACAGTTCAGATAAGCGAAAGAGTATGTGGGTTCGCGGTGTGCTCGATTGCCCGTCCTACCCTTGCTGACAGGATAATGGCTCTGTGACGAGTATCGAGAGGTTGTATCACCACTGACTTCTCTCCACTACGGACCAACCCCTTAAAGAAATGAGAAAATTGAGAGTAATAAGCGGACAGGAGGTCGTTCGTCTATTTGATAGATGATCTCTTGCGCAACAGCAACCAGCCTGGGTTTCTAGATGGCTTGGTGGCACCAATGAAGGTCTATTGCTCGATCGTGGTTCATTGATTGTAAATCAACTGTAGAAAGCATGTTGTAGACATTGTAGGAAACGTGCACGAGATGTGTTCCAGGCGAGACGGTATCATGGCCTCCTTCCGAATCTCCTTCCTCCACCACCACCTTCACCTCCTCCACCTCCACCTCCTCTCTCCTACCTCTCAACTGACCTTCTCACTCTGAATCCACCTGAACACAAAAACACTTTTACCCATTGCTTGACGTCTTTTGCATTTCGGATCTTTGACGTATATCATCCTTTATGGTCATTCTTGCAGTGCAGGAGCATATTCTCCCTGCTCCTACTGTCTTCTAGGATGCACAGTCTTCATAACTCAAGCCAACATTCACCTGCTGCGAATTCACAAACTCGGTCGGTGTAGAGAAGCTTCATTGAAGCTGTCTTCAGGTAATGGATGGTGTGAGTCGACACCGGTTCACGAGAGAAGATGTAGCTACACTATATTGGGCAACATATTCACTTGAAGTCATTTTCCATTGCGACTAGCTTCCTAATCTAAGCTTGTACTATATGCTGACTTCTGGTGACTCAGTCACAGCTGATCACAGACCATGACGCCAACATGATATCTCTTCCTTGCAACACTAAGCGATCCTCTTCCCCCAATGTCAAAGTCCGTACATTCACTCAGCGCGGAGAAGCAGAAAGTTTCGACGACAGCAAGGAGAACAACTTCGAGAATAAGAATGTCAGCCCTCCGCGCCGCCAATGCGAGAAGAGACGTAAACTTGAACGGCACATCACGGATATATTTGAAAGCCTGGACCTGCCGAGCGTTACGCGTGCCACCTCCCTCTTCGAACCGACAAAGCTTTCTCGTACAGAGGCATGCTCGATGGATATCGACCGATCAATCTTCTCGGAGATGGAGGAACTGAGCAGCCTACCGAGCACACTCTCTGCTTCACCCTCAATTGACCCAGCCGGGATTGCTGGCGAAATGGCAGACACAGCAGACTGCGCTATACCACCATCTCCCTCATACTTGAGACACAGCTATCGTACATGCATTCCCGTCCTCACCTCAGAATATACCTTAAGTCATCTCTCTGAAGATCCTGAGCTTTACGCAGCAGATATCCAGCCCCAGCAGACCCATGATAGCCGTCTTCATCACCAGCAGCCCTTCTCGCGTACCAGCTTCCCCATCTACGAAGACCCGGATGATATTGAAGTTCAATTTCAGGAGATCAAAGTGAACGTCTTTGCTCCATGGGACGAGGACAAAGAGAACGTTGATGAAGCGACCTGGGCAGGTGAACCAGAAGAAGGGGACCGACAGCACGAGAGCAGCACCATCACGCAGTCGACCAATCCCACCACCAGTAACGCCGTCAGCCTCTTTGGTGCCAATACCATGATTGAGACATATGATCTCAATCTACACCCCGAAGTAGAAATGGATATGGACATGGACCTCGAACTCGATCTAGATAATTTCACCATGTTCCCTGCCCCTGATAATAGCCTCTTCAGCACGCCGACGACAAACTCTACAGACACAAACGCCCTTAACCGGATTGCGAATGTTGACCCCACCGCTATTAATGGTCACGATCACGCATCCGCTTCCGGATTCTTTGACCCTGATGCAGCCCGCTTAGATGTCGGATCATGGACCCAGAACCCGGACCTCGTTGCGCCTTACCCAGTGGTTAATCCCAACCAAGGGCCTTCCATGAATGGGGACGACGTGAGCAACTGCATACTTGATCCCATGGCAGAAACTAGCATGAATCTCTCCGTGGTAGACTTCGGGTTGCGTGCGGAGGACGACCAGATCACGCCGGACGCGAGTGGTCTCTGGCTACCTTGGTCCGCCGCAGAGAGCGTGGCTACCTCCTCGGAGGAGATGGCCAGGCTTGCGCTCGCGATAGCGCAGCAGCGGGAAGAGGAGCAGCGGGCGCATGTGCAGGCGCAGATTGAAACGGCCGTGGGAAGAAAGAGAGTTCGTCGCAGGGCAAGAAGATTGTAAGCCTGTGTGACGTTGATCTGTGTTTGCGCTTGTATTTCCTGTAGATGAGCTGCGTGTGGTGCTGTGTGGTTACTTATTTGTTTCGTGTGCGAGTTCTTTGCATTCAGATTGCGGCGTTCCATCGGTTTGTTGTCTAATTGCTGTTGATTGTGAAATTTCCGAGACCGCAAAATGAGACTATTATGCGGTAATTTTCTTTAGGATTTGCTTGAATCTTTCACTTGGGTACGACTTCAAGAATCGTAGAGATGATTTAAAAAAGAGATTAAGGTAAGTATGGTGAAAGGGTCAAGGCGGTGCATTGTCAATAAGTAGTATATTTTCTGCCCTTCATTTCTCAGAGAAGGAATGAAACATATGACAGGCCGCTGAGCAAAGCACATAGTACTATCTTATAATCTGTGTATTGCCTATGTGGAAGGCTTTGCAAGCCTTAGAAGACACCGGTAGCTGTACAAAAGGCCGTATGATTTGGCAGGCCCTGATAACGATATTGAAGACTGTATAAGCATTGTAGGCCTTAAATTTTGTACAAAAGGCCTTACAAGCCCCGGTAGCAGGTTTGTTAAATTGGAAACATCCGCAAGTCACGGGCTATCATATTTGAAAGATCTAAGAAAATGTGTGACCCATATACTCCAGACTCATCAGCCCAAGATCACATATGCTCCACCAAGAATGCGCGAATAATTTCATGCAAGAATCACATCAGAAACTCATCACTCATAACGACCAAGGGCACCTTTACTCCTTTCATCGATTCCCAGTCATTGCCTTTGCCGTATCCCGAGCACTTCAGGAAGAGGATCACTCCTCGTCGAGGGCACAGTTGGGATGCATAACGTAGATGGTCCGCTCAACTTGTGCTGACTCATCAGCTGGGTCGACCAGACCTTGTCCACGAATAGGCATCAGAATGTTGTCCTGCCGCAAAGACATGAGTTAGCAGAAGCTCAGCGAAAAGAAAACAGCTGATGCGCATTACAATACGTACCTTGACCATCCGCTTCAAAACCTTGACAGCCAAGGAGCGTTCTTGCTCCAGATCCTCCTCAGTTTCCAATTCAGATTCGACTTGTTCCAGGTACCAGACCAATAGCTCTTCCTGTTCAACTCCTTCACCGGACATCGACTCATCGTCTCTGACACGTCGTACGATCAAATTCAAGATCTTCATGTACTTGTCATAAGTGATCTTGGTACGTGGGCGTGGCTGCTGGGGTTGTTGGGACGGCTCGCCGTCATCGCGCATGGGGCTGTCACCTTCGCGATCGCGGTCACCCATCTCATGGTCTCCATCAGTGGCGCGGCCGCTTGCAGCATTGACATCATCGTCAAATTCAACATCGTCCTTTTCAACCGTCACCATGCTCTGTCGCAATAGGTCGTAGGCTTCCCGCACAAAGTTAGGGATAATTTCCTCTACACAGTTGGCCTTCGCAACGGCCTCGGAAAGACGAATGAGGGACTCAAGCTGTCGAACGGTGATACGGTAAGAGGAGCGGCCCATGCCACCTTGAGCGTCACCGGCACGAAGTTCCTTGTACTTCTCGACCAAATAGGCCTTGGCCTCCTCGGTGAAGACAGGTCGGAATGTTCTTGCGAATCGAATGTAACGCAGTAATTGCTCAGTGCTAAGCTCCGGGTTGACTGCTTCATCGCGGTTCATGTGCACGTTGACAATGTGATCCGCAAGGTTGCGATCCACCGTTTCATTGGGATCATCACGAACCACGAAGAATAGATCGAATCTACTCATAATGGGAGCACTGAAGTTCAGGTTGCCACGCAACGTAGTCTTGGGGTTGTAACGGCCACCGATAGGGTTTGCTGCGGCGAGAATGGATGCACGAGCGTTGAGGGTAGTATGGATACCAGCCTTGGCGATAGAAATTGTCTGCTGTTCCATGGCTTCGTGGATCGCGACTTGGTCGCTAAGGTCCATCTTGTCAAACTCATCAATACAACAGATACCACCTCCGTTAGCCAACATGAGAGCTCCTGCTTCGATCGTGAATTCGCCTGTCTCCGCATCTTTCACAACAGCCGCGGTCAAACCCGCCGCAGATGAGGCTTTGCCACTGGTATAAACAGCTCGAGGATGCAACGAACAAACATACTTTAAGAACTGGCTTTTACTGGTTGATGGATCACCAACAATGCAAATGTTGATATCACCACGGAGCTGAAGGTTTTCTTGTTCTGTATTCTTGCTCACTCCTCCGATCAACTGCAGCAGTATGCCCTTCTTGATTTGCCGGTGACCATAAATCATGGGGGCAATGGAATCAATCAGGCGAGCGTAGATATATTCTGAATGGACGAGTTTCTTCAAGTCCTGAACCTCGTAGGGCGTAAGACTTTGGAGCAAAGCCTCCTGCGCCTGATCTTCGTCGGTCTCGGGATCTGAAATCTGGTTGAGCGAAGCTAAGATGTTATGTGACTGGCCATTCAATTGCTGTTTGGTCTGTTGACCAGGAGTAGTTGTGTCAGGCGTCACCATGCAGGCAAGGAAAGCGAGTCGATACGTCAGGTCTCTGATACCGAGAGCCTTCAGACCACTAACACCGCCACCACCAATGTCACTCCCCCGGAAAGCACCATCATCACGGACAGCTTCCGGGCGCACACCAGGCAGTCCTAACTGACTCACGTCGGGTACAACAATCAAAGTACCAGTGAAGATGCACCGCTCACCGGCCTTAGCACGATCAACCATCTCCCCTCGAAGGATGACGTCCATTGTCCGCGGCATGCTGCCAGTCGGGATCTCGTGAGAGGACTCCTGCAACTTAACCTTCTGCCAATCGACAAAAGTACTCTTGCCGATGTCCAGCCGCCAGGCGGTGCGATTCCCGCAGAGGTCGTTCGGGCATTGCGCAGGTTCAGTGTAGCGGAAAGTCTGTTCCACGTTGGGGCATACTGCCTTGCATAGTTCACAGGTAAAGGTTCCAAGGGACAATTCGGGCCGAATTTCAGAGGTACGTGTAACTGTACCTGATACAGAAACTAGTTTACCGATTTGAGAGGTCCGAAGTTGGCGCAATCGGGACACCAGGGGTAGATTGTAAAAAGCCAGCGAGAATAGTCGATCAGTTTGCTGGTGTCTAGTCTTCTCGCGAATATCGCGCTCCAACTCGGGATTATCGGACACGGATGAATTACCCGCCACCATAGAGGTACCGGCTTGTGAAGAGATGCTGCTAGTGGCGGTGGCCTGACGATGTGCCGCGAAGTACTCCGGTTCATACTTGGCGATCAAGTTGTTCAAGGCCTTGGTCAAAAAGGGCTGAAAGCGATAGTATTGGTTGGCGATTGCGTCTGCGAGAATGGGATTGCTCAAGGAGGTGAGGTGCGTAAAGTCCACGTAGAGTGTTGAAAGCTCGAATTTGGCCATGCCTCGGATTTGAGCGATATAGTACTTGTCGCTCAGAATTTCTGCCGACGGCGGGGGTGGTTGTGAGAGTGAGGGCTCCTCCATGTATGTCTCAAGCAGTTCCTCAAATGCTTGCTGCACTTTCTCTCCTGCAACATCGGTCACTGGGGGAGGAGGAGGGAGATAGGGATTGCGGAGGCGGCCGACGGTCGAAGCGTTCGAATCTGCTCCCTGCTCGTCTGGATAGCCATGCATATCGCTCATCGGTCCATTGCTTTCTGAGGGCGGCTGCGGTCGTGAGCTCGGGATCTGGTCCGAGTGCAGATGACGAGAGCCCGCCGTCGAGCCCAATTCGGACTGCAGAACGGCATCGAAGAGGGATGACATGCTGAAGGAGGATGGCCAGGAAAAGGCCGCTGGCAATACGAGGTAATGGTCCTTCTTGTAAACTGAATAATGTGTGTTAAATCGACACTCCGCGAGTTGATATTATCGTGATATCTCAGATCAATGTGCAAACTGTTGGCAGTCAATCAAAAGGACCAGCCTTGGGAGAAGGGGGTGGGTGGATTCAAGGCTGACTGAAAGGGAGGGGGGAATTGATCGAAATGTGTTTGGCACTTTTGCTCTCTGTATTGGCATTTTTCCGTCGAGCTTTGCGTGGGACGCGATCTCAACACGAACGCGTCGGTGATACATTGATCCGCTCCTAACGCGTTAAGTGGTTTTTAGATGCTGAGTCAGTTCCTGATCCCTCCTGTCGAGTGCCAAGCTGCCGGAATTAGGGCTTGCCATTTCGAGCCAGAGCTCAGGCCGGGCGGCACGGACTGACTCGGGACCGAGTGGTGGTAACCTACTGGAACCAAGCCATTACCACATTCCTACAATATGATCCATAGGGTCTCCCAAGACTCACCGTCTGCGCTTCACGACTCGCAAGACATTGTCAGCGAAAGTCCACTCCTCGGAGTCCTACACCCCTGGTTTTCCTCGCCATGCACTTTTGTAAAGTGTATACCTCAAGACGGCCATGCCTTCCAATTTCTTAGGGTTAACAGTGACTACCAGCGAGAGTAAAAGTCCTCATGGTACTCCTCCAAAGCAGTTAGTGCAGTGTTATCTGCGTTCAGCTGAACAGACATTCTCGCTCTGGAACTAATGCATAAGTGGAAATTAACCCATTGAGTGCGAGCTCGTACTTCCGACATTGACAACCCATAAGAAGTCATTCCAGCGCTCCACATACTGAACCTCTTCTGCCTAGACCGGGACAGTCCAAGGCATTAAGGCTTGCACTTCCGCGGTTAACTTTATGAGCTTGACTGCATGTTTCTACAGTAACTTATGGTGGAAAGATTCCCCGATTTGGACTGTGGTGGTGGTGGCATCGGCCGTATCATCGTAAGGACGGTGGTCCACTGCAGGCCATGTTGCAGAGGTGATTTGGGACTCGCGCAGAAACCGTCATCTCCTATTCGAGGAGAGCGGACCGGACCGGCATTGATATGGAGCAAAAATGGAGTACGTATTTGACTTTTGCAGCCGCCACTGTTGCCGTGATTGGTTCGGTTGGGAGACCCATCTAGTAAGAGGTTGACAGCTTTCAGAAACAATAAGTTACCACTAAACCAGTAAGAAGGGAAAACCTGGAGCTCCGCGAGTTACATATTGACAGACAAACCTGCCCTCCCTCCTCGTAGTCTCCTACTATGCCTCACCGACACCATCCTATCATCAAGGCGTTGGGATGCCCACGGTTAGGATGTGAATCTATCATCGGCATATAGAACTCGGTTGATATTGCCAGGGGACATGACCTGGGATCTGACAGCAAGACTGCTTTGACGTCACTATCGACATTCGTGTTGTGATCTTGCGAGGACACCCTCCGTTAAGTGGTTGAAACTTAGCTCGTCTAGCCATGCACCTACCGCAGCCACTGGCAGTATCTGCCAGCAATACGAAGGAGGTAGCACACGGCCTTTTCTTACGCTATAGCGACGTCTCTCGTGTCTCTTTGTTGTAGCCGAGAGACCTGCCTTTGTCTTGTCCTTGCGACCCAAAATCTAACGCCATTGAATGTGACAATCCCGATGTTCTGTTGGTTGGTCAGTGACGGTCATCATCGTTCTAGAGTCAGAGACGGCATAGGGAGCATAGGAGGCTGTTCAGCTTTGAACATTTGATACGCACGTCTTGTTCCCCTGAGCTTCGCATTTAACCTACCGGATGCGACCCGTATATCTCTCAATGACCTTTTACCTGTTTTGAGCCAGACAAGGCTATGTTCTAACCTTCTAGGAAATAGGCCAGCCTGACGAAGGGGGGTGGAGAAACAGGGAAAACACCTAATAAACCTTACAGTAGTAGTAAGTTCAAGTTAGTAACGAAACCACCATCGGGGACCTCCCCGAGCGTTCTCAGAACCCGGACCAAGCGGGATCCTTCCCGTCTGAAGGATTGTCAATGATAGGTTAGGTAGTCTGGCCACGGTGGGCTTTTCTTCCCCCGACATCCAATCATATGGAAATTTCGGGTAAGGATTCTATTTCCGCACTGCTTCAATCACTGCAGTGACATTCCTTTAAAACTAGCACTGTTCACCGGGGTGGGTTAAGGTCAAACTTGACTAAGAAAGTAAGTAGGTGGACTGCTCTCGGATCTTACTCCGTAGACAATGTAGGATTAACTAAAGTAATATCATTAGGTGAGCTAATGAAGGGCTGAGATTGAGCATCTTGAGATATAACAGCCCCCAGTATTGGACTTAATTCTTACCATAGGAACAGAGTTGAAAATTTAGACTAGCCGAAGGGAGGACATCGTGGGGCACTTTTCTCTCTCTTAGACAATAGGTCAGTTATTGGGTTAGGTAGGCATTCAGTCTAGCCTGAGCTTTCCCACATGTGGTGTTTAGTGGTTAGTGGGCATAGGCCGCTTCTTGCTGCGGGCTACCCATCATTTAATCATTCACGCCTGGATAAAATCGTCCAGGGTAATACTTCTTGAAATCCTCCCTCCCTTCCTCCCACCGCATCCCACCCACCTTCCCTCTTTCTTACTCTCCACCTACCTTTCCCCCTCTCTTCACTCCCTCCCAATCTCTATGTACATATAACCTGCCTCCCATCGGGTAGATAAACAGCATCTCTCCTTTCTCGTGGCCTGATTTTTGATTACTTGTAATCCTTCTTGGTCTTGTGGGCAATGATCATTCTTTTCAAGGCATGCAAGGGTTCTCATCTTCTTCAAAATGCAGTAACACCCATAGTTGCTCTCGTCTTCCCTCTTGCTCACTTACGCCACTTACTTAGAACAGCTAATGCTCTGATATTGGCACACACACATACACGCACACATGACCAAATCGACTAATCATCGTGGATCTTCTCTCGGGGCTGAAGGTCACCAATCGGGCGAATCTGTCCAACAACGTTGGTCTTCCTGATGTCTTCTCAGTACTTTCCTATGAAGCGCTCACCCTTCCACTCGTCCAGGAACAGCCAATATTCCCCCTCGAGTTCCCACTGAAATCGACCATCGAAGTCGTTCCCCAGAAATTCTAAGCTCAGCCTCTACAATGACAACCTATTTGTTTGTCGACGACCAACTAAGCCCTCGTGAGCGAAGGGCGCATGTCATGCGCGAGCATAACCGGAAAAGAGGTCTACGGCGAACTAGTACTCAGTCTGGGGGTCAAAATGTAAGCTTCGTGACAATTGACATCAGCTGGCGTGATTTATGGTTTATTTGGCTCTTGGGGCGTCTGTGACCTTCTCTCTCTTTGGTTATCTTTTTTCACCTCTACTCACTTACCATGACCACTCATTGTGCTGACATGCGATCGATTTGTAGAACCCAACTAATCCTCCTGCACCAACACCAACCTCACATGGCGCCTTGAATGTCTGGTATCCCTCACCCGCAACGAGTCTCGATTCGTTCAGAAAGGATCCCTTCGACAGCTTGCCAGCTGTCAATTCTCTGACCGACCAAGAGCTTGCCGATGCATGGGTGAGCAAGTTAAGCTACTGGTCAGGGCAGAACCACTATATTAAGTTTCAAATCTATAAAACGGCCATCGCCCATCCGGTGTGTTTTCAGGCGGTCATTCTCGCTTATTGCGCTCGCTGGAGAGCCCGGCTCTACCGTCATCAATCCAGCCCGGAAGTTGAGCAGCATCTGCTTCGGGCTGCCACCATGCTGGAACAAGCAAGTCATCAGAAGAAGGATAGTAATCTCGCTATGGCCTTTGCTGGAATGTCTCTACATGAGAATCGATTCGGTGATAATGAGTCCGCTGCTATGAATTACGAGGATCAGGCTGTTGGAATCCTGCGCATGCGCGGTCGGCAGGACCCTAAGGGCGTCGATGAGGTTTTCCTGCATTACGTGCGTATTCTGAAGATGCCACGAGAGTTTGCACTGAGCCATGATGACCGAGTACACCTAGTTCATCTTGTTCGAGGGGCCAAAGAATTGAAGCGCAAACATAACACAGCTGCATACTTGAGCTCTGTTCCTCAGCGACGTACGGCTTTTCAGATGGCTAGTCCACTCTTTTGTTCGCTTTGTCCTGGACCTTGGCCAACCTCAGTACCACAGGGCTTACATAAATACGTGATCGATCTCAACATCTCCAGTCACGAGCTCAGCCGCACCGCCTGTTTGATCTACATCACAACTGCTCTATGGGAGTTCCAGCACGAACCAGATAAGACCAGTCGATTCCTTGCGCATCTCAATGAGCTTGTCGCACAGTATACACTCGACAGAAACCCCGCATGTGAGACTTTCATATGGCTTCTGATAGAGGAACGCTGTAGTCCGGACCTACGGGAGTCAGAACGAGCGTGGCGGACGGGAGAGCTTCTGAAAAGAATCAAACAACTGCCACCCGTCTTACGAGGCGATTTTAGCAATATTTTGTTCAGCTATCTCATGCTTGAAGATCCTGCTGTAGAAGCTGGTGAGTTCGAAAGAGAGATTTTTGCGCTTCGGATTTGAGTTCGCGCGCTAGACTTTTGGATATGCTCTATCTCTCTTTCTTCTGGTTCAGAGTCTATGCGTTGCTTGGGCTATGTTGACCTAGGAGTCTAGTTCATGCCGGAGCCATATTTGGGTACATATGGAGCAAGAGGTCTGTCAACATTGGGCTTTCAGCACATGGCTGTCCTGGCAGGGGAAGGAAAAAAGTGCAAGAGTCAAGGCATTTAGATCGAGCGCTTATGACGTATAGGGTCGGAAGTCTAAGTTTGCGTTGCCTGTCAGACTGATAACCCAGAACAGTCTAGCCTGAAAATCCAACCCAGCCAGCCGGACCACCACACCAATGGGCCATCATCTCGTGTTTGATGCATTTCTTCATTGGTGACATCGCACCTAGCGGGCATGTGTTCTGGTCGAACTCGGCACAGTTGGGGAGTAACCACTGAGAATTGTCACTGGCACAAGATCCCTGCTGCAACTACCCGTCGCGGTTCCGCGAGAGATAAAATCCTGGAAAGTCACGCATTGACCTTGCTTCCAATTAATCGAACGGACCAATTGCAAGGGAGAGAGATCCTCTTGAGCGGCGTGTTCGTTTCTCTCGCAGGCTGGCCGATAGTACTACGGAGTGGTCAACGGATTTCTTGTTTTGAGGGTATCTGCTTTTGCACATCCTCGCTTGCTATGAGAGTCGAACCATTGATCGCGTGGGTGTTCTTGAAGGACGAAGCAGACCCACTTCCCATGATCTTTCTTGATCTCCCGTCACATGAACTACTGATCAAGACATGAATATATACTATATATATGAACTATTTCAATGAGAGGAGCGACGAGCCGGGAAGGCTGCTGCGAGGTGTTCAAGATATCGGTCACTTCATTTAGCAGAATCTCAGCAAGAGACCTTAAGCTCTACAACATAGGAGCTTTGTTCGAGACAATGCTGTCTTATCGTCTTATTTGAACTTTGGCAGTAACTGTTAATGATCATGGGCATGCGAGAGAGAAACCGCTTCTCCCCCCTCCCCCCAAACCGCCCCCCGCGAGCTCTACGTAAGCACTTAACTCTTCATTCGACCTCCGAAATTGGACAATTGCAGCAAGCTACGAGCGCAATATATCCAAGGGACACGAAAAAAAGCCACCTCGAGAGAAGATGTATAATGGTAACTAAAATCAAGAAGATACGTAAGAATAGTAAAGGAAAAACCCATCGCTCCGCGTGACATCTGCCATGAGAGCGAGAGAGGGGGAAAGCTTTTCGCCACATGTCCCACACACTCGTCCGTGCATTGCCCAGCTAGGGCCAACTTCGGAGGAGACAGCTGTGGTCCAGTAATGAACTAGCTCTGTTTCTCGCCGACAGTGTGCGACATTGCAGGCAGACCCCCAAGGCCTAGAATCTGGACGGCAATAACAGCGCAATCTGGCGAGAATTCTGGGATCGGCTTGACTGGTTACAATAAATGTCGGAGGTTGGAGGCCCAAGCACGGGAACTGAAAGTTTGAGGACCTGATATCATTCGACTCTCATACCCAGTGGGTCGGGGAATTGATAGTTGACATTGACATGGACATGATTGAGTTGATTAGTTATCGATTCCGAGGAGACGGACACGTTGTCCTGCCACCTGCCTTTATCGGATTCAGAGTAGACTCGCTAGTGATAGCATTGACCAGGTAAACGGGATGTGATGATGTGCGTTGGTGGTGGCAAAGATGAAGATGGAGGGGTGGCATTTGCTGCATGATGGCCCGCACCTGCCTGCCTACCAAGCTTAATTCGTGGAGCTTGCCCTCTTCGAACTCGATCACACTCGTAGGAACACGACTTTTTTTTTCATTGCGTCGAATGAAACAGTAGGTCTGTGTCAAGTGGCACGGCAGAATTGTGGCTGGGGAACTGCTTAAAATAGCCCCTTCCAGCCACTCGCTCCGGATTGACTTCTGCAAGTTGCAATACGCGCTCTGTGAGCGGGATGAGGTGGATTGAGTTGACGGACAAATCCGTCACTGTGGTATCTTCTGCATTGGCTGACTGGCCAACGTCATTCACCTTATCTTCAACAATGGACGACGTGTTGTGTGGCTCACCAGTTACCATCAGCCACATCAACAACATCGGGGCGGTGCAAGTGGGCAGCAACTACGGAGACCCGTGACTAGTCTGTGGAAGGTCCGGTCCAGGGGGCCTGGATACCGCATCGAGTCCAGCTCGCAAACCGCCGGCCCAGCGATCGGAATTCATGACCCAAAGTTGAAGATGGGCTGCCCCCAAGGCTCCATTCGGTCCATCTCCTCCTCAACCATGCGCCATGCGGTGCTGTGGCTCTTCCCCCCCCCCCACCCCCTCCCCTCTTTCCCCTCCGTCCAATTTCCCAGCTTCTTTTTTGGGTGCTTCGTTTGAGCTGCTAACTTCCTGGTCTACCTTAATTTACTGTGCTCTCGCGCCTAAGTTCAATCGAACCCAACAAACTCCACGAGAAGAGGTTAGTCTAGACAGGCTAACAGGCCAACACCGCACCAGACCACACGCTAGGGGCGATCTATTGAACAACTCATCCGCCCACTTGCCTCGGGATTCTTTTTCTTGTGACAGAGCTAGGTAGTTTAGTGAGAAAGGGGCCGTTCAGTTTGTTTGCAGTGTTCTGCAGCCTGGGCCTGGACAGAGATGGGAAGCCGCAGTGTTGGGTGCAACGCAACCAGAGAAGAATAATTGCCCTTGCAATACGACGCGCATCACATCGTGATTCAATATCGGATGGTTCTTCACCTCGCTCTTGGCTTAATCTCATTATGACGAGGGGTGGCTGACCGGGCTGAAAGCCTGGAGATGATCGGCATTCGTCACTAGTTTTGCTCACGATCCAAAGCCAAATTCCCCTAGGAATCCCCGACGGGCAGCGTCATTGACTCTCTGTGATCCATGTCTGCTTGATCGCTGGTTACGCTTCTCACTCGTCTGTGGCCACTCGGTGGAGAGAGACCTTCCCAGGGCCTGCTAAAGATGGTCTAGTTTGTGCTTTGAGTAGCTTCACGATCATCTCTTTTCACTTTCAAGCCCACCGAGCCCGTCGCCTTCTCCGAGTACGAGGTGCCCAAGACTACTAAAGATCGCTACGGTCGGCGGTACCGAATCTTCTTCGCAAAGAAATGAGTATCTTTCTTCATTCCTGAAGAACCAATTGGAATGCGTTGAACCGGCTACAGACAGCTTCTTCTATTATTGCTTTTTTTTCCCTAACAGAAAAACTTTAATCATCAGACTTGAGCGGGGAAAGCAGAAAATTCAGAGCGAAAAAGCGTGTGTTGAAAGTGGCTCCCCCTATCGCTAAGCTTCGGGTTCCTTGAGTCTATTCATTTGACTTTGTTCACTCCTCAAACAAATACCTTCTGTGTTGGCCCTCCCCTCCCACAATCTTCCTTCTTCCCTCATCTCTTTCCTGGATTTCTCCCCATCTCAATTTGCGATCCACCTCCATCTGCGATCGCGTCAATTCTTAAGGTCAAGGAAGACCCTGGATTAGTCTACTGCAACCCTTAGTACACGCGGCCCTCGACTTTCGGGTGCTTGCGATCGCCCCGCTGCGCTCAATAGGGGGCATCATGGTCATAACTGATGTAGGCCTTTTAGGCCTCCGTCATCTGGGCGGACGTGTATGTTTCCTTGAGCCGCGCGATATATGCGCATTACTTCAATGGAGTGGGATGTGGTTAACTTGCTTCTAGAGCACCGATAATCCTCAAGATACCTCCAATTCGGCTTCAGGTCTGGTCACCACCTTGGTCCCATCTCTGGTGGTGGCTGTCGTCATGGTCTCTGTCTTCATCTTCCTGCGTCGCAGTGAGCGTCGAATGTACATGCCGCGAACCTATGTTGGAGTCTTGCGCCCTTCCGAACGGACACCTGCGTCACCCACCGGCCTATGGAACTGGATCCTGCACATGTACCACATACCCGACGAATATGTTCTGCAGCACCACTCGATGGATGCGTACCTCTTACTCCGCTTCCTGAAGACCGTTTCTATGATCTGCTTCGTGGGTGCTTGTATCACGTTCCCCATTTTGCTCCCGATCAATGGAACCGGCGGCGCTGGAAATCAGCAGCTGGATCTCCTGAGCATGTCGAACGTTGCTGATAATAACTATGCGCGTTACTTCGCGCATTGCTTTGTCGCCTGGATTTTTATTGGTGAGATTGATACGAACCTGCGCCGGACAACTGTCCGTCAAGAGGTCGATTCTAACACCATGTTATTTTAGGCTTTGTGTTCTTCACGATCACCCGCGAAAGTCTTTTCTATATCAATTTGCGCCAGGCTTATGCTCTTTCTCCTGCTCATGCCAGTCGTCTGTCTTCGCGTACCGTGCTTTTCTCTGCAGTCACTGAAGACTACTTGGATCGCGACAAGATTCGTCGGATGTTCGGCGTCGAAAAGGTCAAGAATGTTTGGTTGGCGACAGATACTAGTGAATTGGAAGAAAAGGTTTCTGCGCGAGACGACGCGGCAATGAAACTTGAGGGCGCGGAGACGAAACTCATCAAATTGGCGAATGCTGCCCGTCTTAAGGCGTTAAAGAAACAAGGACACGTGGAAGATGGCCCTATCTCTGGAGATGCTGCGGGCGACGAATCGGATGGAGAGTCGGGTTCTGTTGCTGCTCGCTGGGTTAAGCCTTCTGACCGTCCAACGCACCGGCTTAAGCTTCTGATTGGCAAGAAAGTGGATACTATCAACTGGGCAAGAGCAGAGATTGAGCGTCTCACGCCCGAGATTGAGGAGCTCCAAGCCAAGCACCGTGCGGGTGATGCCAAATTGGTTTCTTCGGTGTTCGTCGAGTTTCACGCTCAGGCAGATGCTCAGGCCGCGTTCCAGTCTGGTAGGCATATTCCTTCTGCTTTAGCATTGTTGTCCGGATGCTAACGTTCATGCAGTGGCCCACAATCTCCCCTTACATATGACACCCCGGTACATTGGTCTCGATCCGACACAAGTCATCTGGTCGAATTTGCGCATCAAGTGGTGGGAGCGTATCATGCGGTATTCCGCGACCGTCGCTTTTGTCTGTGCTATGATTATCTTCTGGGCTATCCCTACCGCTTTTGTTGGTTCGATCTCCAACATTAACTACCTCACGGACAAGGTTCATTTCTTGCGGTTCATCAATGATGTCCCGAGCTGGATCAAGGGTGTTATCACCTCCCTGCTGCCTACTGTGTTGATGTCCGTTCTCATGGCGCTCGTTCCCATCATCCTTCGCCTGATGGCCAAGCTCGGTGGTGCTCCCAGTTTGGCCGCTGTGGAGTTGACCACCCAGAATTTCTACTTTGCATTCCAGGTTGTACAGGTGTTCCTGGTGGTCACCCTTGCGTCATCCGCCTCGGCCGTCGTCACCAAGATTATCAATGAGCCCAGCAGCGCTGCATCCTTGTTGGCCAATAACATCCCGCTAGCATCCAACTTTTATATCTCATATATTATTTTGCAGGGCTTGTCCTTCAGCGCCGGTGCCCTGTTGCAGATCTCGGGTTTGATCGTTGGCAAGATCCTTGGCCGGCTCTTGGATAACACCCCTCGCAAGATGTACAAGCGCTGGTCCTCTTTGGCCGGATTGGGCTGGGGTACTGTATACCCGGTTTTCACTCTCTTGGCTGTTATTGGTAAGTGCACTTTAAACCCCTCAGTGGCTGAGACGATTTCACTGACGCGTGGTTGTATGACAGCTATCATCTACTCTTGCATTGCACCTCTTGTTCTTGGCTTCGCCACCATTGGGCTCTATCTCTTCTACTTTGCCTACCGGTACAACATGCTGTTCGTGTCAAACGCCAACATCGACACGCAGGGCAAAAACTTCTACCGGGCTTTGCAACATCTCACCGTTGGCTGCTATATCCTCATGGTTTGCCTCATCGGTCTTTTTGCAATCGGTACCGCCGCCAACAGAATTGCTCTTGGCCCCCTGATCCTCATGATTATCTTCCTCATATTCACTGTCCTGTACCATGTCTCCCTCAACAGTGCGTTGGAACCTCTCATCAACTATCTTCCCAAGAATCTTGAGGCTGAAGAGGAGGCTCTTCTCGCGGACGAGGCCAGGTTGAGCTCTTCTGCTCATGAGCCTTACGATGACAAGGCTCCTGCTGGTGCCTCTGCAGATGCCGGTCGCAACAGTAGTGTGGCCAACGTTGACTCTGCCGAGAAGGGCTTAACTGCTCCTGCGACTCCGCAAGAACCTAAGGCCAACTTTCTGGTGCGTTATCTCTGGCCCGACAAGTACAGCGGCTACGCGCAGCTCCGTCGTCTCGTTCCGACCAATGAAACCACCAGCTATGATCCGGTAGTCGAAGAAAATGCCTATTTCCATCCTTCAATTGGGGCCCGGCCCCCTCTTCTCTGGATTCCCCGTGACGAGTTGGGGGTCAGTCGCCAGGAGGTCCGACACACCTCGAAGGTCATCGAGATTACTGATGAAGATGCTTGGCTGGATGAGAAGAACCACATCCAATGGAACACGGAGAAGGGCACTCCTCCAGTTTACACGGAGAAGATCTACTACTAAAGGACTTCGCACAGAACGTGTGCTGTGGGGCGAAGACCGGCTCCCACCGATTTACAATCGGGAGTTAAGCCTCTCGACGAGCTGTTGGAGTCAAGTTGGCCTAATAATTGATACCCATGGAATGGTAGAAGTGGGTTCCTGTAACCCTTTCTGTGATACCCGCGTTAATATGGCTGGAATAATGGTAATATAAATGAGTTGTCTGTGTCTTACTGTGAAATAAGTTTCTCAATGAATTCATGATATCAGTGAAGATGTGGCCTACCTCCACTATGGAGGCAGATGCTCATCTGTTGTATTGCAACGAAGCCGGAATAGATGTGTGCCCTTGGTCGTTATGCATCAATGAGTTCCTTCCTTCGCTCGACCCTTCCACTGTCTCTTCTTCCACCGCACCCTAGCTTCTCTTACTCTTCTTTTTAACCATCTTCCTCTATCTTCTTTACCATAATCTTGCATTTGCTCTTCACAAACGCTAACCGAACAGGACATCAAACCAGTACTTGGCTGTCAAGCATGTCTCTCCTGAAAACTTGCTCTATTCACAAACCCAGCGTCGACAACGAAGCCTGTTCGCCTGGATCTGTCCGGAGGTCGAAGATGGAAATGCCGTGGTGGCTAGAGATCCCCAAAGGTTACCGACCTCTCTCCTTATCTTGACGCATCAAATAACTAGTACTAAGTCATCTTTGGCATTTTTGACCGGCACTAATTCCGAGCTTACCCTGTCCTGCCCGTCATTCCAACCCATCGCTCATCACCCATGCTCCCTTCTCCTTCATCTCACACCTAATTTCCCACAAATTAACAAGCATGTCAGTTAGTAACCCTTCTTTATCAATTAAATCCACGGTTCAAGAGAACTTTTCCCTCCATACCCTACCTACCTAGCAGCGGGATGTGAGTACAAGATAAACCAACCAACTAAACATAAAAAGAGCGGTCGGTTGGGCGTTAACCCCACCCTCTCCACGGCGGACTCTTCCACGACTTTCCCTAGTCCCAACTCACACCGTCATTCAGATCCCAATTTCCCTTCCTGTCGTATATGCTGTACCAGGTCTAGAGGTAACAGCAGCAGCAACCTATACACGCCTTCTTAGTCCCCTTTGAAGATGAGCTGACATGATTGATAGGAGCTATGGGTTCACCAATCCCAGAAGATAAGCTGCCAGAGCAGCTCTGCCTGGATTATTCCATCCGTGATATCCAAGAAGGTCGTCTCGTTGCGGCCAATGACCCGTGGGCTCCTTTATATCTCGATGCCATCCGCGATGGGCGGTACGGGGATGCGGTGTGGGCGCGATATCACATCGGCGGAGATGTGGAAAACGGCATCGTTGGTGGCTCTGGTGGTATGACCGTCCTCGAGGTGATCAAGGAGAATGCCCTGTCATACCGAGTGTCGAACCCGGAAGAATACTTCAAGGCCGTGGCCTTCTATCGCGGCACGAGCAAGGACGATGGGCGTGCCGATGTCCTGGATGTCATTTGCATTCTTGATAAGCGTGAAATTGCGGAAATGGAGGTTAGGAAGAAGAAGGAGAATCAACTGGAAGAATAAGGCTGCTTGATCCTGCTTTTGCGGTATTCTTGATGGGTTGTATGGGTTGAGTTTTAGTAATATAATGGAAGCTTGTTGAAAGGCCCTACTAGATAGAGTCGGGCAGACTTTGACTATGTGTAAATGCATATCATCCGAAATAAGGACAATGTCAGTCTTCTCTCAACATGGTGGGATACTGTGTGCGTGTGCTTCCTCTCTTTCCCACCTCGGCGGGGGCTACCAGTCCAAGCACGGAGTACCAAGGAGAAAAAATCAAGAGATGCAATGGCTTCTGAAGTGAAGCCGTCCTAAGGAATCTCGATAACTCAAGTCTTGGTGTTGCCCACCGCTGACCTCGGTGGCCTTTGCTACTTCCTCATCCACCATCAGCCACCATCCTCCACGTGCTTGACACTTTGAGATAGAACCTCTACATCATCTTCTTACTAGGGTGATCTATCAGTATTAGAAGACTTCTGGATGGCTTAAACTCGCAAATCCGGCGTTGAAATCGCTCGCGATCAAATCGTCTGGGGCCCGCTGGTGGGACATGTTCACGGCACGCAGGGAGATGTTGCGGTCAAACGCCTCCATGGCCAGGCTGTTGCGGTTCAGGAATGCCCTTCTTGCCAATCTCCACCATGGTGACAACTATGTCCTTGTAGTTGAGACCCGCGCCGTACACTTCCACCTCGTGATGTCCGTCCAGACACGAGACAATGGCGGGGCCCGTCGCATCGCCTGCAGGGTGCTCGACGTCCAGATTAACGAGCCGGACGCCCTCTTCGGCGCGTACGGTGCGGAAGAATCCGTTGACCGCGGCAGTATAGAAATTGTTACTATCTACTTTGATAAATTAATTGACTATAGCTTAGATAAGATAAAAGTAGTAGTTATCTACTTTTATTCTAAGATCAATTCTTAAGAATGTTGAATTCTTGAGAATTTAGTACAGTCCTATATATAAGATCAGGAGAAAGGAGGGTTATATCAGAATGATCTATATCCCCAGAATGAATAACCAGTTAATCAGTGTTGAAAGGCCAGGCTAGGGATGGCTACCCGCAGGTATAGTGTTACAATTTTAGTTAGTATATAGTTTAGAGACCTGATACTAGTTATATAGAAGCTATTTATAGTTAAAGTAGAAACTGTTTTATAAACTCTAGAATTACCTAGTAAGCCCTCTATCGCAGTTTGGAAGTTGTCGGAGTAACTAACCACTTGGTACATATTTAGTGAGTAATCAGTGAGTGTGCAGAAGCCCAGAAGGAGCAGTCACGTGATGCCATATAGAAGCAGCGGCACCCGTATACGGCAAGCAGACGGGACTGTCGTTGCAGCAAAACATTTCAGTAAAGGAACTACAAGTTGTACTTACGGTTACCAACAACTGAGCAGTAGTAGTAGGTTTGGTTGCAAGTCTACGGTAGCCACTGGGGTCTGGCCCAATTACTGCTAGAACAGTGTGAGTGTGTCAGTTGTGTCAGTGTGTCAGTGTCAGTGTGCGATTAAATTTTTTTTTTTTTCTTTTTTCTCTCTCCCTCTGCCTTGTTTCGGCTGTCGTTCCCAGTTTCCACCTGTCAGATTGCCAACTCCCGGAACAGCGGATTTGACTGACTCAACGAACTCTTTCCCCCCCCCCATATTGTGGCTGGCGTCAGTGCGTGTGCCCTTATCGATACGATAGATACTAGTCTTGATAGCATCAATTTCCCCCCATCAGCAAGAAATCCTGACGATTACTGGCGAGAACCTCCCTCCTTTCTCCGCCCCCGACCATTCCGGCCTGCGAACGATGGATTGAGTGTCGTCATCCGTCATATCCCTGTTGTTCCTCTTCCTCGAAAAGTACGTGACCTCACACAGGGCCAGGGGGCAATCACCAAGGTTTTTAGGTGCTATACTCGAACGATCGTTTGTCGCTGGACTCATGTTGCCATCAATCGAGATGCCCCGTAACATCCTCATTGCTGGCGCTGGCATTGCCGGTCTCGCTTGCGCTATTTCACTGTCGAAGGAGCTGGGCTCCTCGATTCCCGATCTGAAGATATCCGTATTCGAAGGGGCAGCGGGTCCTTCCGCCTCAGGGGGCGCTATCAGTTTGACCCCCATCGCGCAGAAGTACCTTCATCAGTTGGGGGTTCTGTCGGAGCTGAATCGGATGGGAAACGATGCGGGAATTGAGGTCGACATCATTGAGCTCTTTTCGTTACGGTCCGGCCGTCGCCTGGGCCCCCTACGGTTCACTGACGAGAACGGGCGTGGATACGGAGGGTACAAGGGCCGTCGAGTGATGCGCAGTGCGCTGTCGCGCGCCATGTTGGCTGTTATCCGCGATCTCCCAAATGTGTCTGTCTTTTATGATGCGAAAGTGGTGGGCGGCAGCACCACCGATGACAGCGCCACGCTCCAGTTCGAGAATGGGACTGTGGCCACCGGGGATCTACTTCTCGGCTGTGACGGGGTACATTCCATCACGCGCACAAAAATTGTCGACCCGGGCAATCGATCAGAGTATTCGGGGATCTCCTTCATTCAGAGTATGGTCGATGCCCAGGAATTCACCCTGCCCATGCACTTCGACCAGACAGCGGTGCATTTCACCCGTCATAGCTCGCTGCTCACCAGCTACTGTGACCCGGCACGAGAGAGGATCTTCGCTGCGGCAATCCTTCGCGTCAACGAGCATCTCATCGAACGATATCAGGCCGCTTCGAACAACACCCCGCAATCCGAAGCGAGCATGAAGATGTCCATCCGGTACCTAATACGCACGCAATTTGGCAAATCCACCTTACCCAGCATCCGGGAGCTGGTCGACCGTATCGAGGACTGGGCGCTGTACCCGGTGTATCAAGTACGCCAGCGCGGGAAATGGTACAAAGGGCGAGTTCTCCTGCTGGGAGATGCAGCACATGCGGTATGTCTTACTTCTCTCCTTTCTTTCTCTCTCTCCTCATCCTACCGGACCTTTTTCCAGTCACTCAAATCAAACTAACCTTCGCCATTTCTTCCCCTCTCTCTTGGGGGAGGGGAAGTGGCATTGAAAAGATGCCTCCTCGTGACGAGTCAGCCGCCTACGCCATCGAAGACGCCCTCATCCTGACCCAAATACTCGCCCAGCACCGCGATGACAGCGGCTGCCCCCTGTCAAATCTCTTTCAGGAATACGAAGCCGCCCGCAGAGTCCTAGTGGACAAGGCCTTCGACGCCTCGCGCAGATTGTGGCAGAGCGACCTCGACAAGGGGCTCTTCCCGGGTCATGTCCGGGATCTCATGTCGCCTGTACATGTTTCGTCAGCGACCTCCTCGGCGCCGCGTGGAACTGTGGCGACCCATCAGAGCTTTTCGGATTTATCGGTGTACTCGCTGACGAGGGAGTTTCAGGGGGAGATTGAGTCTTAGATGCCGTAGACCTCTGTCGCTTCATCTCATGATGGGCCGTGTTGGATGTGTTCTGGTCGTTTTTGCTCTTCACTCAGCATTATACCTGGTCTCTGAGCTCAGAGTCTTCAGAGAGGAGTCATGGAGTCTCATATATATCATAGAAGGATGCATTGTTCCATTTTTATCATACTCAACATCTGGTATGATCCCGGGATTTAAGGAGTTTCGAAGACAGACTCTATCTAATAGACTTATTCGATTAATCAAGTCAAATCACACTCAGAGCTACAAAACAGATACGTACCACCAACATCTGAAGCCATTACAGTACACCAGAGGGCCAGGAATTAGCACAAGGTTACAGTTCAGCTCAGCCTTCTTTCTCTCTTTCTTCTCTTACCATTTCTTCTTCTATACCTAGTACCTTTGCCTACTATACTCCCCTACCACTCTTCCTATGTCTTCTCTCACTATTTGCCCTCATATATCAACTATCTTTATCTACTCAGCCTGTCCTCTCCCATACTCTTTTCTCTCACTCTTTCCTCAGCTACATCAGCTATGTTTATCTAATCTCCCTTCTCCAACCTCTCTCTTCTCTTACTCATCCTTCTCTTGCTCTTTCTTTTCTCATCACTTCAATCTTTTATACTAAGTATTTTTTGTCTAAGGTACTCTATCTTCCACTACTCTCTCTTCTCATCTTATTTATTCTTCTATACTAACTATCGTACCTTTGCCTACTCTATCTGTTTCCACTTTATCTTCTTCTACTCGTATCTTTCTCCCAGTCTTGCTCTCTCTTCTACAGCAACTACCTATACCTATTCTACCCTCTTATACACTCTTTTCAACTACTATTTTCTCCCCTACATTGACCACCTATATCTACCCTGCCGTCTTCCACTCTTTCCTTTCCTACACTAACTACCTATATCTACTCTACCTTCGTCTACTCTGCACTCTTTCCCTTCCCCTTCTTATACTGACTACTTCTACTCCTGCCCTTATACTGACTGCTTCTAGTCTCATTTCTACTCTGCCTTCTTCCAATTTACCATCTCATACGTTCCCCCCTTCTACTCTTCCTTCTGACACACTGAGTATTTCCACTCCTCTTTAAATCATACTGACTCCATCTACTTTCTCTTCTACTCTTTTACCACTCTACTATCCTCTACTTTCCCTACTACTCTTTCTTCTTGGTATACTAACTACCTCTTTTGTTATTCTACTACACTACCTTCTACTACTCCGCCTACTGTTTCTATCGTCTCTTCTACTCTTTCTTTCTCTACTCTTCCTGTCTCTACTCTTCCTTCCTCTACTCTTCCTTCTTCCGTTCTTTCTTCCTCTGTTCTTCCTGCTTTACTATTCCTTCTTCTACTCTTCCTTTTTGAGCAATGGCTACTTCTACTCCCCCTTCTCCTGGACTGCATCCTTCTACTCCGCCAAACATGTCTGGAGATAATTCAAGAGTCCAAATCACAAATTCAAGCGAACCTTCGTTCTCCCCACTACTAATTGATGGGCAGATGTCATATGCCGAAAAAAAGAGCTCACCTTTGGCTCAGAGTTTCATGGCTTTAAAGGAGCCTTTGTTCTCCCAAGCTGCGGATATGCAGACGGCGCCCACAACTAGTTCAGCTCTGGACCAGAATACAGTGGGGCAGCTACAAGATACAGAAACCGAAGCTTTGCTTCGGCTTCTGGACACGGTATATGAGTTGGACACTACTAAGTGTTATGGAGACGCAGGACACAACATGGCAGAGCCCAGCGGGGCTAGCAACGATACCTCTGCAGACGACATTGGAGATGAGAACAACCCTCATGTAGTACTGGATGATATATCTGTCGTCTCTTCCTCGTTCTTTGTATCGGATGATGCCCAACCTCAGTTTATTGATCTGAGTACTGAAACTCACGAGACTGAGCTACTAGATGAGGAGCTTGATGCAATAGCCAAAGAGGATCTTTCGAACGCAAAGTGAGCGACATCCATATACTCTCGTTGTCGTCTTTCCCCAACAAGCAGGTCTAGGCTAACTACAGATATAGGTTCGAGGCCGCAAAGCGTCATTTTGAGAGTATCGCGAATCCTTCTTTGGCAGACAAGATTCGCTTTGAAGCTGCTGAGATGGATGAAGAAAAACGTGTGAGGCGAGTTACTGCGAGGAAAGCACGTGAAGCACGTGAAGCTGGGAATGGAGCGAGTAGTTCCAGCGACGAGGACCAAAAAAGCGTCTCTGACGAGCAAGTGCCTGTCAAGGCCAGAGCGCAAGCGGCGACAAGCACACTGGGAATCCCGGAGAGCACTCTCGAGGCGAACAACCGGGGTCGACGGTTGCGAGGCACAAGAGCCAGAAAGAATAGGTTTTCAGCTGAAGAGAAGCGCAAGAGTAAGAGTTATGGTCTTCAGGCTGCTCTCAAACAGGCAGGCCATAAGGCCCAAGGAAAGACCAGAAAACGGAAAGGCGAAAACACCGCAACTAGTCTTGAGATGCTGGAGACACCAGCCCGCAAAAAGGCGAGGAAGAAGATTCAAGGAAATGAAGAGTTTCTCAAGGAACTTTTGGCTCCCAACGTCATCGAAGACGCACACGCCAGTGCTGCAGCGAAAGCTATGCCCGAAACCGGCGAGAGAAACAAAGAGAAGGCTTTCAGGCGGATGATCGGTAGTATCCCTGCGGAAGGTCTTGCCGAAGCACGGTCAGATCATAACAAAATCCTCGATGCCAGCAGAAAGTTTTCAAAGACTGCTACGAAGGATGGTACAGGTGGATATCGTATCCCAGGTATGAAGACAAGCTTATACCACTATCAGCTTCTAGGAGCAGCGTTTATGCGTGATCGAGAGAATGCATGCATTCCACCCTACGGGGGCTTTCTGAGCGACTTCATGGGGTTGGGAAAGACAATTCAAGCATTGGGTGAGTAAAGTATATCATTTCTTATACGTATATGCTGTGCTAACAAGAGGCTAGCGAATATTGTGGACGGGAGGCCGTCGGATCCGGAAGACCCTGTCAGGACGACATTGATTGTCGTGCCATCGCAATTGGTATCTCATTGGAAGAGTCAAATCATCAAGCACTGCGATGGTATCAAACTGGGCGAGATCGCCACTTACAGGGCTGGACACAGAATGGATACACTGGACATTGCGGAAAGCCTTCAGTCATTCAGTGTCATTATCACCACGTACGACGAGGTCAGGAGGTCATATCCGGTTTGCTCCAAATCATCGACACCGCTCGGCACTGAAGCAGAAGTGAGTACAAGGTGGGATGAAATCTACGAAGAGAATCGCGGCCCTCTCCACAGAATCAAGTTTCTCCGCATCATACTTGATGAAGGGCACGTTATCAAAAACCCTGCGTCAGCCGTCTCAAGGGCCGTTTGTGCTTTGATCGGAACTTACCGATGGATTTTGACCGGCACGCCTATAATCAACTATCTCGATGATCTATTTCCTCAATTCGAATTTCTAGGCGTACCGGGTGTGAAGGATCATGAGAGATTTATCAGGGATTACTGCCAAGACGACGTTGCCAATATGCGCTTGGTCAATCGGATGCGATCGTTCATGTTTCGCCGGACTCATGCTAGCCGAATTCTCTCATTTCCTATCGTCAAGCTGCCGGATGTTCATGATGACGAGATAAGAGTTCAATTCTGTGATGCTGAGCGCGAACTCTACGATGCTATTCAGGACCTGTTCATGGACAACATTAACAAACTTGCGGAACATAAGCATCCCGTTCTGGCTCAGTACAGATGCTTCTTGACCATGATACTTAAACTCCGCATGGTCTGCAGCCATCTTCTGACTGCCCATGATATTATCAAGGAACTGCTGTCGGAAGGAACTCTCATGGCGAAGCTCTCTAGAATGTCCCATGGAGGAGCTGCGCAAGACCCCACGTCCTTGATAGTCCAAAGGCTGATCGCCATTCGCAAGAACCCCACCGTCATCTGCGATGAACTCAAAGAGCATCTTGTTCATTCTACAATCCTTCAAGGAGACAAAGAGAGACTGATGAAGGGCTATTACGAGTTTATGGCCCATCTCCACGACCGCGAGCAATGGGATGAACGCCTCGAGAGAAATAGTTGCCCGCAATGCAAGTCTGTTCCAGTCTACCCGATCATCACGTCATGCCATCATCTCTACTGCGAGGAATGCTACAGTTATCTCTCTGTCAATGCGGATACAGCTGGAGGGAAACCAGCGTGCTGCACCTGTCAAGAGCCCATCAATGAAGCTGCCTACTGTGACGCGGTCGAGGACATCGAGCTCACGCAGACACAAACAGCGCAAAACTTGCGACAAACGACGCAGAGGACAAAGAGGAGGCGGACAGGTGGGAAATGGGGCTCATTTTGTCGAGCGACCCTCGGGAATTCGAGCGAGGAACCGGTGACCGAGCCAGATGCGGACGAGCAAACCGACTGGATTCAAGCATGCGCAGGTCAAATGCCATCTGCGAAATTGATGCAGATCCGGGAAATGGTCGCACAATGGCTAGCAGATTCGCCAAACAACAAAATCGTCATCTTTACTCAATTCCTCGACTTCGTTCGCATTATGGATGCGATGTGCCAGAAGGAGGGCTGGCCGGTAGTTTGGGTAAGAAGATTCATAACTTGATCTTGCCTCTCTTCCTTTCTTCCCCTTTAGAAATACGGACAAAACGAATACTAAGAAGATGTAGTTGACCGGCAAGATGAATCTTGCCTCGCGGGAAGAAAGCATAAAGGTGTTTAGCGACAAGGAGGGCGACACAAACATCTTACTGGCGAGTCTCAAGGCTGGTGGTATAGGATTGGACTTGACCGCAGCGAACAAATGCATTCTCGTCGACCTGTGGTGGAATGACGCGATGCAGGACCAGGTATGTGTATACGCTGTGGGTTGATTATTTCTGTAACAAAGACAGACTTGCTAACCCTTTTTCACCTACAACCAGGCTTTCTGCCGGTTGTGGCGCATCGGGCAAACGCAGGAGGTGACATATATCAAACTTATCGTCGATGAGACAATCGACGAGTATCTTCTCGCGCTCCAACTTAATAAAAAGGCAACTATCGAGAAGATCATCGGAGATGATATCTTGAAAGACCGCGACACGATGGAGTCGCTAATGCGGATGTTCGCGGACGTCAAGGTAGAACCTAATGGCGCCTTCAGATTGACCCGCAAAAGTAAGAAGTCAAAAGCGGCATCGACTTTCAAAGTTCAAGGGAAGAAGAAGCTCGATTATGCTCAGGAGCCAGTCGCAGAGGCTTCGGAAGAGCAGTCTGCCGTTGAAACCTGATAATTCACCATCTACTTACGTAGATATGGAGGGTTTTCTTTGGCGATCCTTGAAGTCTATTGTGATCCACTAAAATAACGACATGACCATGGCTGATTTTCCGACTTAGCTATGATCTATCATTGTCTTTTGTTTCATTTATCTATTGATTCCCTTTATCATTTATCTGATGCAGTGGTACTACTAGTCAGCAAAGTAATAACAAGATCACAGCTTGCAAATGCTGCATCTAAAAATCAACCATTTTTTTGTTCATAGTATCAATAAACCATCTTATGTGCAGTATCTCTCTGAACATGAGATGCATGATCCGATCTTGTAACTGATCAAGAACAAAGAAGTGATAACTAGTAAGCGCTTCTAAGTAGCTCGCCAACGAGTGCTTACAGTGTTGTTGAAGCCAACCTGAAGGAGCTTGATGTCTGGGGAATCCTACACATCTCGAAGCTTCCAAGACATGACGAGGCTAATAACATTACCCAATCGGGTTATATACATCTTTATCTATCTCATGTCACATGACCGCCTCCCTGCCGGGGTGGCGTCACCGCTTTCAAGGCCGAGATTTTCTGCCGCTAGTTTTTTCTTATCCCAAAGGGAAGATTTGTTTCTACCGGTTGATCTTTCCATCGGCCGCCCCCTTCTGCAGCTATCACTCTGCATCCTTCTCTCTTTTCCCTTTTCCCTCATCTTTCCTTCTCTTTCTCGATTGTGAATCGAGCTTTTGTACATCAAGTTCCTTTTTCTTCGCTTTCTCGTCCACCACAGTCATGCTGAGTGCTTTCCGCCGCGCCGGTGTGTCCCATGCGCTGCGCGCATCTCGGACCCTTGCCGCGAAGACGACGTCGCAGCGCGCTCAATGGATCATCCCCTCTGCCACCCCCATCTCGCACAGTCTCAGATCATCTTTCCACACGTCGCCCGTTCGCTTTTCGATCGCTGCCGCGCAGGAGGTTGAGAATGGCGTCAAGCCGATTGAGTCCGAGGAATTGACTCGTTTCTCCCAGTTGTTGGGCAAGATCGATCCCCAGTTCCTCAGCAACATCAACAGAATGAACATCACTACAATGACCGAAGTGCAAAGCCAGACGATCTCTCACACGCTGGATGGTTCCGACTGGTGAGTTTTTCCCCTGCTTCCTACTTCGTTTTGACCACACCTGCTCTCCTCTCTTTGGTAAGTGACAGAAGCTGATTTCGTGTCTCTCTCAGTCTTGGACTCGCAAAGACAGGAACAGGAAAAACCCTTGCCTTCTTGATTCCTGTTGTTCAGAAAGTTCTTGAAGGTCTGCCCAGAGGGCGGGCCGCCAAGAGGAACATGAGGGCGGAAGATGTTCGTGCTATTATCATTTCACCCACCCGTGAGCTGGCAGAGCAGATTGCCACCGAGGCGTCGCGCCTGGTGGCTGGAACTGGCGTGCAGGTGCAGACTGCTGTTGGTGGCACACAGAAGCAGATGCACCTGAGAAAATGTCAGAACGAAGGTTGCCACATCCTTGTCGGTACCCCAGGCCGTCTTTTTGACGTGCTGTCCTCTGAGACGTCCCGTATCAGTGCTCCCAACTTGTCTGCCTTCGTTCTGGACGAGTGCGATCGTCTGTTGGACGATGGATTCTCTCAAGACGTTCGGGAAATTGCAGACTTGCTGCCCGACCCCCTCAAGGTCGATCGCCAGACTCTGATGTTTTCTGCCACCATGAATCGTGATGTGATGCGGTTGGTGAATACTATCATGAAACCGGGATTTAAGGTCGTCAAGACCATCGACGAAAATGAAGTTCCGACTCATATGTCTGTCCCTCAAAGAACGGTCATCATGAACGGCTACGAGAACGCGTTCGCTAGCGTCCTCGAAATGGTGAAGAACTATCGGGCTCACTACCAAGAGAAGCGCATGGAAAATCCTGAGCTCCGTCCTTTCAAGGCCATCTGCTACCTGAACACCACAAAGATGACTAGCTTGGCCTTCCAGGTTTTTGACAGGCTGCTCAATGTTCCCAATGATTTTCGTAGTGGTCACCCCTTGGGTAACATGCCCATGTTGGAAATCCATTCCAAGATGACCCAAGCCCAGAGAACTCGCACATCACAGCAATTCCGCGCCTCCAAGGAGGGTATCCTTTTCTCTTCCGATGTCACTGCGCGTGGTATGGACTACCCTGACGTGACCCATGTCATTCAAATTGGCACCCCCCGTGACCGTGACACCTATATCCATCGCTTGGGACGGACGGCCCGTGCCCACAAGAAGGGTGAGGGATGGCTTTTCATTCACAGGGACGAGAAGGGATTCGCGCAAAGCAAATTGGCTGGTCTCCCCCTCAAGATCGATAGATCCCTTGAGACGGCAACGAAGGATGTGGTTAACGAGGAATCAAACGAGCATATTGAGCAGATCAAGAACGCAGTCCAAGATGTTCATCCTGCTGAGAGAGAGGAGGCAGTGAAGACCTTTTCATCGCACGCGGACACTGTTCTGGGCAGGTATGCTTCTCAGGGGTTGAGAAATCTGGCGGTTTCCGGCCTAGGTCTCAAGGATATGCCTCGCTACGGAGGAGGTGGTCGTCGTCAACAACCCGACCGCTTCAGAATGTCCGATCGTGATCGTCCTGGCCCCAGCGGTCGCTCCCGCGGTGATTTCGATGATTTTGGTTCTCGCGGTCGTCTCCGTTCTGACTTCGGGTCTCGGGACTTCGGCTCCCGCGACAACCAGCGCTCTCGGAACGATCAGCACTCGCGCGGTCGCAGATGGTAGAAGACTGGATATGTACGATGCTCGGCATAATACCCATTTGGCTTCTTGGATTCCGATTGTGTTCCTTTATAGCTGTTGGTCAAGGTGTACTTTTATTCATGGGGGTATAAAATGTTTTTACTGTTACCATATAACTCTGCTCTAGATACCAGATGACATAATTCATTCTTGTACAATATCGCTTTCCCGTGCTTGGGCACTGATTTCGCTTATACTAGACTATGATGTACACCTGTCCTGAGGTAGGACTAAGAGGGGCCTTACGTGTGCCGAGCGCACCCCCATGCGTAGACAAAAGCCTTATCGAAACGACAGCTCACAATTGCGTGGATCAGTCTCTCTGGGAAGCGTTGTTCGGAGTCGACCTGCATACCGGTATCATTCCGCTACCTGTAGTAAGTAATGCCTGGAGTGCTCTGTGCAACGGGATTCATATGGTGTAGCTCATCTATCACCTGGAAAAGAGAGCGGTAAAAATGGAGAAGAGCCGAAGAATGGGTCGGTCAAGACTTGAATGAGGTTTAGATTTGCCCTTTGCGGTTATGCCCCGACCCCCGACCTCCGACTTCCGAGATCTTCTCGCTACTTCTAGGCGATTGCCTATGCTCCAACGATGAGTTCCTTTGAAGTGGGAATAGGTTCCCACACTTCTCATTCCGCTAGGACTGCCGACCGGTGTGAGATTTACCCCCACGTGGAGACGGAGTGGGAGTGTAGTTAAACAGACACTGATTTCTCAACACCCCATTCTGCCTCTGCGATTAGGGTCAGGTACAGTACCAGCTGGTGGTGGGTCGATCTCAGACTTACGACGTGGTTCTTCGCGTTGCCATTTGACCAGGACCAGTCAGCCTTACAGCTTTGGTTGACAAGTTGGCACGACTCGTGTACCACTACCAGATTTACCAGATTCTTACTAGGTTACATTCTTCAGCAACGGAATCTCGTTTGCCGAGCCAGAAGTGAGACCCAGAGACCCATAAAGTGGAGACTTTACTGATTGATAATTTGAGAGTGGTTGGACTTGATCTGGTCTTCTCCGGAATAGCATTGAATCATTTCAGCTGCACCAGAATCCTTTCGATGCCCAAGAGTGATTCGCTCATGCACATTCCTGTGTCGTGCGTGGCTTGAGCATATTGCTCATACTGGTTGAGCAATATGTTTTCCTTCTCTCCTCAAGATCATGGTGAGTACGGAGACAATGGCTTCAACATCTCCGAGTGTCCCAAGAGGCCGATTGATAGGAGATGCTGAGCATGGAAAGATAATCATGGGCGAGGCTCCACTGATGGGGATTCTTGCCCTTATCTAGATTGAAAATGTCTCGGAGCCGATCCGGTCCGACAACGGACGATGCGTCAATTCTCAGTCACTAGTAAATTTTTCCCCCTGCCATTTTCGCGCTGCGCCGACCGGCCCAATAGCTCCCCGCGTTAATGGCTGCCTGCCTCTTCCAATCCCCTCAACACCCGAGGTCTTCTATTTCCTCCCACCCCCCACCCACTCCTCTCCTCTTATTCCAAAGATTCAAAAAAAAAAAAACTCTTCCATGTATTCTTGGCTGGCGCGTGTGCTTTGGGTCTTGGTCAGGAATGAAACATGAGCTCTAGGACTTTGACGGGGCTGAGGACTGCGAAGTCCTTGCGACTCACGGTACGTCAATGACTCACTCATAGGAGTTATGTGAGGTCCCGGACTGACTCGGCCCTCACCGTCCACAGCAGAATAATGCTGCTGCTGGAAACAGCAGCGCTAATACATCACCGGCATGGTGCCCTTCTACAAAGCGATATGTCTCCTCCACCACCGAGCGACAGGTTCAGCAAAGCGCCGAGTTCTCGTCAAGCAGTCGGAGCTATGAGCGACTGGGCCGTCGCGCCAAGGAGAAGTTGCTCGATCGGGTATGATATTTACCCTCAAGTCGCCTCGAAAGCGAGATACTCGCAAACCTCCGGAAAGCTGACCATCCCAGGAATTCTTTCTTAGCTTGCTTAATTCCGCGTCGACGAAGCGAGAAGCCAAGTCCTACCTAGCTCGTCTCAAGGCCCAGCACCAGCTCAATGCAAAACAGGCAGCACCCAACCCGCTTGTCTCAGAGGTGAAGATTCCTTCTACGGCTGTACCTCCACCGCCTGGAGTTAATCTGGGTTCTTTCTACGGTGCCTCCAGGTCTGTCTACGAGGCGCCGGTTTTCATGCATGATACTACCCCCACTCCCCCGCCGCAGACCATCACGGAGCGCCTACATCTGGCACTAATCAAGATTACCACCCCGCAACTCTTCGATGACTATACTATCAATGGTGTGGCCAAAACATTGTCCCAGCTAAACCGTCTGGGGATGGCATGCTGCGTTGTGGTCGACCCGGGCCCAGGCGAAGATCTCAATGCGTTGCGGAAGATTGCTGCAGAGCAGGCAGATCGCCTGTCCTTGGCCGTTGATGCTCAGCCAGATTCGAAAGCTGCCCACATTGACTCGGTGCTGTCCATTTCCACGCGGCAGCCGCCCACATTGAAGATCTCCTCGCGAAAAGCACTCCTTGGCCCGCTGCGGGATGGCCAGATCGTGATCGCGGCTCCAGTGGCCTACACGGAAGAAGTTCCCCGCGCTGTCACGGTCTCCGGCAACGACGCCATTCTCGCATTGACGAAGGAACTTGCAGGGTTAGCGACAGTTCCTGACCCCGATGAGGATCCGCTGCTTACAGCCCAGAGGATCAAGGATCTACAGGCGGAAGTTTCCCTGGATCGCGTCATTCTCCTAGATCCTCTGGGTGGCATTCCGGCTCTCAGTGGCCCTCAATCATCCCACGTGTTTATCAACATGGAGCAAGAATTTGGTGATATTCAACAAGAATTGCGTCAGGCGCAGCAGTCCGCATTGTCAGCAGAGAAGAGTCCTTCTCTGGAACAAGCCGGTTACCCGTCGATTCCCGCTCTGGAAGCGACCGCTATAGATGGTCACCTCGAGAATTTACGACTGAGCCAAGCCGCCCTTGCATTGCTCCCGGCGGCTTCCTCTGGAATCATAACCTCTCCACTCGAGGTCGCAGACTCGGCCCAATCCTCTCACGGCCTTGCGCCAGATCTTTCCGCGGTCGGGACCCGTCGACAGCGGAACCCTCTGATTCATAATCTCTTGACTGATAAGCCCCTTCTCTCCTCTTCTCTGCCTCTCAGCCGGCGTGCAGCAATGAACGGACGACCCACCTCTCTTGCTGCTTCCGGCCTACATACGACGTTTGTCAAGCGCGGTATGCCCCTGACTCTGATCCCGAATCCACGAGTCCAAGTGTGGACCGCACAAACCCGCCCACGGCTGGGACTGGATGATCCATGTATTGATCTTCCGCGCCTGGTTCACCTCATTGAAGACTCATTCAATCGTAAACTGGACGTACAGGATTATCTGAACCGTGTCAACGGTCGGTTGGCTGGACTCATCATTGCTGGAGAATATGAAGGAGGAGCCATCTTAACGTGGGAGCTACCTCCCGGGGTGGAGGATGACGGAAGCGAGGCAAGCCAGGCGCGAATGGTTCCCTATCTGGATAAGTTCGCTGTCCTGAAACGCAGTCAAGGCGCGGGAGGAGTGGCGGATATTGTGTTCAACGCGATGGTACGGTCCTGTTTTCCGAATGGCGTGTGCTGGCGCAGCCGCAAGGACAACCCGGTGAACAAATGGTACTTTGAGCGCTCGCAGGGAACCTGGAAGCTGAATGACACGAACTGGACGATGTTCTGGACAACGCCCGGATTGGTGCAAGATTCACAGAGATTCCGTGATTACGAAGGAGTGTGTCGCAGCATCCAGCCCAGTTGGGCGGATGATATTGGGGTGGTGGACTGATTAACCCCTGCTTGCATTGCACAGTGTTTATAGACCTACTAGATGATCCTTGTGGAAGTATATATGCCTGACTTCAAGTTGTCGTCAGGATTTCAGCCTCTTTACTCAAACTTGGGAAGTATAGCGGGTTAATTACGACTCATTACACCAGGGGCTCGATGACTCAGAGGATTGGTTCCCTCCTCGAAGCCCATTTTGCTCCCCGGGGGGGGGGGGTCCCAAAATGACAATACAGCTCCGGTATCGTACCGGTCTGGAGACGATCTCCCGGCATCGGCGGTGGCGCGAACCAATCAGGGGAAAGATAATCAAAGGACGACTAAAGGTCGAGAATAAGAATGACTCCTTCGCCTCAATCACTATTTATCTGCCTTTTCTTTTCCCTTCTGTGTGCAATTGTTCTTCACAGTATTCACCTGCAGGAACAATGGTGCGGCAGCTTGTTTGGCAGCGGGCCTCCGCCTCTCAGAGGGTATGTGGCGTGCTCTTGACTTCAAATTGACAGGAGATGGGAACTGACACACTCTCTCCACTTTCCAGTTGGCCCCGAAGTGCCTCTCCCCGCAAAGATTGTTCGCTCGCCGTGGTCTGGCCACCGAGGCCTCCTCAAACCCGGCCTCCTCGCGCATGCCCCCTTACCCCAAGATCCTGCGGAACTTGGAACAGGTCCGTCGCGTGCTGGGCTCTTCCCGATCTCTCACATTGGCAGAAAAGATCCTCTACGCCCACTTGGACAACCCCGAGGAGTCGCTGCTGACCGGCACCAACAATGGACGGGATATCCGTGGCAAGGCCAACTTGAAGTTGAAGCCTGATCGTGTCGCCATGCAAGACGCCTCCGCCCAGATGGCTCTGCTGCAGTTCATGTCCTGCGGCTTGCCCTCAACAGCGGTACCTGCCAGTATCCACTGCGACCATATGATCGTAGGAGAGCGTGGTGCGGACGTCGATCTGCCCGCTTCGATTCAGGGCAACAGCGAGGTCTTTGATTTCTTGGAGAGCGCTGCCAAGCGGTATGGTATCGAGTTCTGGCCCCCCGGTGCTGGTATCATCCATCAGAGCGTGCTCGAGAACTACTCGGCCCCGGGTCTGATGATGCTCGGTACGGACAGTCACACTCCCAATGCTGGTGGTCTTGGAGCTATTGCCATCGGTGTGGGTGGTGCTGATGCTGTTGACGCTCTGGTTGATGCGCCCTGGGAGTTGAAGGCGCCTCGCATTTTGGGTGTGCGCCTCGAGGGCAAGCTGAACGGCTGGGCTTCCCCCAAGGACGTCATCCTTCACTTGGCCGGCAAGCTCACCGTTCGTGGTGGAACTGGATTCATCATTGAGTATCACGGTCCTGGTGTTGAGACCCTGAGCTGCACGGGCATGGCCACCATCTGTAACATGGGTGCTGAGGTTGGCGCAACCACCTCGGTCTTCCCCTTCTCGCCCAACCACATTCCTTACCTCCAGGCTACTCACCGTGGCGATGTAGCCAAGGCCGCTGCCGAGATCGCGGCCTCCGGGCCTCAGAACCTCCTGCGGGCTGACAATGATTCGCAATACGATCAGCTGATTACCATTGATCTGTCCACATTGGAGCCTCATATCAACGGTCCCTTCACCCCCGACCTTTCAGTTCCCGTGTCTGCTTTTGCCGACACCGTCCGTGAGAAGAACTGGCCCCAGACCTTGGGAGCTGGTCTGATCGGTAGCTGCACCAACAGCTCCTACGAGGATATGACCCGTGCTGAGCACCTGGTCAAGCAGGCCACCGCTGCCGGTCTCAAGCCCAAGGCTGATTTCTTCATCACACCTGGAAGTGAGCAAATTCGGGCTACGTTAGACCGTGACCAGACGTTGTCGACCTTCTCGCAGGCGGGAGGTACCGTGCTGGCGAACGCATGTGGACCCTGCATTGGCCAGTGGAAGCGCACAGACGGTGTCCCTAAGGGCGAGGACAATGCCATCCTGACTTCTTACAACCGCAACTTCCCCGGTCGTAACGATGGAAACCGCCGGACCATGAACTTCTTGGCCTCCCCCGAGTTGGTTACTGCTATGGTCTACTCCGGCAGCACGACCTTCAACCCGATGACAGACAGCATCAAGACCCCCAGCGGCGAGGAGTTCCGCTTCCAGCCCCCTACTGGCCAGGCCTTGCCCGGCCAGGGATTTGCTGACGGCAACCCCGACTTTCAGCCCACCGCTGCTGTGCCCGACGCCTCGTGTGAGGTGATCGTCTCCCCTACCTCGGACCGCCTGGCGCTACTTGAGCCCTTTGCTCCCTTTCCCAAGGGCGAGCTCTCGGGTCTGAAGGTCTTATACAAGGTCAAGGGCCAGTGCACCACCGACACCATCTCCGCGGCCGGTCCGTGGTTGAAGTACAAGGGTCACCTGCCCAACATCTCCGCCAACACTCTAATCGGCGCCGTCAACGCCGCCACCGGAGAGACCAACGTGGCCTACGATGAGGCCGGCAAGCAATACTCCATCCCCGACCTGGCTGCCCACTGGAAGTCCCAGGGCACCGAGTGGCTGGTCGTTGCCGAGGAGAACTATGGTGAGGGCAGTGCTCGTGAGCACGCCGCCCTCCAGCCCCGCTACCTGGGCGGCCGCATCATCGTGTCCAAGAGCTTCGCCCGTATTCACGAGACCAACCTCAAGAAGCAGGGTGTTGTCCCCTTGACCTTCGAGAACCCTGCCGACTACGATAAGATCGATGCCTGTGACCAGGTTGCCACCGAGGGCCTGTACGATGTCCTTCAGGCCGGTGGCCAGGGTTCTATTCAGCTGCACGTCACCAAGCGCTCTGGCGAGCAGCTGGTTATCCCTGTCCGTCACACTCTCAGCCCTGACCAGTGCGGCTTCATCCTGGCTGGCAGTGCACTGAACCTGTTGGCGCAGCGGGCCAACAAGCAATAGATAATTGGTCTGTGATTCTGCTCTGTTGCGTCAGAGGCTTAGTAGCCATGCTGTCTGTCTGTTTGTTTCATTATGTACATATATCCGTGGGGCTTTTGTGTTCTTGGGCTGTTTGAGTATCTTGGTTGCAAGGTCAGTTTTCGGGACAAAAAGCGAGTTAGATCTAATTTATGACTAAAATTGTTCGTTGCATTGATCATGATGAAGCTGTAGTGAAGTAATCTGACCCGTGATACCGCGTACGAAATGTACTCCGTAGTATCGATGATTGAGTAGGTAGTGTACAATTGAGTACTGTAGTAATTGTGCCCTCTGTAGAAGACATTGACCAATGGTTGTATCTTATCCCAATCAAGTCGGTTAAGGTTATCGATAAGATGTGCCGGGAAGATCACATGATCAGCTCTGACGTTTTGCCTGGTTTGCAGGACCTCTTCTCATCGCAACCCAACTTTCAACCATTCTCTCTATAGTACTCACCTTTAACATAGCAAGTTTTACCCCGCTCACCTCACATATTGACTGGGCTCAATTCCGACCCACTGGCAAGCAGGACTTGCAATCCTACGACCTACTACGAAGTCCACCACCTGCCGTGCACAACCCACGACTCGCACCAACAACCTCTTCTGTCAAGCTCAAACGACAATGGACCAACAACCAGAAAAGCGCAAATACTCCGGCCCATCCGTCGGCCCCAGGCCCGGCCCCGCGCCAACAGAGACGGAGGACGCATCCAGCAAACGCCGCCGAGTCATCGGACCCGCGCTTCCTCCAGCGCAAGCCGATTCTCCCAGCGAAGACAACAACAACAGCAAAAACAACAGCAATGATCACAACGAAAGTGATAGCGCAAGCTCATCCGATGATGACGACGACTTCGGCCCAACCCTCCCCCCACCGGCCGGCAGCACACAACCCATTCACGCGCCACTAACCACCACCTCCCCGTCTGCAACAACAACCACAACAACAGCCCAACAACCCCAACGAGACGCCTGGATGCTCGAACCCCTGGAACCCTCCGACCGCACCAGCCGCATCGATCCCACACGCCTCAAAAACCGCCGCTTCCAGTCCGGGCCCCGCGCGGGCAACCACGGAGCAGGAGGAGGAGGTAGTGGAGGCGTCGACGTGACGTGGACGGAGACCCCGGAGCAGAAAATGAAGCGGCTTCAGGATGAGGTGTTGGGCGTGCAGGCGCCGTCACGCGATAGGGATGCGCACGCGGGCGGGGGTGGTGGAGGTGGAGCCTCCAGACAGAACCAGCCGTCCCGGGCGATGCAGGAGAAGATTCAGAGGTATAATGAGGAGAAACGGAGGGAGGATGCGGTGGCGCGGGAGACGAGGAAGCGGAATGGTGCCCAAAAGGAGGAGGATGATCCGAGTCAGAGGGCGTTTGATCGCGAGAAGGATATGGGGCTCGGGGGGAAGATTACGCATGCGCAGAGAAGAGAGATGATGAGCAAGGCGGCGGATTTTGGGAGTCGGTTTTCAAGTGGGAAGTTTCTGTGAGTTTGTCTGGTTTTGTCCTCGAGGTGGGGGGTGAGGGGGCAGTGGGATTGGGGCTGTAAGGGGTAGAGGGAGGGGTTACATTGCTAGCTGCCTGCTGGAGAAAATCTGGATGAGGCTTGATTTGATAGTATACTGTATGGTTTATAGAGAGTGTCATGAACGTTCAAAGGTACACTGTACATCACGAGTGACAGTCGGTGTATCGGAGATTAACTTGAGTGGATCGGAAGGAAATGCCGGCGGATGAAAGGCGGAATGGAGAATCCCGGTCTTTGTTTCTCTCTGGCTGTGACTCTGTGGGTGTGTTTTTCCGCCGATTGACCCAGCATTTTGAATTTAAGTTGGGATTTGAGTTGACAGCAGAGTGGAACTGATCTACAATCGAAGGCAGTGGAAACCTGAATCGGAATCAGGGGAAGTTGATCTTCTTGAAGGTGTTGTGTTGTGCGGGGAATCCATCCCAAACACGCGCTTATCTTCCTTTCGCCGATACGAGATTCCATCATCGTCTCCGCATTGTCTCGGCTTTCCTGCTTCTGCCTTTTCTTCTCTTTCTTTCTTTCGACTGTCCACGGCCCTGAATATATCTCTTCTCCTTCGCCTACTTTTCTCCATCGCTGTAACCATGAATCTTCGTCGAGTGACTTCCCATAACTTCCACACCTTCCGACATCACTATGTCTCTGAGGTCTCCGGCTCTCTGGGCGATTTGGGCACATTCCTGCCCATCGCCCTCGCCCTCGCCGTCAATGGCACCGTTTCTCTCTCAAGCACCTTGATTTTCTCCGGCCTGTTCAACATCCTGACCGGTCTCTTCTTTGGGATTCCTCTCCCCGTCCAGCCCATGAAAGCCATCGCTGCTGTGGCCATTGCCCGGACCTTCTCCAACGGAGCCATCGCCGCTGCTGGTATCTTTGTCGGGGCTTGTGTCTTTCTCTTCAGCATAAGCGGCCTCCTGAATTGGTTTGCTAATGCCATTCCCATTCCCGTCATCAAGGGCATCCAAGTTGGGGCCGGTCTATCCTTGATAATCGCGTCGGGGGGCTCGATTCTCTCGTCGCTCGGATGGGTCCAGCCGTCGTGGGCTGACAACCGCCTCTGGGCTGTGGCGGCCTTCCTCTTCCTCATCATCACCAACGTCTACCGCAACGTGCCCTACGCCCTCCTTGTCTTCATTCTGGGGCTGTCATTCGCGATTATCGGCAGCGCGCTAGCCTCCGACCTCCCCTCGCTCCACTACTGGCACCCCTACACCGTTCTCCCCACCCCGCACGAATGGCGCATCGGCGCCCTCGACGCAGGGGTTGGACAGATCCCGCTGACCACCTTGAACTCGGTCGTCGCCGTAGTCCACTTGGCCAGTGACCTCCTCCCGACCCAGGAGATCCCCAGTATCACTGCTGTGGGCCTCAGCGTGGCGGGCATGAACCTCATCGGATGCTGGTTCGGCGCGATGCCCGTCTGCCACGGCTCCGGCGGCTTGGCCGCGCAGTACCGCTTTGGCGCCCGCTCCGGCGCCAGCGTCATCTTCTTGGGTATGCTCAAGCTCCTCATCGGCGTCTTCTTTGGGGAGTCGCTCGTCGGCCTGCTGCGGCGCTTCCCCAGCGCCCTGCTCGGCGTCATGGTCATCGCCGCAGGACTGGAATTGGTCAGCGTGGGCGAGTCGCTCAACACCACCGGCGCGCGGGATATCCGCAAGGCAAACCACGGGTTCGCCGGCGACGGCGCGCAGGAGATCGGCCCCATGCTGAGCGATTGGGAGCGCAAGCGCCGGTGGACCGTCATGATGGTCACGGTGGGGTTGCTGGTGGGGTTCAAGAACGATGCCGTCGGGTTCGTCGCGGGCATGCTCTGCCATTGGGGGTATGAGTTGCCCACGCTGTTTGAGCGGGTCCGTGAACGCTGGAATCAGCGACGGATTCAGTTGGAGTGAATGGGTTTTGGGAGAGTCAGTCATGTACTATTGTGGTAGTGACCGATGAGTCTCTTTTTCATGGTCGTGATTCTTTGTATAGTTGATCCCTCTGTGTATATACGCTCTCTGGTTTGGAGGCGATTTTGGTGTATCTGAGAGTCGGTCTGCACGAGGAGCACGAACGAGATGAGTTATGAAATATGGTTTTGGTTTTGGTTTTTGGAAAGTCGGTTGGTGTACCTATATACTGACCACAGATGGCTTGCCACACGACTACCTATTGTATGTACAAGGGATCCAGGAACATGGTGGTGAATGTCCCTTCAGATGGGAGAAGATGGTCTTGGTGCTAAACAGATTGATTTCCATCAGAGATTCAGGAAATAGGATACATACTCTTGTACTACAAGGGCACGGGCCTAGTGGGACAGCATATGGAGGGACAGCATACATGACTCCGTAGGTTGTGTGACTGTAAGAGCTACATCTATGGGCCGTACAAGCCATGAACCTGTTTATGGCTAAGTCTACCACTGTGAGCACAGCCCTTTCACAGCACTGTACAATATCAATCACCGCTTATACGGATCTTCTCGATATCGACCATCGGTCCAAGTATATAGCACCACCACAAAAGTCGGTTTGAGTGAAAACGACATTCCTATCCGGACAACTGGTCCTGTCAGGCGCCATTCCATTCAGGGTCACTGAAGAACCACTGCATGCAATGAGCCACCAGCCAGCCGCATCATCCAACATATAATCGCCGACATACTTACTAACATCAACATTCGCTCCCAGTTGTGCACTTGTTCTTCTCCGTGCTCAGACTGTTCCATCATTAGCCTACGATTCGCTGCGGTACTGTTCCTGTCTCTCTTATAGTAGTCATCTAAGACGCACCGTTATACGCGATCAGGACTATCAACTCAAGTCGATGCTGGAGGATCGATAGAAACGAGACCATTTGACAATCTCGATCTACTTTACCCTCTTCGATTGCGTAGTGGGTAGGACTATGGCCAGGAATTGTACAGAGTCATTGTACAGAGTACACGCCGGCTTCACGGCTCGCATCTCAGAACCGAGCCTACATCAAACACCACTGCAACCACCACAGGTCTTAGTAGCATTTGAATTGACCAACAAGAAAGAGTTCGTATATGCTTGAGAATTGTAGGTAGACAGTAGACTTAAGAAGAATTATGCATGTTCAACCAAGGTGACGACTAGAAGACAAGATACTCGGGCATTATAGAGCTAGATTGCCTCACTGTAGTAGTAAGAGCAGCCGCCAACAGAAGGGAACTCTCTCAGTCTCCGCATCCTATTTTGCATGGACAAATCCACGTACCGCCGGCCAAGAACCATACAATTGAAGACCGAGCGCATGCATTCAGAACAAAATGTCTTTTACTTACTGAACCACTCGAGGACAGAGACAGCTAACAGTATATCATCAATATTCCGGTCCCATACCTAGCACTCGAGAACGCAACTTTTGTCCCTTGTTGTGTACTCTCACAACCCACACTCGCTAATATACATAATCAACCGCTGATCTCTCCCTTACAAACGCTTGAGAACATCATCCAACACCTGCTGGGTGGTAGCCTTGCCACCCATATCAGGCGACAAGAACTTGCCCTCATCGAGGTTGCCATCGACGGCGGCGTAGATCTTGGCGGCGGCGGCCTCCTCGCCCAGGAACTCGAGCATCAGCGCCACACTGCGGAGAGTGGCGATGGGGTTGGCGATGCCCTGGCCCTCAATATCGGGGGCACTGCCGTGGCAGGGCTCACCGATGGCGAAACCGTCACCGACGTTGGCGCTGGGCACGAGACCCAGACTGCCGACCAGGGCCGCAGCGCCGTCAGACAAGATGTCACCGTACAAGTTCGGCGCCACAATCACGTCGTAGTACTCGGGCTGACGGAAGAGCTTGTACACCATGGAGTCGACGATCTGCTCCTCGACCTCGACCTCCTTGAACTGGCTCGCGGCAAGAGCGCGCCGGGCGGTCTCGCGGAACAAGCCGTCCGTCTGCGACAGCACGTTGGACTTGTGAGTGATGGTGACCATGGGGCTGGTGCGCGCCGTGGTGGACAACCCCGCGGGGCCCGTGGTGCGGATCTTCTGCCGGCGCAGCGCGATCTCTCCGGCAATGGTCGAGATACGCGACGAGGCCCGCTCCGATATCCGCTTGATCGCCTCCGCGACCTTGCCCTCGGGGGTCTCGCGCGTCGTCTCCTCCTTCACGTACAGGTCCTCGGTGTTCTCGCGCACGATCACCAGGTCGATCGGCTTGCCGTTGTGGCTGCCACCGGCGGTCGTCTTCACGGGCCGCACGTTGGCGTACAGGTCGAGCTTCTTGCGGAGGGCGACGATGGGGGAGGAGTAGCCGGCTACTTTGGTGCTGGGGGAGCTGGTTTTCGGGTGTCTTTAGTTTGTGGAGGCCGTGCAAGTATGGTTTTCTGATGAAATGATTGCGAGGTGCCAGAAATGGGGAGGCAAACTTACCTGACAGCTCCGAACAAAGCACCGTCACACTCCTTCTTCAAGGTCTCGACCGTCTTATCCGGCAGAGCGGAACCGGTCCGCTTGAAGGTGTCGAAACCAGCATCCAGATCGACAAAGCTGAAGTTCAGGTTCAGCGACGAAGGCAGAGCCTCCAGAACGCGGCGACCAGCCTGTGCATCTCATATGTTTAGCATAAAACCCTCCAAAAATGGGGTCGTGCAACAATTGCATGCAGAGGTAAAGGGTGACTCACCGGGATGACCTCCCGTCCGATACCGTCTCCGGGGATGAGACCTATGTAGCGTGAGTAAGGTTGTCAGTAGGAGGGCCCATTGAAGGCTATAAGAGCAATTGGCAACTCACCAATGCGAAGAGTTCTAGCAGCAGCAGCCATCGTGAATTTCGGCAGGTTTGAGAACAAATTGTTGTGCAGAATCAAGGAGAGTTTAAAGTGTGACTCGAGCTCATTATAAACGGCCGATAGAAAAACCGCCGCAATCGGAGGGTCGGTGGGGACCCCCCCCGGTCTTGGGGTAGCCCCTCACCGCGCTAATCACCGCCTTCAACGGCAGAATGTCTGCAACCTCGCAACGAGAAATCCAGATTTCCAGGGCTGAACAGTGGGGAAAAAGTGGTCGAAGAAACTGTTTGAAATGCTAACTTACCGCCTTTCCGACACGGAAACGACAAAAACACATGACCAGCAGAAAAGGATCCTCGGGCGAGTCACGTGATAGCACGTCAGGTGCCCGTGACTCCCCCTTTGAAACCCACCCACCCAGATAGAACTGACTACGGTGGTCCAGAAAGCTCACCGGACAAGAACGCACTACGGGGTACAACAAGGACAACCGACGTCTGTTTGGCGATCTATACAACCCGATACTCCACTCGAGCTGCTTGTCCACGCTCGCTTTGCGTCGAACGAGAAGGCGTTCCTCGCCCTTCCTCCTCCCCCCTCCCCCTTCTCCTCCCACAGCTCGTGGGGGGTGGCCTCTCACAAGAGGACATACAACCTTCAAGTTTGTCCCCGTCGCGGAGCCGCCTGCGCCGCGGCTTTGTTTGGCAGGATGGTGTACGACTGGGAAGGAAAGCGGGAGATCTGTTATCAGATGTACATTAAAGACAAGAAGGCGCTCGAGGAGATTATGGAGTATATGAAGAATGTCTACCAATTTGCACCGAGGTGAGTACGACTTCGAGTCCTAATTTCCCACCTTGCACCCGGCTCAATAACTCCCCCCCCAGACCCCTTGCTCGGGCTCGTTTCACTGACAATGAACCTGTTTTGTGTCATTTGGTCTCTCCAGTAAACGAGCGTTCCAGACCCAGTTCAAACGATGGGGCTTTCCATCCAAACAGAACCCAGCACACAAGAATGTCGAACTCGTGGCGCGTGTCAAACAGCTCTGGGAGCGGAACACCAGCCAACGGGACATGCTGCGCATGCTCAATGAGGAAGGCTTCGAGATTAAAGAGCGGGAGTTGATGCGCGTGCGCGCCAAGAACCGCTGGCTGCTTCGCGTCCCCAACGGCATGAAGTCGCAGTCGCGGATGATGCAGACGCCTGTGCAGCAGTTACCGGAGGATGAGGGTCTGCTGGCCCTGCAGCAGGAAGTGTACAAGTCCGGGTTGCCGTTCGACGAGGCTGAGGATCCTCTTCCCCCGGTCGCCTCCGCCGCCCCTGACGCCGCCCCTGCCGACGCGTCGAGCACTTCCCCGATTCCTCCAGGCTTGTCGGCCGAGGCGCTGGTCAAGCGCAAAGAGAGACTGGATAAGCTGAAGGCTGAGAGTGCCGAACGGTGGGCGAATCGCAAACGTCGTCGGCGCACGCGTGGATGGGCAGGCATGCCGGCGGACCCTCCGGGACCGCCTCGATTTCCGTCGGAGACGACGATTGACGAGAGTAAGAAGTATCTAAACTTGGATAATGCGATGTATCGCCAGATTCGGGACCAGTTTCAGCAGATCTGTGAGGAAGCAGGCTTCATCAAGAAAACGGTGGCTGGGCCCGAGAGATGGCAGGAGGCGAAGAACAAATTGATCCAGGAGTCCTATCACCTTCAGCAAGTCTTTCATGATCCGAACCAATTGGATGTCAAGTCGCTGGCGCTGGATGTCGTCTGTACTGATGTGACGAAAAGAATGCGAACGTTGGAGCGCCGGATGACTATTGCTGAGGCGAAAAATGCCCTGGGTATCAATCCGGAGGAGAGTCGCCAGATTCGGAATGCTTTCTACAATACGCTCAAGGCAGATCACTTCACCAGTAAGCTGGAGGCAGGAGATGAGCATTGGAAGGAATTAAAGGAACACTGGATTCAGAACTCGGAGCTTCTACGGCGCATTCTGGCCCCCGGCGCCGCGGACCCTGAGCATGCGACAAAATTGAAGGCGCTCGAGGTTCTTTGTCGCGACGTCATGAAACGGCTTCGCGATGATCAAACGAAGCGGCATCCCGCCCGGAAGTCGTCGGTCACTCACTCCCATGTGGCCAGCCCAGATCTGGAGAGTCCGCCCGTCAGCGTCAATGCTACGTTTGGCAGTGGCATCGCGAATGGCATCAGCACGCTAGCTTCGCAGGCCCTGGCCAGTGCGTCAGTATCTCATAGCGACCTGGGAGACATGCAGATTGACCCTTCGTTATTGCAAGCCGCCAACGATCCCTCCTTTGCCACCGCTGCCCATGCGGACTCGGGCAATGCCTTTGGCTATGTGGATCCCATGCTGGGGACGTCCCTCCTGCACGTTCCCGTCTATCTCCGCGTCCATCCCCAGAGTCCATTACATGGAGATGCTAAGACATGGGTGGATAAGCTCACCGCCCGATCGTTGACCGAACTCCAGCAGTTGGTCGCAGCACGATATCCCGACGCCGTTATCACCAAGGTAGAAGGGACTGACCGTGACGAGAAGGGCAATGAGCTCTCGTTTGTCATCGATGAAGAGCACGAGTTAGATGCTTATTTAACTCATGTCCATGGAAGGAAAGCGACGTTTGTCTTTACCTTGGACCAGATTTGACATTTCACGCCAATCAGCCATAACTTCACTACAGTAATGTTACTGATACCCATAGCTGCACATTATGCAACCAATTTATTAGATGGAAAATGTATATTTATGTTCTATTTACTTTCCCTAGGTTGTTGGGTGTAATAATCGTGAATGAGAGGGATGGGGCGCATTGTTGTTTCATAGTGGACGGTGGAGCCAATGGCAAACCTATGCGGGGTGAAACCCCCTCCCAACATTTACTATGTATGCGGATGTGTAGTACTCCCTCCTGTCGTACTCTTGACCCGAGCTCTGTGTACCTCCGGATAGATACTCATCTAGTCATCTAGTGCTCTCTTGCACGGTCTGTGCCATCTCTTTTGTGTTTGCTGGTCGATTTCCGCGCGTATTCGTATTTCTTTCTCGCTCCACACAACCTACTTCCTCAAAATGACGCATTGATGGCTGGGCTGCGAAACAAGCAGACAAGGCAGCAGTGGGAACCATGGCGATGATGTGCGTGTCGACCTTGGCTACTGTAAGTGGTCAACTTACTAAGTGACCCCGTTCTTAGTCAGATTGTTCTGTGGTTATATGCTGAGCGCCAAAAAAAAAGAGTACTGTCCAGAACGAGACTGTCCATGTCTCACCCCTGACGAATGTGTTTCTCGGCACATAGCCTCATGCTTGAAGTTGTTTGTGACACGGACCGATCGGGGATTGGCAATATTGGCAAAAGCTGGGCAAAAAAGCTTAGGATCCGACCGCATACCAAAAGCTCATCAAGGGGTACAAAAGGCAAAAGATAAATCAGAACCGGACATGAAGTACAATCGGTGACCGATGACCACTGACCAGAAAAGAAAAGCCTCGATTGAACCCAGTCGACCCTGGGTCCCTGGGTCCCTGGGTCCCTGAACACAGTCTTTGTCACGCCATTCAATGGGGGAGGTCACCAATTTGTTCCAAGAATAACCAGCCGATGCTCAATCATCATTGCACGAGCGAGCTGAGGCTGACGTGGTCCGCCCGATTGTCCCTTAAACCCCCCCAATTGTGTCCCCATGACTGGCCACTGGTTCGCTAATCTCCTTTTTCCCTTCCGATAATAAAATCAATAACAAAATTCTGGAACCTGAGACGGGCTGGCGGCAAGCAGTCTAGTCTAGTGCTGTGCCCCCCTCCCTGTGAACCCTCCCCCCCCGGGCCCCATTTTCCTGCTTTTGCTGCAGTCCCCAATGCTTGCTTTCTAAAGTTACTGGCAATTATTGCTGCTGTCGCTGCGGCCAGACGCCGTCATCTCTCTCACTACACTCTTTCTCCCGAACCCGTCCATCATCTTCTGTCCGACCCTTTTCCTTCTTTCCCCTCCACACTCTCGATCGTTCCGCCCGTCTGGCTTCATCCCCGCTGGTTAACCGTGACTTTCCTTCGTTTCTGATTCTTTGTGTCACGGTCTCTTATTCCTCCTGTCGCTCATTGCCCCCCTCCAGTGTCCTCCAAGTCCTCGTCTCCCACCATGCGCTTCCTCCATGGTGCTCTCCATGGGGGGCTGCTTTTGAATACCGGCCTCTTCGGCCATGTCGCACATGCAATCGACATTGATATCAATAGTGAATGTACGCCCTCCGCTTTCTTATCTTGCCGTCTACTCCCCCTGATCCGTCAACTGCCAACCCGATTCGGGCTGGCAATTAACATGACGTTCATCAACCATGGCTTTATACATCAACTGATCACCGTCTATCAACCCAGCATCCATCAAGTCTGCGGCGAGCGAGGCAGCGTACGGGTCAATGACCTGGTACCACGGCAATGAGACTGGTGGAAACCCTGGTGCATTCCCATCCAAGTGGTGGGAAGGCAGTGCGCTTTTCATGAGTTTACTTCTATACTATTACTACACTGGCGACAGCACCTACAACGACGAGGTCCGTCAGGGTATGCAGCATCAAGCTGGCGATTGTGACTACATGCCCGCCAATTACAGCAGTTATCTGGTACGTGGTGCTGATGTGCTCATATGTTCTGTTACGGTATCCGGTAATGTGGACGATTACTCATATTGGACACCTGCGGTTAGGGTAACGACGATCAAATGTTCTGGGGTCTTGCGGCGATGACCGCGGCCGAAATCGACTTCGCCGATTCGACCGATGGCTACTCCTGGCTCGCTCTCGCACAGGGCGTCTACAACACCCAAGTCGCGCGCTGGGACACCTCCAGCTGCGGCGGCGGTTTGCGCTGGCAGATCTGGCCATACGAGGCTGGTTATGACATGAAGAACGCCATCTCCAATGGCGGATTGTTTCAGCTGGCCGCCCGTCTGGCCCGCTACACGAACAACGATACGTACGCCGACTGGGCCGAGAAGATTTTCGACTGGTCCGCCTCAGTTCCGCTCCTCAACAACGAAACCTGGAATGTGGCTGATTCTACCGACATCGATAATGGATGCACAACGCAGGGAAACAACCAATGGTCCTACAACTACGGCACCTATCTCATGGGAGCTGCATATATGTATAACTATGTAAGAAAGGCCTGGACAGACTAAGAATATTGGATACATGGAGGCTAACTCGAGAGGAAACGACAGACGGGCAAGGCTAAATGGAAGACTGCCGTTGATGGCCTACTCAACGTGACGCTGACTACTTTCTTTCCGGCCAAGTATGGCGGCAATATCATGTCGGAGGAACTTTGCGAACCCTTGGAGGTGTGCAACGACAACGAAATTCTTTTCAAGGGTTTGGTCACTGGGTGGCTTGGGTTTGTGGCCATGGTCGTTCCCTCGACGTACGATCAGATCTTGCCGAAGCTGCAGGGTTCCGCTGAGGCTGCTGCTGCTTCCTGCGATGGCCTGGGCAACAACACTTGTGGTGTGCGGTGGTACCCTAAGAAGTGGGATGGCTGGAATGGCATGGAGGAAGAGATCGCCGTCACCAACGTCCTTTCGTCTGTTTTGATTACCACCAAGAAAAAGGGCCCAGTGACTTCCACCACCGGAGGCAACAGTACCAGTGACCCGAACGCTGGGAGAGGAGACAGCACTGGTGATTCGACTACAACCCGGACAATCACCGCCGGTGACAAGGCTGGTGCATCTATCTTGACGATTGTCTTTGTCTGCGCGTGGGGTGGCATGGTTGCTTGGATGCTCCTCGGAGGTTAGCCCACGGCAATGACAGCTTGGTCTGACGTTGCTCTTATATAGTACGTGGTTGTCATCCTACCACGCCGACATATTTCGATTTCTGTTTCCGAGCATCCGAGGTGCTCTGGGTTTGATGGGTCTGGTACATATTGTATTGTTGAAAGGCGCAATGTGTATAGGATTGGATGATTCGTCTCTCGATGCCTTTTATATGTGAGGTATATGATTGTATATAGAGAAGATAATTTTGGAAGTTCTACAGGTACACAGTACGGAGTATACCTCTTGCGGGAATCCGGCTCTTTGCGAGACAAATGGCAGGCTTACCTAATGACATTCCTCCGCAGGAACACTGCGGAGTGTGGAAGTGACATAAGCATAGCGGAGAGACGCTGAATGGTCGGGATGGCAGGTGATTGGGGCGAGTGACCTGAACCTTAAAAGGCAAGGCTTCGACAGGCGGCGCGGCGCGGCGTTGGACTCTCTCTCCTTCTCTTTCATCCTCTCTTCTGTCTTTTCTTGCCTCCCTGGACAATCATTTGTTCCCTCCGTTATTTCATAGTGTGTCTTCTCGTATATCTCAACTTGCATTATCTCTTTTCTTTGCCGAGAAGGGTCTTCCTACGGCTGGGACCCGATCTAGATTGCACCGAGCTTTAGGCCCTTGGCTTCTTCTTTCCGCTGTTCGCGGCCCACCCCCACTTAGATACGTCGGTCTCCCTCAGAACCCTGCATACAGTCTGCCGCTTTATCGCCAACCCCGATTGCACACCATAGCCACTATCTCTCAAAGAGAAAATGCTCGGCGAAGGCCCTGAGGATACTTCTCGGCCGTACATCCCGGGGTCACTGGATGAGGAAGAGGCTCGATCCGTCGATGCCGACACTGCCGATCAGCCTCAAGATGAGGAAGCCGCGCTCCGATATCTCCCCGTCTGGCTACGGGAGTCATCTAAGTCTTTTCGCTGGGGCTGGGTACCACTACCACTGCGGAAATTCGGTCGAGCCACCGCGGAATGGGTCAAGGGTCCGAATCCCCCGCAGTCACTGCTTCTGAAGCCATTGTTCCCGCGCATTCAAGAACTTCCGGTTCGCTATTTTGAGCGCTTCTTCCCCAAACGCAAACAGAAGATCGCGCTCCTGCTGTTGCTGTACGCCGTCTGGCTTCTGCCGTGGAGCTTGGTGCTATGGCACTCTCGGCAAGCAGGGTACATCGAGGGCTATGGGCGACCCCAGACACTCTCTTGTCGGACAAGTTTCTGGTAGGTTGAGTTGCGCTCACATTGTCGACCGGATTGAGCTAATACATATATGTAGGGCGCACGGGAACGAATGCGGTTTGAATGGAAACGACTGTCGCCCATTCTCGGAGTCCACTATCGCCTTTCGCTGTCCTGCTAACTGTCGCGACGCCAAATTGCTAGAGCCCCATATGGTTGGAAATGAGACCTATAGCTATCGGGGCCTAGTTGTGGGTGGACCGGAGCCGGGTTCGGATGAGCCCGGTATCTATCGAGCAGACAGTTACGTCTGCCAGGCGGCCATTCATGCAGGAGTCATCACGAATACCGTTGGTGGCTGTGGTGTCGTAAGGTTGGAAGGTGCTGCGCACTCGTTCCCGCCGTCACAGCAGAACGGAATTCGCTCGGTCGGATTTCCATCTACTTTCCCCAAGTCGTTCAGCTTCGTGGAGCTGTCTTCGTCGCAGGCGACGTGCCCCCAGGATCCTCGGTGGCCCCTGCTCGGCATAACTATCGGTGTCTTGAGCGTGCTTTGGCTCTTCTGCACCTCTCCGCCGGTGCTTTTCTTCAGCACCTTCTTCATGGTGTTCTGCCAAGTCGGTCTGGTCTCGGATCCGCCTTCTTTCACCCAGTTTGCCGACCTACTCTCGAGTCTGCTCTCACGATTGCTACCGGCCTCGTTCGTGGCCTTCGTCCTATATAAGTACTGCGCTCGACCGCTGCTGGCTCCGCTATCAGAGCCTGTCTACCAGTTCACGAAGACGCTACTTTACTTGCCACCTGCATTCATCGGCGGTCTCAACAACTATACTTTTGCGAGGCTGATTCCCTTGGAGAGATTAACACCTCACGACATCCAAAAACAGCCCGGAGCCAAAGTAGCGCTGGCGCTCGTCATTCCGACCGTGATCTGTATCATTCTGACACAAGCTTGGCAAATCCGCATGGGCGGCTTAATGCCGCGATACCTCAAGATCTATTGTACAATGGGCCTCATTCTTCTAATTTTGCTCCCTTTGCCGGGCCTACGCTTGCGCATTCACCATTACATTCTCGCCATTCTCCTCATGCCTGGAACGGCCCTCCCGACACGACCCTCTTTGATCTACCAGGGGTTGCTTCTGGGTCTCTTCATCAATGGTGTTGCCCGGTGGGGGTTCGCGTCGATCATCGAAACGCCCGCGGCTCTGGGCGAGCAAGCCCCGGGCCCCGGTGGAGCGCACGGGTGGTGGGGCGGCACCTTCCCCAACATCAGCGATTCCTCCGTGTCCATTTCGCTGCCGGGCACGAGCTCTCATGAGGCTCATCATGGCAACGGCAACATCACTTTCACTCTGTGGGAGAGACAACGCATGGCCAAATTGGGCGTGGATGGAATCTCGGTCCTAGTCAATGACGTCGAACGCTGGCGCGGGTACCTTGACGAGGACAAGCTTGGCGAATTCATCTGGCATAGACATGGACATAGCGGACTCGAGTTGCTACACAGACCGACCATTGAGAGTGATTCGATGGACATGGAGAACTTTAGTGAGGATGAAGATTCCAAGCCAGAAGATCTTTTCTTCCGCTTTGCGTTCCTCAAGGGAGCGGAAGCCGGCAAGTACGGCGGGGCTGGAGTCTGGCTGCAAGATGGGCGCTGGATCTCTCCGCCAGCCCCGAAGTCCTAGATTAGGGGTTATTGCATAGAGGCTCTTCGAGCTGGTGTTGGTGGAGTATGCATCTGTGCTTTTGATTAATGATAGCCTCCGCCTGTTCGGGGATGGTATCTCTGCATGCTTTGATAGTAGATGGTAAATAGAACTACACAGATATATATGAGGTTATAAAACTACATTCCCGATGACATACCATAATATTGATAGATAGAGGAAGTATTTGCCCGATCATTGCCGAATGCAGTTCCAGATGTCACAAAAATCGAGAAGACAAGTACATATCGGACTGCTCCTCTTGAAGAAGTTGATGAGCAAGATTTCGAGAACAACGCTCTTAGCATAGTACGTCCAGAGCGGAAACAGGAGGCGAGGTCATCAAGATGAAACTCGCTCAGTCAGGAAGTGTCCATCGACCGTGAAGCAACATCAGGTGAAGTCCATGTCCAGAGACTCGAGCTCTCCTTAATTCTCCGGGCCATCATGTGACCCGGGCGAAGGTAAGTAAGTGTACTCCGTAGTTTGCAGTGTTTGACTAACAGGTGGATTGCGGAGAGGGAGGCAGTTGTTGGTCCGCACCTCCCGTCACTCCACGGGCCCCTCTCGCTCGCCCCCCTGGAACAACATCTACAGCATGATTGATTGAACTGGATTGCAGACCAGATATCATCCCACAGCAATCGCATACTTGACTTCAATCCCAGCAATCTGCGGGCAGGCCGCCCCGCCTGCCACAACCACAGCGTCCTCTTTCTTTCTCTCTTCTCAACCCACTTAGTACCTTCCCCCCCCCCCCCCCCCCCCGTGCCCTCCAAATTATTCTCTCCCCCTCCCTCCTCTCTCCCCCACGAACCAGAATGATGTCCTCGACCTTCGCCCCGAGCCTCACCCGCCGCGATACCAAATCTAGCATCCATGAAGGCAGCAGCGGCATTGGGCTGGGTCACAGCGGCAGCAGCGCGGGGACGATGCCGCCGCCCCTGACCAGCAGCAACGGGTCGTACGGCCCGCAGAGCGCGGCGGCGGTCTACCAACACATCCACGACATGGCGGCGAAGCGGATCTCGACGCTGGGGTACCTGCGCAAGGCGCACGAGGGGCGGATCTACTGGTTCAACACGGTACACTTCTCACGGGCGGACATCAGCCGGCTGGCGTACTTTGAAAGCCGCAAGCTGTCGCGGCGGGCCATCAACTTCCTGCTGCTAGGCTTGTCCCTACCGCCGATCCTGGACGTGGCCACCACCCCGGTCGAGTTCCTGCGCGCCCTCAACGCCCTCCTCGTCGAGTTCGAGGCCTTCCAGCAGGTGCATCCGCCCGACGGGCCCCCCTCCTCCACCGCCTCCGCCCTCGCCCGCGCCCGCATCCCCCAGATGTTCAAGCGCGCCGCCCACGCCTCCGGCGCCTACTCCTCCAAGGCCCGCCGCGCCAGCTCCGCCACCGAGATCGGCCTTCCCATGCAGTCCAGCGATCCCTCCGACTTGAAAGCCATGGCCTCCGCCGCCGCCAGCGTCTCCTCGTCCTCCGCTTCCTCCGCCTCCGCCGCCCACGCCTCCGCCTCCTCTGCCGCCGCTTCCATGGGCGCCTTCCCCCACACCGAGGCCTCCGAGCTCCTGCCCGGTGAGGAGTACACCTACCTCCTCACCCCACTGCTGCCCTTCGAACCCGATTACTTCGAGACCTTCGTCACCCTGTGCGACGTGCTCATCGACTGCTACACCCGCCTGATCTCGCTGGTCTACACTCCCAGTATCTGTACCGTGGCTATGGGCGAGATGTTCTCCAAGGCCGATGCCAAGATTCGCAAGATCATGGTCGCCGGGATTGTGCGCGAGTTCGAGGACTCGAGTCGCTTGCAGGCCAAGAGTGAGATTGCTGGGGTCAGTCGCGTGGTGCTGGGAGGGTTGATGGGCTGAGCAGGAGCAGGTAGGTTCTTGGGCTGCTTCTGCTTGAATCACCCTGGTGGCCTTGGGGGGTGAAAAAAAAAAAAAGCTAGGCCACAAAGTGTCTCTTTTCAAACATCTCTTTTCTTTTCATGTGACAAAATTGTGGAGCTGCGGCTTCATCCCAGTCGGTTATGGGAGTATATAGGAGTCTTCTTGTTTGTTTTTTTTTTCTTCTTCTTCTTCTTCTTCTTCTTATTCTTCTTCTTCTTCTTATTCTTCTTCTTCTTCTTCTTCTTCTTCTTCTTCTTCTTCTTCTTCTTCTTCTTCTTCTTCTCCTCCTCCTCTTCTTCTTCTTCTTCTTCTTGTCTGGTTACTTTCTTTCTCTGTGGGCGTGTGTGTGCATATTACCCTTACCGCCCAATTCTGCTTCTTTAGACTATTCTGGATGGTTTATGCATGGGATATGAATGGGTTCTTGTCTGATAATTATGACCCTGTGATATGTCATTTTAATGTCTGTTTGTCCATAGAATGATACCTCAATGACAGTTCCAGGTGGTGCATGAGAAAAAGGTGGTTATGTTTGCTTGCGGGTGCTGTTTTAGAGCTAAGCTATAAGTTACATCAAGTGGCATGTGTGCCTGTAGCAGAGGCTCATCGCATCCCGGTCTAATAAGCCGTCATCCCCGTGTTCACCTCTGCAAGTATTCCCTCCTCTGCCATCCTCTCCACCAGATCGAAAAGCATGAAATCACAACCCCTTCTCGCGATCAAGTTGAAGACCACTGGCCACTGCTCCGTCACCTTCGTGACCGGCGACAAGTACGGAACTTGACCCAATGGGATTGTGAAGTCCGCGCAGCTGCGACGTTTCATACTGTTAGCATATCCCTCATCGTACAGGGAGGAAAAGGAGAGGGGACTCACCCAAACAACGCACAGATAGCCACGCACGGAATCATCGCACCTTCCGGATACGAGTACAAAAAGCTCGCGTTAGGGCCCTCGTTCAGCTTTGACTCCCGGAAGCTCGGCAGCCCTCCGGTCCCGGCGTCGCAGACCAGCAGAGCCTCGGAGCAGGCGGCCTCATCAAACAGAAGGACCTCACGCTCGAACCACTCAATGCTCACGGCCCGACTCTGCACGGCCGCGTCGTAGTTCTCTGCATTTGTGACGCTGAAGTCGAGGTTGGGCCAAAGGGAGCGGACAGGCGGATCTACGGGGGGGAAGCGTCCCTCGTGCTGGTCGGCCCAGGCTGAGATCAGGGGCTGGGCAACGTCATGGTACTGCGGCCAGGTGTTGATAACGATGCTGTCGTTCGCGAGACGATCCCAGTTGTCGTTGGTGTCGGGGAAGATGGAGGCGTCTGTGATCGTGGCGCTGAGATTGAAGTGGGTGATTGTCATGTTGAAGAGAGTGGTCATTTTGGAAAGAGCGGAATCCAGGAGATCTTGTGCTGCTGGATTGGACATGGGGAAATATTCGTCGGGGTAGAGGATGCGCGATGGAAAGACATGGTTTTCGGTCAGGGAAAGAGGAGGAAGACCTGTGACGGATGTGTTTTGGTGTAGCTCCGGCGTGCTGCTATACCAGGATCTTGCAAAATGAGACCACGAGATCGGATCACGCCCAAAGACACCAATGGTGTCAGCAGCCCAGCTGAGTGGCACGGCTCCCTCGAGAGAGATCATGCCTTGGCTAGGGCGATTGCCATAAGTACCGGATACGGCTGCTGGGCGACGCATGGATGCGCCTGTGTCAGTGCCGATAGCATGGTCGAGCCAAGCGTATGCTGCGATAGAGCAACCACCTCCGGAGGAAGATCCGGCGCAGGTGAGATACCCATCGCCTCGGGGATTGAAAGGATGATGTGCGTCGGTCCAGTCCCAGGGGCTCGCGCTGGATGCGAACTGGGCTAGCTTGTACTTGCCCACGAGAACGGCGCCCAGATCAATCAGTCGTTGAATGGCTGGAGCTGTCGAGTTGGCGACTGGATGCGTGCGGATCCAGGCCTGACTGCCGGCTGATGTCTGGAGTCCCTTGATATCAAAGAGATCTTTGATGGCCACTCGTTTGCCAGCCAGTGGGCGAGGATCGTTCCAGAACCGTATACGACTGGGAACAGGTACTATTGGCGCCCAGGTCCGAGAATACATTGATTCGAGCGGTGCGTAGGTGTCTAGGCCGTCGTTGAGAGGGTAACTTCCGGTGATGAAGCTGCGGTATTCGTCGACGTAGACGCGATAGGTATCCAGAAACTGAATAGTCGATCCGAACACTAGAATGGTATACGGTCCGGGCTGCAGTGCTATCTGTTCACTCATACGTACAGTGTGTGCAAGATTAGGTGTTTTCCGGAAGACCTTTGAATCGAGGTAGAGTTGGTCCACCCCGATCTGATTCAAATACTCAAGTGATGTGTTGTCCATGGTGGCGAGTTGAACAGAAGAGGTAGAAGTGATGTATATCGAGGTGAGGAATTGTTCCGTGAAGACATCGTCTTCGTTCAGGTATGTGTCAATTGTCTCCTCTAGAAAAGCACCAGTGACCACACTCTGGTTGGTGACGATCACAGTAACTGGCGTGTATATATCGATGTGGCCTGCCTTACCCCCTTTGGACTTTTTAATCTTGCCTGTCGCCTGTGGATATTCCGAGTTTGCAAAGTAAAGGACATCCCCAAGCTCATACGTGATACCTTCGCTGGAGATATGTTCCAGATTCTGGAATTGAGCTAGAGTCGTATTGACTCTCCATCCCAGGATGACCAAACAGAGAAGATGTAACAGCATCATGGTCACTGGTATTGCTGGTTTTGTAGGTGGTTGTTATTTTGAAGTGATTGGTTTGAAGTGAGTGGTAGATCGACGGAGGGAAGATGAGTTTATGGGAAACACCATCCGCACCTGCCATCCGTAACCATCTCCATCCTCTACGTCTCGCTTTAGGCTTCAGCCTCACTTCAATAGTACGGCTCTAGTCGAGCCACTTTGTCATCTATCTAGTTTGGCCCAGGTATTCACATCATCTCAGAAGCTCGCACAGCCAACCAGCATCATGCACAAGCCTGTGCTCAGGACCATGACCATCACGTTCAGCGTCTAGAGTATCGAACCCAGCCTACCCCTTTTTGGGCAAATCAACTCGATGAAAGATAGCAATGACTGGCTGTCCTAGACAAGGATTTGATACCGGAATAGCTAGTGATTCGATATCAGTCTCGTGTCGTATACGGTGTCTAATTGCGATGTCTCACCCCCCTGAGTTCATCTTTGAGGCGCACATCCTTTATTTGTGGCTTGACCAGAAGGTATTGTTCTTGGTCTATGAAAAATGAACAATAACAATACTGAATATCAGGGAGCTCAATCTGTCCAGGAACCCCGCTGATACGTGCGCGTGTGTGTATACGGACTTCAGTCCTGTGACAAGTGACGCAAGCTATATTTCAGAATGGAGTGCATACACCAAGTGGTGGTCATTCGCAGTAATGGAGGAAGTTTGCAATGGTGTCGCTCCCGCCCCTAAGGTACATTTGGGGGCATGTAGTTAGATTCAAAGTTATGGAGACGATGTCTGTTGAATGGCTGCTGATATAGAAAGCTTACCAGGGCTTATTGACAAAAGAGAAGGGCTCACAGATTCCTAGCGCGCATGAAAAGTCTAAGTAAATGGCATTATCATATCATTATCTACAGATCGATGAATTCACCTCTAAGTGCTTCTCCCTTCTTTAGGCGAGCCAGGTAGTCGCTTACTTTGGCTGAAAGTACTCCGGTCTCGTAACCAAAGAATTTGTATGCCGCTTTGCCGGGCAAACTGTGACCAAATCGGCGGACAGAAATTCCTGCATCGGCATACCGCTCCCATCCATTCGGTGCATATGGCTCAATCACAACAGCCGGAATATCCTGGTGTCTTCTCAGTACCTCTCTCCTGTTTTCTACTGGCTGTTGCTCGAACAATCGCTGACATGGAAAACTGATAACCCGCGCCACAACTCCCTGGGCTTCTTTCATGTGCTGAGCAACCTCCAGTGCAAAGGATAGCTCCGCTCCGACGCCGATGATTGTCACGGCAGCATTTTCGGCTTCCTCAAGTACATATGCACCACGAGTAACGCCATCACGACGGGTTTGTTTTGGTTGAGGAATGGCATGGCGTGACGTGGAGATGATTGTAGACGTTGTCTTGGCCTCAATGGCCGCAATTCAAGCGCCGGCTGTTTTTTCATTGTCACCTGGGCGAATGTACAAGAGGTTGGGCATGGCTCGGTATAGCGCCGCGAGCTCGATGGGCTGATGCGTAGGTCCGTCCTCTTCCATTCCAATCGAGTCATGAGTGGCCGCATGGATGACCTGGAGATGTTGAAGGGCACCCATTCGGACAGAAGGTGCGGCATAGAGGTAGAACATGAGGAAGGATGAGGTGACGGGAATAAAGGTATCTGAAGCAAAGGCGGCCATACCATGAGAAATGGTACACATCGCATGCTCGCGAACATCATACTGGATATATCGACCGAAGTAATTACCATTGATACCGCATCTAGTTATCAATGCGGGCTAGAACCGTTAAGCGTGAGTTAGTATGAGAGCGTGGATGAAAATCACGTGTTGGAAATCTACTTCTCCTGGCCATATCATGTTCACGGACGGGGAAAGGTCAACATTCCCCACCATGAAGTTCTCGAACTCTTTTGCAATAGGGTTGAATACTAAGCCGGATGAAGCTCTCGAAGCTGTGGGCCTTTCAGGAAAAGTGGAAGGAATCAGGTCTTTCCAGTTGAGGGGAAGCTCTCCCCGCATACGGCGCTGAAATTCGGCTCCCAAATCCGGAAACTCTTCACTGTATCGCTTGACCAAAGCGTTCCAGTTGTTAACAAGGGTCTCTCCTCGAGAGGGGAGGTCCTGGAAGAATTTACGGACTTCTTCACCAATGACCAATGTCTCATCTGGGTCGAAATCATAGTTTCTCTTCATGTCGGCGACGTCAGGAGACTCAAAGGCGGCACCGTGGGCGGCCGCCATTCCTGCGACCTGACTACCCAGTCCGATAACCGTTCGTACGTTGATGAAAGTAGGCTACTCTTGAGAGGCTCGAGCATGTTCGAGCGCTTGAACGAGACCTTCAATATCATAGCAGCCATCCTCGACATCAATCACGTCCCAGCCGCAAGCATGCATCTTGGTATCAACGTCCTCCGTGTTGGTTAAGTCCACAGACCCACCGCGGGTAATCTGGTTGTTGTCATAAATGACAGTCAAGTTATTGAGTTTGAGGTGTCCAGCAAATGAAATAGCCTCCAGTCCGACACCCTCCTGCAGACAGGCATCGCCGATCATGCACCAAGTGTGATTCGACACGATGTCGTAGCCCAGTCGATTGAACTTGGCCGCGAGGTTCTTGGTAGCCATAGCCAAACCAACCGCATTGGTAATGCCCTGGCCCAGTGGCCCTGTTGTGACTTCGATGCCCTCATGCTCGATCTCGGGGTGACCCGGGCACAATGCGTCAACACGGTCGGAATGATACGACTTGGCTGGTCGAAAGTCATGGCCTTATATCCGGTAAGGTGCAAGAATGTGTATTGAAAGAGGCAGGTGTGACCGTTGGAGAGAACGAAACGATCACGGTTGAAATAGTCAGGAGTATGAGGAGCATATTGCATAACATAGCGCCACAGTGCGACCCCAGTAGCCGCCATACCGATCGCTCCTCTGTACTGGTTAGCCCTTTCGTCCGAGTCTCTTTCGAACAGACAAGTATCCTACCCAGGATGACCTCCACCGAACTGCTGACAGAGATCGGCGATGAGAAGGCGGAAGGTCTTCAAGACTTGATCATGGTCTTTGAAAAGCTGGTGGACCAGCGGTGAGGTGGATGCGCCATTGACGAGCGAGTTGTCGAGACTGACAGCCATAGCAACAGGTTTGATTATGGTTGGAAATCCATCATGAAGGGAACCCAGCAGGAGGTCCTTGTTATTTATGAGACTGAGACCTGAAAGCCATTACACAGAGTGGAGAAAGGTGGAGAAAGCATTGCGGGTTTGCTTTGCTCGAGTGGGAGTTGAAGATGTTCCTATGCAGGCAGTTGGATGCACATTACCCGATTGGGTAAGTGGTAGCGCCGACGGATAACCCCAGCGGGGAAAGTCGAGCCTCCCCCGCGGGGTTGAATTCATCAGGCACGGCTATCTGTGGCTCTGATTGCCTTTTCACCATTGGTCACCACCTCATTCTTTTCCAATAAACACCACCCCAATGGCCCCGGCAGGGCATCGTGTTATGCGCTCGACAGCTTCATCATCCCCGCCAGAATGTCTCCCTCCTTTCAACTCATGCAGTCTGTCCACTCTACGGTTTCAAGCACAAATCAACAACGGTGGAACCGACGCTGCTCTCTCTCTCATTACCGAATCCTTCCCTTCAAGTCACGGCGAATCACCAACTGAAACACGTTTCAGCTCCGGTTTATGCCCCACAATGAGGCGAAGTCCTTCTCCATATCAAGGCTACCGGCATCTGCGGGTATGCAATTCGCATTCCCGGTGTCTGGATAATCTCTGACGCATTGCTTCAGGTCAGACATACATTTCTGGAAAACAGGCAGAATTGGAGAATTGGTTTTCAAAGGCGATTGTGTTATCAGCCATGAAGCGGCAGGGGTCGTACTGAAATGTGGAGAGGGCGTCACAGATCTTCAGCCCGGTAAGTCAATTCGACGATTGCGCCAGTCGCATCAAGTTACCGTCAGGCCAGGGTGGTGATCAGACTGTTTTCTCAGGTGATCAGGTGGCAGAGGAGCCAGGAGTACCATGCGAACGATGCTTCCCTTGCGACGATGGCCGCTATAACCTGTGTGAAGATGTTCAGTTCGCAGGCGTCTATCCCTATGCTGGAACTCTCCAGCGCTACAAAGTGCATCCCGCCAAATGGCTCCACAAGTACGTTAGCCTTGATTACCTTGGGAGCTTGTGACTAAGGAAGAATGCAGGATCCCAGACAACATTTCGTACGCTGAAGGTGCTCTGCTTAGAGCCTCTTTCGGTCGTCATGCGTGGCATTCAAGTCGCCCGTCTGCAACTGGGCCATGAAGTAGTTGTGTGCGGGGCAGGACCCATCGGACTGATTGCGCTCGCTGCCGCTCGTGCTTCTGGTGCCCATCCAATTGTCATCACGGATATAGAGCCCAAGCGACTTGCATTCGCCAAGTTTGTTCCCAGCTGCATCACATATCAGGTCAGCCGCTCTTTGGATGCGGAAGGCAATGCCAGGGCAATCCGAGCCCTGTTCGGATCATGCGAGTACCCAACTGCTGAGACAGTGCTTGAGTGCACGGGAGTAGAGAGTAGCGTTGGCACGGCGGCGTTCACAGCTCGAAGGGGCGGTGCTGTGATTGTCATTGGGGTAGGAAAAGCGGTCATGAACAATCTTCCATTCATGCATATCTCATTAGCCGAGGTAAGTTGTGACTTGCTCAGCTATGCTCCATCTAGTGCTGACAATGGATGCCTGAACAGATTGATTTGCGTTTTATCAATCGTTATCGCGATACTTGGCCACCGGCTATCGCCTGTCTCAGCGGAGGAATTCTTGATCTGAAGAAGCTGGTGTCGCATACATTCCCTTTGGGGAGAGCTGTGGATGCACTTGAGCTATGTGCTGATCCTCGCAACGGCAGTATCAAGGTCACACTGTCTTGGATAAAGTGGAGACAACAATATAAACTCTTTAGACTAGTTGACATGCACAAAGTAGACTTACTTCTTCGATGGCATGACGGAAAGTGCCTCCCTTGGTTATAAGTACACGCCAGTGAGAGATGAGAATCAGGCTGTACTGTAGGAATGCAGCCATACATCCAGAGCTGCAGGTGTTGACCAGCCTGCTAAGCTAAATCCCAGGCAACAGGTCGAAATAATTTGTTGTTGTTGTTGTTGTTGTGTTTGTTATGTGTCTGGAACGAATTAGTCCAATCTTGACTGATGTCTTAGCACAAGACAGGAAGGACGTCCGACTGAGACTCGGATGAGTAGATGCATTGGCTTCTGGCGTGGTCAACAATGAAGCCCCCGCGCACAATCTATTCTTCTGTTCGCCATCCGCGAACCAGCTTCTCCTGCAACCTGCAAAGAATAACCACGCCCTTTGTTTTGAGCTTCCCAAACTCTTTTTGAAGGTTGTGCCTTTTCACCTTGACATATGATAGACCGTCATAAAGAAATGTCTGCCATGTAGCAGGAATGCTCCATCTGGCGCACGCAATGATGCTTGCAGAGTTATAACTCCAAAGAACCTCTCTTTTGAGGATGTATTTGGTATTTATAGTGAGTGTCAGTCGATACACTTCCAATGGCCAGTGTCGAATGTCACTTTTTTTTTTTTTTTTTTTTTCCACAAAGCTGATCCAACTTGTATCCCTCGCCCTCCATGCGCACATGTTGTAAAGAAAAAGACTCAACCATGCCTCCAGCTAACCTAGAGTCTATGCTCGAGGCGATGGTGGAGTCCACGCCTGACCGGCGGGTCCGATTCCTACACACCACCAGATATCTGGATGAAGCCAGCTTCCTCTCCCTCCGTCTCGTCTCATGGAAGATGCACGACCTCGGGCAGCCCATAACCGAGACCATCTTCGCGCGCTATCTCGAGACCGTGCAAACCAACCTCTCCTACGACAGCATCCTGCGCATCCACTGCGATCTCGCGCGACCTCGAGGCAACCCACTCGCCTCGCTCGTCAAACGCCTGGTGATCCGGTACCCCTTCGAGGGCCGCAACTCCGCATTCAACCGCATGGCGCGGTCCAACGAGATCGAAGACCCGCTGGCGATGGTAGAGATCCGGGCGCTGCGCAGCGACCTCGCCACCGCGTTCACGAACTGTCGGGACTTCGAGCTCCACCTGGACGAGCCGGCCTCCCGCCCCGTCGACTACATCCACTCCGCCGACGTCGCGCGCGTCATGTTCATCATCTTCAACGACGCCGCCATCCCGCTCTCCCGCGTCAAGATTCGCAGCTCCCTGCGCCCCGACCGCGCCCTCGAGCAGCCCACCACCTCCACCCACCAGCTCCTGCAGCTCCCCAACTTCACCGTCCCCCCGCTCTACCCGGAGGTCCTGGCTCACTTGCGTGTGCTCCATGTGCACGACGACTACTTCCGCGAGTTCCGCGGCACTTCGATTGTCTGGGAACTGCTCGAGGGAACCCCCATGCTGGAGGAGCTGCGCATCACGGGGCCCGGGTGCAAGGCCATCCGCCGCCGCGACCCCCCCGCCCACCAACACACGGGCAATATCCTCGAGGTCATCACGACCGCACGGCTGGCCTCGTCGCGCATCCGGGTGTTTTCCGTCCGTAAAATGCAGTCCACCGCCGAGCTCCTCCGCCAATGCGTCCTGAAAATGGCCGCCAGGGGCCTGGAGAGGTTGGACTTGCGCGAGGTGGTGCTGCTGGATATCTCTACGAGGACGTGGTCCCGATCGTCATCCTCGTCGTTGTTGTCGTCGGTATCTCCGTTGCTGTCGGCGTCTCCGCCATTGTCGGTGTTATCTTCGTCGTCATCGTCGCCGTCGCCGTGGGAGGAGGTCTTTCAGAGTATCTGGACTATGTGTCTCTATTTGGAACGCATTAATTTCAAAGCGCTCGGTGTCCGCGATGAAAGGGACGACCAGGTAAGATGGTTCTTGCAGCGTGGGTTACAGTTGACCGTCTCCGTGCGGCAGATGGTGTTGGCGGAGTTGATTGAGAGGGCGAGAAGCTTGAGGGTTAATTGAGACGGGCGGTACTAGTAGGCAGGGCTTGGCAGCTTTCGTTGGTAGCAGTCATACTATGTATGTATATGTTGCCTTGAGGTGGAGATATGTGTGTCACAATCTGTAGATCATAGTACATACACAAAAGTCTAGTGGGTCATAGATAGTACTACTATAATGCAGGATGTATACAAGGGATTTGAACCTAAAAGTTCATGTTGTGCTCGGCGGTGAATATTTTATTGATCTGTCACATGCCCACCAAATTTTTCAAAAATCCGAAGCTTAATGTGCATAAATCCCATTTAGCTGCTTCTTCTCTCCGGAGTAAGCACCTTATCGCAATTCATTGATGCGAGCTAGGGCTAATGACCCCGCACGGTGTGACTTCTATCTCATCTGAATTCTGCAATTATTCACTTCTGTGTCTTCTGACGTAGATTCCCTACCTTTTTTATGCGGCCTGTTTCCCTGTTCTACGAGTAATCACTCTACAGTTACAAATGCAACTGGCTCCTTACTCTGTGACACGAGGTGTCAGTCTACAGGTACAGTACGCTACGTGATCATAGAGGAAAGACTTGGAGCAAGATCACTCGCATTCAACACCACAAAAGTACTGACACATGATGCATATCGCAAGACACAAGAGCAAGAGCAAGAAAGAGGACTTTATCAAGTCAGGGCCCGAAAAACTTCACTCGCACATGACTCCAGCCAAGAAGCATGACAAAATGGGTATACGCAGGTGAAGAACACTACCGAACACCTGACAAGTTAAGTGATGTGATGATTTCCAAGAGGAGATTCAAAAAGATCAGCAAGTCAAGAAACAAACAGATAACCCCCAAAAGCAAATTAAGCAACATTTAGCAAGAGATATTCAAAATCAAGAAACCAAAAACCACGAAGCCCCCTCAGACATCGGCGCCTGCAGGCATGGGAACGTCACCCTCAGACTTCTGAGGCTCTTCAAGGGCACAAGAAGCAGCAGACGATGTTTCGCCAGTAGTACTGCTTCCCTCCGTGAGGGGGGAGGGGGTCGCTGAGACGTCCTTGGCTGCGACGACGATCTGTGGCGACGGCTGAGGGATCTCCGCTGCGTCCTCTTCATCCTCCATTGGGATGTTCAACAACTTCTTCACGTACGTCACGGTCTTTTTGATCCTCTTTCTTTTCTCCTCGTCAACCTCGTTGCTCTGCTTCAGCAGCGAAGAGGAGGAGGAGGAGGAGGAGGAGGAGGAGGAAGAGCCCTGAGGCGCTTGGCTGTCCTTCTTGGGAAGAGTAAGCCCCTTCTTCCGCATTTCCGCCTCCATGTAAACTCGGCGCACCGCAGCGTACTCCTCGTCATACATGCATTCTATGATTTCGACCGGCGGGTCCTTCTCATTGCGGCTCTGGTCTTCTTGAGCTGGGATGGCCTGGCCGCTTGGCCTTGGGACGCCCGGGGAGCCTGCCTCTGGGACGCCCGGGGAGCCTGCCTCTGGGACGCCCTGATAGTGCGGGACTGGCTGTGTGTTGGCGGGCCTCGGATAAAATCCTGGAAGACGTGAGTATGAATATCTGGATTGGAATTGTTGCGCATACGGGAGAAAGCAGGAGAAGAAAGGAAGGAGAACGTGCGATGAGGGTAAACTTACGGCCTCCATCGACTGCTTCAATGCGCAAGTCACGACCGTACAATCTGAAGGGCTCTGCCCTGTTGAGCACCGCTCGTGCTATGTCGGAGGTCTACAAAGCAATATATCGTCAGTTACTGTGATCCTCTCATACACATGCTTCAGAGAACTGATTGCTGACTTTTAGACAGGGCAAATAAAGTGCCAACTTACCCAGAACGTGACAAAGGCAGTAGGGAGACTGCAGCTCGTGCCATTTCGGGTCTTGATGGTCATATGCAACTTGACCCAGCAGAGACCTAGTCCTGCAAATATCTGTTTGATACCTGCGACGAGGCATCGTACGTCGACGTTGTTCTTTAGGCTATAGGAGAAGGTCAGTACTCTGGTTAGCCTATAGAGGAAGAGAGACAGACGAAAGATACAAGAGAGGCAAAAGAGGAAAATGAAGAACAAACAGCAGAAGGAACAGGTGGTAGTGGTACTTACTTGCCGACGAAGATGGTGTTCTCCTTGGGAAGCATTCCCTGGGCAGTTGCATCGGTCAACTGCATTGGCTGGCCGTTCCCAGCGTTCATCTGCCCTGAATAACCATGATGCCCCCAGAACAGGGGCTGATATGGCTGAGGCTGATGATGCTGGAACTGGCTATATCCAGGCAGGCCATACCCAGACCCATAGTGCCCCTGCTGCCACTCAGGTCCGGGGAACGTACCCATTCCATACTCCAGAGGAGTGGGACCAAGAAAAGGGAGAGCAGTGGGACCAAGAGGAGGGAGAGGAGTGGGATCAAGAGGAGGAAGAGGAATGGGACCAAGAGGAGCGAGAGCTGCCGCCTGGGCCTGTGGATGGTATGATGGCACATAGAAGCCAGGATAGTGAGCACCCTGCGCAGAGTACGAGGGGGGGTAGACAATGGGAGGCATGGTGACGGGAGGGAGGCAGGGTCTTGGGCGAAGCAGGAGGAACAGGTGAGAGCACGTTTAGGATGAGAACTTGTGGGTTGGGATAGCAAGGCTTGGAAAATGGTTTAATAGCTTGGAGAGTGATGCTTGTTAGCAGAGGACCAGGCGCTTGGGATGAAGTTGGGAGTTGGAAGAAAGATGTAAGAAGTGGACCAGGAGATGGGGGGGAGGGAGGGAGGGAGGAGGGGGGGCGGAGGGAGGGAGGGTAAGCAATCTTCACTACCAGCCCTGGACTTCACTATGACATGACAGCTAACTTTGCAAAAATAACTTCGATATTACCGCATCGGGAGGTGACGATAACACACAAGCCTCTCGACCCACGGATCATCTACATCAATACAGTCCCAATACAGGGAGACCGAATGCTCTAGCAGGAAGTCGGTGGCATTTACTCTTGACTGGGGTTACTCTATCAACTTCTTGGAGGCTATAAAACTTGCCTTTGGGAGATGCAACTTCTCAGAGAAAGAAGCTCGAAGAGTAGCCCTTCGTTGTGAGCCCTTCTACAAACACGATAATGCAGACTCGGCCTATCATTTCAAATCTGATATTGCAGTCGATAAGATGACAACCATTCATGTACAGCACAAGGGCTTTGTTACGGTATCCTCGTGGCTTGCTTGCTTTTCATTATACCAAGATCGTTCCCCAGTTCCTTGGGCCCTATGGCACCGCCTCTTTAATGCAAACCAATCAGAATTCAGCAGTCATTTAGCAGAGATCAAGAAACTCGCCTGGGAGATACCACTCGCGCTTATTACGCTGCCCGGAGAGCCCTCGAGCCGCTAGACGAAGCCAGCGACATCCGACGCAGCTCGGAAATGAGTTCCACAGATCTACAAGCGAGATAAGGGAGCATTGATCCGGATGGGTAGCACTCGGGAGACTGATATCACAGAAGGTTACTTTTTTTCATTCTGCTATGAGAAGAAGTTGACGCAGGAGCAGAAATGAGTAGAACCGGATCACTGGGCCCGCTGCCTGTCACAAACCAAGAGAGCATATAAGATGCGAGTAAGTGGCAAAGTCTTCGATCATTATCTGTCAGAGGGTCAATTTCTGTAATCAAGTACATGTTTGTTCGTCATGCTTGCGATCGTGCTTGGAATCTGCACAATGGGTTATATGCCGTGTCTGCAGGAGACTTTCGCTTATTGGATACACCAAATAATCCAGGCAGATGGCGCTGAAGAATGAGCTGATGGCTTACATGTTCCCTAGAAAGTAACTACTGATAATGTTTTGCTCTTCCTACTAGAAATACTGACATGAGATATACCCCGCATTGAAGAGGTTCCGTACTATGAATTGGGTTGATAAGCTCCAAAAATGGAGCCGGTCTCTTTACCAAAGAATCATTAGTAGTTATCTGATCTCTTATACTATCTCTACAGCTCGACACGCCTAGACGAACAAAGCTATCTGTCATGATGCTTAGTTCATTAGCCAGGCTTAGCTTAGCAAGCACGCGTGTGTCTACGAGGTCTTTCCATTTTCTCCGATTCCGCATGCACCCACTCCCCATCCATCGTACACCCAAGCTCCACAACAGCAAAAGCACGATCACTTCTGATCCGCACATCAAGGGTCTCGAACGAGTCCCTGATTCGACTGTGCGTGGCGCTATAATCAGGGACGCAGACGCTTTCCACCAAAGAGGACTACAGAACATCCCCCGAGTTGCCCCACCGAGCCTACGACTTGTATAGACCCTCGCAGAATTACTTCTCCTTTTTGGTCAAAGATCCGATCAATAGTACTCTCTCTTCATCTCTCCGCCATCAAACCCACTTCCTTACCGAATTTCTCCGATTGCAGCTCCCCGAAGGGAGCACAGATCAGAAACTATGACCTTCCTCACCACCGCCATCAACCTCCTGGGCCTCCTCGCCCTCACAGCCCCGTTGAAAGTCCACGCCAAAACCGACATCGGAACTCCCCTGCACCTCCTCCTCCTCCACCACCTACGTCGGCGGCAACTTCAGCCGTATCTACTACATCCCCGACTCAGGCGAGATTTGTGAATTCATTGACTGCGGCGGCGGACGCGCGCCCCCCAAGACCACCGTTCAGGGGTGTCCGCTTCACTCAGGGACTGAGCCCGTGCCGACGCATTATCTGCCTGGTTGGGGGCCGGGTGGGCGGTTGGTGGCGACGATGACGACGACGACTGGCTCGGGTGCTGAGGCGGAGGCCACGCAGAGTGGGAGTACCGATGTCACTGCCAGTGCCGGTGCTACTGGTAGTGGTTTCTCTGAAGTGCCTGCTGCCAGTTTCTCAGGCTCGTCAGCTCGTCAACTTTGACTCTGACTGGGACTGGGACTGCAGTTGCTGCTACTACGGCGGTGGTAGGTGGTACGGGAGGAAGCGAGAGCCTGGGCGAGGGATCTGGCTCGATCTCGGGCGTCAGCGTGTCGGGAATGGCTTCTCCTGCTTCTACTTTACGTCTGCTTCTGCAATTTCTGGGGCTGGTGGTGGTGCCACAGGTTCGTCCGGTGCTGCCGTTGGGATGCGGGGGAGTGCGGGGATGACGGCTGTGGTGGTGTCTGGTGCCGTTGTTTTGATGGGGAGTGTGATACTGTGAGAGTGTGGGAGGGCGAGAATCGACTGGTTGTTCACTGGGCAGTATCTGGACTGAATATACTGATTCATTCTTCAAAGGATTTTTGAACGTGTTCATTATCCCAGCGCGCCAACATCATGATTAAGACCAATGCTGGGATTCGACTGCCAGATACCCCGCGCTCTGATCAGAATATGTTTGCTTTGGCATTGTGCTGGGCAGCAATGAGGGGTATTGCTGTTAGTGTCTTCCTTTTCATATTTACGTTGATTATAGGTTTGCTGTAATAAGAATCATCACAATAGCGACACTATAGCTCAGATTATAAAAGAATATGAACCTCGACGTAATATTCAGCCTATCCGCGACAGGTCACATTAAAGCATATTAGATATATATATGGAAACATGTCAATCCCGACCATCAGAACTCAAACTGAACCGTGTCGGTGCGGATACCTCACAACCTCATCCTTCATACCCTCTTGTGCGGACTCGAGAAAGAGGCTAGAGCATTAAACGAGTCTGTCAGCGGCCACAGCGCATAATAGAATCCCACCGCACCCCCCACCAGCAGGGCATAATACGCGACTGTCCAACCCATGCCCAACTGCCCATTTCCCGTCTCACCCGAGCCCCATTTACCCTTGGCCAATGGTGGGCCGATGGGGACGCCGGCCTCGACCCGCCCCCACAACCGGGGCAGTCCACACCAGTTGCAGAAGGTGTGCACGAGGATGACCGCGGGGAGAGAACCGGTGCGAAGGTAGAGAAAAGTGGCATACCAGCCGAAGATGGTCGTATAGCCAAACTGGAAGATGGAGCGTAGTAGTGCTGCGATCACCGAGGTGTCCGGGTGCGTGAGGCGGAACTCGTAGAAGTGATGCACGTGCGCGATGCCAAAGTACAGAGGTGCCACGAAGACGATGCGCACGGGCGAGACTTTGGCAAGCAGATGCAGTGGAACTATCGCGGAGCGGAACATGATCTCCTCAGTGATTGGGCCCTGGTTTTCGCATAATCAGCCATTTTGTCTGCGAGTTGAAACAGTTTAGAGTACGTACCGCCACGTAGTTCCTCCACCCGATCCAGCTGCGCAAGGAAGCGGTGATCCGACTACCATGGACCCATTCACGCCATTCGCCCTCTGCGATGCCCCTTTCGAACAGCGGACCCGCGAAGAGAATGGCTGTCAGGATCAAACTGCGGAAGATGTCGGTGAAGCTGACGGGCCACCAGCCCAGGAGCTTGAGGGCCTCGGTCAGAGACCCGTCGTCTTTGCCGATGATCAGCCAGGCAACGATGAGAGTGCTCACGATGCATGACAGGGTCACGCTTCGGATTCTTGCCCGGATCACTGATGGCGCATCGCGACTTAGAGTCGGGGACGGCCGTGTGGTGGCATTCACGTAGAATGGTATCACGTATAGAAGAGTAAGTAGAACCTAATTGCATATCAGTCAATCTTGATCTATTGACTCGAACTGCGGCCCTCGCTGGCTATTTCACCGAGCAGCGGCAGATGCTAAATAGCTTACCGAGAAGAAAGCAGCTGTCGTCGTTGATATAGCTGGCTCATCTATTTGGAGTCTAAGTATTGAGACTGCAACAAGAAGCATTACTGTGAATACTGTGAGCTTACCGTAGTCTTTCGAGTATAGAATCCTGAGACGGTTGAGCAGCAGATTGATGGGCGCCATGATCACCCGGATTGAATGCCCGGATCGGAATGAAGAAAGTTTGATGCAGACGGAGAATCAAGTCAACCACACAGTCGCAAATACCACATAAGACTGCAATGCCGGGTATGTCGTGACTGCCGATTCTTCTTCTCCGAGTGAGTAGGCGAACAATAGCCCCGACTAGCGAGCAGGAAGACGAACAAAGGGAACGGAGGGAAACACGACGTCGGCTGTAAATGCCGAGTTTGACAGGCACCAAGGCATCAAGGCACAAGTGGGCTGCATTAGTCACGTGCATATGTGGCTCCATCCGCTGAGATCACATGATGTAAGTCGTCATCGATAGCAATTAAGCTCACGTGATCGCGCGCCGCGGCTGCCCTGCGAAGGTGGCGTCGCGGGGATATTCTCAAAGCATCACGCTTGCGCTTATCATAAGTCCGCAAAGCGAGAAGCTTGCTCAGAAGGCTTGGTGTTCCTCAGCTTGTACGGAGATCAAATGATTCTGCCCGTCCAGATGTTGACTCGTTGTGATTGATACTCGCTATAATCCGGGAACTGACCCGGCAGCATGGGTGTCCATGGCTTGTGGACTGTCGTGCAGCCCTGCGCAAGGCCCATCAAGTTGGAAACACTCAACAAGAAGCGTCTGGCAGTTGATGCATCGATCTGGATCTATCAGTTTTTGAAAGCTGTCCGTGACAAGGAGGGAAACGCCCTGCGCAATTCTCACATTGTTGGCTTCTTCCGCCGGATATGCAAGTTGCTCTACTTCGGGATCAAACCGGTCTTCGTCTTCGATGGCGGAGCTCCAATACTCAAGCGGCAAACTATCACAAATCGAAAGAAAAGACGTGAGGGCCGCCGAGAAGATGCGGTGCGAACCGCTGGGAAGCTGTTGGCCGTGCAGCTGCAGAGGTCAGCTGAGGAAGCCGCAGCAGCGAGCCGGAGGCGAGCTACTGACCGCGTGGAGGAGGTCCCGGATAATCCCGTGTATGTCGAAGATGCTTTCATGACCGAGAAAGAGAAAACCCAGACGCGCGCCTTCCGGAAGAAGGATGCCTACCATTTACCAGATATGCAAGTCTCCCTCGAGGAGATGGGGGCTCCTAACGATCCCCGCATCATGTCTCGTGAGGAGCTTGAAGAGTACGCGAGACAGTTTCACCAGGGTGAGGATATTAATTTGTATGACTTCTCAAAGATAGACTTCGATAGTCCCTTTTTCGTCAGCCTGCCGGCTACGGATCGGTACAACATCCTCAACGCAGCCAGACTCCGGAGTCGCTTGCGTATGGGTTACTCGAAGGAGCAGTTAGACACCATGTTTCCTGATCGTATGGCTTTTTCAAAGTTTCAGATCGAACGCGTCAAGGAAAGAAACGATCTTACGCAACGCTTAATGAACATTAATGGCATGAATGGTGAGGAGGCATTCTACAAGTCTGGACAAAGAATAGCCGGCGAAAGAGGAAAGGAGTATGTTTTAGTGAAGGATAATACTATCGAGGGTGGCTGGGTCCTCGGTGTGGTCGGAAATAAAGAAGGCCAGGAGGACAAACCAATCGATGTGGACCAGTATGGCCAGCACCAGGTGGTGGCTCCAAAGGAGGAGTTTTCTGATGACAGCGATGGCGGCTTTGAAGATGTTCCAATCGAAGGCCTCAATCGACTTCCTAAGCTCCCTTTCCTGCGACAAGGTGCATTCGACGAATCGCTTATGGACCAAATGCGTGGAGAGTTAGATCGCAGAAGACCTTCGGACATCATGGACGATGACTCTTTGTTCGTCCGAAGTGACCGACGCTCTAGCTTTGCAAATGATGGACAAATTGATGGAGACGATATGTTTCATGATCCAGAAGATAACGACGAGGAGCTTCAGCGTGCTATACAAATGTCCCTAGAAGCTCCAACCCACGTCAATGAAGACAAGGACATGCCAGAAATTCAATTGAATCGAAATGAAAATCCATTATCGCAGTACAGAGACGAACCGGTGGATCTAATGGACGAAAGTGAAGATGATTTTGACTTTGCTGCTGCTCTGGCTCAGTCCAAGAGGACCGAAAAGACTGGTACAACTACTCGTGTGGCCAACCCCTTTGCTGGCCCCCTACCTTTCGAATCGATGCAGCTTATGAAGCCAAGTCAAGTCAATGAGGCACCGAAGATTTACCAAGCCGAGAAAAGTCAAGCCAAGGGTGGTGAAGAAGCAACAAAAGCTAAGAAGGAAGCTTTACCTTTGCCGCCATGGTTCTCAGCGGCGGCTCATGATGACCATCAAGCCGGCTTCATTGCAGAAGAAGCTGATAATCGACTAGCCGAAGAATCTCGCGACGAGAAGCCAGACGCGGACGCACTTTTTGTACGTGAAAAGCCAACGGGATTCAAACACTCTACTGGCGAATCCACAGACAGAAAAGAAGTCATTTCTTTAGACTCTGAATCAGAGTGGGAAGAGATTTTGCCTGAATCTTCGAATGCTTCGACGACACACACATCGATGGCGGCTCCCAGCAGCAAAAGGTCTATACAATCACAGCCACCTGCTTCATCACCTGATCAAAACCTGAAAGCTGTCGAATCAAATAATGCCCCTGAAGCATCTCTAACAAATGATATCAAAACCGGCGAGAATGACGGCTTAAGCACCGCGCGGTCCGAATCCTCTCCTACTCCTGAGTTTGAGGATGTTGCCATACCGTATGCTGACATGGCTGACAATGCTGAGCCTGCAGCGGAAGACGTCTTTGAGGACGTCCTGATCACAAATGGCGACAGCATTGACAGCGCCAAGTCTCCCACAGAGAACGCACCAGTTTATGATCTTGTTGAGACAGGAGACGGCATTGAACAGGATGACTTTTCCGATCCTGAAGATGAGGATTTGATGCAGCAGCTTGCAGCCGAAGGCGAGGAACATGTTCGATTCGCCGCCGCATTGAACTCCGAGGTGAATGCCGGAAGTGCGTTCGACTACGAGCAAGAGCTGAAGCAGTTGCGCTTCCAACAGAAGAAGGATCGCAGAGATGCGGATGAGGTGTCACAAGTCATGATTACTGAGTGCCAGCAGTTGTTGGCGCTCTTTGGCCTTCCATACATCACCGCGCCCATGGAAGCCGAGGCTCAGTGTGCGGAGTTGGTTTCTTTAGGACTCGTTGACGGCATCATCACGGACGATAGCGATTGCTTTCTATTTGGGGGAACGCGGATATACAAAAACATGTTCAACCAAGGCAAATTCGTTGAATGCTATTTGTCTTCTGACTTGGAAAAGGAATATGCCCTTCACCGCACCAAACTGATTAGACTTGCTCATCTACTGGGGAGTGACTACACGGAAGGCATCCCAGGAATCGGCCCTGTGACAGCGTTGGAGATTCTGACAGAATTCGCCGACTTGGAAGAATTCAACGAATGGTGGACACGAGTGCAGACGGGGGCCAATTTGAGCGAAAACGAACACGCCGCCTTCTACAAGCGCTTCAAGAAGCAAGCCGCAAAGATCTTCCTGCCGCCATCTTTCCCTGATCATCGGGTTGATGTGGCATACCTTGAGCCTGAGGTGGACTCCGACCCTTCACCTTTCCAATGGGGCGTGCCTGACTTGCACGGCCTACGCAATTTCTTGATGTCAACGATTGGATGGAGCCAAGAGCGGACGGATGAGATTCTCGTGCCTGTGATCCGCGATATGAATCGTAGGGAGCAAGAAGGCACGCAATCGAACATCACTAATTTCTTTACCGGTCCCCAGGGTGCTGGCGCATTCGCGCCTCGAGTCCGTAGTGGTGGTCAGAGTCGGATGGAAAAGGCGTTCCGTCGCCTCCAACAACAGGCCGGGAATATCCAGGAGGAGCCAGAAGCGGTAGACGGAGAAGCAGCTCTTACTACTGATCTCCTGCCCGAGAATCAGCCGAATAATGGAGCAGCCACCAAACGTGGGGCGCGCAGAGCACGTCAGGAGCAGGACAAAGACAAGGTCTCGAACACTAAGAAGAGGAAAATCCGCGGTGGGGCCAAGCAGTCCGATTAGTGCTGTGTTAGTTGGCCTTATATTTAGCCATTGGAAGTTTTCAGCTAATTCAAACAATAAACTAATAAGCATAACGTTGCAGAACATACCAGTGACCAGCAAAACGGCGTCAAGTGTAGTCTTAAACGACAACTCCCGTTTGTCTCCCAGCAGTTCCTCCCGTCGCAATCCTCTGACAGATCGAGACAGCTACCACAGCCACTAGACCTCCTTCAAAGATCCATCGAGATCAGGCAAGCTCTCCAGGATCAGATCTCTCCACGAACTTTCGTCAATAATGTGCCTTCAAGCCTCGAGGATGGACCGCGGAATTGATCGGTGCTGGAGTGCGTCGATGCAGCCTTTCAGTCCTAGGATAACGCTTGATCGCCCGTTGGGGACAGCCTCTTTGCCCAGAACGCAAGCGGTAAGGTCCATACTCAAAACTGAGTTGGTGGAATTCGAGGACAAATGAGATCTGAACACGAGTCCCATGCTGGCTCCAGGAGCCCCTGTGGATAGGTTCAGATAGGTGCGATTGAAATTGTTCGTCTAAGAGGTCTTAAAAGAAAGGAAAAATGCTTAGAGCTGATCCACTAATTCTTCACTCAGGGACCATACTAATGGCCACGATGATGACTCGCATATGTAGAGAGAAGAAAGAGCTTGCAGGCCACCCTCCAAGAATAAGACGAGGGGCACAGCGAGTCAGGCCATCTTGCCTTCCTCAACAGGAGGACGGTTGCTCGCACTTGCCGCCATGAGTGACAGGAAGCTCACTACTAATTTGCAATTGTGTATATGGTAGGTAGTAGTAGTCAAATGCAATGTTTGCATCGTTTGCAGGGCCTTTTTCCTCCATAACTACCGTAGATCGACTTACAGAGTAGATCAACCCCCATTTCTCTCCTCAACCCTCGCTTGAATCTCTCAGGCTGATTCAAGGTATAAATCAGCTTGAATCAAGTTCCAGTAATCGTTCTAAATCTGCGGGCATATTGATCAAGAGACTGTTTATCGAATTGAGCTTACACCATCACCAATCGCGATGATGCGATCCCGGCCCAATACTCCAGTTGAATGGCCGTGGCCTGCGGGCGCACATCCGTGACCTCAGAAATGGTGCAAATGGCGTGCAGATTGACAAGAGGCACCGAGCTGCATCCACCTACCCCTCCATGCCTTAGTCCCTCGCCCCCGCCCACGAGACCATTATATCAATCGAGGGAGGGGAGGTCAATCAAAGTAAACCTCCAACATCACCCAATCCTGTTTAATATCTGCTTAAGCAACAACTCATGGCGACAATTCAATGTCCCCAGCCCGTCACCCATACGGAGCTACCGATTCTCAATGGCCACGACGGTGCTCTGCCACCGAAGACCGCTATCACCACTCACTCGGTCGAAACGACCACGCCCGACACTCAACGTCCTGCTTTTGAGATAGAAGAGCACCCAATTGACCAGGTTCGACCGATTAAAGTCGGTGTTATTGGTGCGGGTCTCGCTGGTGTAACAGCGGGGGTACTTTTGCCGGCGAAAGTGCCCGGTGTCGATTTGCGCATCTATGAGAAGAATGCCGATGTGGTGAGTCCTTTTATGTTCATTTTCCAGCTTGTTGCTGCAGAATAAAGCTTATTGAATCATTTTGTGGTAGGGCGGCACATGGTAGGCTTGTGACCATCACACAATCGGAACATTGTGGCTAACGAAGTAGGTTCGAGAATACGTACCCTGGAGTGCGATGCGACATTCCCGCACACGTATACCAGTCCGGCTTTTCACCAAACACACAATGGACGGAGGAATTTGCGCAAGGCGCGGAGATCAGATCATATTGGCAAGGGCTGGCGAGGAAGTATGACGTATACAACTATCTCCGCTTGCAGCAGAAGATCGAGCGCGCCGTCTGGCAGCCTGATAAGGGCAAATGGTTGGTGACGATTCAGGACCTGAAAGATCCACAGACCACAAGAGTATGCTTCATACGCGTCCTTCGTGGGGCAGATTCGGTGCTAATGCTTCCAGTAGCACTACGAAGAAGAGCTCGACGTGCTGATCAACGCCATCGGCCACTTCAACGCCTGGAAGCTACCTAACTATGATGGAATGGACTCATACCAAGGGACTCTTTTCCATTCATCTAACTGGAACCATGAGGTCGATCTACAGGGCAAGCGAATTGCTCTTATTGGAAATGGAGCCTCGGGTCTCCAGGTCCTTCCCTCCATACAACCCATTGCACGACATGTCGACCATTATGCGCGTAACCGCACCTGGGTCGCCGATTCCTTCGGCACGACGGGCGTTCGTCGCCTCGAGCCAAACCTCTTCTCCGAAGAGCAGCTGGAATCATTTAAGGACCCAGACACATACCTTAAATACCGGAAGAGCGTGGAAGAAGGGTACTTCTCTCGATTCGGCGCCGTATTCAAGAATACACCTGAGAACCAGGAGCTACGCGAGAAGTGGACCAATCTAATGCTCTCGCGCGTGGGCAAAGACTCGACCCTGGCGGACAAGATCATCCCTGACTTCCCACCCAACTGCCGCCGTCCCACTCCAGGACCAGGCTATCTTGAGGCCCTTGGCAAAGAAAATGTCAGCTACATCCAGGCCCCCATCCAGCGCTTCACGTCGACGGGAATTGTCACCACAGACGGCATTGAACGGCCTGTGGACATTGTAATCTGTGCCACCGGGGCGAATGTGGACCACGCACCTCCATTCTCCATCGTCGCAAATGATGTCGACCTGAAGAAAGCATGGAAGCACGACGGGCTCTACGGATTTCCCTACAACTACCTCGGTATGGCCACGCCGGGGTTCCCCAACCTGCTGTGGATCGGCGGCCCCCATTCTACCGGCCAAGGTGGCAGTGTACCCAACTGCCTGGAGAATCAGATCACGTATATCGCCAAGCTCTTGCGCAAGTTCCGCGCGCAGGGCATCAAATCCCTGGAACCGTCCAGAGCGGCAACGGATGACTTTGTCGAGTACTGCGACACATTCTATCCGCGGACGGTGTGGACGGGCAATGATGACTCGACTCCCGGGCAAAAGAATTGTCGCTCATGGTACAATGGCGGTCGGCCGGGGGGTAGAATCCATGGTTTGTTCCCTGGCAGCGCGTCGCATTTGAACTACCTGAGGCGGGATCCTCGGTGGGAGGACTGGGAGTATACCTATACCAACCCCAGTGGAAATCGGTTTGCGTACTTCGGGAATGGCTGGACCAAGCGGGAATTAGAGCAAGGTGCCGATCTAACGCCGCATTTGAGCCGGCCGGATACGATCGATTTGCGAACATATTTGGAGGGCTGGTGGGATGCTTAGGTGACGGGATTTCGATTTCAAATTCACCATGATGGTGAAAAGTCTTATTATCTTTTTGCCTAGAATGAACTACTTTCCAGAAGAATCATCATACTTTGGAGCAGAACTGAGAGATATTTTAGAATAATCTGCTACATCAACAGATACATACGTTATACATGTGCAACTACTTTAGGGGCACGGTACCTGATTCCATTCATCGGCGGTTGATGATGCGAGGTGGAATGATTCCACTCTCGCGCTCGGATCGAAAGGCCAACAACAGCAAAAAGGCAGATCCGGGTGGTATTCCCCGGAAGCGTGAGCCCAAGCTTGGTGTATGTGGTTGTCGTTCTGGTGGATTTCGACGACCCAGGGATCGGGTACGAGAGGACTCCCTGGAAATGGGCTGAGGTGTGGTGGAAATGTCCTATGCAGTCTCTGAGCCAGATTTGACGAAACCACATGTGGTGTGTCTTTTTGCAAACCAGAAATCTGTTGACCCAGATTCTATGTAGTCAAGCCAATCGAAAATGGCGTAGACAAAGATTGTGTAGAAAGGTTCAAGTTCACGGCTAATATGCGTGAGGCATGGCTTTGCCACAACCCCTATGCCGCAATTCAGCGCGTAACAACATTGATCTTATGCGACCGGCCATAGGCGACAGCTTCATACAAAACATGTTCGCAATGCGCTACATTCAAGTACTTGAGCCGTGGCAGATCATCGGAGGGAGACGCATCTGCGAACGATTTGACCAGACCACCGGTAACCTCGGTAGCTGAGACGTCTAACGCGTATATATGCGGGAGATGCCGAACTAGGGCTTTCACGCTCATGTCATTGACCCCCCGTAAGGCACAGACCCCTAGCTCGGTTAGCTCCACGGGGTGCTCGGTCAAGACCTGCTCGAGCTGCGCGAGATCGAGTTTCGGGCAACTGGCGACGACCAGCTTTCGTATCGGTGCCTCGGCTGTGACTAGGAATTTGTAGAGTGTGTCATATGTGACCCAGCTTAGGTCGCGGAGAATAAGGGTGTGCAGGTGTCGGAGGTGGGGAAATTGGTCGATGAGAAAGGGGAACTCTTCTCCAACCGGGCAGGTGCCCGCATGGATGCTGAGGTGCTCGAGTGTCCGTGGTAAAGCGAACTGTCCGAGGAAGACGCCTCTCAATTCTAGTTTCCGTAGCTTGGTAAACTGATTGGGGTCGAATGATAACGTGTATGGTGACCAGACCTTGGGGTACGAGTCAATTCGCACTTCCTCCAGGTTGGGCATCACGCAGGGTCGCGATTCCTGTCCAGGGTCAGCCAGGGTGATTGTTTGGAGGATGTGAGCAACAGAAGATACATACCGTTGCAGATGGAAGATACAGAGCGGCTACACGGCCTGGTGGTGGCACGGCTGCTTCTTCGGTAGAAAGCGTAATGCTCCGCAGCATTGGGAGATGTGAGGGCCATTGGACTTTAGTCTCAAGTGACGGCTGCGCATTATGGATTTCTATACGCTCAAGAGTGGGTAGGCTTGTCAAGAATTTGGTAATGTTCTCTTGTGATACTGGTGTCCCTTTTGCGATAATGAGGGTTCTTAATTGCTTGCAGCCCTTGAACTGGTCGAACAGCCCGTCATGGCGCTGGATGGCATCTCCAATTTCCAAATGCTCTAGCTTGGGGCATCTACTCAAGTATTCGAGTACTTTATCCTGGGAGGGACCGGCCACATTCGTTAAGGTGGCATGGGTAAGCATGACCCCCGAACGCTGGATGTATGTTCGGATGGCGCGCGATGACGCTTTGCGACGGGCTTCGCTAAGATCAAGACGCATCCACAGATCTCGCATCGACAAGAAGCGTTGCCATCCTTTAGAAACGCGAGTAGAAACCCTAGAGCGCTCACGGTCAGCACAAAGATCAAGTCTTGCTCAATTGTGCACTTACACAATTTCCCGAAAAGTGAGGTGCCGAAGGACCATCATAGCTATCTCGAGTGGCAGGACACTGAACGGGTCCAGGCGTTTGACTGAAGCTGCATCGCGCACTTTACAGTACAGTTGGAGGACAAGCTAAAACACCCCGTATACGTTATTCCTAGATGAAAATTGCCTCCATGGTAGAATACCGACTAACCTTGCGGCGAGGATTATCACTTGATAAGGTCTTCAGCCCGTAACCGTATGCTTTCAAGGCCTTGACACGGTCTCCAGTCAAGAGCAAAACTTGGCCATAGCGCAGGATACCCTGTGTATTCCATTCTTAGCACAATATCGCAGCCAAGTCAATGCGATACGCGGCGGAACATACTCGTCCGTCCTTGGTGTCCTTTCGAACCATGTTTCGAGAATCGGCCAGAGCTCGGTCATACTGGGCAAGCTTGATGTATGTAGCTGCTCGATTATCAAGTATGCTCATAACATCGGCCTTTTTACAGGAGAGAGCCTATAGAGGAATCTTGGTCAGCGCCTGCTCTTATCAGCCGCGACGGATCAGGATTACCTCGGTGAAAGCATCTAGAGCGCCTTGGTAATTACCCTGCTTGAAGAGCAATTGCCCTCGCTGCTGCAGAGAGTCTCCCTCGCCGCGAATGAGCGGTGCCATACTAATCATGCGTGTGGAACAACATTCAACAGCTGGATTGGGGCGAAAGTGAAGAAAACACGTCCAAGACGCGTGCGATAAGGAAGTTGGATTGGGCTGGGATAAGATTGAGGTGCCGATAAGAAGGGGCTGAGGTAAGCATAATGCGGTAAGTTAGTTACTAATGGTCGCTGTCGACGCCCCTAGCCAGTGGGCCAACATCGGACGGTGTTTACATTCTTCCTGTTTTGGGGGTTCCGTCCCGCGACCGAAAAATAACAGTCGGGCAAAAGAGGCAATCGATTCAGCTTCATTCAGAGCAGTTTGGCTGCATAGGCACTCGCGTGCCACTAAGCTTGCAGGCAAGCCATGGAGCCCCACAATCTGCAGGCTGCATCAACCTACATCAACAATGTGCTATTGGCCAGGGGTCTGTTGAAAAGCGGGCGCCCCATTGACTTCGCTAATCCCGAGGATGAGGATGGAGGGTCAGCAGCCACCATGGGCAGGATCATCAACTTGATCAATGATCTGGTCCTACGCCGAGACGTATGCGACCGACAGTATCATTGGGGAAGATAGTCGATCGGCTAACAGTTCAGTAGCGCGAAGCAGAGCACAGAGAGAGCCTCGCGACTACGATCAGGACTCTGCGAGCGGAGGAAGCTCAGAAGTCGGGGGAATTGGTGCGCCATAACGCTTAGCAGCCATAACACACAAAGGTTGTGCTGACGACTCCGACAGGACAAATTCAAGGCGAAAACATCCGAGCTCACCCGATCCCTGGCATTGGCTGAAGCACAAGAACGGTCCCTGAAGGCCAACATTTCAGGGGCTGAGGCGACCATCCGAGGATTGAAGGACCAGGTACAGCGCATGCGAACCACCATTCAGCAAGTCAGAGCCCAGTGTGCGAATGACATACGCAAGCGCGACACAGAAATGCAGAAGCTCAAGATGCACTTGGCTGAACGCCAGCGAGGAAGGAGGGATGGTTTGACGGTCACAACGATCAACATCAACCCAGCTACTGGTCTGCGTCCGCGACCAAGATCCATCGCGGGTGGGGAGGGTCTTAGTGATCCTGGTTATAGCTTGAAGCAAGAGACGAACGACTTCTTAACGGAACTCTGCCAGAACCTAAGCGACGAGAATGATACCTTAATCAACCTAGCACGAAACACCGTCGAAACTCTCAAGGACTTGCAGGGCTTATCTTGCGCAGAGGAGGAGGAAGGTTGTCCAAGCGGCACAATTAGCATGGGAGCTACAAGACTGTCCCATGGCTCCGTCACTAGTCTTCCGGCATCGTGCGACGAGTTATCCACTCAGATGGATCGTGTGCTTGATCACCTCAGAACCTTGCTCACTAACCCTTCTTTCGTACCGCTTGAGGAGGTCGAAGTGCGCGACGAAGAGATAAAGCGTCTCCGCGAAGGCTGGGAGAAGATGGAAAGCAGATGGAGTCAGGCGCTGACAATGATGGATGGTTGGCACAAGCGCATCGCTGACGGAGGACACTCGGTACAAGCAGAAGAGCTTCGTCGGGGAATGGATCTCAACTTCCGCTTAGATTTAGCTCAGAGACAAGAAGAAAATGATGGTGATCAAGATGCGAACATACAGTCGCCCGTCTACCAAGATCGACAGGGCGAGGAAGAAGAAAAGAAGGAGAAAATAGCGCAATTGGCGCCCCAGAGGACAAACCGCACCTTATCGGATCAGAAGATTAAGCCACCGACCGGTGAAATCAAAGTGAAGAAGAACAACAAAGCTTTGAAGGAGAAAAGCGACAATATCATGACAGCACGTTCTTCTCGGAAAGTCTCTTTCACAGCTGGGCTCAAGAAGTCTCCCGGAATCGCTTCACCCGTCGAAGATGAAACGTTACAGGTGAAAGCTCATCGCTCGGAGATGGTGACGCGGAGGACTACAAAGACAAAGAGCGAGTCTAAGGATGCTTCTCAACAGGTAACCTGGTCTATTGCTTGCGCTCAAGAGAGTCAATCTGACAGCTAAACAGGATCCTAATCCCTTGCGCATGAGTGTTCCCCAGAAGCTAGCCGCAGTCGAAGATGAGGCTCGAGCTGCCGAGCAAAAGCGTAAAGAGAACGAGAGCCGCAAACGAGGACGGAATCCGAAAGGGTCTAGCAAAGCGCAGCGTGACCGACGTAGAAGTACACTTACCAGTGATGAACTTGGAGAGCTGATGGGAATGCCTTCGAGATGAGCTTACGGCTTACTATATGTCCGATGATGAAACTGTTCGATACCCCTGTCTACTGTCTGAGTGTATATCATTCTTTTGTTTACTTTTTTGTGCAGTGCGCAAGCGCTGAGTCCTATACGAGGTCATGATTTCAGGTACTTTCTGAGCAGTATACTATTTGGTTGACTCAATGTCTAATCTGTAGAATCATTGGGAATTCTGGTAGAATTTCAGTAGTGAGATATTTAACACAAGCTTTGGCCAGACTGCTTCAGCTGGCACAGGGACAATATTTGGGCTGGTTGCGTCAGCCATGTCGTCAATGCTCAGTCGACTTCGGAAAAGACTTCCCACTCCCAAGGTCTTTGAATGGCGACCCCAGTTTTAGTTGCGTCATCATACTTCATCATGCTCCTTTATCTTTGCCCCATAGGCCATGATCATGTCCTAGACCGAGCCGCTCCAGTCGGTGTTGTGGTGAGCGGATCCCATGTGGAACCAAAAGGGGACTGCAAATTGATGTCCAGCTTCTTCGCTGCTAATACTGCTTTTGCTGCGTAGCCTTGGTGAAGGTGCAGTTTGACAAAGTCGCCGGAGTGGAAGGGGATGCCTTGATGCTTTTAGTCGTACTATTTCCTCATGACCATGTCCGTGACTTGCAATGCTTCTTGTGCAGATGTGCGTGACGCAAAGCTTTTAATCTCCCGCTGGGTGGGAGATCTCAGACTGATGCTGTTGGCAACTCAATCTCATACATGAGAGAGTCTGTGTGAGAGAGGCGATCCTGCGGTAGATCCGTTTTTGGTACCATTGAGATTGGCTTGTCGAGGAACTTGCCGTAATCATGAGCAGATAAATGGAGGCTTCAATCGCCGTCAACAAACGACGCACCTGCATACCCTACAGCCCCATCTCTCAGATCGGAGAGGATAGCAACAGCTAGAGTTTTGGCCCTTGAGTCGAAAGGAGGAAAAAGACTCGCCAAAGCAGCGTCGGCCGATTGTTGCATTGTACAATTCCACGTCTTCCCCCATCCTACGGCGGCAGGTTCACAATACCGAACGAAGGACCTTTGCTGGTACACTCTGTACTCACTTTCAGGATGGGGTGTGACTCGGTACCGGTTGTCTCTCTTTTCTCACGTATCCTCTTGGATCACTGGTAGCCGCTCTGGATTGTTGTCTTCCCCCCTAGCCAGTTCAAGCTGCGTGCCATCGACACCACTGGGTGAATCTTCGACATCAATATACAAAAATAAAGTTGCAGGCACCCTCCGGAAGATTAAAGAGGAGGGGTAGGATGAGGCCACCCTGCTTTCCGCAGAGCATATCATGGATCTCAAATGCAGGCACTACCAGCACTCAGTACCAAAATGGATCCTCAAACCTTCAGTTGTCGATCTGCTCGTGCTCTTGTTCAACCAGGCTGGGCTGGCTGTGATGATTAGGCAGTACCCCAATCAAACCATCCATGAACCAATGAGACCAGTTACCATAACAGAATTCATCACGCGCGGAGAGAAACGAATGCATCCATGATCGCCGCGTGAATTCCCAGTTCAGTCTCGGTGTTGACTTCGTGTCGGTAAGTTCCCTTTGCCAGCCGATCAGTATCTTTACCAACGTAGAGAGGCTGTTGCCCGGCATGTCACGGGTCTTTTTGACATTCTATAATTGCGTGCGTGCGCTGGAGCGATTTCTAACTCTTGGAAGACTTCATTCCAGGAGTCCGGACAACCCTGGGACCTGCAGTGGATCTCGGCCCATTGCAATAAACCGACCATGTCAGAGGCAGGGCACATTACAGAAATGGTAGCTCCAACAGTCGTTGATGGTTGCTTCTTAAGCATTGCACTCCGCTTAGAGATCCAATTTAAAGATAAGATGGATAGGTGTGACACTACACTCCTGCTCGCGAGAAGGTGGCAATTACTGGGTTTGGGTGAGAGGAAATTAGCTGAATGGGCGAAGAAGAGGACTCGAGGGTTGGGTTCTGGCCAGGACTGTGGGAAGGGGGGTATGGCTTCACTGGAAGAGCTGTGCTTCACTCGATGGGTGACTTCATGAATCTATTGAAGTCTCCATGGTCGGCTCATTGAATGTCTGGCGTCTCTTGCAATACTTGATTCATCCATCAAAGCACAGGGAATTGTATGGCTCATCAAGAGTTGGCATTCACAAATGAATTGATCACAGTAGACAACAGAACAGCTAGGTAGTATGGGTAGGGAATAGGGATATTCTCTTGAATCGTCCAAAATCGTTCCGCTAGGTGATTATATATGCATCGCATCAAGATCAATAACGCTCCAGCAACCACTTCCTCCGTGCTTCTTCCTCCATGGAATCCAGCTTCTTCTTCTCCGCGCGTTTGACGAGAATGTAGTTCGCAACCAGAGTCGACCCAAGAACTTCCTGCAGAGCAGAATCGGCCTCCAGCTCGTCGAGGCTCTGAGACAGCGACTTTGGTAGTTGGGTAGTGATGCCGTAAGACTTGCGCTCCTCCTCGCTCAAGGTTGCGGAGTCATCTATCTCAGTCAGCAACAGCGCAATGCAAAACAAAAGCATTTGTCGGCATGGCATTCACAATACTCACAGGGACAATCAGAAGCCGTCAAAGGTTCGTTGTTCTTCACTCCAAGATAGCCTGCGGCCAGGAATGCTGACATAGCAATATACATATTCGCTAATCCGTCCAATGTCTTGATTTCCCAATGCGCCGGCGAGATCTTGCGGATTGGCGATTCACGGTTCTGTGTACCCCAGCTGACCCACTCGCTCCCGGCCCACAAGCCAGAGCAGACCCGATCATAGCTAACGTCTCCGGCTAACGCAACGGCCATCAAGGCTGGGTAGTGCTGAAGAATACCGGCAAGAAAGCTGTCCTCCTTCGTGGACGGGGTGATGGAAAGATGTGCGTGGGATGCTGTGCCAGCAGCGTGAGTGTAAGGACGAGGATGTAGTGTCGCGCGAAGACCATGTTGCTCAGCAACCTGGGTCACCACCTGCCGTGCTTTGAGAAGGGTATCAACCGCTGCGAGGGGAGGTCCAGGTGGAAGGACAAACTCAAATTGGCCAGGGGCAGATTCAGAGTGGAATTGTTCGAGGTTAATGCCGATAGATGCAAGAGTCTCGGCGATCTCCTCAAGCAATGGCACCATACGTCTGGTTTCTCTGGTCATTTGAGACCAAGAGTGGTTTTTGACACACGGGACAAAGTCTTCCTGATCTGTATCGGGGTTGGTGATACATCTCAGAAACACGACTTCGATTTCAAACCCGCATAGGACTTGAATACCATGTTCGCTTTGCAGCTGATTAGTCACATTGCGAAGGAGGGTTCGAGGGCATCCTGGCAGAGGCCTGCCATCCTCCGTGAGCCACCAGCTCATAACGGTTGCACTCTTGGAGTCCAGCCCAACATTGCGGGAAAGAGTGGACAGGTCTGGTTGCATGTAGAACTGGCCGGTCGTTGAGCCTTCGGGGCAAACAGTGTCATTCTGGAGCATCTGCTGAGTGGCAAGGCAGACGCCGATACGACGTTCTTTGCGGACGATCTTGGCGAATTCTTGCACTGGGAAAATGCGTAGGCGTAATGTCGCGGTGTAGTCAAAGAACTGCAACCAGATATACTTGATGTCCGGATTGTTTTGCACAAAAGCCTTCCACTCGTCACTAGACGAACCCGCTAGTGGTCGAGAGCAAGGCTTTTGAGTCTCGTCGTAAGAGTTAGTCTCATTCAGGCTGTAGAGGCGATTCGAGTTGTGGAAAAGGATATCTGAGGCTGCTGTCTTGGCCTGTTCAATGGCAAAGTCACCTTGACGAACATAGTCCACAAGAACCTAGACTGGGTAAGCTCATGCCATCAGCAACTGAACAATTTACATGCGAACCTTCTCTAGGGCGTCACGGAACTGCTTGTTAGCAAGCCAGAACGTCTCCGGGTAGAAATGGCCGTCTGTGCTCCACAGGAGACGATTCGTAGGTACGACCTCCAAGCTTTCTCGAATTATAGACTCTTGAGCATCTCGGCTTACCATGGGAAATACTTCTCCTAGATCAAGGTAGACATTAGGGTACACGCAAGCAAGGTAACCTGCCTCGCGGGTGTATGGGTATGAAGAATGTAACAAAACAAAATCCACTTTAGGATATCGAGCAATCAGATCTTGAAGGTAGGCAGGATTTGAGAGGATCAGGTTGATATCGTTGTCGCCCAAACCTGTGTGAAGTTGCAGTGGCTTGTTAGGGCCCAGAGGGGTCGAGGTTCTGGCGGCCTGAAGCAAGTCCAGAGTCTGCCGCACTACCCAGTCATTCAAAGGCTTATCTTCAACACGGTAAGTTGGACCCGTTCGTTGCTGAATGGTCCGAGCAAATGATTGCAGTAGACGGCTGTCATCATCCTTGTCGTCGGCACATTGAACATGTAAGCCTGTGCGGTAGCAAATGACAGATTTGAACCCGACTACAACGGCATCCGCAACCGCTTTCTCAATCTCTTGATGAAAGCCTTCACGAAATCGATCGAACGTCTGCCTTAGGTTCGTCACGTCATCCAAGGCCTCTGAGTACCCCTCAGGGAGGATAGCAGCGAGAACCTGGGCGGCCACAACCTCAATGCGTACGATCCGCTTGGTCGGAGCTGTCGTGAAGCGATCATGCCAATCAAACGGCTCAATGTCTTCGTCTGTAAGCAGATCGTCTAGAAGAAGGCTGTGGGTACCTTCGAGGCAGCGGCGGATGAGCTCATCATAATCGCGTTTCACCCACTGATCGCGGGCCTCCTTGACACGATCCCAGTCATTGGAGGGAGAGTCATACAGAGTAGCTAGTTGATGGGCCGCACGTTGCAGGGGTAAGGTGTGAGGCGCATTTTCTAAAGCGATGCCTTGTGCTTCGGAGGTGATCTGCTCGAAAGCGTACTTCTCATAATTGCAGGCATTGGACTTATTGAGGAGGTTATGAGCATGGTTATCGATGAGAGGATAGGTTTGGACCAGCTGCCGGAGGGAGGCGAGCGGATCCATTGGTGCGTGGGATATGGTTGGCCCGTCCGGCCGATCAATCACTTAAGTGCGCGGCACTCGGCAGTAGCCGGAGGGATTCAAACAGGGGAGGCGGAACAGTTCTTGGTAGGAGGAGGCTAGTAACAAGGATTCAAATTATGTGGAATAAGTGTTTTCTTTGCAGACTTTTGATGAGAGAGTCGAAGACAGCGTAGAAGATCAAGTAGGAGGAAAGTGGATGCTAAAGTAGAAAGTAGACCAGAGGAGGACGGACGGACAGTGAGGGACAAGGGATGGGGGGGAGGGGAGAGACAAGGCGATGTTTACCCTTTTAGGCAGGTCGCCAGCAGCCGCCGACCCAGCGCTGACAGTATGGAAATCATAATAAATCACTGAGATTATGATAATAGTACCTCACAGTCACTCAAAAGAGACATCGGCACGAAGTCCGTCCCATTTTACTGTCGTCTACAGCTTCAGATGAATCGCAAAAGGTAATCTCCGCGTGTAATGACAATCAAACGTATACCTCGGTTCTGGCACAACGGGGAAATCTTCACGACCTCTGCTCGTCAACCATACGCAATCCGGTATCTTCCACGACCACCAGCGGAGCTGTAGCTCCACCAGTCGATCTACTCTTCTATTGTATATAGTTCTCAATAACGGCTTCAATCTTCACCCACCCAGGATGTTGGTCTGGTGCCAACTTTTCTGCCACCAGTTTTAAGAATTACTCCCGTCTAACTAACGCAACCGAGTCATCTTTAGCCGCTCCGTACGAACCCGGTGTATAGGCGATGCCATCTAAGACGCCATTCTCTGCCTTTAGCGTCGCACTCTAACCTCTAAGCGAACAGGCCTGGGTTCTTTGTGTAGATTGAACTCCAACTGCACCCGGTCTCATTCATCTTCGAAACAAACGAGTCATCGTCTCGAGTACACACGCAGACGCCAGAGAAGGTCCAGCAACAAGGCGCAATGGACGGTGTTGTCTGAAAAGGACTGTCGTGGCATACTTAGCCAGACATAAGTCTAATCTCACTTCTTAGTCCAAAGTGAAAACTATGGGGCTCGAATCGATGTCTCGGAGGATGCCAAACGCTGGTGGAAGAGCGTCAGGCTTCAGCACTTCTGTGTGGGTCTGTCAGACCTGAGCTGTACTTGTCGCACTTTGTGTAACTGTGACAGAGTCACGATCTCGTGAAGCACTCTATGCAACAGATGAGGAAAGGAGTACTTCACAGTTTGTCAAATACATCGGAGTACTAATCTAGAGGTCGTCCACCGGGTTGTGGGAAGAAAAAGTCCATGCTTCCACGCCATCGGCTCAGACGGCAGCACGGCCCGAGGCTCGGCATGCCGAAGGAATCAGCTCTCGTTCTTCGTAACTCGCTCCAGAGGTGACTAGCCGCGGCCGACCTCCACCGAGCTCCGAAGCCATTCTCAAGCTTCTGGTTCATCAATGTATAGATCGACATTACGGAGAGTATCCATGACCAATACGGATCACCTTACAGAGAATCAATGACTAGGTCATGTGTCCATCTGCAGATCCGTTATCTACGCAAACAGAGCAAACACAACGGCGCAGTACGGTTATCAGCGGTGGCCATGTGACGTCGAGGCCGAGGCCAACCGCCTTCTCCGCATTCTCCAGGAATTCGAGGGACGCTGGGTAGATCGCCAGCTCCCTGGCTTGAACACGCCGCGTAATCTCTCCTTTTTTATCAAAGCATTATCTTTTCACTGTTTTGCACTGCATAGGGATATACATAATGATCTTATTAGCCGATTCTCGTACCTTGTATCGCTCTTTATTGTCTTCAGCAAAGATACCTCGTCGATGGGGTAGTTCCATATCGCAGCGTCCGGGCTCTGATAGGTATGAACCCACAAGACAAGACAGAAAACCAGCAAAAGGCATGAGCATCAATCACTAACACACAACCAGAGTTCGGTTTCCCGGCGCCGTCAATAGCAAATTCACCACCGACATGGAATTCATCAATCCGACCGAAGTGTCTCATATCCCCACTTATCGAGTCATGGACTCCGATGGAGTGCTGGTTGACAAGACACGCAAACCCCTCGACATACCCAAGGAGCAAATACTGGAGTGGTACAAGAATATGTTAACGGGTGTGTGTGGAGACTTGTCCTCTAAAAGTCGCTACATGGTATCTGACCGAGGCCAGTGAGCGTCATGGACGTCATCATGTTCGAGGCTCAAAGACAAGGCCGGTTGAGTTTCTACATGGTGAGAAGCCCACTATCAGTTTGCTACGCAGAGTTTCTGACGCCTAGTCAAGGTTTCCGCCGGAGAAGAGGGCATAAGCGTGGGTTCTGCCGCTGCATTGACTCCTGACGACGTCGTTTTTGCGCAATACCGTGAGACGGGAGTATTCCAGCAGCGTGGATTCACCTTGAAGAACTTCATGAGCCAGCTCTTTGCCAACCAACATGACAATAGCCGAGGCCGTAACATGCCGGTTCATTATGGTCAGAATTATCCGCGAATTGTGAGTAGGCGAGATGGGAGTGGAGTGGAGTGAAGTCTGAATGCTGACCGTCACAGCACACAATTTCCTCACCTCTTGCCACCCAGATACCGCAAGCCTCAGGCGCGGCGTATGCTCTGAAGTTGCAAACACTACAAAACCCTGATATTCCACCCCGGGTTGTCGCCTGCTATTTTGGCGAAGGTGCTGCCAGTGAAGGCGATTTCCATGCGGGTCTCAACATCGCCGCAACCAGATCCTGTCCCGTTGTTTTCATTTGTCGCAACAATGGGTACGCTATCTCGACTCCAACTCTGGAGCAGTATCGCGGTGACGGCATTGCAAGTCGTGGCATCGGTTATGGGATTGACACGATCCGTGTTGACGGAAATGACATATTCGCGGTCTATGAAGCAATGCGCGAGGCACGGCGGATTGCACTAAGCGACGGGGGCAAGCCAGTTCTTATCGAGGCGATGAGCTACCGCGTCTCCCATCACAGCACCAGTGACGACAGCTTTGCTTATCGCGCCCGCGTTGAAGTTGAAGACTGGAAACGCCGCGATAATCCCATCATCCGTCTGCGCAAGTGGTTGGAGAATGAAGGGCACTGGAACGAAGATATTGAGCGAGACACGCGCGATCAGCTCCGCAAGGACGTTCTCAAGGAGTTCGGCGAGGCGGAGCGTGAGTTGAAACCACCACTCCGGTCCGCATTTGAGGGGGTGTATGAGGAGGTCACCGAGGAAGTACAAGAGCAGATGCAAGATCTCAAGCGGATAATAGAGACCTATCCCGAGGAGTACGACATCCGTCAGTTCAAGGATGGGATCAACGGACTGTGATGTGGGTTTCGATTGAAGATTTATGAGATACTTGATAATACATCTAGACGAACAAACAAACAACTCGAAGGCCCAGCCTTTTGTAAGATCCTGCAAACCAGTGAAGGAAGATGGCTCGGGACACGAATCCCTCGTATTCGAGAATAGTAGCCTCATGATCGCCATTCGGTACACAGGCAGACGTACTAGTCAATTAGTTTCCCTTCTCGTTAGGCTGTTACAGTACGGAGTACTCCGTACATCGTTCCTGCTGCACGCTGTATAGCCGGGATAGAGCCGATGCAATTGCCGCTTTTTGGGCTTTCTGCAGGCGAGAACAAGGGGGTGACATGATATCAGTTGAATAGTTATCTGCACCTGACTGCAATTCTCTATTTTGCTCCCACGAGGGAGATCATGGCACGCTTCGATCTCGGCGCTGAGGTGTGACCTCCATCCACCTCACCGCCTGTTGATAACACTCCGTCATCGGCGCGTTGCAGGTCGCCTGCGGACGATCGAGTCAACCTGACCTCATTGAAGTATAATGAAAAATGCCATCACCATCTTCAACTTCCCCCTGGATGCGAGCAGAGTCAATCACGAACACAGACAGGATATTGATAATGATGTGGTGGCGATTGAACCTAAACGACCAGCAGACTGACGGGCAGAAAGCAATCCGGTCTCGAGGCGGTCAAATTCTGCACTCATGGTTTTTCTCCCGCCTTCCAACCAAACCATTCAACCACCACCAAGTCAAATCCCATCCCACAAGCCTAGATTCTTTTTGGAGGAACAACCGGCAATGTATATCCACTCAGAGAGAGCCACGCAGGACAATCCTCCGGGACGACAGGGGGAAAGAGGAGGGTCAATGCTCAAATCGTCGCGCGGGAGGGGCCCCTGGGAGAATTTCGATCGAGTAACGGAAATGTCAAATCCAGGTACCCCCTCCGAGTTTTGATCGAGTAATGGGCATTCTCAGGAAAAGTCTTGGTGTGGAAGGAAGGGAAAATTTGCTTTGCCCCAGGGAATCCCCGATGGCGGATGCCGGAGGCGCCCGATGTTTCTGACCCATGGGTGAAGCACACACACTCACTCACTCACTCGGACATTTTACGGTCCCCCACGGATGTTATGCCGCGTTAACGAGAGCAACAATGAAAAGTCTGGCTGGGCTGTCAAAGAGTTGAAGTAGGAGCGTGAGAGAGAGAGAGAGAACCTCCCGTCCACGACGCGGCACAAACAACCATTTAAAGTCACGAGGACAACTGATAAGGAGGCTCATGCTCACTTGAGCATTGCTGGGATAAAGTGCAGAATAGTTAACTTACTTAGTTACACTGTAGTAGGCTTATTCATCCCTCCCCCCATTCGATCGTCAGGAGCTTAACCGTTAAACGAGAGGCAAAGAAAGAAAAAGACCCGGTGGGTCTGTCAATGCTGTGGGCCCCGATTTCTGTTACTCGATCAATATTATGGGCGATTGGCCTACTAGATAATCGGGCGAGGCAAAGCAGACAATGGCGGCTATCATCGTCGGATACTTAAACAACCCCTTATCAGAGGAGGGCCTGACCTCATCGTGTCTTCGCCCTCCCTTTGCCTTATCAGACAGAAAGAGAAATCGATCAATCCCCTTGCCTACCGCCATTTCCGCCCTTATCGGCCCTATCAGCCCTTCTTTCTCCTTATCTTTGTCCATTCGTTCAGTAGGATACGCAGTCTGACTGCCTGTCTGCCTCGACCTTTTTGTCTGCTGTGTCTCTTTCACTTCTGTCGCTCCCTGCCCTCTCTCCATTATTCAGTACTCGCAGTCCATAGCCACAATGGAACCCGTTCAAATACCGTCAATCACAGTGATTGTGTCCTCACGGGCCGTTATTTCGGGGCGTTTGACTGCTGCCACCATCGTAATCTCCCGCACCAGTGGGAAGATCACGGCAGTTTTCGACTCCGTGATCCCTGCATCCGACTTTCCTCCGGAGACCCCGTACACGGACTATTCTCCCCATGTGCTAATGCCTGGGCTGGTCGACGCCCATGTCCATCTGAACGAGCCTGGTCGTACCGAGTGGGAAGGCTTTTATACCGGCACGCAGGCCGCTGCGTTCGGCGGAGTCACCACGGTGATTGACATGCCCTTGAACGCCATCCCGCCCACCACCACAGTAGCCAATTTCAAAGAGAAGCTCCGCGCAGCCCACGGAAAGTGCTGGGTGGACGTTGGCTTCTATGGTGGCATCATCCCTGGCAATGCCGGCGAATTGAAAGCTCTGGTGAATGAGGGTGTTCGTGGCTTCAAAGGATTCCTTATCGATAGCGGGGTATGCGTCTCTGATCCCTGATTGATAAGTCTTATTTTATTCCCATACTAACCTGAACAGGTTGACGAGTTCCCCGCCGTCTCTGCCGATGATATCCGCCAGGCAATGGCTGAGCTGGCCGATGAGCCCACGACCCTGATGTTCCATGCAGAAATGGCCGGGGAGACGGAGCCCACGCCAGAAGGCCCTGTGGAAGCGTACTCCACCTTCCTCGCATCTCGCCCCTCGTCCTATGAGACACGCGCTGTCGAAGAGATCCTCTCCCTGTCCCACCTGGCCCCCAAGCTTCCTCTGCACATTGTCCATCTGTCTGCAATGGAAGCCATCCCGCTCCTGCGCAAGGCTCGCGCCGAGGGTGTTCCCATCACCGCCGAAACATGCTTCCACTACCTATCCCTGGCCGCCGAAGAAATCCGGGACGGTGACACGCGCCACAAATGCTGTCCGCCTATCCGCTCGCAGTCTAACCAGGACCGTCTCTGGGAAGAGGTTGAGCGCCACGCCGACGACGGCGTTATCAAGACCATCGTGTCGGATCACTCGCCCTGCACGCCCGACCTGAAACTTCTCCCGTCGAATGTCCCTGGCAGCTGCGCCACTTCCACTTCCTCCTCCACCTGCACCTCCGCCTCCACCTCCACCCCCACATCCTCAGACAGTGACAACCTCGCCGTCGCCAACGAAGGCAGCTTCTTTTCCGCCTGGGGCGGCATCTCCTCCGTCGGCCTAGGCCTCCCCATCCTCTGGACCGAGCTCAGCCGCCGCAAGGGCCTGGCCACCAGCACCGCCGACGAGACCACCACCCAACAAGCCCTCCAGGACATCGTGCGGCTCTGCTGCACCAACACCGCTCGCCAGGTGGGGCTCCAGGACCTCAAGGGCGACTTGAGCCCCGGCCACGACGCCGATATCTGTGTCTTCGATGACACGGCAGAGTGGGTCGTCGAGCCCAGCACCATGCTCTTCCGCAACAAGTGCTCGCCCTACCAGGGCCGCACCCTCCGCGGCATGGTCCGTGAGACCTGGCTGCGCGGTGAGAAGATCTTCAACCGCGACGCTGGGTTCGCGAGCAAGACCCCTTCCGGAGGTCTGCTCCTCGAGAAGCGTATCTGAACTCCCCATCCATCCCTAGTTTTGTAGCCCCAATTGGGGTGCAGGGCACGCTTCGGAGCACCAGGGAGGCAACCTTGTCTACCTAAAATAGTTGTGCTGGTCATAACGCTCTTGCTTGTTGCTCCATGCGCTCCCCCGACGCGACGACTTCAGTCACGATACCCGCTCATCACTATACCTTTCATATCATGACCCCGACATTTGGATCAGCGAGTAAAGCATAGTTCATCCGCATTTGTTTGACTTCGAATAGCATATAAGAGAGTACTTTAGCCATGTTAGAACCCAATGGAATGGAATACACAGACATATACCCTCTTCACTCACCGATTTGATCGAAAAAGACCGTCCCTAAAGAAGGTGTTCTGCGTAGAAATAGAGTGCGACATACCGTCAGCATTGAAGAAACAGTCCCAAGTAAGTCAGAGGGTAAACTTGGAGTTGTTGCAGGTTTTCCCCCCTCCCTTCCTGGTTCTTGTTTGTCAGGCATCCATCCATCACCGCTTGATGGCGCAATCCCGCCTTGGCGGAGAATTACAGAGTAAGTTACTCCTCGTTACACTGGACTGATTCACCTGCAGACCAACTGATAGGAGCTACTGGTAGCTGCGGAATACTTCGTTTTTGTTGTATCATACAGTCAGCTGACGGCTGGATGCTCATGTTGCATATAATAATCACTCATTTTTGGGGGGTTCACAAAACAAAAAACACACACAGGATTTTATCACTTCGCAGAACGCAACAGAATAAGACATCAAACATGCATAACCACGAAATGATCGTGAGCGGATCGAGGTCATACAAGGTGAGGGAAACAATAAAGAGAGGGTATCGACAAAACCACCACCACCACCACCTACCACGTCATAGCCCATAAGACTAGTGAGAAAAGTTGGTTCCAATTACACATTGCTGGGCGCAACGCACAGCCACATTTTTTTTCTTCGCATGAAGAAGATCGGAGTAGCCTCAATGCCTGATAGTCTTCCCCGAAAGATGCATTAATCATTTCGTTTTCTTCTGTTCCTCCACAACGACCACATCGCCACTCCCGACACTGGCCGACCCATCCAAGGAAACTACATCTTCTTCCCTATCTTGATCGTACTCCGCGCGGACTCGCTGGCGGCCACGTTCTTGCATCGAATCCCGAATGCGACGGTTGACCTCGCCAAGGTCATCCTTGGATTTGATACTAAGGGGTTTGAGGAAAGTCTCATACAGAGTAAAGCCGGCGCTGCGGGAGCGACTGCGCCCGTTGCGGCTGGCACTGCGATTGCGACTCTCGGGTTCGCTGGGCGGCATACTCTTGAGGCGGGACTGGTAAGCGTCGTCCCCGGGATGCTCGTGGTCGATCAGTTTTTCGGACTCGAAGTCGGGGAAAATCTCGGGAGCGAAGTTGTCGATCACGTCAACCACTTTCGCGGAAAGGGCCTGACGCTCGGCGCGGAGTTTCGCGAGGGAACTGGCGGAACGGGGGTTGAGGGCGACAAGGAGAGGAGGCAGGGATTTGAGCACATCAATACCAATCTCGCCGATACGGAGGCCGGCGAAGGAGACGGAGATCATGAGGCCAAAAAAGAAGATGGAGAAGAGCGCAAGGGGGATCGAGTCGGAGATGTAGGTCCGTGCGTTCAGCCACCACGGGACGACCGAGGCATAGAATCCGTCATGGCGGCAGTAGTGTAACCAGATAGTCACAATCACTGTGTACCAGGTGTAGAGCGCTGGAGCAAGACCCATGGCGACCAGGATCTTCCAACTCCCCACCACGTCACGGCCCTCGAGTTTCACAACAGAGTTGGCTAGTGCTGCGCGTTGCTTTTTCACAGAGACAACTTTGGCGGTGACGAAGACGGGCCAGAACAAGGCGACGGAAGGGAGAGTACCAACAGCCAGGGTGAGAAGTTCGCCGACACGATAGAGTAGGGTGCCCAGAACGAGCCACCAGGGGCGGTGCTTTACATCGCCCCATTCGACTTGGTGGTCGCGAATTCCCAGAGCACGGAGACGCCGGTTGTAGTCGGAAATGGCTTTCTTGAGCTGAAGTACCTTGGGCTCATCTTTGAACTGGGTGTAGCCCTTAAGGAGACGTCTGTTGAGCTCAATTACGACAGGGAGGGGAAGCTTCATTCTTAGAGGTTTGTACAGTCGACGGGTGGCCTGGATTACCATTAAGGTCTCGTGGTCCGGTGCTTGTTGGGTCACAGTAGTCAATGCCTCGGTAATGGTTTCTAGAAGAGAGCCCACCGCGTTCCGCTTGGAGTTTCCACCAGCCTTGAACGCCTCAATCTGATCCGGATGCACCTGAACAGGGTTTCCGAATTCGACTACAGCACGAGAGCGGAACTTGTTCGGATGAAAGTAGTTCATACCACATGGGATGATAGACAGACCACAATTGGGATCCAGCGCGAGTGTTCCCAAAGCAATGATAGCCACACCAGCCTTCAAGGGGAGAAGGCTGGGACGATCGTGACTGCCACCTTCGGGGAAGATACCGATACAACCCCCAGCAATCAGTTCGCGATACACCGCATCAAACATTTTGCTTTGATTGATGTGGGGAGCGACCTTAAAGGAGGTTCCTTTGCGTATCGCATTGTAGAGAGGGTGGTCTTTTTCGAAAGTCTTGAACGGCTTGCGCAGTCGGATTGTGTTCGCATCGATGATCTCCTCGATCGCCTGTTGCTCAGGACTCGACTTGCCCACACGGGGAAGGATGATGGTTCCGCCCACCATGAACTGGTCACTGGTGAAGTTGCAATCACGTCCCTTGAGCAGGGTCGGATCGTTCTCCGGGTCTGGAAGGTAGATCTCCCCCTTTGCAGGTTTGACATGATCCATCGACCGTACGACGGGTAAAGCACCCATGCATCCAGCCATAGTTCCAATGTAAGGTTCGCGCATGGATTTGTCGGCGATCAGGAACGAGATGCGACGGTCCGCATAGTGCTTCATGATCCGCATCAGCAGGATGGAATCCACGAACTGATTAGCATGTGGCGCGGCAACGATGATGACGGGTCCCCGCTTAGGAATCCGCCATGCACCGCGAGAGTAGACCTCGCGGAAGAAAATATCCAGACAGAGGGTGAAAATCCACACCCCCAGGTCATATAGCCACGGGATCATATATCTCCGAGCCATGGCTGCGTCTTGGGTTGCTCAAGATTGTGAAAACAGAAGTGGAAGAAGAATAGGAAGGAAAAAGCGAATATCATCAATGTTACCGCGAAATATGCCTCGTTTCTGTATCTCTCAACTCATGACCGCGGGGGTTAAGACGCTTTATCGTTGACCGCAGAATGTGACGGGAGGTGACGTTGCAGCGAGTTTTCCTTTGGGACAGCCAGCGCGTGCGCGCGTTGATAGCAAGATAGCGAGTATACTGGGCGGGTGAGGCAGTAGTCGAACAGCTCGTCCCACTGGCTTCGACACTATGCCGCCCGAAACAGCCTGAAGCAGAATGGAACCGTCGTTAATTGGGAATGCAGCTGAAGATGCAGTGGAAGAAGGAAAGGTTGCGCGAAATAAATCAGGATTGAGAGCACACACAGAGTGATGCAAATCAAACGATCTCCGGAGAAACTCGGCTACTGAAGCTAGCATCCGATGGAGTAAGTTACTCCGGGGGATCTGGACTTCAATCGACGACCAAAATGGTTGGGACCCAACACTTGGAAAGAGTTGGGAACGAACTTGAGGGGTCGTATGTATTGCAGATAAGAGTGGGAGCAGTCTGGAACAAATGTTCTGGTCGACTTATACCAATCAGAGCTGAAAGTGAAGGGGAAGTTTGAGGCGCGCGGGGCTGCATGATGTAGGCTCACGTGATATGACACCGTTACGTTTGTCCGGACTCGGAAGGCGCTAGTGCCGATCCCGGCGGTCTCCCCGACCCTGGGGGGCTTGGCAATTATGCCATCCATCCGAGATGGAAAGCGGAGATACTAACTTACTACTACCATGGATTGAACAGCAACATCACAATCATGAATTGGCTATTGTACAAAGAGCACCCCGCATGCGTGTCATTCATCTATACCTTCTCGGCTTCGGCCAATAGTTCTTCAATCTTGAAGTTCTGCACGTCACCGCGGGTGAACATGCGCAACAGTTCTCCCTTCCGGCCACTAGCTTGTCCACCGAAGTCATAGAATCGCTGCACGCAGCTGACCAACCAACTAGCATCGGTCACAGAGACACCGGAGTCTGGCATCACTTGACCATGCATGAGAACCAGTCCCTTGTCATCGGCGAGATCAAGATGGTGGGTGATAGTGGTATGCGGTTGGGCAAAGGAGCCGTGCAGCTTGTAGGCGGCAAGGTGCGTGAAAATGATGGTGGAAGTATGAGAGTTGGCGAGTGAGGCGTGAGTGGCAGATGGAGATGGTGCCGAGGCTGGGGGGTGGAAGGCCCACTGAAGGAAATGAATGTCTGCGCCCCCGTTGGCATTGTCGCTGTTCCCACCCTCAGCGGTTTCGGATTGCGTCGCATCACGCGGTAGAGGCAGGATAAACTGAGGGTTCTGGCGAGCAGCATCCACAATGCGCTGGTATGTGTCGACGGGGATGCAGGCACAGATGGAGTGGGAGTTGTTGGCGTGTCGAAGACGCCACAGGGATTCGATCTCCTTAGGCGGAAGAGCGCGAATCTTTTCCACATCTAGGTAAGAATCAAGACCCTTGATACCACCAGACTTCGCCGAGGCCGCAGCCTTGATCGCAGCCTGAGCTTGAGGGGAAGGAGGTGGCGTTGGGGGTGGAGGAGGTCCGGTCGCGGATGGAGACGGCGTCGATGGTTCGGGAGTGATTGAGGTGGATGCTCTACGACGAAAGTCTTGGATCTTGTCCTTGTAGGCATCTTTCAGCGATTCGACGTTTTCGTGACCCTCCCTATGCAGCGTATAATAAGTATTGTTATCGGGGGACTTTGGGGTTTCTTAAAACTCACTGCTTGGCTTTCTGATCCAGCTTGGCCTTGTACCTATCCAGCACCTGCTTAGGATCATGGTGCGTCGCAAGGAAGCGGACGTCGTGTACTTGAGCCCATCTCCTTTGCTGGTAGCGCAGAAAAGAGGTCCTGCTCCGGGAAAGGGACTGGAAAGCCGATGAACGAAAGGACGACATCGTTGGGATTGTTGTCTCTGCCGCGGAGTTGGCGAGTTCAGATTCGATAAGTGCCCGGGCCGGTGGTTCGAATCTGGATGCTTATCTAAGCAAGCCATCTTTCCATTCTCTACGCCGACTATAAATATCATTGGTATACATGACCTTCTTGAGACTGCTGGGTCCTGATGTTCTTCCAAATCAATGAAAGTGATAGCTCATTAGTGCGATGGGCTGTGGCATAGTCTGAGTGAAGCCTGGACTACAAAAGAGTTGCTTGCTATCAATTCGTGAATCACCCTGCCCGCGAGCATTTTTCGTCCAACGAGGTCATTTATACGCAAGCTCAAGCTTGGGGCTATCTAAGATGTCATATTACCTTCAGATAGCCTACACTGTCAGTTGAACTATGTGTCCACGGCATGTATTATCACTAAACTCCTCCGCGCCTATCTGCTGCATTGCGAGAAAGTCGCCGATCTCACGACTTAATAGTGGTAATGTATGTTTAACGGTTTCTTGGCTTGAGGTCTTGATCCTGCTGATATCTTGTTTCTTGCTAGTCCAGTTTAATGCCTCAGAGGAAATAAACAGCAATGGGAGACTTAGATGCAAGAAGGGATCATCTTCCCCACCAGATCATTGCTGGTTGTTCTCTTCTCCAACAAGATAGTTTCCTATCGAGGTCGACGGCTCACCCACCCCTTTGAACGCGGAACTATTGTTGGACGATCACTTGCTATCCAGGCTGATATATCAATATTCAGGAGGAAAGTTCAACTTCCCAACAAGCCAACCGATTCCGAAACGCATAACCTTCCAAAGACAGAAACTAACAGTGATGCATACTTCTTTTACGCCCATGCTAATCCATAACTCTGGATTCAATACTATTTCAACCTACACTAAAATCTCTGGGAGCATAATTTGTTGTCATACTCTGACTAGGCTGGGCACACCGGTCGATGTTAGTCCTCCAGATAGTCACAATTAGCCTGAGCCAGTACAGAATGAGCAGGTTTTATGACCAATCGTAAGGAGGCATCCGACGTCTTACCAGGCAAGATGACCAACTGAGCCTGAGCATGACAGTACTACTGCAAGCTACTGTGGAGACTCACTATATGCATTAAACGGTCCGTGCCGTTTTGCGTGCTGGCGGACCGCTGGGGGGTTCAACGCATGCCCCTTCTCGGGCTTCTGGGCACTCCGATTGGAGAAATGCAGGAAGAAGTCAACCTAGTAGGGAATTTTCAAGTCCGAACATGGGTACTTAAAATTGACAGGCACACAGTTGGCTGCAATCCGAGCATCGGACTCTGTACCTATCGCAATCAAGCTAGGTTATTCGGACTTCTGTAGCTCGTCACACGCTCTTGGTAGCTGACAGAACGGCCACAGTCGGTTACTGAAACTTCTTTGCGACATATCTTTATAGTCGGATATCGAATATCTTCAATAGATTGATTCGTGGTACAGCCACAAATATGACGAGTTCATTCAAAGGAAGAAGCACATTAGCCTGCTTCGCACCACAAGAGGTTCACCAGCGGAGTCCTCTCTCGCAGGACACCCTATTGTCACGGCTCGCGATCTAAGTTAGCAAGAAATGCCTAAAGCTTTAGTATTACATGCTTTCCTGGCCGGCGAAAATGTTTCTTAGTAGTGAGACAAGACAGGCTCTCCTATGTGCCTCTGTTTTGTTTTTATTACCGTCAGCCTTGCCTATTTCAGCGCCGGTGTCTAAATTCTTGTTTCGAAAGTGCCCTAAGCGTCAGCAGTCCCGCATCTACAAATAGCGAGGCTGCAAGCGTGGGCTCGCCGGGCTGCAATGAATATTCGGTGCAGCGAAGACCTGCACACCCTGGTGTCTGGGATTCCTTCAAGTTCCTCTGCACGTGGAAGCTCTGCGGTGAATATACTATATGATACTTAATGCTCGAGAGCTCTGGTCTGAAACCAAGTTGTTAAAATATTTTGTCTTTTGGCTTCTATGCATATTCGAGAGAACGTGGCCGACTTTCCCAAGTAGTAGATCTGAAGTCGATGACTTGTAGATCTCGCAATGTATCGGTTAAGTTCGGGAAATTGACCGAGCATTGGAGGAATCCACCCAATGGGGGAATTTCCCGCGTGGGGTGGGAAACTCCGGCGGCAGTTTTCGAGATTGCGAGGGAACGAACTGAATTGAAGGGAATAGAAACAATTCTCCTCCCCCACGTTTTTCTCTTTCTCGGTAGATTCCAGGTCCCAATTTCCCCTCATGCGTCAGAGGGGGGGCAAGTGGAGGCTATTTTGACTGAACTCAGTCACACACTGGAGGACCCCAATTTCTCCGGCGCTTGGCCCAATCTAGTATGGTGTTGTCGCTCGCATCTCCACCAATGATTAGGAAGAAACTGACATCATGTCAGATAACCAGCAGCTGTCCGTGGGTGCAGCGTGCATTGCATTGCTTGCATTGCACTGGCCGCTGTAGTGTCCGTACTGTACAGAGTGAACAGGAGGCTGCATTCATAGCAGCATCATCGGCTCGGAGATGAGGGGAACCTGCTTCATCTTGGCCACTGTTTTGAATTTGAATTGGACAATGGACTGGACGGGATGAAGCTGAAGCCATCCCACGCGCTGGGCCCCACCGAGGGGTTGTACAGTAACTGTTGTTGCAGCTTCCAATGAGACTGGCGGGGTAAAGTGTGTGTAGAAGGGCAGTAGTACTGTGTACTCCGTAGTGTGTGTATGTACGCTGTATGGAGTACTCACAATTGATGTCGTGACATTTTTCCCTCTTCCCCCACCCCTCTTCCTTCTTCCTCCCCCCCCCCCCTCCCCCCCCCGACTTCTCTCGTATTTCTTTCGCAACCTCCTCCTCTTTTTTTTCTTTCTCCTTCTCTTTCGTTTCTTCCCCAATTCTCCCCCTGTCATCTCCCTGTCTCCTTTCCTTCTCTACATCCTCGACTGAACACCCTAATCTCCTGCATTCACAATGTCTCTCGGAAAGAAGGTCACCCTCAGCTCCGGCCACGAAATCCCGTAAGTTGTTCATCCTTTTTTTTCGATCTCAGAAACACAGTTGCTCATATCCTTTAGCCAGCTGGGATTCGGCACCTGGCAGTCCGCCCCCGGTCAGGTCGGTGAGGCCGTCTACGAGGCCCTCAAGGCCGGTTACCGTCACTTGGTAGGTTAGCTCCAATCCCATCAGCACTGCAGCAGACACTAACAAAGTCTAGGACTTGGCAACCATGTAAGCCTTTCAGAGCTACGAGTTGTGTGTCCCTGCTAACAATTCATAGCTACCAGAACCAGCGCGAGGTTGCCCAGGGCATCAAGCGCGCCTTTGCCGACATCCCCGGCCTCAAGCGTGAGGACATCTTCATCGTGCGTCTAGCCTCCTAACGAATGACTGGTCGTATCTGCTAACTCGCACCAGACCTCCAAGCTCTGGAACAGGTCAGTCCGATGCCCTCGAAACGTGCTACGATCGATCACAACTAACTCCATGCAGCCAGCACCACCCCGACGATGTCGAGAAGGCTCTGGACGAGTGCCTTGCCGAGCTCGAGCTCGACTACCTCGATGTAAGACACTTAGCCTCCACGGATAGCGCTCAATCTCTAATTAGCTCAGCTCTACCTGGTCCACTGGCCCGTCTCCTTCTCCCGCGGCTCCGACTACTTCCCTCTGGTTGAGAACAGCACCGTCGAGGGCGGTGACGTCGCCATTAACGACGAGATCTCCATTGTTGACACCTGGAGAGCCGTGACCAAGCTCCCCAAGAGCAAGGTCCGCACCGTCGGTGTTTCTAACCACATGGTCGAGCACGTAAGACGCCACTCTATCCGTATTATGATATGGGAACACAAAGCTAATCTCAACAAAAGCTCGAGGCTATCATCAACGGCACCGGTGTCGTCCCCGCCGTCAACCAGATCGAGCGTCACCCCGTCCTCCAGAGCCAGGAGCTGATTGAGTACGCCAAGAAGAAGAACATTCACATCACCGCCTACTCCGTACGTATACCCACTTTCTCTGCGCATACCTATCCCAAACTAACATGATTCAACTGTTAGGCCTTCGGTAACAACGGCTTCGGCGTCCCCCTCCTCGTCACCCGCCCCGAAGTCAAGGAAGTCGCCGAGTCCGCCTCCAAGCGCCTGGACAAGACCGTCACCCCCGCTCAGGTCATCCTCGCCTGGTCCCAGGTTGGCGGCCACAGTGTCATCCCCAAGTCGGTCACTCCCTCGCGTATCGTCGAGAACTTCCAGGAGGTGGAGCTCACCCCCGAGGAGGTCGAGAAGGTCTCCAGCCTGGGTAAGGACCGCAGACGCTACAACACCCCCTACATTGCCAACGTGCCCCGCTGGGATATCAACATCTTCGGTGAGGAGGAGGAGAAGCCTGCCTCCCATAAGGTTGTTGTTTAAATGTGCTGGCCACTTTTGTTCCCAACAACATGAAAAAACAAAAATCCTCCATGATGAGATATGTGTATAAACGATGAGGTGGATAGATTGAATAGATGATTTACCACTACCTTGGTGCTGGGTGATCTGTGTAGAGCCGAGTAATGGCCTCTCGGAAGTTGATTGACTCAACTGCTCCATGTAGGTAGCCCATTGGTTGCCGCCCTTTGGCAAGCTTCTGGACTTGGGTAATGCAAGAGGGATCGATGTAGCGTGGCATAGATAGGAGACTGATTCAGCAGAGTGTAAATGCGCGGAGGTAGTCACGTATTCATGCGTAGGCCAAAGAGAATCAAGCTCACACCATTAAATCCCTCAGCTGAGTCCTATTTACCAGCCCAATAACCTACCTCTCTTTGAGAGGTCCAAATCACCCATAAGTCACAGACTGCAAATGATTCTTATCTCGATTTTTCAGGGGGTACCGTACACAATTAAACCCATATACTCCCACTCGCCCACGGGCAGATGTATCATACTTCTATGTATCATACTTCTATATGGCACAACAAACTGACTGCTACCCACTCACCCACTAACGAGTGACAATCCCTGGAGAAAACATTCCATCCATCCACCCCCAGCAAACAATATTATTTCTCAAAGCTCACTGAACTCACACGACAAGAAAACATTGGCACACACAAAGCAGGTAGTAGGCAGCTTACATCGCCTGCCGGCATGCAGTATGCCGAATAATCCCGCTGCCTACCTACCGATAGACAAGGATAAGACGGTACTATAGAGAACCTGAACTTAAGGTCAGGAAGGGCAAGCTGGCCTACCCGGAACCGGAACGGAAGCTGAAGGGTCATATACGTTAGGTAACTAGTAGCTAGGTAGGTAGCCTGGCTTAGTACAAGAAGATTACGTACTAAGCTTGGCTTAGTTTGCGCCTTCAGGATCAAAGGACCCCCCGCTTGCGCGTGGGAGCAATCAATCTACTGGGTCACTGGGTATGAGTAACTTACTATGGAGTAATAATTCAATTGATATGTTGTGATGCAGAATCTGTGAAAGATGGGGGGGGGGCCAGAGTGAAATCCATTGTCTTAAATACTCAATCGTACTAGTATATATATAAAACTTAGTAGGACTAATTACTCATGAAAAAGGATCACGATCTACTTGACTCCTAAATTAGCACGGATTGTATCATATCTTCTGAAATAGACAGGCCCCAGGCCCCCACAATAGCTTTAGTAGTGGATCTACAATTGTGGCTCTTTTTTCAAAAGAGGAGGGAATTGGAGGAATAGGGTGTTCTCCAGTAGTGAGGTCATTCATTTAGTATGTTTTGGTTGCAAGGTGTGATGCTGATGCGGGGAGGTCATGGGATCCAAAGGCATCTGCAAAAGTGTGGATTGGAGATCTTTGGTGATTCTATCGTTAACATTTTATCTACTGGCAGAAGCGGAAAGCAAGTTTCTTAAGTCATTCAACCCATTGACCGGCAACGAGGTTTCAATCAATGCAAATTTATTAATGTAAATGAACACAATGTGGAGTACAGTAAGTAAGCTACTTATTGTGCCATTGCTCAATAGTGGCCATTCGGGGTACGCCCCGCTCAAGGTGTCATAACAGCAGATGTTCGGGACCAGAAATCATGGTCATGGTCATGGTCATGTTCAAGAACGCATGCATGCATGCATGCATGCATATGTGTTTCATAGTGGCGCTCCAGCGCACACGAAAGAGGTTTGCTCGCAAGTTCAACACTTGTAATCTGATCTGGTCATTAGACTCGTCACTGGTTTGTCTGACTTGCTGTTTCATGCAGCATAATGTTGCAACCATGAGTTGCTACAGACACTGGGTACGGCAACTGGGAGAGCAGTGAGCTCACGCTGGAGCCGTGGGATTTGATGAAAGACAATGTCTCTTTTGGGCTGCTGCTTCTCTGAAGTGCAGACACGAGACTGAGACAATCTCTGCGCGCTAAATGCAGACGGCAGGACTAAAGCACTCTGATTAGCCCCGTGTCCAATCGGAACACAATAGGTTAACAAATAATTCGACTCCTCAGAACTCAATCAAGTGCCCATCCATTTCCAAAGCAATCGCGTAAGCTGTTTCCGGTGAATTGGCTTTCCGATGTAGTCACTCATTCCCTTGGCCATATACATCTCCGCGTCGCCTTTCAGGGCATTACCAGTGAGGGCAATGATGGGCACGTCCAAACCCATCTGCCGGATCTGCTGAGTAGCCTCGACACCATCCAGGATCGGCATGTTGATATCCATGAGTATCAGATTATAGGCGAAAGGTTGTTGCTTCACCAGTCGCACTGCTTCCGCGCCGTCCCATGCAGCATCAACTCGGGCAAACCCCATGTTCTTGAGCAACTTAAGCATGACCATCTGATTCACAAGGTTGTCCTCCACCAGCAACACGTATTTCTGAGGCGCGAGGGCTCGTATCTTGGCTTCGACATCGTCGTCATTCTCCACGAGGGGACTGTGGATCCTCAGCGGTACCTTCATGTCCACGCGACGCATTTTGGTTATCATCCAAAACACACTGCCACGCCCTTCAGGGTTGGGTCGGAATCCCACGCTGCCATCCATAAGCTCCGCCAAACTCTTACAAATCGACAAGCCAAGACCTGTACCCTGGTATCGTCTCGTATTCGAGTCGGCGAAGCGAGTGAAGGGCGTGAATAGTGAGCTGTGCGCATCCTCGGGGACTCCGACTCCTGTGTCGAAAACTTCCGTGGTGATATTGAAAATGGCCGGATCAGCGAGGTCTTCGGCAAACGTGGTGTAGATCTTGACATAACCTGTGTCGGTAAACTTGACTGCATTTCCTACCAGGTTTTGGAGAACCTGTCGGTACCGCAGAGCGTCACCTTCAACTTGCAAGGGGAAGCCCGGGGCAATGTAGCTGGTTAACTCCACGTTGGGCTTGAGGGTACTCTTGCAGTTGCGCACGACGGCTCCGGTTACACTGTCGATACTGAACGCATCAGGATGAAGCGAAAACGAACCGGACGACAGCTTCGAGTAATCCAAGACGTCATTGATAACCTGTAGTAGGAGAGAAGTAGAGTCTTCAATGATCGCAGCATACTCACGCTGACGTTCAGTCAGGCCCGCTTCCATGAGTGTTGTTAGCGCGAGCAGCATGCCGTTCATGGGCGTACGAATCTCGTGGCTCATATTGGCCAAAAAATCCGTCTTGAGTTTGGACGACTCCTCAAAAGCGGCAATCATGCGCGCTTCCGCTGCGTTGCGCTCCGTCAGATCTCGCGTGACTTTGGTAAAGCCAATGTGTCGACCAAACTCATACATGGGAGTGATCAACACATTAGCCCAGAATCGCGACCCGTCTTTGCGGTACCGCCAGCCTTCATCCTCGACTTTGCCTTCCCGGAGACAGACCACGAGTTCCTTGCCTGGCTTATCGGCAATTCGATCTTCTTTCCCGTAAAAGGTGGAGAAGTGCTTTCCGATGATATCCCGAGCGCTGTAACCTTTGAGGATGGCGGCACCGGAGTTCCACGTCACGATGTTGCCTCGCGTGTCCAGCATGAAGATGGCGTAATCCTTGACAGTGTCCAGTAGCACTTTGTAGGTATCGTTGACATAGGAGTGGTGGTTGTTGGTGGGATTGGAGAATTTCTTCGTGATAGAGTGCGCTTCTAACACCATGTAAAGTAAAGTGCTCTTGTCGTAGATTGGTGTTATTCGAAGTGAGTAGTAAGTATTTGGTTCGTCCAAGTGAATGTTGTCGACGAGCTGGATGTCCCGCGACGTGATGGCCGCTCGAAGCGCACCGTACAGAGTGGCGATATCGAGAGCCGGGATGACACGGGGACAGATATCGCAAATAAAGCTATCAAGGATCACATCCCTGGACAAGCCTGCAAAAGACACATGTGAATCTGAAACCTCCACAACCTGCAAGGAAGCGTCCAACACGACGGTCGGGGTGGGCGTGAAGCGATAAATGCGACTCAAACCTGAATCCAGCGGCTGCCGTTCATTTAGGCTCTCTGCGCTCTGAGCGAGATCCATCGGTGCCGGTCTCGAGGATTCTTCGCGAAGATTTATGTGGTTTAGATCGTCATCCTCATCCTCATCGGGGGGAGTGGTGACCATAGTGAAATTGAGTGGTGGCGGTTGGCTCTTGTTCTCGATATCGAGGCGAAAGAGCCGCTTGTTGAGATCCATGCTGCACCACACATGGATGAACAGCGGTTATGCGTGGGGTGGAGGGGAGGAGGGGAGGGGGGGGGAAGGAGGGTGCAGTACGTGAGCCAGTAATGAAGGGATCAAAAGAGTCGAGGAGGATTATAACAACGTAAATGGTGAGAACTGATAGAGTGTTAAGGTAGAAGAGGAGAATGAGGAAGAGAAGGGCGAGTGGTAAAAAGGGAGGAGGCGGCGAAAGTGGCTTATAGAAACAGATGGAGGGTGAAGAGAGGGAGGTATGGTCGAGTAGTGAAAAGAGGGTCCTCTTTCCTCTTTTCGTTTGTACAGAAGGTAGGTATGAAAGTGTTTTTTTTAAAAAAAAAAAAAAAAAAAAAAAAAAAAAAAAGAAGAAGAAGAGAAAAAGGAAAGAAAAAAAAAGGGAAACGGAAAAAGGACTAATGAAAAGCGAAAGAAGAAAGAGGAAAAGGGAGAAGCAATGGTGTGTGGAGGGGGAGAACAGAATTGATGGATGGATGAATGGATGGATGGATGGATGGATGGGTGGATGGAGGGAGGAAGAGAGAGAGAGAGAGAGAGAGTAGCAGCAAGTAAGGTAAGGTAAGGGTAGTTCAGTTCGAACACAGACACACACCACCGACGTCAACAGTGAGCCGTCAGAAGACTGGATCGACCAACCACTGGACGGAAGCGAAGACCGACAGCCGCGGGGGGGCCGATTAGTCAGATCCTGACTAAGTCTGGCCAATTCCAGCTGTGAATCACTAGATGAGTAGCGTGAATCACTGAATACACAATAGTACTCGAGTAAAGTACGAGTACCTAGTAGTAGTAGTAGTGTAGAATTGTGGTTGGTAAAAAGTGGCAGGGTACAAAAGTAGATTGATAAAAGTGGTAAGTCGATCAGCCGCCAGACCGTGGATCTTTTTAGTGTAGTATACGAGAAATAAAATTGACAATGACAATGATGATGGTGATGATGATGATGATGATAATTTTGTTATGATAATAATAATGGTTTTGATAGTATAATAGTAATAGACAGAGAGCAATAATAATAAAGATCATGCAATCCCGACCTTACCATGCGGCGCAAACAGCTAGACTCCAGTATTAGAGCAACGCTCAATCGAATCAATTATGCAATTAATCAATCAATCCTCCAGCAATATCAATCGGAAATAATGCTCTTCGACCTCTTCTCTCTCGCCTGTTTTAGCCCGTGGTGATTTGCCCTGCAACGCCTCATTCTTTATATTGGATCATGGTCAATCAATGGTACGTACTCGCTTGCCGAAAACCTATGCAAGAAAGATAAAAAAAAATATAAAAATACCAAAAAAAAAAAATAGAGACACAAAACTACTGGTAGTCTGGTACAATGAGAAAGGGAATAAAAATAAGATAAGGCAACAGTCTGCAGAAGGGAGGAGGGGGGCAAAAAAAAATTGTAAGAAGAGAAGAGCAAAAAAGAGCAAAGAAAAACCAATACGGAGGAAGTACTGGGTTCAGGTTGAAGATTCCGGTTTCATAGCGTGGGAAATCTGGGATATGACCAAGGCAGGGAAGGCGCTTGTTCCCACTAGCTCCCAAGGCTTGCTCCAGATCTGACCTCATCTGCGCCTTTAGGCGGACGGCCAGAACCCAACCGGCCAAGTAAGAGCCCGGCCCGGATTCCCCTTGCAGTCAAGCGCCACTTCGATGATTCCCCGGTCGGGCTCAGCCTGAGAAACGCTACACTAAACCACTAAGTTACTAACTAGTAGGACAAGACTACAACTACACAGTACACTCAATATTCTTCCTGTGTTGCAGGATGATTAAGGGTCATTCAGACACAACCTAACTAATACTCACCTATACCAATGTATAGATATCCTTGTGTCTGCACTCTGCACTTTCAAAATCTTCAGTTGAGGCTGAATGAGCACCAGCCACAAACCTACTTCTCCATTCCCCCCTCTCCTTCTTTGCCTCAGGCTCGAAACTTGACCCTCCGACATGCAAACGTGATGCGATCAGCGACCGGAATAATCCGATGATTTACATCAACAATAACGTTAGAGCATGGTTAATTATGGTTCTCTCAAGTTTATTGTCCTTTGACTATGTCTGTTTCATGCAACCATCCATCCAACCACGATGATAAAGGCGTAGTTCAAGCCGAGTGGTTCTTCCAACGAGAATGAGACCCAGTTGTGGAATGGAAAGCCTCCAACCATGCAAAGCCTTGACTTTCTCTTCCAGCTAATCCTTTTCATTCTATCATCCTCATCACTCTGCATCTCTCTCGTGTCCCGCCACCGGACCCCTCCCCAGAGGTTTCCACCATCCCCGTGCATTCTTCGCCTCATTGCGGCCATGGACGCCGTGAGCGGAAGAGGGTCCGATGATGCGCGATCGGACGTAGGGAGACAGGAAACCCGTCATTGTCATCATAGTCCTAACATCTAGACTGCGCCGATGCAGGGAGGTCTGGATTGCTCTCGACTACCCACGCATCCTGTGCTTCGTTTCCAATGCCCCGTGCCTTTCTTCGCGTTCCCCTGACCTGATGTCATCTGGCGCACCGTTCCCTTCCAAACGGCTCTGGAGCATTTCCTGTAACAGCAATGAGCAACGTTAAGAGAGCGGCAAACTTGGCAGCACCAGCCGCCCTACTGCAATGCTAAGACCTTTAATTTTTAGGTCGAGGTCCTCGAGCTTCGCAGAAGAGCGGAATTTCGGTACGTTGCGTGGCAAACCGGTCAGCGTCCGTGATAATTGCCTTGCGAATTGCGTTGCCCCAAACTTTGTCGATGACGACGAGTCCTGAAAGACGACTGTGTTAAGTGCTACTGAGTAGGGTAAGTCGGGACCGAAGAGGTGTACGGGAGATTTACATCCCAGGTGCCCGAGTTATATCCGATTTTAGATTGTCTGGAGGGAGACCTGGATAAGCAAGGATCATACGTGGTGGTGAGTTATGCGTACGAGTACGTACGATGGGCAGCTAGATATACAGGGGGCTAAAGTAGGGCTCTCTGCCGGTTACTACAAGCCGACATAGTGTGTGCGCAATGGGCAGAAAGAGAGAGAGAGAGAGTGCAACGACTCCACTGAAGGGAAAATTCAACCAACCCCCTCTTCTCTCTCTCTCTCTCTCTCTCTCTCTCCCTCATCCACCCTTATGAGAATGTCATGACACATCACGGCACTTGCAATCGACGGTACTCCGATCGTGGCTTGAATCCCACGAGGGTCGCGACTTTGGCTCCCGGGAACACCTCAGAGTGATGGAAGCAGATCGAACCGTTGAGTTGCACTGATGTATGGCAGTAGTGCAAAAAGCTTCTCTTGGCACGACGATGAAGGCATTGAGGGGCCCAAAGGGACCGGGGGAAATGAAGTGCACTGTGAATAGTGAGTGGAGAGTGAGTGGAGGCAGTGGCGGATACATCTACCTCAGCGTGGACGCAGTACGGAGTAGACTGTATCATGCTCGGGGCGTCGACATCTCCACTAATCATCGATTCAGTTAGACAAGTTTTGGGGATCAAAGTTTTCCCTACCACCAGCCCTCTTTTGGTTCCCCCCCTTTTTTCGGCTCATCTCACCTTCGGGGTTGGGGCAGAAGTAAATACGTCATTAACTCCTCGCTTCGGGATTTGCCTTTCTTTTCCACTTTTCCCATTGACCTGAATTGCAGCAGCAAAACAGAAACAATTTCACTTTAGTCTTGAAATTCCTTGAACCTCTCCCACCTTCTGTGCTCTCCACATGTTCTCGAAACCACACCAGTGTGTCAGTCCCGCTTGACTTGCTGCCAGAATTACTTCCTTCGGCAATCCAGGGCACTGTTAGTGCGGCTTGGCCCGGTACGAAGAGGCTTAGGCCATAATCCGTGGTGTGTCGGGTGTGTCGGGTGTGTCGGTGCACTCCACTGTTCTGGCAGTTCCTCAAGCTGTCTGGAGACTCTCGGACCAGCCAGAGAGAGGGCCCCCTTCAACCTGCCAATTTTTGCAGATAGATTACTATTGTTCTTCGCCTATCAGATTCGAAAAAGGCTGTCCCGCATCCAGCTTGCTTTTTAAAGCCTTCTATTTGAACTAGCCGATCGAGTTGTCATCCCCCCTCATCTCCCCTGGGCTAAATAGGGAAGCGAAGGGGGTCCCCCAGACAAAGTGCAGGACACGATGACGGATGAAAAGAAGTTATCGACGATCCAGGTGGGCTAGACCCATATTAATTGAGTCAAGGAGTCGCATTTGATCGTGGTCATAATCATTCCCCTCATTCCCCACGTGGTCGTTCGCTTCCCCCACCTCATCGCGTGTGTCTCACGACACCCGCATAGTCATACAGATGACGGATGGTCACAGACCTCCCAATCGATCTGACAGATTGTTCGCTCTCCAATCAGAGGAATGCCCGTGCATGTAATACTGACCGTCCTCTGCCTCGTAGGAACCCCCGTTAGACTCGATTAGCGAGAGCACCAGTGTGCTGAGTGACTACCATGCTGAAGAAGTCCTGCCCTACGAAGCGGATGATTCGCCTTTCCCAGAGGTCCGCGCGGTCGTGCGGCCAGTCGACGACCATAATTTGCCGATTAACACGGTGCGCATGTGGGTGATTGGTGTTGTCTTTACCATAGTATGTATGGTCTTGTACTCTCTCCCTGGCACGGCGACAGGGATGGCTGCGAGATGGGAATTAATCACTGATGACCGCCCCTCCATGACTGCAGGTAGGCAGCGGCCTAAATCAATTCTTTAGCTTGCGACAGCCGAGCGTAACCATCAGTGCATTAGTCGCTCAGCTGCTGGCCTATCCGATCGGATGCGCTTGGGCACAGTGGGTGCCGCTAGGTTGGCTGAACCCGGACCGCCATTTTAACATCAAGGAGCATGCCCTGATCACGATCATGGCCAATGTCTCTTTCGGGTCAGCGGCAGCGACCCAGATGATCGAGGCCATGGTGAAATTCTACGAGATGCCTTCGCAGGGCGGCTTCGAAATCTTGCTGGTCGTTACGAGTCAACTGTTCGGATTTGGCCTGGCCGGCATGGCTTCGCGCTGGCTAGTGGGCCCGGCTGCCATGATCTGGCCGCAGGTGCTGTCGAACGCAGCCCTACTTTCGACCCTGCATTCGCGCAAAAATCTCGTGGCCGACGGGTGGACCATCAGCCGACTCCGCTTCTTCCTGATCGTATTTGTTTTGGGAGCCATCTGGTACTTTGTGCCAGGCTACCTCTTCTCTGCGCTCAGTACCTTCAGCTTCATCTGTTGGATCGTGCCCAACAATGTCGTGGTGAATCAGCTCTTTGGCCAGGTGACAGGTCTGGGAATGTCCCTGTTGACCTTTGACTGGGCCCAGGTCGTTTTCGCGAACCAAAGTCCCCTGTTGGTACCCTTCTGGGCGGGCCTCAATGTGATGGGCTCGTTCGTCTTGTTCTACTGGGTGATCTGTCCGATCGTTTACTATACCAACACCTGGTACTCGGCTTATCTGCCGATCCTGAACTCGAACACATTCGACAACACTGGCAAGGCTTACAACACTTCTCGTGTGATGAATTCAGATGGGTCCTTCAATGTAGACGCGTATCGCGATTACTCCCCCATGTTCCTGCCTGCGGGGTATGCCTTGACTTATGGCATCGCATTTGCTAACCTCACTGGTATCTTCTTCCATGTCGCCTTATATCATGGTAAGGACTTGGTCGAACAGTGGAAAGGACGTGATCAGAAGGATGTTCATTCTCGGATTATGGGGACTTATAAGAGCGTCCCTTGGTGGTGGTTTGCTGCCGTCACCGTCCTGATGTTTGTGCTGAGTATAGTGACAAACGAGGTATGGCGAACGGATCTGCCGGCATGGGCGGTGCTGGTGGCATTCCTTCTCCCCATCATCTATTTTATCCCTGTCGGGATCATCAAGGCCGTCACCAACATCTCCAGCAATCAGCTCAATCTGATTACTGAATTCATTGGGGGATATGCTTTCCTCGGTCGCCCGGTCGCAAATATGGCTTTCAAGTTTTACGGCTATGTCGCCGTATCGCAGGGCCTGGAGTAAGTCTTTTAGCATTGTCTGGGACTGTGCGCGGAACCGAGGCTGATTTGACTCTACATAGATTTGTGGCGGATATGAAATTGGCACATTATCTCCACATTGCCCCCCGAACGTTGTTCATTGCGCAGGGGATGGCCACGCTCATTGGTGCTGTGGTACAGTGTGGTGTGACGGTGTTTATGCTCACCCGGATTCATGGCGTCTGTACACCACAAGCTGCAGGGGGATTCAGTTGTCCGCATGGAGCGGTTACTTACTCCTCCTCCCTGATCTGGGGTAAGTTCGGTTTTGTTTTCCCACGTGTGTCCCTTGTGCACACGCTGTAAGCACTTGGACTAAATCTTTCCGGTTGCAACTACCAGGAGCCCTTGGTCCTGAACGGAACTTTTCCCCGGGCCATCTTTATGGCAGCCTGCTCTGGTTCTTCCTCGTAGGCCCAGTGGTTGTCGTTCTCACGTGGCTGTTGGGCAGGCGGTGGAAGAAGATAAATTACCTTTCTTGGCCGGTGGCCTTTGGCGCCATGAGTCTGGTTCCTCCGGCGACAGGCATCAACTTCTCGTCTTGGTGGGTAGTCAATGTCATTTTCAACGGCATCCTGAAGCAACGCAAGCCGGCTTGGTGGTCGAAGTATAGTGCGTACCCCTACAGTCCTGTAAGAGCCAGTCCTGCTCACTAACTGAGGTAGATTATGTGCTCTCTGCTGCCCTCGATGCCGGGGTTGCGGTGGCGACAGTTATCATCTTCTTCTGCATCACCCTGCCTGCAGGGAGTCTGAGCTGGTGGGGGAATACAGTTTTTCGTCAGACCACGGATGCGCATGGAACTCCATATCGCACTTTGCCAGCAGAGGGGTACTTTGGACCTGCCAAAGGCACTTGGGAATGAGACTAGCGTGTTTCTTTTTGCATATGTTGTATATTCGTATTGTATATAGATGGTGAATAGGAGGGATAGAAGGCGGGAGATATATGTGAATGTTCAATGTAGTCACTGTTAGTTACTATTAGTCAGACAATATGAGTGATCTCCGACTCCAAAGCATTGACTTGGAGGCGGTGGTCCCCGACCGGCGCTAAGCGTTCGTTCCCCACAGCCTTTTTCTGCTTCCCCAAAGCCTTTTTAAAGCCACAGCAAGCAAACATTGTTCGAATTAGGTTAAGTTCAACTTTCTCCAATTACTCTCTCTTCTCTGTCTCTCTCTCACACACTTCCTCCCACTCCCTCACCTCCCCGTTACTCACACTCTCTTTTTGCAACCCACTCTGTTATCCCTCCCACCCATAGATCACGATTTGAACGCCACTTCTTCTTCATCGATCTTGCCCATTGCCTTCCGCAGCAAGTCAGAGACAACAATTGTCATCCCGGTATGGCCTGCGGTCCGAGCCGCCCTCCCTGGTCTGTTGCTTCTCTCCTGGCACCATGACGAATCGTGACCCCGACTTCCGACACCAGCTGGGCAAATTCCGTCTCGATCCACTGCCAGTTCCGTCCCATGCGTCTCGTGCTCCTCCATCAAATACAAGCGCACCCCCTGTGTCCTCATACAGCCTGTCGCCCTCCTTACCTCCGTCTCTCCCGCCCCCGTTGTCCCACCACCACCAGCAGTCGCAGCAACAGCAACAACACCATGCATTACCTCCACCACCCCTCCCTCGATCCCAAGCGTCGGCTTCCCCTGTCCCTCCCCCTCGCAGTAAACGAGTCTCGACCGCCTGCGACTTCTGTCGGAAGAGGAAGAAAAAATGTGACTTTCGATATCCCAATTGCTCGGCTTGTACGCGCGCCGGTGTCCGCTGCACCATACCCCCGCCGGGTCCTCAGGTCGCCGCGGCCTCCGTCCCCCGTGATCAATTGGAGACACTACAGAACAGAGTCCGATGGCTAGAGGAGGTGATTCGTCGCAAGACGGGTATCTCAGTTGCGGAACGGCCAACTGGGACACAGTTGGATGGTGAAGCCGATCCGGACTGGTGGTATCAGGTTCCCGCCATGATGATGGCGCGCGAGGCTCCCACGCGCTCCACCACGGCGACCACCACCCCTACAGCAGCGGCCATGTCCAGCAGCGGCTCACCGCCGAACTCCTCTACGGTGGGTACTGAGTTGCCCAATGTGGGCGAGATTTTTCGAGACCAGCTGGAACACCGCCGGCCTTCCGTCGCCAGAGCCGTCGCGACTGCCCCACGGGTGATTCGACTTTCGTCCCTGGAGGAAGCGGAGCGAGTCGCTTCCCAGTATTTTGATAGCATGGGCTATCAGTACCCCTTCCTCAACCGAACGGAGTTCTTCGCGAACATGCGACGTATCTATGCGGGTGAAGTTCCTGCTCCCGAAGTCCATAACTCGTACCACATTACCATTGCTACCGCTTTATTGATTGGGTCGGGCGATGGGTCCAAGGCTGTGGAATTCTATCAGGCTGGCACCGAGACTCTTTCGTCGGCGTTACAGAACGAAGACTTGGCGGCCGTGAGAGCCTTGCTAAGCATGGCACTGTACACCATGTTCGCGACGAGTGGTCCGAGTGTATGGCATTTGCTGGGCACGGCTCTTCGCCTGGCTACGAGCTTGGGGCTTCACAAAGTTCGACCCGTGGGAAATCTGGTTGACGAAGAAATGGCGAAACGGGCATTTTGGAGTCTCTATAATCTGGATCGCTTAATTGCAAGTACCTTGGGTCGGCCGCTGGGCATTGCGGATGAAGACATTTCGGTGAGTCTGCCGCGAGAATTAAACGACGACTGGGTTGAGGCCCCGGGAGCCAGCGCCATGACTATCCCCTTGCAGGTGGTGCGTCTCCGGCGCATCTTCTCCCGGCTTTATTCATACTGTAAGTCTTTGCTTCGTGTTAAAAAATCCCTGCTATTGCTTTGCGTACTTATTCTTCCAGTATATAACAATCAGCCCCCACCACCGCCCTCTGAAGTTGCGGTTACACTGGGCCATTTTCGTCAAGAGTTGGACGAATGGCGTCGAGCTGCCCCGGTATATCCTCCCGCATTGCTCTACTCGACCAGTTATTATGACTATCTGTATGCGACTACGCTGCTTCTCATGTACCGGCCAAGTCCTCGAAACCCAACCCCAGATGCGGCTAGCATTGTAAGCTGCGGCGATGCTAGTATTCAGGTCCTCAGGTCATATTGGGACAGCTATTCGGCCGGAAAGCTCAAGTGGATCTGGTTGACTCTCAGTCAGGTATACTTCGCTGGTATCACCATCTTGTGGTGTTTGAATCACAATTTGCAAACTGTTCGTGAGGGTCTGGTGGCGCCTTGGCAACCTGAAGAGCGAGCGATGCGGCGTGCCATTCAGGCTGTCATCGTTGTGCTAGAGGAGTTTGGCAAGCGTCGACCAGGTGTTGAGCGACTTGCAGAATCATTCCGCAATCAGAGTACCACGATATTTAGTCATTTCGCATACCAGCAACAAGAGCAGCAGCAGCAACAGCAACAGCAACAGCAACAGCAACAACAACAACAACAACAACAACAACAACAACA